CGCTGTTGTATGTTTTTTTTTGCTCGTGTTGATACCCTGAAGCGACAGACGCCATGGGTTATACATTCAGACAATGTGTCGAAAACGTCGAGGAAGAGAGTGATTCTTGTTCAATTCACGGTAGACCTTTTGCGATTTACCAATCGATTACTGGCTGCACCATTTAGTGCACTTAAGTCCGGCCACAGCTTTACAGCGCCTCACTGTGACCTTTTCGATGGCTACCACCCCGGACTTTGACTTCTCGAGCGGCGTTATCTAAACCAAGATACATCAACGATGGCCACTCAGATGTCCTGTTAAGAACAAATATGACCAAGAGCCAACTCATTGCTTGGTCGTTCTGGTGCTCGATTTGGTTATTTAATAAAGGTATGTACCATTTGGCCCCGGGCCTTGATTGGAATTTGGTTTACAACCTCTGTTAATGATGTCAAATATTTTGTTCTGTTCAGTACGCTTTTGCGACTATACCCTATGTGTTGAAAGCAAAAAGGTATAAGACCCTTGACTAGGGGCCTACACTTCAACATCATGAGTCATTGTTGAAAGTGAAATACTTGCGATATATGGAATTTAATTGCTTAGAGAAGCGACCTAAGTGAGTCTATCGTAGAGCCAATTCGAGTTACCGCCAACTGCCCTCTTGAGCTCCTGACTTTTTGGTTCAGGAGCAATGCCACAATCCAGAAGTTCTACCTGAAAAGCAGTTACATTGACCCGACCCAGCTGTTCAGCTTTACCACCCGTAAGTGAGTCCATCAGCGTGAATGAGGTTACAAAGCCAGAGCCGCCTCTTGGTCCATCGAGAACAAGTACTGATCGACTTGTATATCCATAACTAAGAGACCAACAGGTACCACATAACGCAGAGTTGGGGCCATCAATTCCATCGAACCCAGCAAAGTCGGGAGTGATATCTCCCAGTTTCACCCAGTCTTGGTCTTTAAAGATTTCCCCGTCCTTGTAACAGGCAAGCTCACTGACAGGTACTGAGTCGTCGCTATAATACCCATTGAATGTCACTATAATTTGAGTGTGAGAACAGAAACTCGTATGTGTTGTAACGAATCGAAAAACGAACCAGTTGTAGCAGAGGCCAGGGAGAGGGAAATGCTCAAGACGCCAGCCTTGGAGATATACATATTGTTATCAAAGAAATTCGATGAAGATATTTGTGCTGATAGTGTCAAATAAAACTCAAGGTTCGTCGGCAATAAATGAAGCAAATGAGAGTGTGGAATGAACTGCGGAAATGTCGAAGAGGGGATTGAAGACAGCGCGAAATATAAAACAACACGAGATACCGTTTTCAACTTACAATGCCCCACTCTCCAGGTTCAGACGGGTCGGGTCGCTGTTTTGACCTCAAAGGCGTTAGATCCTCGCCATCAGCTGTTGATTCTTGGCTGTTGGTCGTTGGTTGTTGGTCGTGATCCATGAAGCATAACGATGTAGCCTATTATAAACACTCGGCAATTAGTAGGGTCCACTCTGCTGTCGTTGTTCGTGGTCTAGACTTTCTCAGACCTCAAATGTCTTGGATAAAGGTCCAATATCTCGTACGGCTAATCATCCGCGGTGAGAGAGGCGAAGTAAGTTTAAGTCTAAATTATCGTTACTCGGAAAAGGATATCCATCAATCGTGAATGGATGCTAGTTCTTCGTTCGGTAAGAGTTAACGATAACGCAGCTCAGTTAGGTTTGATGTTGTCATGCAAAAAGCAGCTGAGCAGACAATTAAGTTTTTGAAACGTTTCCTCCTGCCGCTCGAGGCCACAGCAATTATGTTTCTTATGTTCCGGCGGTGATATCGTGTTACTTCATCCCCAGAAGCTTAGAAGAAGCAGGGGTTTGTGCTGGAGGACACGAAAGCTATCTAGGTATCTTCAAACCCCCTGTCGTCAAAGCGCGAAGCGTTAAAGTTCACAAGGGTCCAAGCGAGAGAGTATAGTGATCCGTGAACAGCGATGGCTTCATTTGTTCGCAAGTGCAAGTAACATTCTCTTCTGCTCATGACTATATCGATCCCAATTTCATCTGCAACAATGGACATCATTTTAGTATTTCTGATTCTATTCTATCCTTCTCGAATATGTATATACAGCCATATGTAAATTTATACTAGAGCCTCATGTCCTTGGTCTAGCCAGGTCTATGTATCGTGATATTGGAGCTAGAGGACCAACAGCATAAGCGTAGCTTCTTCGTCAGGCCATACCCACAGCCTCGCCAAGTCAGGACAGGCAAGGATGGTAGTATTGGTCTAAGTTTGTATGGCTCTGTATCCTCTGTCAAGTTATAAATATCGAGCATCATCGCCTGGAAAGTTGATTATCCTCATCAACATTGCAAGCTATCTCAGCTCCGAGACTCAGAATTCCTTCAACTCACTTACTTTACTCTCAAAACCTTCCTCAGTCTTCCTCATCATGAAGAACGTCAACGCCTTCCTCCTGATCCTTGCCTACGCGGCGATGGCTTCATCAGCAGCCACGCCTGTCGCTCCTGCCGCTGGTGCAGCAGCAGTCTGTGGCGACCTCGGAATCCTCAATATCGCACCCGGTGACCTGCCAGAAGGTGTTGAGCCCTCCGAGCTCCGCCTCTGTGCTGACCATCCTATGGGCCGTAATCGAACTCTGGACCCTGCTGAGGGCGCATCTCTAGCCCCCATGACGGAGGAGGAAGATTTGGAACCTGACACAACACCAGCAGCAGGTGCTAGTCTATTCGAAGAGAGGGCCTGTTATTACAAAGCCCCGTATGGTTGCTCTCGTGGGTACTGTTGGAAGAGTTGTGGAAAGTCAAGAAGTGGACAATGGTGTTGGACTGCTTCAGCTGGAGGTGGTGGCCCGTGGAACAAGTGCGACAAGTTTGAAGATTGTGGAACAAACAGAATCACCCAAGCTTGTGGAAATAGCTGTTGGGTCTCACGCGCGTGCGGTTGCAGCTGCTAGACATTGCTTGATGGAAACTGACTTGAGGAGACTATATCTTGAATGCACCTGTTAGAATTTCTACCACTGTTGAGAGTCTTGAAATGTGTTTCTTTCTTCACCTTTCATTAAATAACTCTCTAGGAGAAACTATTGCTACGGTACTATTTTTATAAATACTGTAGCATGAAGAATTATGCAGAATTTAAAGTATCAACTGGACTTATACAAGCCTGAATATCCTTTGCTCCAGCATCTATGTGCAGTCTTCAGGGTACAAACTGTCAGTGTGCTACTGTAGAGGCACTGTAAAAGCTATGACCGGGCGAAAGGGCACCCCGATAATAGAGGAGTTTGTCCCGAGGACTCATGGGTTAAGAGAGTACTGATAGGTCTTTATCTCGGGTGCTTGGACCGGTATAAGTGGAAGCCGAGTGGGGATCTCGGCTTCTCGTTGCGATCCGTAGCGCCCGAGACTGCATTATCTGAACCACACTTTTCATTTATCATTTCGATGGATCGTATTCGGCAGTTGGAGAAATGTTCAAGAATGGTCGTAGGAGAGCACATGTAGCTGGTTGTTTCTGGAAGATCTGACATCCATCTACATTGGCTGCGGCGAAGACGTTTGGTTCCTGGCCATCGCTCATCGGAGCACCTTTTACTATAAATTTTGAACGTGAGACGAGATTGAAGAATAGACAGTGGTCAACCAGTCGCGTCGAGATGGAGGCCGATACTACGGTGTCCATGGCTCATGGCGTCTCCTGCGGACAGCCGCTCACAAAGCCTTTTCGTCAGCGCTCTGAATTGAGCCGAAATTGGACCTATTCACACAAAACCTCAGCTACGTATCAAAGTAAAAGCTGCGGAATACACAGCTCATGATTTCCCAACATATAGCGACTAATTCACTGTCTGAAGAGTGCTCTGAATGGTGTTGAAAGAGATGTAACTGCGTTCAACAGAACCCATTCACCGGTAAACAAGCACCTCTAACCACCACTCGTAGCTGCAGAAGATAGCTGTGATGCAGAACATCTGCAGATGAGCTCGAACAGAGCCAAACAATATAGAAGAAGGTAAATAACCGTGAATTATTGAAACAGAACAACAAGAATCACCGATAATCACGTTTGAACATAGACAACTTGCACGAACAACATCACTAGCCAGCAGATATGGACCGCGCCACAAATGACGATCTTCCTCCAGAGCACAAGCGGTGGAAATGCTACCATTGCCCGGCTAAGACGTGGATGGAGGAGAAGGACTGCTCAAATCAAGCATGCAAACGACCTCGTTCATGGGGTGCCCTGGCCCTGACAGAAGATGATAAATGCTTCATCGGATTTCATGAAGGCTTTCTTGATGACGGCAAGGAACGTTGGGTTTATTCACGGAACCTGCTGGAGATCCTCAGGCGCTAAATCAGTTACAGGGATCCATTTTGAACATGTTGAACAAGGCATGATTCAAAGCTGTGTGGATAAGAAATAGAGAATAGAGAGATAATGAGTTTGAACAAAAAATACGATTGTTGCTGCATATTTGCTGTAATTTGAACACATGAAGTAAGATTTGAACATAATGAATGCCGATTAATATAAAACGTAGCAGCTAATCCTTTAAAATGGAAACAGAAACATCATCAATCACTGATAACCGCAACATCTCAACTCAACAGCAATCATCTACACATATCATCCACAAACACAACACCCTACTAAGTACAAACACCAAAGTCATGGCACCTATTACAGGCTCTAAACGTGTCCCAGAACACAAGCGCTGGCGATGCCAGAACCCAAGATGCAGGATCACCAATTCAATGGAAGGAGTGAATTGCGCACGATGCGGCATGCGTCGTGACAAGGGCGCGCATGCGCTGACGACCAGCGATCTTAAGATCGGAGAACTCAATTGTGTCTTTGCTGATGGCAATGAGCACTGGGTTTATGACACAGGTTCACTGACGGCTATCAGACTCATGGCTGCTACATAGAAGTCTAGAGGTAAGGTTGGGCGTTTAACACCCACTCTAGGTTTCGAAGATAGGAGATTCGGAGGGTGTACTCGACAGATTATCACTTTTGATCAGGTAAGTATTGTGAATCCTTGCTGAGCGAGGGTCACGATCAAAGGTAAGTTGAATGTAGACATAGACAGATATGGAGAATCTTAGGTAGCAGTTCACAACCCTAACCCACGAACTATTCGCACCCTGAATCACAACGCCTTTCGTGGAGTAGTGACCAATCCCTAACTTAACTGTGAACAAATGAACGAAATCACCACCATAGATGCCGTGAATAGAGTTACTTGACCACAGCCCATAGGTATATAGAACCGTACAATGCAGATCGTAACATATATAGCCAGCAACCTACTACTTTTCACAGACACAGCAAAGTTACCAACTCAACACCATGGCGCCTAGAACAGACAACCGTCAGCCAGAACACACCCACTAAAAATGTCAAGTCTGCGACACAGTCAATGAGATAGAAGAGAAATACTGCTCAGCCTGCAAAGCTCGCCGCGACGCAGGTGCGATTGCAGTAACGGATGACAATACCAACCACACAGAGATCGGGACGCTTGTATGCGTTTTTGTGAATGCTGATGAGCATTGGGTTTACGATCAAGATGCGTTGACGAGGGTTCGCGGTGGTTAAATGAAACAATTCGACGTGTTGTTAGCCAGTCGAAACACCTAAATAGTTAATTGAATTAACTCGAGCGAAGCAATCAATAGGATATCGAGATTCCATGGATGTGAAGTTATGTGAGGTTACACGATATCCAATCGGAACGGGATGGTTACCGATCCCTGCCGGCAATTGATAGACCGAGAAACAAACTAGGCCGATCACGCTTTTTTCCCCAACTTATCGTGTACGTGGCGTATGTGAGGTTTGCAAAATCATACCCACAATGGTTCAAGCTCCAAATGATCAACCCCTCGCTTGCAGCGTAATTGCTATCTCACTTTCTGTCAGTGGTCTTTGTTACCTAACCCAAATGCGGGGAATAGTGTGTGTCCACGCTAATGGTCCTGTAACGTAGAGGTTGGGGCATGGGAATTTTCTTATCTGCCCGGTGACCAGCTAGACAGTTGACTAGGTTATCTTGCTGATAGACAACTCCGATATCGAAATGGATATCTGCAGTAGCGTCATTAAACATGATAGATAACATTTCCCACAAATGCATTCTCTGTTTTTTCCTTCTAGAACATCCATCAACTGACCTCATTGCCCAGGTTCCCCGGTAACGGACACGCCCGCTAATTCCGTGCGGGGTGATCCATCAGATAGCGCTAAAGCTAGTGGCACATTACAGGGCGATGCTACCTACGCTGCAGCCAAAAGCCGTTTTTATTCTTCTTTTTCTTCTATGACCATTCTTATTGATCAGTCAATTTCCACATTGCATTGCACTTGGGCGTATCTATCGGGCTGTGCCTGGCTCTCAGACACGTTTAAGGCTTGTCTCAAAACTCTGCAGAGATATTACAGTCGAGACAAAGACGATGGCGTCAGAGAGTGAACCTCGCAAAACAAGAAGAACAGCAAATGCGTACGTCCCCTCAACCTTCATTATGGTGAGATACTGACATCTCAGCTGCGTCGCGTGTCGACAAAGCAAAATAAAATGTTCAGGCGATGATCCATGTCAGAACTGTCAACGACGTCAGGTACAATGTCGTTTCACAGAAGGAGGCGCAAAAGTAATGGTCTCAGAGAAGTACGTTCAGCCACATCTCCCAACTTTCACCGACTAAACACGGTCAGATATCTCCAAGACCTCCAGAAACAAGTTGAGCTACATCAGCGCTCATCTTCAATCAACACGAATACTGAAACACCACCGTTTCCGTCTGCACCTCCGCCTTATCGCTCAACTTCGTACTGCTCACCCTCGGGATCCTTCTCATCAGGTATCAAACGGACAAGTGATGCTGCTTTTGGTGTTGGGAGTACTCTTTCTTCTCCTGCGCTTACGGTGGAGGCTCAGCAATCTGATGTGAGCAGAGGAACATATCAGCAGCAGAGTCAGTCGCCGTTGAGTATCTGGCCCAGCGCGTTTACTATTCCGTCCAAAATTATTAAGAATACTCGCAAAAACAGACGGACATGGAGTGAGTACCCCAGTCCTTCGGCTCTCTCTATACTGACCGGATAGTTTGGCTGGCGCCATGGTCGACTTGGTCCTTCACCTTACGACTCATGCTCATGCTAGGCGACAGCCTCCAACCAGGAGGCGACATGATTCCACCCCAACTAATAGAAAGCGACGTCTACACCCTATCCTGGAACATCCGACCACCCCACGAAAAGCCCGACGTAACAGGTCTACCTTCTCTCGACTACGCAATCTACCTCTTCCACACTTTCAAGTTCCATCTCGGTCAAACATACCGGCTCTTCGACGAAGTAGAATTCGTCAACCAGATTCGAGATTTCTACTCGGATGCGCAGAGTAAAGCTGAAGAGAATAGACTGTGGTATGTCAAGTTTCTGCTGATCCTGGCTTTTGGAACGGCGTTCAATGCGTCGCAGAGAGTGCAATCGACGGAGCCGCCTGGAGCAAAGTTCTTTGTTAGGGCGATGGGTCTTATGCCAGATCATACAGCGCTCTGGAAGGATAGTTTGCTTGCGATTGAGGTTTTAGCTATGGTTGGGTTGTATCTTTATTCTATCGACGAGAGGGAGTCTGCTCACGTATATGTAAGTTCACCTCCCATTTGTTCTTGGAATTGACAATTTGACGTGTGGTAGCTTGGCCAAGCAATACGGATTGCTCAACTTGAAGGTTTACATACACAATTACCAGACAACGAACTAGGCAGTGAAACCGTTACTCGCTGTCGCGATCTATGGTGGACGCTATATATCATGGACCGACATTTTTCATCTTCGCTAGGATTACCCATGTCAGTACAAGATAGCGATATCTCGACGCCCGTTAATCCACCGAATATTGGATCACAAGACGACAGCGCGCGAAGTCTACAAGTGAACCTATCCCATCTATTATCGGTCATTTTAACAAGTAAGTCAAACTCGTCACTGGATTGGGGGTTAGGCTAACTGGGATAGCGTTGTATAAACCTGAGAAAACACCGCTTGACCAATTCCTCGAACAGACAAGAGCTATTCTTCATACCTTGGCTCATCACGCGCAGGAGATTGAAAAGATTATATCGATGAAATTTCGGAATTCGGTTGATACTATGCCAAGAGGGACAAAGTATATAACACTACTGTATCATCAAGTAAGTTCCTCCCAACAGTTTCAGAGTGGTGGGAAGTGCTGACCATCTCAGTGTGTAATAGTAGCGACACGTCCACTCCTCCTCTCTGTCCTCAAAGAACGTCTCGACATCCTCGGTCAACCAGGCGATGAAAACTCGGAAGCCTTTCTCGGTCAAACAGCTGCTGTTATATCAACGGGTATCAAATCAGCTGTCAAGACTCTTCAGATTCTTACAAGCGAATACAGCCTGCTCGGTAAGTCCCCTCCCATTCCGACCATCATCCGTTAGCTTACATATATACACAGAGGTCTTCCTCCCGTACGATCTAGAATTTACATTCGGCGCAGCCCTCCACCTAAACATGGCAGCAGCCCTCTTCCCTGGCGTAGCAGACGACCAAAACAGCCGTCTCCAAGTGCACCAACTCCTCGACAACATGATCGCCCGTGGCAACCGCCTAGCAAGCGTTCGAAAACAAGAGCTCGTATACCTAGAAGCTCAATGTCAAGAACTTGTGGCACAGGTGCAACAGCAGGGACTTCAAACACTTTCTTTAGCAGTGACGGATGAGACGGACTCGGAGCTGGCGAGAAAGGCGGATGAGGAGTTACTGGAGACGATGCAGGGTGGGAGTGATTTGGAGTTTTTGGATAATATTGGCATTTCGTCGGAGGAGTTTATGAGTATTGTACAGCAGATTGGGGATCCGGATATTATGCCGGAGAATATGCTTACTTTGGAGTAGGGGTGGCATTTTGTTTATATCCAGAAAAGCGTAGAATTGAGAATTGAGAATTGAGATTGTATTTGTTAGCCTATATCTTGCAGTATCGAAGTGAAATTCACGTGAAGTTGTGCTTGCTTCGTCATCACCATATCACCATGACGGTTTGGACGTAACAAATAGGGAGGGTACTGTCAATGGCAGCTGCGGTTAATTAGGTGCATATTTAGGCGGTCTATTGTTTAACAGTGAATGGGAGATAAGATGCCATTCATTATCTGCGCATTACGCGTCTGTGAATAGCAAACAATAGCAGTGACAGCAACTGGCAGCAAACACTTAGAATTTCATCTCCACCATCGGCCTTCGACCTTCCATCTTTCTTTCCTCTCTCATCTCAAATCATCTCTTCCTCAAACACTCACCACTAACGACACCAAGACATTTATCCTCAAACAACCTCAAGATGCCTAGTCCTTCGCCCAAGCCATCCTCGCCCATCCCCTGCGCGCGCAGTCGCGCCCAAACCCTCGACAACTCTTGGCCACCCGCCAACAACCCAGAGCAAGGCCCCTTCCTGCCTCTGCAACCACTCGACAACGTTCCCTCTGCCGCTTATCTCGATACTCCCGAGATATTCCAGCCGACCGTCAGCACCGGCCCCCTCCAGCTCGTCGACTCGATGCGCCTCCAGACAATCCACGATACCAACTACATCCCAGTCGGCCTGCGCGTCGTAGACCCCAACGGCACAAACAACGCCGGCAACGTTTACGCTCCTCTTCCCATCGGTAACTACAGCACCGGTATTGCGTTCAGTATCGGCCATGGAGAGCGTATGCAGGATGTTTATGAGCGGGCGGTGCAGATTACCGGCTCGCAGAGGATCATGGGAATTATGTTTGCGCCCGGTTCTGACCAGGGTACTGTCAGGGATGTGGATTGGAGCTTTCTAAGCCCGCCTGTGGAGGATGTTTATTCTGATACGGGACGGGTTGATCGGGAGAGGCAGGAGATGGAGATTGACCTTTCAGTTGTTGATCACGATCTCGAGACCTTCAGGGCTCGCGAGGAAGAAGAGGTCAAGGCTGGAGAGACCAAATCTGCAGGGACCGAGACATCTGGAGAGCCTGAAGTCGAGGACACTGGTATCAAGCTTCATCATATGATCAAGGAGATGATGCTGGAGGACAAGAAGGACAAGGAGGACGCGAAGTGAGCGATCACTGGAAAATGGAGGGTCATCACGAGGTCATGGAGGCAAATGGGAAGCTTTGGAGGACATTATTGTAACCACAGTACATGCAGTCATGTATCCGCGCCACAGCAAGGGTTTTCAAGGGTTTGGTCTGTTTATGGCTGATTGGCCCTGGGGAACGGATAGAGACAAGGAAAAGTTTGCTTTATTACAGAAATCTTACGAAATGCTCTACCTATTTCCATTGTTTGTCTCATGCTTTGTTGTTTGTGTAACCACCTTTGAATTGTGTTGTACAGCCATGATGGAGCGATATCTTATCAACGATGGTACATCCTCTCCATTTCGTCCCGATTTCCTTCACGATTCCGTGGATATAGCTCTAGACACCTATCTCGGAGACTCACTGAGCCCATGTCCCTGATATATACCGCAAACGCCTTTCATCCGTACATGTATTATATCTAGCTCGGTCATCAGCCACAACAAACGATATCATCACCAGCCTCCTTTAAGACCTGGTTTCCCCTGGTCGGGAATAAGTGCCCACTGAAACTTGGCACATTTCCCTTCAAACGATTCCTTCTAATCAAACATCATCCCTTTCGCTTAATCCGCGGCTGGCTCAAAGACTTGAAACCTCAAACAGACCTCCTGTCTATCGGTCGCTCACATCAAACAACTCATCCAGCTTCCATCACTACTTAATCCCGACATCCTTCGCTTTTTCTTTTGGACAGACTTGGTCTTGTACACCTCAATTTCAACTTTTGGCTTGTATCATCGAGTGGTTCATCCAGCAGCGGCAGCAACAACGACATCGAAGCGATACGATACTCTTTCTGTCCTCACTTTATATTTTGGCTATATCCTGGTTCAGGTAAGTCCCCACCAGAGTCTGCATCCTCTCATCCCAACTCACCTCAAGTTGCAGGCTCCTAGATCCAATCTACCACGTCACCATGTCCTCAGCCTCAACGACCTCCGAATCCACCCTCCCGGAGCGAACCACCAAGCCCCGCGAAGACCACGTCCTCTGGACCTGCAAGCATCTCAAAGACCTACTTGACGACTCTTACTGCAACAAACTCAACGGAATGCTGGACAAGAAATGTCTTCGCTGCAAGACCAAGCGAGATGTCAACGCTGTAGCTGTCAGCAGGACCCGCAATGATATCGGGAAGCTTGTTGGGATGAGTCCGGAGGGTGTCGAGATCTGGGAGTATGACGATGGAAAGAGTACCACTTTATAGTAGCAAGGCTGTTCTACAACTATGGCCTTACTGTTTGACGATCGTTAGATTTGGATTCGATTCAGGATACAATTCTGGCTTGGAATGGCTGCTGGGAGGTTTCGTGGTGAAGGAATGTCTTTGGCTGTTTCGCTGGCGAACAACTGTCTGATTAAGAAGAGTAGCACTCCCTGAATTGATGCTATTTTGCAGACTCTGATGCGTTGTGATAACCCCACGAATCGCCTGAATCATTCCTGTTCTAACATTCGATCGCACTTAACCGTGTATAAGTCCCTACTCATATCCTCCTAACCACTCATTTCTCATCACACCCTCGCACACAAGAAATTACCAACACTCTCAATCACACAAAATACCTATCAAGTCAAACCTACCTCGAAAATCAACAATGGTTCAAAGTAATAACCAGTCCTTGCCGAGCGACGCTTGGAACTACCGAGCGCGCATCAATGACAACCGTCATGTCATTCCTCGCGGTTTCTTATGGACCTGTTTCGAGTGTCGCGCGAGTGGCAACGGAATAGAGGCGACCGAATGCATTGAGTGTCACATTTTGCGCAGCATTGGCATCGTGGCTAAGAGTGCTGATTCGGACACCATTTGGATGCTTACATTTAGGGATCCTGACGGTAATGAACATTGGCAGTGTAGTTGCTGCATTTAATAGTGTATCATAGTATAGTTCAGAAAATAACAGTTATTCACTACAATAGCAGGACCTTTGGTATAACACTCCTTGACTCAAGTACTCAACGCTTGTGTATCCTGTGACCACCGTGACATGTCTATAAGCTCCGTCTCTTTTCCTCTTTCTTAAAGCATTTTTCCCAACAATCGTACACAAAACACACAAAACACCAAGTCCAATCTATCTCAACCATCAAAAATGGGTCAAAACATCAGCCAAACCTACAGATACAACTCTGTAGACCTCGTCGAAGACAACAGTAACCTTATACCTAGGGACTACACTTGGGGCTGTAGGGATTGCACTCAGTGGGACAACAAGATTTCCAACAAAGAATGCAGGAACTGCTGGCGTGGGCGAAGTTATGGCGTCGTGGCTGAGGGACCTTTGCATCAGGGCGAATGGAGGTTGGTGATGAAGGATCGTGACGGCAATGAATACTGGGTACCTCGTGATTAGTTGCAGTATTTTCTAGTGGATAGAAGACGTGAATGGCAGTTATTTGTGGTGATAGTATTATCTCTTTGGCTGAATCAATGCTGTCCACTCTTCGCAGTGTTCATATAAGGAGTCCCATTACCCCCTCTTCCGATACCCAGAGCAATCCTGAACAACCATAACAAACAGAAGCAATGGACCAAAGCCAGAGCCTACCACGCGACGGATACACAGCTGTATGGGGAGTCGAAGACAACCGATACGTCGTCCCTATTTTTTACAAATGGGTTTCCATGAAATGTGGTTGGTGCGACAACAAGATGGAGAACATCGAATGCAGTCGCTGTCGGGTCGAACGTGTATTCGGCACCCTGGCTGAGGAATGTCTTCCTGGTCCTCTGAGTAGCATAGTGTGGATGATCAGGGACAAGGATTACAATGGTAACGAAAACTAGGAGTGGTTCGTCACATGTTAGACATGATCCCCGATTAACTCAGGTGCTAGAGCATCTGCAATTGTTATATAACACTGACGTTGCAGTATAGCTAGATAGTGACGCTCTGTGTCCTCTCATAGGATCGGAACCGGCATTGAACAACACAAATACAAACAAAGAAGAGTTATCACGACTGATCTTTATTTGCATTATTCGTTATGAAATAATTGTCATACTGAGCAATAATTCATAAGTAGTTACTGAAACATTCACTTCTAAGCATTGATGGTGTACTCGTTGTATTATTCATATAACTAGCCATCTCACCCCTCTTCCTGCTCCATTGCTCAACCTGAAATCCTAGAAATACCCTACCAACTCTAAGTAACAGAAACAATGGGTCAAGTCCCAAGCAAAGGTTTCGAATACAACTCCAGGCACCGCTTGCAAGACAATAGCCTTTTGATCCCCCGCGATTATCGGTGGGCATGTGACAAATGCGGCTACTGGGAGAACAGGATCAAACAAAAGGCCTGTAAGCAATGTAATAACGGGCGTATGTACGGTACATGGGCGGATCGTGCTGGTCGGCTTGGTACTTGGAAATTGAAGTTGAAGGATAAACGGGGGAATGAGTTTTGGGAGTTTAGTGAATACACTTAGGAACAGTGAACTGCATGGAGGATGGTGATGAATACCTGGTGCTACAGTCTTGGTGAAGGAGTGTCCAGCTGTAGGCTTCAGTGGCGGATGACTGTCTTCAGGAGCAGTTGTCCACAGTGCTAGTATCATCTCATCACGAAATCTCCCTGATGAATAAAAGCTGTCCACACGCCATCGTCTTCATATAAGTAGCAATGTCACACCCCTTCTCGCTCCAATATCCAACACGCCTCTACACAACTCCAACAATCAGCACACCCTCACAACTATAACACCAACTCTGACAACACGCAAAAATGGGTATGGGTCAAAGCAAAAGGAAAAGTAAAAGCTCGAGCAAGAGCAAGAGCAAGCACCGCGTTGGAGACAACAGCCATATTGTACCTAAAGGCTCTCAATGGACTTGCAGAGACTGTGCCTGCGGAGGGAACAGGATTGAGGACAGGCGCTGTAGAGAATGCTCTAGAGGGCGTCGTAGGAGAACCTATGCTAAACACCCTGATCAGTATGATGGGTGGACGTTGGTTGATAGGGATTCGCAGGGGAATGAGAAATGGGAACGGGAATGGACTGAATAGCGAATTTCACCGGGAGCGGTGGACAGGTGATTCATTTGTCCTCCATGGAGGGTTTGGGGAGGAAAACAGGGAACAACGGCCGTGTTTAGATAGGAAGGTGATTCATTACTAGATAGCAGTCTATTTCTCATGATCAAGAGAAGCATTCAAGGCGTACTACGTCCCTGTTCTTCTTGAACCACCAACAGCCTGTACCATGACTATTCTATAGATATTTCACAACCGCCTGGACCGAATACAGATCCAAGCATCTACCCACCAAAGTGTGTATCAGTTCTGGCATCAACTCTCAGCTGAATCAAAATAGCGATCCAAGACCCCGAAGACCGCCCAGACCACACCAAGTGGTTCTGCACCAATATTGGACGCCACCGCGTCAACAAGATCACGAACAAATATTGCGGTAAATGTCGACGCAAACGCTGCGTTAGGACTAAGGCTATGAATGACAAGGGAGAAAAACTTGGAGAACTGGCTAAGGTTGATGATGGTGTTGAGGTTTGGGAGTATAAGGCTGAAGAGTCAAACTCTACCCACATCTAGTGTTGCAGGAATGCTTTTGGTGTAGTTGATGTTGTCTTTCGATGCAAATTCTTGATCAGTAGTTTGGCTTTGCCTCTTTCAGAATACAGTCTTCATTGAAACTCTTGAGCTTTGTTATCTTGCTCTAGTACTCAGTCAATGTTAAAACCTTGTGAACATGGAACATTCAATTGTTCTATAGCCTGTGACTGCCAGGTCCATTGTCCAGTAGATGTTCACCCGCACAAGTATCATGATACCGAAAGCCACTTTTGCAAATACTGAACAGAGATTACTGTTGCTTTTCTGTTATCTATATCTATTGCTTTCCCTTCTAACAAGCTTTCTCAATCACAGCGATCTGCTGAACCACAACGATAATTTTCACAAACATAACACATAATGGCCGTGATCACGATGGATAATGACAAATCCCTCAACAAGGTGCGTCCTGACCATACCCGCTGGGCCTGTAACCAACCAGTCAAGAATCCCAGCCTTCTTGACAAAGCGCGTGGCAAGAAATGTCAGCGAATCAACAACATGCATGTTGATATCTGTAGTACCTGTTGCCGCAAGCGCGATGCCGGAGCTATTGCTCTGAATCGAGACTTCGAGAAGCTTGGTGAGCTTGTTACTCACACTGTTGAAGGTAAGGAGATTTGGCGCTATGAGGTTGAGTATCCTGGTCCTGAGAAGAATCATTATTGGACTCTTGATGAGTGGTAAATCCAGATGCAGAGTGGTAGAGGCTAGAGAGGCGGCAATGAAAGAGTGCCAGGTAGGTAAGTGTGATTAAGAGGCAGGAATAGCGAGCAACTGGTCAACGTTACCGTAGACATAGTGAATAAAAGACACATTGACGTCCAATGCAAGTAACCGCATTGTGATTAACAGATAAACAAGAAGTGTGCCTACTGCATTGCCGTGTAGCACCTAGTTTAAAACCAGCATGCATTCCAAGGTTATTGTTGAGAGCAGAACACAGGTCAATCGTTCTTTCGGCCAAGGCATCGTATATTTCAAAGCTACCTACTATCGTCAAATATACCCAAATCGTTTAACAATGGGTTCATTGGCTTATATGTTCGAAACACTGTTGCTGTATTTGCTGACGGCACTGGGTCTTGGCACTATACTATTGCTATGCCTTAAGACTATTCTTTTTATAATGGATCCATTCTTCCGACACCTGAAAATGGGCAACGTTAGCACATCTTGAAATGTTATCCAAATCAGCCCTGACCATTGTTCAGAGGCTTGCCTTTCCAGAGACACGACTTGAAGGACTTTTGACAGAGGAGGAAGTCTGCATGTATGTTCTTGATTTGGATCGGTGAACGGGGAACAAGGGTCTTTGATCTGGTGTTCATACATTGAATAGCTGAGTTGTTTGCTGTTATAGAAAACTGATAAACAGCAGAACAAGCGATATTAACAATCCACCTTGTTCCTACAATTCTTTGTATCGGCTTTTGTGCAACATATATAAATACAAGCAACTATATGTCCTCCCATTCAATAGATTCACATTTTACAATTACACAAACAGATCAACACTTGAAAAAAAATCCTTCAGGTATACTAGACAAAACTCTAAACATGTTGAACATGCACGATAACCAGCCTATCCTTCGACCCGTAGCCTGGCGGTGCCGAGAACTTGTCCCTGCGAAGGTTGGACTCTACCGCACTCGATGCGAAACGAACAACGATTGGGCGAACGCAAGTTGCGCAAAATGTAAGAAGAACCGTGATGTAGGTGCACAGGCCATGGCACGAAACGGAGGGTGTTTCAAGGTTGGCGAACTCGTAGACATAGATGCCATGGGGAAAGAGATTTGGGACTACACGACACACAAAATCATTTGTCCTTGATTTTGATAATTAGCTAGACAGCTTTTAGCTTAGACAGTACTCCTTCCCATTTCCCAGAATTCATTCTCATACAAATTATTTCCCAGGGGACCCCGAAACGCCAGAAATCTCCTCCTGCTTCTTATTCTCGCCCCTCGGCACCCTGGGATTACGATGCTCCCTATGCTCGAGATTATCAGGCTCCCTCTTGGTATAAAGACCCGTCACATTGCTCGCGACGCGCGTATCCTTGGTTTCGTAGTCGGTACCAGTTCCAGCATCTCCACCACCTGTTCCAAACGTGCCTTGTAGCTTTTGGCTAACTTTACCGGTGGATGAACCGGGTGCTCCGATGACGCCGTTCGAGCCGGTTTTGGCGGGATCGATGTCCTTTGATTTTGGGCCCAGTTTGTAGACGGCGAAGCCGAGGAGGGAGAGTCCGGCGATGGCGGGGACCATGGCCTTGCGCTTTTGTGCTTCAATATGTCTCGACATATTGTATTCTGGGTTTTGTTGTTTGAGGGGGAGAGGTGATCGTTGGAAGTCGAGTTATTAAGAGAAGAGGCTGGATGTAGTAGATGGGTGATGTTGACCTTGGTAATGTAAATTGAATGTTGAGATAAATAAATCACAATAGTGACATCAGAATAGGTTTAAATTAGCTCCCTTGCTTCCATGGCGGGAGCTTGTGATTAATATGTAAATACTCCAAGTCTATGACGGAATGACTTTTAGTCTTTGCGGTGATGACGGGATGGCGTTGTGGAGTTTTTGCATTCAGAATCGACGCCAGATCTGCATTGTAAACAAATGGAATGTGCAGCAGAAGCAAAAAACAAGGTAAGACCCTCGTAATGTTTCTATAGTTTTACTCAATTGGTCGCGACATCAGGAACGCGTTGTCGTGAATTGAGTTTCATGACTTCATCACTCGATGTCACGTGCTCGGTCATTCAACAATCGCTTCAATCTGTTATTTCGAAATACCTTTCAATATGATTACTGATTACTTATCATGTTTATTATTCTATTGAAGTCTTGTCTTTGGGGAAGTGAAGTTGAACCGTCAGTTGGCGGCGGGAATGGCTGGGGGCGGGCTTGTTTCACTTATGCCGGGAAGGCCAGGGATGATCTTATGCAAGGCAGCTCGAGTTTCCTTCCTATATTCTAGGCTAGAGTGCTGATGACAATCTATGTATAACAGTGAGCTCGAGTAAGAAAGTCTATCTGCAGCGTCTCTAAGCAATGAGCAACACCAAGTCTCGCCTCAAGGTCAACCTATCGCAGGTCTACATGGCTCTTTCCACACTTGCCACAGGCGTCAAAACAATCAACCTCCTTCGGAATAGGCTTAATATAATAGCTCCAAACATCTTCCCCAAGTTCATTCTTCGAATGGAATTCTCCCAAAGTCGCATCATCGTCCCTCATGGCCAAAGCATTATCTGCTTTTCCCTTGCCGCAACAGGTACAAAGCTCTACTTCCTTGAGCTGTTCCGCGGTGCAGTTCTTGCACTTCCAGTGGGTGTGGTCAGTACGAGGTTGGCTGGTAACTATTCGTGCTGTGGAAGGTGGCATAGTTGATTGTCGAAGACGTTGTAGATAATGATAGATTGCTCTGTATAGTGATAATAAAGGGTTAATTGCGAAGTGAGAGCTTGGCTGTATAGTGTCAATGCAGATTTGGATGGGCTAAGGGAGAAGAGGAGTCCATGTTTTTATATCCATGAGGACAAGAGGTAGGAAATTGGCACTGTCGTGAACTACTCGGGGTCTGCCAGTGACACATCTGATGAGAGATAGGCACTGTCGCAGACATCATGGTTGTTCTTCATTCACAATAGACGAGCAAGGTCATGTGTTGATGTCGTCGTCTAGTGCTTTACCATCTATTCAAAGTTCTCCAAGATTCAGTTCTTGAAGGTGCACTTAACAAAAAGAAATACAGTGATCAACTGTTCAATCAACAATAGTCTTATCTATCTCCTCTCATCCTGAAGGCCTCCCAATATTCAGAACATCCTCAGCCTCATACAAATAATCCCAGACCTCCTCCCCATTATCATGATAGACACCCAAAAGGATACCCACTGTCTCTCCCGCGTCGTTCAACGCCTCAGCCCCAGCTCCGCGTGCAGCATTGCAGCATTGCAGAAGAAGCACTTTTTGTCAGACATGTTATTCTGATTGTTGCATGCTTGGAATGTGTAGCACGGACGATCGGCTTTGCAGCGCCAGCCCGTGTGCTCTTCTTATTTCTTCTTTACAGATTTCTTAACGGACATTGTTATGGTTGTTGGCTTGAATACTAACATGGTGGACGAAGGAAGGTATTTATACTATTCGTTATGATGTGACTCACGATATCACCTTTGTTCTGTGGCACACGGTTCAAATTCTGCAATCTTCAGCCTTGTTCTTCCAAGTATCCCTTTGAAAGTTTGCACGTTAAGAACGTAGTATTTTATGATTGTTAGCCTTGGAGTCTATCTGTGCGCCTGAACAAGTTCTTTAACTCTCCGGCGCAGCCTTATCCGCCATCATGCTACCCATATCCCTACAGGAGACATAATAAGCATCAAAAATAATACCACACCTCCACTTCCCTGTCATTAGCTATTAAAACCCCCAGTGTGTTTCCTTCGTCATCTTGAGCCTCCGACTCGGCTACACGCTCATTTCCACAGCTAGTACAAACTGCTGTTGATACGGAGTGCTTAGTGTCGCATCTTTGGCGCGTCTCTTGGTTCATGATCTTTTTACAGAGCCAGTGCGAGTGCTCTGGCTTGAGTGTGGTGGCTATCGCGATGATAACGTCAGGCATTGCTGCTTTTCGTGGTGTTGGTCTATACTTTTGAGTTTAGGTAGCATATTGTGAGTTGTTTGAGAATGTTTAGAGTCGCAGTCAGACATGTAGAATGGAGGCACGGTCTAAGTGCTAGGTTTATATCTTTATATACCTGGTAAAAGTGAGCTGTCGGTGATTGCAAGAAGATTTGATATCGCATCCAATCACCGACAGCTCATCTACTCTGTACTAGTCTATACTTCTTCAGACCTCACTAGCGAGTGTATGCACCAGGTACCTATCTGTGCTATTCACGACTCTACAACGGACGTATCTCATTTGTGCCATCAACGACCTGACAGGTAATGTCAACCAGATAAACATCAGTTTAGCCGCTCTTCATTTATTTATCAGTACCTATCTCAATAGCCCATCTATCCACATATTTGAAGTTGCTTTCTGAGTCCAATTGTGCAAAGCAATAATAAAACCACTTTTCCTTTCCCACCACTTCATCAAAACCAAGACACTTCCCCAGAACGTCCTCGCTGTTATTGAGAGCAACACATCCTTCACCACGTTGCTTGTTGCAGTTGCTGCATTCGGGCACTTCCATTGGCATTACTGCCGGACATTTGAGTCCAGTTAGGACTTCCCTTTGGCACTTCCACTTGGTGTGATCTGGGCGAGGTTCAGTTCTCTCTTCGTGAGCTGGTTCGGCCACAACTGGTTCGGACATGATGATGATCCTGAACAATATAGATCTAAGTTTGTAGATATTTGTCTTTTTATAGCATACAGGTATGATGTTAGAAAGGAAAAGCGACTGGATAGCGAGTGTTTTATAGACATTGTTTACACATAATCACGAAACAGAACTGTTATCTGTTTGCCAGTATGTATCCCCACTGCCCATTTATTCCATCCTTATTCTTTGTTAATCAGTCCTATTGCACAAGAATAACAAAACTACTTTTCTTTTCCCACTCTCTCATAGCATTCTCTGTCAGTCAAGCTCAATAGCCTCGTCTCCACGCTCCAAGCCACAGTCGTGGCATTCGTTCACTTCAATTGGCATTATCGCCAGACAGGGGAGTCCGATTACCACTCTATTGCACTGCCATTTGGTGGGGCTAGGGGGAACTTGTATTCTCGTTTCGCGAACTTCTTTGGACATGATGATAATAGTGTAAGATGTAGATTGTCCTCGTTGCTATAATATATGGTACTGTTGCGTCTGTGGTATGTTTAGTGTGGACAAGGAGAAGCGAATGGATGGTAAATGTTTTATAGACGATGTTCACGTGTATGGTCATTACTAAATTGAAATTCTCGGCTCAGATAAGACAAGGAATATTACTCACGGTCGTTTTACGTGGCACTCCAGGGAACACAAGATGAATTGATGGGTGATAAACGTCAATCCCGTCACAACATAGCAGTTGGTAACTTGGCAACTGACTGCACTGAATCTATCTACCATCTGCTGCCATTCTTGCTCACTAAAATCGGATGCATCCATGGACCTACTAGTCACTACCCATTCCCAGCTCTCAGCATCTATTTATTGCCATTAGAAGTAACCAAATAAAGCCACACATCCTTTCCATCCTCGGCGTCAATCCAAGACCCTAGGACTTCACCTTATTCAGTAACAGCATTGCAGGTTCTCCCCCGCGACTTGCCACAAGAAGAGCATACCGCGTCTTTCAATTCCATCTTTCTCTGGCACCTTGATCCGTCTGCGAGTACCCTCCCGCAAATCCAGTGGGTATGGTCATCTCGGAGTTGGGTTGTGCGTTTGGGCTTTGTTTCGGACATTGTTGAGGTTCTGTATATTTAGAGATACTGTTGATTGTTGTAGGATATAATCCGCTTTGGTTGTTGTGGTTTGTAGTTTGATGGAGCTGATCAGTGTCTTATAGACGGGACTGACTTCGAGCAATCACCAGGCGAACATGGTGACACTGACGTAAAGTTCGAAATCATAATCACAGACTGCGTGACTCATAGTGATTGCCCGCTGTATCGCGACAAATACTCACATTACTTCTCTAATAGTCAGTTGTTGAATGTTGTAACCGTAGCCGTCAGGTGTGAAGAGAGTACAGACTTTATTGTTTGCCCTTAATCACGGGTGATTAAAGCATTGGCATTGGTATCTCAACTGTACTAATACCACGACATACTGCCAACACTGCTTCTAGCAAGCTGTCTTCATCTGACACTCAAACAATCATATCGCTCATGTCAACACTTGGTGGCACAAAACTGATCCTGAGTACGAAGAAAGCACAAGCCCGCTATTTATGGATGTTGCACTGCCGCATGACTTGCTGCAAGGATACAAGAAACTTTTATCAGTAACACCTACTTTAGGCGCAGACTCTCACTCAAGATTTCTTGTCTTCTGGCTTCAGCCTCTGCGACACCAGCAAATACCTCGACGTCCAACACTGCGCGCACAACAGAAGCGCCGTTTCCGGACGCAAGATATGCAATTCCGTTGTCTTGCAGCACCTTTGCAAGCAATCCTTCGGTACGTCCGCAGCCTGTCCACCCGACAAGACGTGCGAGATGCATGGCTGAAACAGCATACACCTGATAAGCGAGCCACATCCACTGGACGACCTCAGGCGCCCAGGCCAGCGCTATAAGCTCAGCTGGGAACTTGAGTGCGAACACATAGACAATGACAATGTTGAATATTTCCATGGTGCGATCGAGCGAGGTGGCGCGCAGCGGATGGCCGTAATGACGCGTGAAGGTGTGTAGAATATCCGGATGGGAGGTTTCAATAAGAGAGATACCAGTTTTGGGGTCCAGGAGCTCGAAGAACTGAAGCTGAGATTCTGCAGGAGGTGTCGGCTCAGGTGGGAGTTGGCCGATCGCAGGTGTTGGGTCGAATGTTTTCGGTAGTAGATGATCCAGCTGGAAGTCTTCCCTCTGTACCGATACTGCAATAGCGAGCAGCTTGAAGACTATCGGAATTCCAAGCAGTGCTGTGAAAACATAGTAGCGCCCTATCGCACCAACAGCAACGGCAACACCGACGCTAACCAGCTCGCTCAGCAGCACACCGAGCATCATCCAAATAGTGAAATGGTTCTCCTTTATCACGGTTGCCATCTGAGGTAGCGCATCCACTGCTATGACTTCAAGCCGCAGTCGGAACACAGGGTGTACTGAACGTTTGACCTTGCGCATAACCTGTGCTTCGATGCCTGGCGTTGCCGCATTTCTGGATACTGTTGTGGATGCTTGCGTACCTGGCTTGATATGCCTGAGCACCTCCACCCAAATGCAGTTACGAGACTGCTTTTGGATGTTTCTCTCCTTTTCTGTGGCTGTGTTGTGGTGTGAATAAGCCACACCTCGGTCAGGAAAGAATGCAGTACCCAGCATGGTACCAACAGCGCGGCCACTATAAAGACCGTGCTGACGAAAGTGGTCAAGTACACCTATCGCAGCGCGGTGTAATGGTCCGCCCATGGGCGTCAGTATCGTAAGCTTGACCGCCGTGGTAAAGTCCAAAACATTGTAAAAGCGCTGTGGCCAGAGGATGCGCTCGAAAAGAGACTCCTCGGCAACTTCAGCGCCAACATAGCCAATAACCGAACCGACCGCAGCGATTATCGCTGCCATTTGATATGGTAAGGATAATTGCTCAAATTTAGGTATAACGTAGAAAGAAAGAGATTGAATCTATGTACGTCTGGTAATGCAGGCAATAGCGCCTTTTCTAGCATCTCTGCGTTATGTATTGTAGTAAAACCAGCTTTCAAGCACAGCCTCTTGTATTTGGAAGCATTTGCGCAGAAAGACTCTCAAGTTGGGGCTTTTTCAGCTTCTGTCAGCACAGCCTCCGCCATTTAAAAGATGACATGCCAATAAGCCATGTATTTAAGGCTTGGCCTGGTGCACTGCCAAGGCCCTTATGAGCCTTGCTCACCAATCCTTGTTTTCCCACCAAAGCTTACACGTCGTATATGCTCTGCTCTTGTTTTATAGACCTGCCTCTGGGCTCACAAGGCAGAACCACGCCCCCAGAAGGATCCTGCCTTAGCCTGCGCTTCACATCTTGACTCGCCTGCTGTCTTCGCGCCTGGTTTTGTTCATCGAGTCAGCCGGGTGGCCTTTTATTCTCATGATCTTATACCGTATCATTTGCCTCTTTTCCCAAAATCCTTTCGCAACCGGATTTTTATTGAGATAACCGAGCCTAGATCTTGACGACAAAGATGGGGCAACAGATGTCTTGGGAAGAGGAGGACGTTTTTGACGATTCATGCTCCTGGCCACGGAGATTACTGCATGTGGAAAGCTGGACTTCCTATCCATGGAAGCAGGGTAATCGTTACAGGGGAGTCTACAAACCGAAATACGTCGCTTTATCTTATACCTGGGGAAGATGGCGTCTCAAGGAGGGTGTTCAAGAGTCTGTTGAAGCCCTGAACATAAGAAATGTTCCATGGAAAATTCCAAGGGTCGACCCTCAACACTTTACTGTTGACGAGTTTCAAAATGCAATCATAGCCGCTGCGAATGGGGACTCTGGAGATAGGAAGCAACCAAAGGTCAAGTTTGTTTGGCTTGATGTTGCTTGTATCGACCAGGAGGATGAAGACATCAAGCACGCCGAAGTGAGCCGCCAATTTACCATATTCAACGGCGCACAACGCTGCGCAATATGGCTGGCGTCTACCAGCCCTATTTTTGCCAAGATTGGCATTTGCGACTTCCTGTCGATGCGCTCTCCTTTTACAAGCGTGTATATGAACATGACCTCTCCAGGCACAGACGGGGATGATATCGCTAAACACATGATGATCGGATACTCTGAGATGCTTCTGGCATCTACAACGACCATGATTGAGGATCCATGGTTCACTTCCCTCTGGACTCTGCAGGAAACATTCATAAGCCGAGATCAATCCGTATTCCTTTGCAACAATGGGGAAATTGTAAAGGATCATCGAGGAGAGGTTATAGGAATGGTAGACTTGATGGAAACCAGTTACTCTATCTTCAACTACCTATCCTCGCAACTGCACCTTATGGAAGGGTACCAAGATGTTCATGCCTTAATCAAGGATACCATCAGTCATATTGAGAGACTTGGCTTCCGTCAATGCTTCGTATTCCAAGAGATGGGCGCGTACTTTGCCGCGCGTCACAGGAAGGCAAGTCGATCCAAGGATAGAATCTATGGGATCATGCAGATCTTCGACATCAAGGTCGGTCAGCAAAACGACTTGCCTCAAAACGGTTCACAGGAAACATTGGAACTACTTGAGGATGGACTAGGGGCCGCATTAAACTTACAAAATCCAGTCAGGTCTCAGCTTCATGTTTTCACCCAGCCCGCTCCACTTGGGAAAGCCTGGCGTCCGTGGCAAGACCGTTGCGATGTGATAAGAGGTTATGAATTCATCGACATAATGGGGCCCACTGACGACTATACTGTGAAAATATCAACTAGAGTTGTGGATGGAATGACTTTCGGATACTTCCAAGGCGTCGTTTGTGGGTTCAAGGCTTTACATGATGCGACGACAGTACTGGGCTTTCTCGAGCTCCACATGGATTCTTTATATACCGATGACCCCTCGTTAGGAGATGCCTCAATAGCTCCCGCACAGGTTTGCGACACCCAATTCTATACAGATGAGGCTGCTGTCCGTGCAGGGCATTATAAGAGATCGGCACGCGTCCTTAAAGAGTTTCAAAGCAAAGGGTTATGCGTTCTAAGGCTTGGGCCGACGGTAGAAAACGTATTTTGGGGAATGCTCATTGTTCCAAACAAGATTAAAAACATCACGTATTGGCAAAGAGTAGGCATATGTCAATGGTTGGGAACCTACTCGGGTAGATCTGATCAATCAGGAATGGGTTTGATATCCGCACAGGATCACCAGAGCTATCGAGATTGTGTTAATTGCAAAGGTAGTGTATGGTATGGGTTGGAAGGAATATTTGGTTAATTATTGTAACTTCTCTTACTGCCTTTTGTCCCAAGCATTGGACTTTATCGTATCATACCCCCGACTTGGCCGCCGGCGTGCTCTCACTCCTACTATGAGGCTCGATTGGAAAAGTCTGCAACTCAGGATCAACACCCCCATAAACTCTCTCCCATCTTTCCTTAAGACCATCGGGAGTCTCCCACGCATTCTCCGGATCCCTCAACCACAGCCTCAGCAAATGTCGTCTGTACCTTTGTTAGTCACTCACTCCCCACGCCAATAAAAGGCTAACTTACTGCTTCTCCTCACTATCCCTAAACCCATCCCTCGCATGGAAGATAGCCAAGTTATTAACATACTGCATATCACCCTTTTGAAAGTCCGTGCTAACACTGAACCTTTCACCCAGGAAGTGCAAGGTATCTAGTGCTTCGGCTTGTGCTTCCGATATAGGTGCGAGATGGTTTCCGCGCGGGAGGGAGCCGAAGCCAACGTAGTAGCGACGGGCGTACTGGAGGAGGATTCGCTCTGGGTTCGACTGGTGGTAGATTAATGGGCGACTGGAGATTTTGTCTGTGTCGTTGACAGTTTTTGTGAAGCTGGATTCGTTAGTAGGAATAATCTAAGTATGGTGAGGGAGACGTACAGCTCTGCTTCCCAGTTTGCGCTCAGAGTGTGAATGAGATCTGGTCGAGTAGCTGCGATATGATTATACACACGCCACGTACTAGCCAAACGACTAGCTCCTCCCTCAGCAGCTGTATCAAGAGCAAACAACGATACAATATTGCCTGAGTCAGTGTGGAAGACCTGCTTATCAGCCGTGTAGGCCGGACTTCCGACTTTGACTTTGCCAGTAGAGGAGACATTCTTGATGTGGCCCATGACTACATCGGCGCGCTTTCCTTCAAAGTATGCATCTTGGCGACCGCGGATAGACCCGATGTGGGAGGACACGCCGGCGTAGATGATGATGTTTTCTTCGCGCGTATAGCGATCGGGGTTTAGGCCGCGGAGGACGAAGAAGCCGTGGCCGAAGTGTAGTTCGTGGGAGAGACGGCGGAGTTCGGAGTGGAGGGTTGGGAGAGGGAATGTTTCTTGGGAGATGTAACCCTTTGCAATGTTGAGAGCTATAATGTCAGTACAAAATCTGATGATGGGATGGAAAGAACTTACATTTGAAGTGTGCAAGGGCCTTGTCAATCTCATCAAGCTGCTCATTTGAGAAAGTGTATGTCCAGTTATACTTCTCAGCGACACTATCTCCATCCCAAACCAAGTCACCCTTGAGCTCTTGGGGAAACCCTTCTGGAAGTTCTTTGGTAAGAGTCTCTGTCTGAGTCCGGCGAGCTACGCGGGCTTGGTACTTGTCCCAGTCTGGATGGTAGGAGATGTCCGGCTGTCCAGGCGGAGGTTGAGCAGCTGGTGTCGTACCAAAGGTTACTCCTGAGGCAGGAGGATTGACAGTTACAGTGGCCATGGTTTATAATTGGTGTATGGGGTTCTTATCGTGGCCAGTTAATAGCTTTATTCTTGGTCACAAGATAATACTACTATAGCTATCCCCCTACTACTCTATATAATATAGACAGTTTAGAGAATCTCATAATTACACCATTCAGGATTTACTAACGCAATAATTACCCCTCAGACGAAAGTAGTCTTAAGAAGTATACTGATGTAACCAAAGGATGATCGCCAAGTGATGATGAAATTTAAGTGACTGCGGTGCAACTTGGCCCTGCATCACGACAACACTAGGTTGTAAGCACGCCATCCACCCGACGAATTATAACGGTCCGATTAAACAACAGCCAACGGCCAAGCAAATAAATGGATGAAAGAAATAGGAAGGTAGTCTGGCCTGCTAGTTGAATTGAATAGTGAGTAGTATTACGGAGGGTGATGGCGCGACCTTGGCAGTTATCACGTACTGCACCCACTCATCACCTAAACAGAATGTCAATCGAACTATGGTGTGCTTAACGACCCTGAATACACCAAATTATGCATTTTCCAAGCACTCAATCAATAATCTTACTCTTGGCAAAGGATACGAGTTTATGATAAAAGGTCCCAAGATATTCCTCAGTTCATTCACCCACCACCACCTCCTCTTCAACCATGGGCCAACCCTCTCAACAAGACTCCTCAGGCGAAGCCTCAGAGTCATCGTCCATCATCCACGACAACAACTTGACTTACGTCCGTCAGACAGCAGGTAATGGAACGTCAGGCTACCAAGAAGCCGTCGGCGCACCCGTCGAAACGCGCTCTCCGCTGGGATACCATGTTAACTGGTTAACCATCATCTTCCTCAACCTAAATCACATGGTCGGCACGGGTATCTTCTCTACACCAGCGACAATTCTTCGTCTCACAGGCTCTGTGGGACTGGCGCTTGTATACTGGGTCATTGGCTTTATCCTAGCCGTCGCTGGGTTGGCTGTGCATATGGAGTTCACCAGTTACTTTCCTAATCGCAGTGGTTCAGAGGTTGTATGGTTGGAGCAGGGTTTTCCGAGACCGAAGCATTTCTTTCCTGTTGCTTTTGCGGTGCAGAGTGTTCTGTTGTCGTTCAGTAGCAGTAATGCTATCGTTCTGTCGAATTATCTCTGGCGCATCGTCGGACGCGCGCCGGATCCTTGGGAATTGAAGGGTGTGGCTATCGCGGCTTATACATTGGCTGTTATAACTGTCATCGCGCATAACCGGTACTCTCTCTACGCCATCAACGTATTTGGCGCTCTGAAGCTTATTTTGCTGGTCTTCATCTCGATCTCGGGTCTTGTCATTCTTGGAGGTAACTTTGGTAGTATTCCAGACCCGAGTCTCAACTATCGCCATGGCTTTGAAGGGACTACCTCAAGCGGATACAATCTGTCGCAAGCAATGGTGAACATCAGTTTCGCATTCTCAGGTTGGCAGAATGCGTTCAACATGGCAAACGAGATCAAGAATCCCATCCCAACTCTCAAACGCAACGCAAGCGCCTCTCTTCTCATCGTCTTCGTTCTCTACTTTCTCTGCAACATCGCTTACTTCGCCGCTGTACCAAAGGACATATTCCTCGAATCAAGCGAACTCGCTGCAGCAGTCTTCTTCCGCACAGCATTCGGATCCTCAGCTGAATCCGCCCTCAACTTTTGTGTTCTGCTTAGTTCATTCGGCAATCTCCTCGCCGTCCTCGTTAGTCAATCTCGTCAGATCCGTGAGATTGCGCGACAGGGTGTTCTGCCTTGGACGGAGTTTTGGGTATCGACTAAGCCCTTCGGTACACCTGTTGGGCCGTATCTTTTGAAGTGGGCGTTTACCTTTTTGATGATCGTTGCGCCTCCGGCTGGTGATGCGTTCCAGTTTGTTGTTTCGCTGAAGACGTATCCCGAGGCCATGTTCTATTTTGCGATGGGTGTCGGCCTTCTACTCATTCGTCGTAGAAGAGCTAGATCCGGTACACCACCTTCTGACTTCCGAGCGTGGTATGCTCTTGTCATTCTGTACCTCTTATGCCAAGCGTACCTACTTGTCATGCCCTGGATTCCTCCCGTGGATGGTATCTATGGTGGAACAGTCAGTTTGTAAGTACTCTACTCCCTTCAGATCTTGCCGATGCTAACGAATCGCAGCCTTTGGTGCACTTACATGATTGTCGGAATTGCCATCATGGGTGTCTGCGGTCTTTACTACTACCTCTGGATGAAGCTCATTCCACGATTGAGAGGTTACAGTATTCGGTCTCAGGTCATTTCGGTTGATGATAATGGTGCCAATACGCACCGTCTCCTGCGTGTGCCCAACAATGAGGTTGCGGAATGGGATGCTACTCATGATGAACTTGGTCGTGATTTACCGCCTCAACGGATAGTGCACAGAAACACCGGTGGATCGGCGAAGTAGATTAGGTGCCGGAATGAAACACAGATGTGTACATAGCTTAATGCAAGTATATTGGTTGGGAACTTGGTCGTCAGCAGACATCGGGTCTGGAGCTGTAGTAGTGCCGATGTCTTCTCAACGATGTATAAGATGGAACGACCGTCTTCTTCCATAGGACCTTTACCAGGAGATTTCCATCGCCTTGTCTACATGATCTACAAACGACTCAGTCTGCATGGCTTATTACCAACGACTGCCAAATTAATCCTCCGATGTAGTATCAGCCTGTGCCGTTCCCAACAACCTGGGTTTGACTCTAAACTAGACAGATCAAACATGGAGGTGTTTGCAACATAACACTCCGCACCAGACTTACCCACAAGTTATACCTAAAAGAATGGAGAGAAGAAGTGTCGCAATCACAAGCAGGCCTAACGAAAGAAGAAAGTATTCCCCGCAGGCGGGTGACAGTTGTTAGCGGGGTGGGGGATTAAGGTAGTGGGGTTCGTTCACTGAAGCTCCAACAGATGCGCTAATTCCGCTATTCTTCGGCGATGCTTCAGGTCGTCCTCTTGACGCCCTTAACAAAGGCCTTTACACTGCACAGCATCAGCCTCTCACTTGTACGACAACATGAATTCCACTGTCACAGCTGAAGGAAGCCATTTTCTGTGTCAATCCGCTCCAATAGTGTCATGGTTCATTGTCACCAGCTCGGCTCGTCCCCACCCCCATTCAAGCTTCAAGTCTTCAACCCCACCCCCACAGCCATGAGTGCGGAGAGAAGACCACCCCCCTCATGAACTCGAATGACATCCTTTCACGATGCGAAAGAGGAGAAAAGACCCTTTACTCGGTCCATCGGTATACTTCGGACCGAGATGACACGCCAAGAAAAAGAATATCGGTAAAAGATGTAAAATCCCCGGTCCTTTACAAGCTAAATAACCTCCTGCCCCTCCCTCATCCAACCTCAAACACCACGACACCTTCACAACTACCCTTACTGTATTCTTAGCAGGGTAACACCTCACAACCGCCCATCATGCCTACCCACGTCCACTCCATCGCGTCAAAAGACATCCACTCCCAAATCCAACACCTAATCCACGAACTAGTCAACATCAAAGACACAACCGGCGAATTCCTAATGACAATTCCCTCCGGCGAAATCATCGACACAAAAGGCTGGAACGACTGGGAATGGACCCACGGCGTCGGTCTCTACGGAATATGGAAGTACTACGAAATGACCGGCGATGACCAATGGCTCAAGATCATAGAGGATTGGTTCCAGAAGCGCTTCGCAGAGGGTCACAAGGGAAAGAACATCAACACCATGGCCGTATTCTTGACTCTGGCGTACGTTTATGAAAAGACGGGTAACCCTACTTATTTGCCTTGGTTGGATGCTTGGGCTGAGTGGGCTATGCATGAACTTCCAAGAACGAAATATGGTGGTTTTCAACATATTACCTACCTGGAAGTCAACGAGCAGCAGCTTTGGGATGATACGCTCATGATGACCGTTATGCCGCTGGCCAAGATTGGACTGGTGCTTAACAGACCAGAGTACGTCGCCGAAGCCAAAAAGCAGTTTTTGCTGCATATCCAGTATCTCTTCGATACCAAGACCGGATTGTTCTTCCATGGGTGGACGTTCAAGGAGGGCGGTCACAATTTCGCTGATGCGCGCTGGGCGAGAGGAAACAGCTGGGTCACCATCGTCATTCCTGAATTCCTCGAACTTATCGGCCTTAACGACTCCGACCCCATCGGATCGCATCTCATCTCAACTCTCGACGCACAAGTCGCCGCGCTTGCCAAAACACAATGCGAGAACGGTCTGTGGCGTACACTTCTCGACGTCCCCGAAGACGAAGGATCATACGTAGAAGCCAGCGCAACAGCGGGTTTCGCCTATGGAATTCTCAAGGCTGAGCGAAAGAGATATATTAGCAAGGAGTACTCTGATGTAGCAGTCAAGGCGATCAAGGCTGTGATTGAGAACATTAGTCCTGAGGGAGAACTGTTGAATACTTCTTTTGGAACGGGGATGGGTAGTGATTTGCAGCATTATAAGGATATTCCTAGGACGAGTATGCCTTACGGACAGGCTATGGCCATGATGGCTTTGGTTGAGTTTTTGAGGGCGTATAACTAGACACATGCTTTCCGTTCAAAGAAGTCAATTAAGGAATCCAATTCATTCTGCATTTGACGTCTGTATCTAACCACCAGCCTTGAATGTTCCAGTCAACTTCAAATCCCTCGAACTATCACCAACAGCAATAACGTACTCCCCATCCTCAACCCTCCAATTCTGCTCTTCGACATCCCAATAACTCAAATCCCTCCTCGTAAGCTCAAACTTGACCTTCTTGCTCTCACCCTTCTTGAGAGAAACTTTCTCAAACCCGCGTAGTACACGGACAGGATGGTCGACCTTGGACTCAGGGTATGAGAGGTACAACTGAGGTACAGCTTTGCCCTTGACTGAACCGGTGTTGGTTACCACGACAGAGACCGTGACGACCGTCTTCCACAAGTCTGGGTTACCGCCTTCTTCGCCTCCCGCTGCAGAAGGTGTTTGAGGTGTGTCGTAGCCTTCTGGGTAGGGATAATCGCCCTTCTTGATATCGTCTGCAGACTCAATGTAAGGATAAATCCACTTCTTCAACCGTCGAATATTCTTAGGCCAAAGACCTTCCTCAACATCAGGAATCTTATCATCCAACTTCGGTGGTTTGGCACTCAAAGCACCGCGCGATGCTGGAAGTTGCGACACGTCCCCTTTGACATCAATCTTCAAATCCTTATACTCAAAAGTAGTATAACTCAATCCATACCCAAACTCATACCGTACATCAACACCATTCTTGTCAAAATGGCGATAATCGATATACAAACCCTCGTTAAAATCCTGCTGTGGAATAACACCGTTCGGCAGGTACAAAACCTGTCCGCCAGGGCCATAATCTGCAAGAGCCTTACCAATCGTATACGGCAATTTTCCACTTGGACTCTCATCGCCAAAGAGAATACTAGCGATCCCATTGCCGCTTTCTTCACCGGGAAGGTTCGCCATGAGTACAGCTTTGATGCGCGGGTGATTAATCCAACTCTCCATAACAACGGGTCCAACAGCGTGAATAACAACGATTGTAGGTCCGCCGCAGTGATTGGCGACGTTTGAGATGAGCGCGTCGCCGCCTTTCTGAAGGAACAAGTCGTTGCGGTCTCCGCGGACGCTGTTCCATGAGAGATAGCCCTCTCCTGCGTCGGAGTTGGCAAAGACTAGGCACACATCCTGCTGCGTGATCTTCTTTGTGTTGTCGATCTTGTTGGAGAGGAACTCGCTGATGTCGACTTTGTCATTCTTGAATTCTTTTCGTAGAGCTTCGATTGGAGCGACGAGGAAGGGAAAGTCAGCTGCACCACTGCCCCAGCCTGAACCCAGTGTACCGTCGTTGCAGCCTTGGTCAGGGCAGTAATTGGGACCGTGTCCAGGACCAGCGTCTTCGCCAAAGATACCAATCTTGATCTTTCCATCTTTCTTCGACTCAGAATTGGCTAGCTTTCCCTTCCGACTCAAGGGAAGAACGCCCTCGTTCTTGAGTACAACAGTTCCCTCGATGGCAATCTGCCTCGCCAACTCAGCATGATCCTCCTGTACATCCACATACTGGTTGACGACTATTTCCTCTTGAGGCGACGGACTCCCTGGTGCAAGGACTCCCTTTTCCTCATACGTCCACGACGAAAAGTTCGGTCCCTTGTTATCATCCTTATCCTGGCCCAATTGATAGAACGACGCAACGATTCGCAGCGCCATGTCATTCAGTCGATCAACAGGTAAAGACCCATTAAGAACAGCTTGTGTCAAACGCGGTCCCCAAAGAGAGTCACCGTCCTGCCATTTAAGTCCATCGCCGGGCATACTCATATCCAATCCTGCAAGAGCACTCGCAACACCAGACCGTTGCGCCAACCAATCCGACATGACAAACCCCTGGAATCCCATCTCATCTTTAAGAATTCCATTCAAAAGCTTCGAGTTCTGACACGCGTAGGAGTTGTTGACCATGTTATACGAGCACATCACACTCGCAACACCAGCCTTGACAGCATTCTGAAACGGCCATCCGTAAATCTCATGAAGCGTTCGGTCGTCAATGTTGGAAGAAATAGCATTCGGAAGACCCCATTCCCAGGCTTGTCGGAAATGCTCTTGTTCATTGCCGATGAAGTGCTTGATCGTCGCCATGACGCCAGCATCTTGTATCCCACGTATCGTCTCAGCGCCTGCGATGCCCTGTAAATAAGGATCAGGTCCAAATCCCTCCCAATTGCGTCCGCCGGCGGGGGCTCTTCCAAGAGGGCCGATCGCTGGGCCGAGAATGACATTGACGCCCTTCCCTTTTGCTTCTTTCCCATGAGCATGACCTCGCTCATACATGAGTTTTCTGTTAAACGTAGCACCCACTGTAATCCCCGCAGGCCAAGCCGTCGCATTATCCGCAAAGCGAATTCCGAGCGGTCCATCCTGCAGGGCCAAAGCTGGAAACCCGACATTCGTTGCAGCGCCAGTAGTACCGACTGCTAAACCCATACTCCAGCCTGTTCCGGTAGTGATGTTGACTTTTTCCGCGAGTGTCATCTTGCCGACTAACTTGGCGGCCAATTCATAGCTCTTCTCCCAGTTTTTGGAAGTACCGCCTTTGGGACTGGGATACCATGGCGGTGATTGTCCGTCAACGGGAGGCGTTTTGATCTTGTTCCATGCGAATGCTCCGATTGCTGAGATGAGAATCCAAATTACTATTGCAGTTCCGACGATGATCAAACAGCATTTCCTGGTGCGCCATCGTCGAAGGAGTCCAGCTGGTCGAACCCGGGATTGATTGGTGGTAGTATTCTTGGGGAGATAATCAGTCGCGTCAATATCGGATTCAGCGTCACTGCCGTCAATAGACGAGCGATCTGCTCTGTTGAGGAGGTTTTCCCTGCTGGGATCCATGATGTCAATGACCTCAGATGTGGTGATACATGAGGTGGGAGGTGTTGGTTGATGAGAGAAATATTGAGAGATGGGTTGAGTTGTGCAGCCGCTGATGTTAGATAATCGTACTGCAGGCCAAGAAAGAGGAAAGAGGCGTCAGGCGGGATATCGGATCAGCATTCCTGGCTGCATATCCTGGACGTTTTGGGTCATTGTTAGTGAGGCGTCAATTGCGTACCCTACCAGGTGGATGTCAGAAGAATTGTCCTCTAAGGCTCAGGCTACAGAAATAAAGCAGCCTAAGTGCCTTTCTAAACTAATCTAAAATGACGAAGTTATTTTGTCTCTTATGCCCCCCGGGATCAATTCCTCTGACACTCAGAGGCCTAGATCATCTCGGGCTAAATGAGGTAGAGCAGATTTAGTCGTCAATGGTTTGTGTCGATGCAGTGATGCGACGGATCGCAAAAAGGAAACAAATTATTCGGATAACACCAACATTTTGTTACTTCTGATGGAGAGGTGTCAAAAGTGTGGTGCTCAAAAATGACAAAAAGGAATCATTGTATTAGTGGGCAAGTTCGAACCTACGACCTGCATACATACTTCAAAAGCGAAGGCTCCTGTTAAGGAGCAAATCGTGGTACAAAGATTTAAGTGTTTAGCTACTCCGCTGAACACCATGCACATTATTTCAGTATTTAAAGGCATGAGAAAGTAATATTAAGTTCAGTCGAAGGTTGACGATAGGTGCGTGGTATCTCAATCCAAGAGTTAACTTGATGACTCCCCACCCTACACTCTAAAACCTCCCGACTGGTTACACCCCACCCATCTCGAATTTAGCTCTTGAGTCAATGAACCAAGTCAATGTAGGAAGTGCGATGGCTATTCCATGCTTAAAAAGAAGAAGAGAATTGGATGATATCATCGTTTTGTTGTTTATGATGGAGAGGTGCCAAGAACAATGTGCCAGGAATAACAAAAAGAAGATTGTTAGATCATTGGGTAAACTCGAACCCACGACCTACAAATTGTCTCGTCGTACCTATAAGCGAAGAGAATCGTACATGATTTGAGAGTGTATACTGTAGCTACTTCGCTGAAGATCAGGCATGCTATTTCAATAAGTAAAGGTAGGTAGAAAGTAATATTCGGTTTGGATAAGGTATAACGGACTTATTACATTGGTTTAGTAGCAGTAGGTTTGGATCAAGGCTGCTGATGGGTACCTGGGGAGTTGTCCATCTTGTACGGACAAGCCAATCAAACCATGCAACAAACCACCAGCAGCCTCAAGAGAAGGAATAAATATCGAATATCTCACAGTGTAATTCTCAGCTACGAAGCATAATAATTACTGACAAATTCGTTGCATTACTGGGCCATCTCAGTCCAAGAGTTGACTTGATGAACCCCCACCCTACACCTTAAACATCCCGACCGGCTACACCCCGGCTAAACCTACCCATCTCGAATTTGGCTCTCGACAATCGCAACATCATCCCGCCAGCTTCATCATCGACAACCCCCGCTAACGACCTTCAAAATGTCGATGTTCCGCGCCAAGAAGCTCGATCTGGGCTGTTTCGTCAATGTCCGCACTCTGCGCGACCACACCAAGCGCAAGGTCTTTGAGGCCCATGAGACTGAGCGGTACGCAAAACTCTTTCCGAGCGAGCACAGCGAGGTGGAAGACGAAGACGAGCGAGCGCCGAAGAATTGAACACGAGGACGAATGAAGAACGGCCGCTGATATTGAATTAATAGACAAGCCCTCCGCTACATGATCCGAAACACAACTCTCCCTCCCCGAGTCCGAGCCGAAGCCCAACTCCAATTGACCCAGATGCACTGCTACACTCGCCCTACACAAATTCGAAACAGATGTATTATGGGAGGTCAGGGACGTGGTGTTTTGAGCGATTTTAAGATGACACGAGTAAGGCCCCTACGATCCAAACCTTCGAGAGACATGGAAGGATATGAGAGAATGGGCTGGACTAACGATGCGCAGTACAACTTCCGAATGGAGGCTATGGCTGGAAACTTGCCTGGTGTCAAGAGAGCTAGTTGGTAAAAGAGCTTGGAGAGGAGATATTTGTACGAATATGTGGTTTTCTTGGAGAGCGAGGGATTCTCGAGATATCATAGACATGAATGAACTGTATAATACAATGGAAAACTCATGGAACGCTCATTTTTCGGTGCAATGCCACGGGACCACTGGATTGCCCGACGGACTAATTATATGGACAGTCGACTCGGTCGTTGCATGTCTGGTTTACTGCATGAGCTTGAGTGCCATGGCGAAGGCTGAGCTTGAGGCACGATTACTGGTGGTGTGTTTTACCCAATGCTCAATCGCTGGGACTACAAGACTTGTGCCTAGGTTCATGTTAAAGCTAAAAGTGTCAAAGTTCCAGCTTGGGAATTGAATCTCGTTTACCCGTCCTCTAATTGCAGCTTACACTTTAAGCGCTAGGTGACAGAAACCTTGAAATAATTTAGTCACCTTACCACCGATAAGCGATAGCGATAAGCGCGATAAGACTTTTCTTGGCTGACTTTCAGCCAGGCTACCTCCCATCGCCACCCCACCGTCACCTTCTCTCCAACAACACCAAACAAAACACATCAAAATGGGTGGCGGCGATCTCAACTTGAAGAAATCCTTCCATCCCTCACTGCAGCGCAACCAGCGCGCAGTCTGGGAAGAAGAACAAAAAGCCCTCGCCGAGCGCAAAAAGACCCAACAGCGCATCAACGAACTCCGCGAAGAGCGCGCCCAAGAAGAAGTCCAACGCCAACTCGAAGCCGCAGGCGGCAGAAAGCGCGTCGATCGCGTGGAATGGATGTATCAGGGTCCCAATGATGGCCAGACCGGAACCGCTGAAGAATCAGAGGCTTATTTACTTGGAAAGCGAAGGATTGATACCCTCATTAAAGGCACGGAACATAAGAAACTGGAAAAGGATGCTGGCGCGGAGAGTTTCATGGCGTTGCAGAATGCGAATACTGCGAGGGATACAGCTGCCAAGATTCGAGATGATCCGCTCGTGGCGATCATGCGACAGCAACAAGCTATGATGAACGATCCTGCGAAGCGACGCCAGATTCTCTCTTCGGCGGGTATCGAACAGAAGGATGAGAAGTCACGCAAGAAGGAGGATCGACATAGGAGGAGACATCGTCACCGAAGTGCGGATGGGGAGGATAGACATCACAGACGAAGACGGTCTTATTCACGTTCGCGAAGTCCGCGTCGACGGGATGATTCGAGAGAGGATCGGCATAGACGACGGAGGGATGATAGCAGGGAGAGACATTCACGACGACGACGCGATTCAGATGAGGGGGATAGACGTGAGACACGTTCTGGTAGCAGCGGGCGTGAGAGACGCTCCGACAGCAGAGACAGGCGCGAAGATCGAAACGGAGACAGACGAAGCGGAGACAAGCATGATGGCGACAGACCCAACGGCGATTCTCGCGACAGACAAAATGGAGACTCCCGGGAAAGACGCACCGGCGACAACCGCAACGGAGACCGCTACGACAACAGACGAAACGGAGACTATCGCGATAAGGGAGACGTTCGCGATCACCGAGACCGTCGAGACCACAGAAGAAGCTACCCCTCCAACCGCCCACGCAACAACCCAGAAGACGAAGCAGCCAAAGAAGAAGAGCGCCAGCGCAAACTAGCAGCCATGCAATCCGCCGCCACAGAACTCGACACCGACCGCCAAAAGCGTCTCGCAGAGCTCGACGAGCGCGAACAAGCTGCTAGAGAAGCAGATGATAAAGCTAGAGAACGTGGCGGTGATCGAGGTTTTGTTAATAAGTTGCATCAACAAGCTGGTCATAAGGGATTGGCAGAACGTATGGGTGGAGCGCGTAGGGGATTTCAGAAGGATGATGATTAGCTGACACGATAAGCGGGTATGGTGTTTTGGAACAATTGCATTGTTGAGGCTGCTTGTGGATGGACATAACGGTACTTGTTTATTTCGTCTTATGCTTTGACGAGGCCATGTTGGCTTGTGCGACTTGCAAAATTGGGATTGTCAGTGCATTGCGTGGAATAGATGGACCGATGAGTATTGTACACGCATACCAAGAAAATAATACGATAACACACATCCAATAATTACTCTGAGTATCGAACAGCCTGGCATCTTGGTATTCACCCTTTATCGCGTGATATCTTTCCCCTCAACCTAAACAACGCCATGACTACTTTAATCAGCCACCGGCAGCCAAACTCTACGTAGAATCGATATCATCAAACTTGGATCTATTGAATCTTAACTTTCGGCCCACTCTTTGCAGTAGGCACTTTAAAGATTAAGGCAATTTGGCACCCTTCCAGTTGGAACCAATTAGAGGGATGAATGTCTCAGAAAAGGGGACATTGTCTCGACAGAGACAGAAAAGATGTGGGATTAATTGGCTGTGGCTATTTATGGCCGGTTCCCCCGAAAGGCAAGCGCTGTAGAAAACTCCACTGTGGTTCCCTTTGCACGCCGCCCCCAGTCTTATTCTCCCTCTGACTTCATCTTTTTTCCTTCATTTTATTTCATTTCCCCCATCCCTGCCAATTTTGGTTCCCTTTTCCTTTTTAACTCACGCCTCACTTCTTGACGGATTAAATAATTGCGAAAAAGAAAACACCGATATCTTTGCGAAAAAAAGAACTTCGAGGATTTATCAAGCTTAAACTTGGCAAGAACGAACCAGACCCGACGTCGACTCCGCCACGATTTCGAACCCCCTCTCTCGATCTGCGCGCGCGCCACCCCGAACCCGATAGCTTTACTCACGGCAACCGAGATTCGTCTGGCGCCAACTTTCCTTTTTCTTCCCGCGCCAAAAAAAACTACTTTTCTCTTCTTCTTTTAATTAAAACACATCACAAACGACACAATGCCTGCTCTTTGCGGAGGATCTAAAACTGTTCAGCGAAAGCTGGTTCTCCTGTGCGTTCAATTGAGTTGGGAGGGAGAATATTCGCGCTGATTGATGCTTTAGGGGTGATGGTGCTTGCGGAAAGACTTCGTTGCTGAATGTCTTTACGAGAGGGTATGTTTGACGATAGAATAATGGGAGATGGATTGAAGCTCATACGATTACAGCTATTTCCCGACCGTCTACGAACCTACCGTTTTCGAGAATTACGTTCATGGTACGATACTCACTGCGGACATGCGACTACGAAATCTAACCTTTTCGCGCAGATATTTTTGTCGATAATGTCCATATCGAACTCTCCCTCTGGGACACAGCCGGTCAAGAGGAATTCGACAGATTACGATCCCTATCCTACGGTAAACCTCCCTCGCGCCATCCCTCCTCTTGACAGTCTCCCTAACAGACTTTTAGACGACACAGATCTCATCATGCTCTGCTACTCGGTCGACAGCAAAGACTCGCTCGAAAACGTCGAATCCAAGTGGGTAGGCGAAATCGCCGACAACTGCCCCGGCACCAAACTCGTCCTCGTAGCACTAAAGTGCGATCTCCGCGAACAAGGCGAAGAAGACGAAAACGCCGCCCCCGACGCTGCTGCTGCTGCTCCCCGCGAGAAGAAGCCCATGATCACTTATGATCAGGGTCTCGAGGTGGCGCGTCGCATAGGTGCGCTGCGATACCTCGAGTGCTCCGCCATGAAGAACAGGGGCGTCAACGAGGCTTTCACCGAAGCTGCGCGCGTGGCTCTCAGCGTCAAGAAGGATCGCGAGGAGAGCAAGTGCGTCATCATGTAATGTGATCCGACAGTGCTTTTTCTTTTTTTACGATACGATACGAGCGTTATAATCGAACAATACGAGGTTCCCTCCCGACTACGAGCCTCGTCTTTATTACCGCCCTGCTCCAGGGGGCTTTTTTCAACTGTATATATCGTGCGGCATATATGCACATAGGGACTCTCGGTGTTTTTACGTGTTATTTGAACTTCTGCATGTCGGTGCAAGAAGAAGAGGGGGAGTAGACTGCTGGGAAAACATCATCGACAGAACAGTTCTTTTCTTTGTCGATTGTTCCTTTTTGTTCCATCGTCTTGGGTGGTGTTTAAAGTTATATAGCGCATTCTTAATGACAAGACAATTCAATCACTGGGCTGAGAGTTGAATCAGTGATTTGACATAGTGTGAGAATGATGATGCTTGTCTTGAGGGGTCAGCACAGCCACTGTCCATTACGAGAAAGATGCATCACCGGGAATTAGACTATGGCCGATTGTTGGGCAGATCAAGTATCCACTGCGATCTTAGGTCCAACTCTCTTTTGCAATACCCTTAAAGAAAAAGGGTTTGTGGAGTTCAACCGTTCAAACCGCTCAACGTCGTCAATCGCATTCCTGTCAATCTTGGCACTTACCCCCGTCCGATGATGTCTTCCCCTTCCCAGTGATGATATTCGTAAATGATCTCACCACACCAATAAATAGGATCAGTCCCTACATCATTGAAACAAACCGCCACTTTTGCGTTACAATTTACTGCATTCTCACCCATACCTGTGTCATCTTTGAGTTGTGATTGGTCGGGTTAAGAGCTGGACCCTTGTTATTTGCCAGGGATCAATTGACGTCACGCTGTATTATACTGAAAGGAATCGAAAAGCAGGTTTGAAAGGTTGATGATCATGGACGAGAATAGTTGTCAAGATGAATAGGGGTCTGGGGATGTGATTAATTAAATAGAGGCCAAGAGTCGTCTGAAAAAGCTTCTTTTCTTTCTCCATCAAACAAGCACCACTTGGATCCATTCAAAGACTCACTATCCACCACTACCACTTATACCACTTACACCACTCATCATTATTCATCATGCCTCTCTTCGGTCGTCGTGAACCTTCCCCAGAGCCCATCCGCGAGGAACCTCGCAAACACGGCCTTTTCTCCTCAAAGTCCAAGCACGAGCCCGCACCCACCCACGCCTCTACCTCCCGCCACAACCGTCACTCCCGTGGTTCATCATCCTCCTACGACCACCGCTACTCATCCTCATCATCCCGCTCTCCCGACCGTCGCAGAAGCAGCGGCGGTGGCTTCCTGTCCAAGTTCGGCGGTAACCGCAACCAAGACGATCCCGCCGTTCTTGATGCAAGGGAGCGCGTTCGCAGCGCCGAGATGGCAGAGCGCGAAGCTGATCGTGCGCTTGAGGAGGCGAGAATTAGTGCTAGGGAGGCTAGGGAGCAGGTCAAGAGACTTGAGATTGAGTCCAAGGAAGATTCTAGACGGGCTAAGATGAAGGAGAGTCAGGCTAAGGAGATGTCCAAGATGGGACGCAAGATTGGACGTAAGTAATACTGGTTGAAGTTTGAAGAGTATGATGCTAACTTATACAGGTCATGGCTACTAAGCTTGCGACATTCGGCTTAGATGATTGGAGTATGGTTTCATTGTTGTAATATGATTGTATGATATGAAAAGCACGAGTATACGATGGCGCTATCAAGGAGTTGTCAGAAGCGTTGCTAGTTTGAGCAGTTTGTCTTTGTCAATACCATCTTGCATTTAAAGCATCATGAATCCTCTGAAGACTGAGCTCTCAGCTACTCAAGTGAACCGCCTCATCGTGATAATCCATCGACCCAACAGTAGAAGTATGAGTGTTGTCTTCGCGAACTTCCCAACAACACATCACTCTGAACGCACAAGTTATGGGCCAACTCAAGGGACTACATTTTCATCAATTACAGTATCTCGTAGCAATATCTTGACTTTCGACACCAAGACTAATCGGTCCAGGTTAGTGACACAGTCCACTACAATGACCAAGATGCTCAGCTATGTCAAGTCCACTCATATCCGTTGGCACCAGCCCAAAATGTCTTGACCCTTACTCACACACATAAAGTCCGTAAGTCCCTTCAATGCCTCGAAGGCTTTAATATGATCATCCCCAAACAAAAGTTATTCCATATCCTCAGCTCGATAAACACCTTCCACAGCTTCATGGTCCTGTCCACCGATCGTAGCACCACATTCGGGGCATTGTGCAAGTTCCATAGGCATACCGCATTCTCCAATCGCAAACTAGAAGCGCAAATTAGTGAATGCAAATCCATGAGTCAATAAGATCATTTATACTCACAGGATGACCGTTGGTACATCGGTACCAGTGTCCTGAGTGGGTTGCCATTCCATCTCTACCGCTGACCATAGCCGATTTGATCGATGCCAGCTCCTCCGGTGTCACCTCGCTGTAGTGAGGTTCGAAAAGTTGCAACATGGCCTCAACACGCTCCTGCAGTTCGTCGCTGTTTCGAACTCCAGAGCATTGATCCAACGCATCGTTCAGTAACTCGCGGGCAGTGTTGGTTCGCTCTTCGACATTCTCGGCGTGCTCTCCGTCAGATTTGGAGATATGACCGTCCTCGTTTCTCTCAGCGCGCCAAGCAAACAGCTGGGAAACTCTAGCAAAAGCCAAAGTTGCTGCGATGGCGGTTCTTGGGAGATTGAAATCCTTGGCTTGTTCAATGAGTTCGATGCAGGTAGCAAAGAACTTTTGCATCGATGGAAGATGCTGCTCTTCGAGCCATAGTTTCATCAAATCGCTGTCGGTCCCAGTATCGTCTCTCCACTGTTTGAGAATCGAAATGACATCCTGAAGCTGCACTTCTTGCGACTTGATGGCAACTAATTGAGCCCCCAGAATGATCTGACTATCTGGTGCCGGTGGGGAGAGTTGCAAGGCCTCCATCTGTCGTGTGATAGACAAAGGATCGTCCGTAGTTCTGCAGCGAGACGTGGCCATCGCATCAATGAGTACTTTCGTGGGCTGATGGTCTTCTCCCAGTCTTTTTGCAAGACCTTTGCCGAGGTTTCTGAGTGCTTCCAGTTCCAGGTAACGACCCTTCTTCGGCAGTACACCAACTCCGTCGATCAATTCATGGTCAGCCCGACTTGTGTTGAGTTTGTCCTCTGCCGTATGCAGTCGCTGTTCCAATCGTTCAAGGGTCTCGCGTCCTGTAATGAGAAAGCGTTTGCAGATCTCATCCATTACAGCACGGTTGATGAGTCTGTTATATCGCTTGGTCGCGAACTGGCGAATTGGTCGCTTGCAGTCTGGGCAGAAAGGGACGTTCCGCGAAAGGGAGCCAGATACATCCTTCAAACCATCAAAATTGCCTCCTCTGTCGACAGTGTAGACCTCTCCCAAGCCAATCATACCGTCGAGCGTTTCGCCGGCGAAGAAGTGGCCGCAGCCGAGCACCACAATTGGGCTTTCCTCCAGATCGATCTCGGCATAGGACTTGAACTCCAATAAATCGACTCGCGCTTCGCCTTTGCCACTACACTTCTGGCAGTGATCGGTCGGGCAATCTTCTCCGCAGAAGCTTGGACATTGATGACCACAGGGGAGAAGTTTCGTACATCGTCGTTCGCAAGGTAGACGGTCGCAGGGCGCTGAGCATGGCAGGGAACATGCTCCTTGGTGAGGACAAGACCAAGTACATGGTTCGATACAGGGAGCGCATGCTTTGTTGCATGGTGAAGCGCATGAGGAGTGCGGGCATCGGACCTGTCATGTCATATGTTAGTGTCTTTATCTCCAACTTGCCGTGCAACAACATACCTCACATGGTTCCGGGCAACTGCCACAAGGTACTTCGCTGTGACACGGACGCCCACATCTGTGTTTGCAGGGTCCGAAAGGTCGGTCGCAAGTCGTCGTACACGCGCGATGCTGGACGCTTCCGTCCGGTTTGTTGCATTCACTGCATGAGCCTGGACACTGGTGGCCGCATGGGAGAATGTGCGTGCAAGGCGCTGGGCATTCAAAAGTCTCAGCATCCACATCACGGTAGCATGGTACAGTGACAACATGACGACAACCGATAACAATTTTATCGGTTAGATCCGTACATCGGACAGAACTGAGATCCTGCTTCTTGTAACAGCTCAACGTTTTCGCGTGGCCACATGGAAGTTTGACGCCCTTGACCCTGACCATACAAGAGCTGCACTTCTCGCCGCAAAGCTTTGGGCATGCATGATCGCAAGTCTTTCGGATGCGAGGGCATGGTTGCTGGCAAAAGAAAGCATCGTGCATTACATCCGAGTGGCATCGTGCCTGGCATCGATGACCGCATGGTTCGAGTCTTCGAGAACAGGGAAGGATACAGCCACCTTCAGGGCTCTTGATGGCAAAATCTTCGGGTTCCGAACAGAAGATGGGAGTTTCTTTATGTCTGGGACAACACAGCTCAATCTGTCTGCCAACAGCCGCGGCATTCATAAGCTGATTGTAGATGTCTGTCCACATTGCCACATTGAGATAAGTCTCCGAGTTGCCGATCAAGTACATGCCATACTTTGCTCGAGAAAGAAGCACGTTGATACGGTTCTCTGTTCGAAGGAAACCAACATTGCGCTTTGGGTTGCTGCGGACCAAGGACACAATAATAACCTTGGCTTCCTCACCCTGGAAGTTGTCCACTGTTGCAATGCGAATGCTTTGGAGAAGTTGTTTCTTCTCCACCATCTTCTGTGGACCTTCAGAGGGCTTATCGGTCTCGTTCGTGGTCAACTTATCCTCAAAGCCTTCGTGTGCCAGTCGATCCATATCTCTGTCACTCAGGCAAACCTCAAAATCCCTTCTCAACGTAGCGCGCAGCTGCTGGAGCTGCCCGGTGTATGGTGTGAGGAGGGCAATGTCCTCTGGCTTGTATATCCCTTGTCGCACCAAGTGTCGAACCAGCGCTGTAGCCATATCGGTCTCCCACTTGTTGCTGTGTGACTTGACCCGGGTACCGTCCCCTCCATCGTCCTCGGGATGGTTGTGGTCAAGCCAGAACAAGTTCTTGCCCATACCTACAACGTCTGGAAGATCCCCGACTGAATCATGGTCTTCTAAATCGGGATACACTCTTCGGATAAGTCTAGAGATCTCAGGTCTCATTCGTCGTTGAACGTTGAGTTGGGCAAATGGGGCGGGTGCAAGGCCTGGTTCACCAACGGCTCGTCGTTCAAACTGGCTTCGGTCCAGCTGCCAGCGCTGCCCAGTCGATGACTCGAGGCTAAGGTCGAAGTTGTTGATTTGTGGTCGTAACTGTTTGTGATCCCCAATCTGAATGAAATGCTCTACACCACCCTTGAGGGCCGAGATGAGATCCGACTCTTTCAGCTCACCGGCTTCCTCACACACGACAACCTTGAACCGCAAACTTCTGAGCATCTCGATACGCCCAGCTAGGGCAGTAGTGGTTATTCCAATAACATCAGCTCTGGTAAGAGTTCTCTGGGCAAGTGCCTCATGTGTTTTGCGAATAGTTTCCCGTTTGGTCTCGAAATCCTCAAGCGATTCGTGCAGCATTTCCAACTGTCTCTCTTTCAGCTCGTCGAACAGATACATGACAAAACGCCAACGTTCTATCGATGTGAGCCTATAAGCACTAAGCTTGGCGCTGCTGATGATTTCCATTATTGGTCTTTCCCAGTCGCCTGTGAGTGGAGGCTCAGGGCCCAGCCATGCTCGGAATGGATCTTTGCTAACCGTCTGGAAGCCTTCGTCGTCTACCCGCCTGAACTGTTGATGAATCTCGGGATAATTGTGCATCAAGTAACGTTCAATTGCATCCCAATCTGACCCCTTGCGTGATTCATGTATGGGCGAAAGGGCATTCTCGGCGGCTTTCAGAGCAGACTCTTGCTCCTTGAAGGCTTTACCAAGGATCTGCGACTCGACTCGCGTCTTGGGTGTTTCTTTGCTGACAACTCGAAGATTCTTGCCATCAAGTTGCTCGGAAACACTGCGACCGCCAATTCGAATGATTTTTTCTATTCCTACACCGAGGAGGTGTTCGAGGAATTGATCCAGGGCGTGGTTCGTGTAACATCTATATCAATACCGCATTAGCTCATGGAGTCACCAGGCATCAGAACCAAACTTACATAATGACAATGGGCCCCAACTTTGCCCTTTCTTTGACTGCAAGTAAGCTCCTGACGAGCTGTACACCAAGATATGACTTTCCGGTACCAGGTGGACCTTGAATGAGGGCATACTCTCGTGTCAGAGCCTCAACCAGGCCAAGACACTGGCCATGGTCAAGGCCTGTCGCGTTTTCGATCTCGTCCAAATTGATATCTTCCAACTTGGCGCTAGGGTCCAGGTGAATGTTGCGGTTGCCTGTCTTCGCGATGCAGCCCAATGGGAACACAAAACCTGGTTTGCGCGCATACAGAGGTGGTTGCATGCGGTCGTTTTCTTCGGGGGAAGGCAAGATCCAATTTTGGAATGCAATGTGGTTTTCTTCCTTGATAGCTTGCAGGTTCTTGAGGATGGGTATGAAGGTTTCAGGAATGATACCGTTGAAGTCCACCAGTACGCCTTGCGTACCTTCTCGCCAGAGTTGAAGTAACAAGGCAAGATCGCTCTGTTCCTGGGTTGCAAGCTTCGCAGTAATACTCGACATGTTCAATTGCGATACAAGTGTGCCTTTTTGTGAATCACCTGCAGGATCTTCCTGCGTGCTCTTCTTGGTGACATTGAGAAAAAGAAGACGTTGGCCCTCATTTCGAGAGGATACAAAACAAATGAGAGTACCCTCACCAAGACGAGGTGATCTCTGCCACCAGTCACGCTGATCGGCCAGAGACTTCTTCAACAAGAAGTTTGGAGGAAGAAGCGACACTTGGAACTCCAAGCCTTTCTTTTCATGTACCCAGACGTTGAGAATAGTGGAGGACTGGTAAACATGCGCTTGGCTGTTCTTTTCCGATACTCGAATGGCCCTGACATCTTCCAATGCCAGTACGTCTCGGAGAGCATCATTGACCAGACCAAAAGTGTCATGCCTGACAAGCCGAAAGGTAGAGTCGACGTAGCGCTGCATAGGATCCTCAAGTACATGAGGATGAAGGAAGTTTGTAGAGGGTAGATACTCCGCGTGCTCGCTTGTGACCTCTCCTTGTGTTGGGAGAATTGAGATGTCTGAGATATCAGCGAAGTCATTGTCATGCCTCCCGCCAGGAATCGCAGCCTCTCGAGGAAAAGTCGAAGTGGTACATCGTGTCTTCTTGTTTTTGTTTTTGTTTGCCGAAGAGAGTTCCGCTGCAACGACACGATCGAGAGAACCGGCGACAATCCTTTTGATGATGTCCAAACGAGCCTTGAGGCTGTCAATTTGGTTTCTGGAGGCGCTATCGGCAGTCCATTCAACAAGAGCGTCCAGAGACTTGAGTAGCTGAGGCACATGGTCGGAGAGTTGAGCCCGCTGTGTCTTGGTCAAAAGTTCTAGCAGCGTTTTGAGAACAACGTCCACCACTTCCTGGATGTGATTGCTGTTGGGCTCTTCAGACTCTTCGATGACCTGTCGGAGTTTGAGGCACATGTTGGACAAAAGATCTATGCCTTGCTCGCCGTTGGTTCCACCCAGCAGCAGAAACATAGTGCCAACGAACGAGTCAATCGAGAGTGGTTTGATTGAAGGGTGAGTGATGACCCGGAGAAACTTCTCGACGCAAAGAAGTTCTGTCATGTCCGAAAATTTCGAGATCCTGGATGTGAGCGTGATCCATTCGGGTCCATGAAACTTTTCGTTGACAAGGTCCCGCGCCAGTTCTTGGTGTTGCTCCTGATTATCGCTGTCTAAAATCCGGAGCGCGCCTTTCCATAGCTTGTTAGCATGATTCAAGTTACCTGAGTCATGGAAACTCTGAGTATCTTTACGCAGGAGAGATCTCCATGCGTAATAGACCTCACGGGTTTCTTCATCTTCTTTCGGGAAAGATGGACGAATGTCAGGCTCGGGGACAGTGTTGTTGATGTCGTGGGAGAATCTGCAAGCAGCGCCATACGTGCATGTGCCTTTCAGGAACTGGATGCATGGTTTTTTGTTTTCGTTATTGGTAATTTCGTCGGGTTCATTCCGTGGACCAAGAGACTGTCTGCCTTCTCTTCCTCTCCACACGATGCTTGGACGAGGCAGAAAGGGACGTGAATTGTTTCGCCAAGATGGAGGTCGTCCACCTGCATCTCCACCTCCTCTTCCTCTCCACATGATGCTCGGAGGAAGTATAGAGGGAGGCAAATTGGTGTGACAGGATGCGTAATATATTGATCCAATATTTCGAGATGCTTCGGGGAATGTGCGTGATTCAGCGCAGTGGTTGGTTAGTCGTGAGCGTGAGGCTGTGATGATGAGGTTGCAGATAAGGAGGGTGAACGGTGAAGGATGCAACTTGGAGAGGCAGAAATGAACCTAGGCCTTCCAGCTATTTCCTCCGCTCACTACTGCCTAGCAGAGTTCGTTGGCTTTGGAAGCGCAGCGAGAGTGTTTACTGCCAGCAGCTGTCGGTCGCTTGCAGTGCCAGAACGGCCGGCCGCTCGAGGTGCCGGCGCGACGCATGCATTCACCCACTCAAACAACAGATCTCGCAGTGGCAGCCTAATGATTGAATTAGCACGTGCTTTGCGAGTTTATAGTAGCACTCACCATAGTAATGATGCTGAAGTGTTCTCGCTGTCACCTCTGGCCCCATCCTGAAGGTGGTGCGGTTTGAGAACATCGCCCGCATACTTTGCATTGGATGGAAAGATGACGGGACAAAAACATAGACATCGTCTGAATTGAATCATTGAGGTTTCCATTGGGGTAGTTTAATTGGGAAAGCCTTCGGGAAAGAAGTGCCTGCCTCGAGTTACTGGCCTGTCGAACATGGAAGGAGCAGCCCTCGGGGCGCGGGTTCCCAACTTTGGCCCTTCACCATCCCACATCTTCCAACAAACTACTGGAAGTAGAGTACACTTAAGAACTACTATCGCGGGAAAGAGTCATTTATAGACATACCCAAACCGGTGATAAAGTAAGTCTCGGAATCCGGCGTTCAAGTACCTAACATCGTCAAGGAAGACCTGACACGCTGTATGTAGATACTCTCAACATCCACTTGACAGCCTTAATTTGTTACCTCACCATCGTTGGAGGAATTGCCCCTTCTTCTCGCGATGGTAGGTATTGGGCGGTGCGTATCATGCAATTGACCTTGGATATGTGTTGCCTGATGAATTCTTGATCTTAATGCGTCTAAGTCTGAACCTCTATTTTCATGCTCTGCTCACCACAATTCTTCTATAACTCATGACCACCTTACAACACCTTCTCAAAATGATCAAAGTACAAATCATCCCTCAAAGCCTTCCCATTATAAAGCTCCGCATAAGGAAAAGGACTCTTCTCACCAGTCCGAGCATACCCCCGTCGAATATACCAAGCAATCAACTCCTCCCTCGTCCAAATAACACACATAGTCATAATCTTAGTCCCCCACTCCCTCTTTGCATGCTCCTCAGCCTTCTGCAGCACCTGTCGTCCAATTCCACCAGCCTGCAACTTGGGCGATACAGCAAAGAGGCCAAAGTATGCGCGCTCATCATCCTTTCTTACGATTTCGCAGCATGCCACCAGTCCGGAGGGATTGGTCTCGGTGTCGGATTCTGGTGTTGATGTGCCTGTGGATGATGCTGAAGTGGAGTTGAATGCTAGAAGGACTAGGCCTGAGGGGTCGGTGATCTTTGCGTGGAGGGCAGTGGGGGATATGCGCTCGTCGGCGAGGAGGTCGGCTTCTGTTGTCCAGCCTGCGCGGGAGGATTCGCCGCGGTAGGCGGAGACTATGAGGGAGAGGAGAGGGGGGATGTCGAGTGGTGTTGCTTTTCTGAAGGTGAGAGACATGTTGAGTTGTTGTAAGTGAGGTTGGCCTCGTGAGTGAAATTGATGTCCAAGAGGCGAGGTGAGTGAGTGAGTCGTTTTCAAGTTATGAGAGGCAATTGACGATCCACTTCAGGTCTTTTAAGTTGAATTGAGTTGAAGTGATTCGAGTGATTGAGATTGAAGACGAAAGAGTTAGCTTTTATAGAAAGAAAGGACAGGAAGAAGATCTGATAAAGGATTTAAACAATTAAGCTCCTCCGATTTAGGAGACCGTTTTTTTCTCAACTGCCAATTGCGCATGTGCATATGCGCTCTGGAAGTCACATTTTGGAGATGCGACCGTATAGATTTAACCAAATGGGACTAGGGTGGGATGGTGGATGGAGAGATCCACAGATTACCTGTTTGGTTAATTTTAAACGATGGCTCTATATCCGATGATGCCCAAATTCAACATGATCATTGTTGCTTATTGAGGTCAGGAAAGTTCTAGATGGTGATGCAGGTGTCGCAAGGCATGTCGGAGTGTATGAGGAAGCCATGTTTGTAAGCAGCTACAACTTACACAAGATATTGCAGATGAGGTCCAAGTTACAATGCATCTTAATTGATCAAAAAACAACGCCAGGCCTGCTAAGGAAAAAGTAGGTATCTAAAACAGTATGTGTATAACTTCGATGTGTATAGGTAGGTATATGGATATTTGTCATGCACACTCCACAAAAAATGCCAATTAAAGAGAAAAAATGGTCTAAGAAAGTTTCTGAGATATAATAAAATGGAAGAGCACACAATGGGTTTCTAAAAAAGGGAGAAATGATGTGAGATGGGGGTTCTAAGACGCCTGGGCTGGCACCTTGGAGTACTTGGCAGCGCTGTATTCAAAGCCTTGGTTGGCTGTGTCCTCGCCCGCTTTGTACGACATGAGATCCTGATCAGAGTTCTCGGCAGCGGCCTTCTTGGCCTCGTTGGCTCCCGCGGCGCGCTGGCGCCAGAAGAAGAAGCCTAGAGCTCCGAGACCGAGGGCTGCGACACCGACGCCGCCGGCGTAGATGCCGGTTTTTGCGCCGGTGGGGAGAGCTTCCCATTTCTCGGATGTGGTCTTTTCGGGGACCTTGTGGAGGTTCTCGAAGGCGGTTGAGTTGCCCCTGGGTTTTGTTAGTCAAGAGTTAACGGGTCAGTGATGGGGGAAGCTTACTTGACGATCTCGATGGACTCCCAGCTGCCGGTCTTGTCGCCGTAGACGTACTCCTTTCCTGTGCTGTAGTCCTCGACTGTGACGTCCTTGACGTGCATGGTGAAAGGACCCTTGCTGTAATCGGTATCTACACTTTATTAGCACAGCCCAAGCTTATTAATGTCATCGAAAACTTACCACCACCAGCCCACTGTCGTGTTCCCTCGGGCATTCTAGGATCACCAGCGGCCCAGATTCCAATGGAGAGTCTCATGGGTGTCTGAGGGTAACTGTCCGGATCATCCTTTGCAATAACCGTTCGCACATTCTCTCCGTTAATGAACCACTTGAGCTCGTCCTTGGTCCACGTCGTCGTGTAGTTGACATAGTCCTCCTGCATACCGCCCTCAACAAAATGCCATCCTCCCTTGGTGAAGTCCTCAACACCCTTTCCGTAGTAGTTTGTCGTAGCATGGGTGTCGTTAAACCCGAGAATCTCCCAGTCGACCTCATCAAGATCATCGCTCAGCCACATCATGGAACTGACGATACCTGTTCCGCCAGCTGCCTTCATGTGCAGCTCCGTGCGGCCGAAGAAGAAGTAGAATTGTGTGCGCAGAGTAGGTGAGTCGCCCTGCTTGGCGACGGTAAAAGTGGCACCGAGTTCTTCATCGTAGGTCACGCGGCCGACGTGACCGTCCCAGAAGTCGCTTGAGGGAGTGTCGTTGAAGGCCCAGGTGTGGGTTGTTCCCCAGGCTGGGTTGGGCTTGCAGTCGGTCTCGTTGAGAGGGTTGCAGTCGGAGGTTGTTTGAGCAGCGGCGAGGCCAAAGATGGCAGCTACCGGAAGGATATAACGTGAAAGCATCTTGTCGGTGTGTGTGTGAATTCTTTCTCTACTCTATACAATGCAAAGAACAAAAAACAATTGGCGTTGAATTGAGAATTGACTGATTGTCTAGTCTTTTGGTCGCGATCAAGGAGTGACTGGGCGATGAAACGAATGAAACACCCAAGGATCGAGAACAAAAAATGAAATGACTCAAGAAAAAGACAGAGGAAAAGAGAAACCTTTTCTTTGGACTTACTCGGATGAACAAGAGTAAAAAGAGAAAGAGAGGGAAGGAAAGGAATAAAATGAAACGATATTAGTTAGAAGGGAAAAGGAGAGTGCCGAGCGCCCCAGATACCCACCCACTAACAGATACTCAGGGGAGAGGTCATCGCCAAGATCCCCCAAAATGGACGGATTCAGACCACTAAGAAGTCAGCGAATGGATCACGCTTTTTTCTTTCTTTACTGCCAAGGAACAATGGGCAGGGGATGGTCACTTCTCTTGAGACGCGCCAAGGAGCTGGGCGGGAACAGAGTCTTGTTTAGCGGAAGGAGACATATTTCGCTAAAAGCTTGATGGATGATGGAAATTAGAACTGGGGGTCCCATGGGTTTTACGGTCTAGCCTCTCCGGAGGATAACATCTCTGTGTTTCTCTCCACTTGGCATTTGCTGGGCAGGGGAGAGACAAGAATTGGCATCATGAATAGCAAATTTGGAGAGCAGGGTCTTTTCTTTTCCAGAATCAATTCTTCTGAGCAGTAAGATTGTTGTTGCTAATTCTGTCCATCAAATGGAACCCTGGAGATAAGTCGTCGGGACTAGTGGCGAGTAGATCGACAGGGGAAAAGGAGCTACTTGGCGCCAGTGAAATGCAAGATCCAGTGCTGTCAAAGCAGTTTGCATTATTAATGTAGCATGCACTTGAAGCAACAGACTCAATGTCCGGAATAAGTATGGCCTGATAAGAAACTCTTAGCATAAGCTCTCAGCTGTTTCTCCCCAGTTTCGGATACATTAAATCCTTGACCCTGGGGAATATGCATTGCACAGCGATTAGGTTTCCCTAGTCCAAACAAAAAGATAAGGATTTCATAAAACATATCCTTGGCTATAATAACATGGACAAGAAAAGCACAGCCACGCTTAGCCTTGCGCTCGGAGGAGCTGGGCCCTCTTGTTCTTAGTTCCTTGAACAATCGCGTCCTCGTCGTAGATCTCTAGGACAGACTCATTCTTGCTAATGGCCTGCGCCCACCTGTAAAAGTTGGGGGTCTCTTTCTCGAGGCGGGAGGAGAGATTGGTCGGGATGAGGCCGTGCTTGGAGAGGGACAGTGCCCGAATGACGAACGGGGCAGTGAGGACCTGTTCATGTCATTTGTTAATTGATCTGTGCTTTAGAATAATATCCTGTGCTTTAGAAGAGATTTAGAGTAGATATGTACACACCTCGGCAAAGGTGAGCTTATCGCTCCCACCAAAAAACGGCGCGGCAGTCTTAAGAAGCGGCTCAACCTCCTTGACGATACCAGCAATAGCATCATCAACAGCCGCTTCTCTCTCCTCATCTGTAATCGGGCGGTAAATAGCCTTGCTGAGATGGGCCTGGACCTTGCTGGAGTAAGTATCAGCAAAGAAGCTGATCCTGGCTCTGATCAACGCCCCATCGCGGTCCGAGGACGCAGGGAGCAGAGAATTCGGGTATGCGTCTACGAGAAACTGCGAGACGATGGCAGATTCGGTGATGGTCTCGCCGTTGTGAATGATTGTAGGCACCAAACCGCGAGGGTTGATGGCTAGATACTCTGGCGAGCGAGGAACGTTGAGATCGATGATTTCTTGCTTGAATGGGAGGCCTAGTTCGGTGAGGGTAATGTGTGCCCTGTGCGCGACTGGGGAGTAATTAGTGCCAAGTCACCGTAGATTGTATATATAGATTGATAGACAATAACTTACAAGGGCACTTGTGGTTTGTGTAGAGGGTGATGTCTGCTTGTGGTTGAGAGCCCATCTTGGCGGCGGTAGAATTGTTGATGTGACGATGAAGTTGTAAAGGACCAGGACCCCGAAAACTGGAGCGGAGAAGTAGAGTAGCCATGGCTCCATAGTCAATTCCCCTCTCTAAATAGTAGGTAGGAAAACATGCATTATTAATTCACATCCATCGTATCATTCATTCAGTCCATTCCGTGCAACTCGGCCTTGTGTTACCCCCGAAGCGCGAGAATGATTGCGTCATTTCGGGTGCTGTTAGAGTAATGTTTGTATTCCCTTGTGCGACCTGAACGAAAAGTCCGCTGAAAGTCCACCGCAAAGGTAGGTATCTAGATGGGTAGAGTGAAGTGAGGCTCTTGAAAATGGTATGTATGCATGGTATTTTTAGATCTTGGTATAATTTCCGAAATGAGTAATTGGCATTGGGAGATTATTCCTGTTAAGCTTCTGACGTGAGACGGGATTGAGACCTGTGCCGCACTAATGGACTTTAGGGTGGGTTGGATTCAATGATTGAGAGACATTCTAATGAAGACCCTGAAGATTCACTTGACTACGTATAAGATAAAGATCAAATTACTATTTTAAATGTAGCGACACGTTCTTTAATTGCTGGAGATGATCTTCGTTATCTCGCTGGGTTCATCGCACGTGTCGGGGACGGGATCGGTGGATTGTCGGATCTGCGGTCGGGACGAAGTGCACTCCATCGCCATAACAACGGAAAACACAAATAACCCACATTCGCAGATCCTTAATCAATTAGCCAGTAAGTCGTTGACCCCAGTGAATTCTCAATACTTAGTAGGTGGAAGCACAGATCCCGAAGGGATCGTCAGAAGATTGGAGGCCTGATGCCGGCAGAAGGATGTTCAGACTGAGTATCGAATGGAGGTTAACAGACTGCACTCGTGAGATACATGCACTGGACATGGCGATTACGTGAAGAAGCCGATGCGTGACCGTCAAACGCCACTCTATATCACGCTGATTCTTTGTGTTTGCTATGAGCACAAGTTGAAATGAACAAGTACGCAGCCTCTGTCAGCTTGCTGTGGCACAGCACATTCAAGGGCGAATATCGATTAATTGCAAGACATGCACCGCTCGATGGTTCTTGGTAATTAAGAATGCGAAACTCCATTGTAATTGTGCATAAGAGCAGACGTCCCGACTTGGGCTCACGACTTGGGCTCAAAGACCAAGTATTTATCGGCATACACAATAGTGCACAATCATTACTCAAAAAGAAAATCGTCAATCATAGGCTATCTCCTCATTATATACATCCAAACCTACTAATCGCTCACAACTTTTGAACTGGGTATCTTCATCTCTATTGACCCTCAACCTGCTTAAGAATGCCCTCGAGGTTAATGCTCTTGGGTCGCTCAATGGGCAGACCCAACGCACGATCCCAGATCAACTGCGCAAGAGGACCGAGACCACGCGACACACCAAAGGTGGCAGTGTAGTAAAGAGTCTCGTGGAAGCCGTAGTGGTGGAATAGGACACCTGAGCTGCTGTCGACGTTGGGGTAGGGGTTCTTGGTCTTGCCGTGCTTCTTGAGAACCTCGGGGGCGATGCGGCTGTTCTTCTGGACGAGCTGGAAGACGGGGTCGTTGGCGATCTCGGGACGGGCGGCGGCGTAGTCCATGAGAGCCTCGAAGCGAGGATCGGGCTTGCGGAGAACGGCGTGGCCGTAACCAGGAACGACGCGGCCGGAGTTGAGGGTGGACCAGAGGTAGTCGTTGACATCCTGCTCGGTGTAGTTGGCGGGAATGGCCTCCTTCATCTGGATAATCCATCGAAGAACCTCCTGGGCGGCGAGACTGGAAGTTGTTAGTTTTAATCCATGGATATGATGCGAAAGACTTACCCGTGAAGAGGACCAGCAAGACCCTGGAGACCAGCACTGTAAGACAGGAAAGGATCGGACAGAGCGCTGCCAACCAAGTGAGTGGTGTGAGCAGAGACGTTACCACCCTCATGGTCACCGTGAAGAGCAAGGTAAAGACGGAGAAGATCCTGGAAGTTCTCATTCTCCTTACCACCCTTTCCAAGCATAGCAGCAAAGTTGTAAGACCAATCCTGCTCAAGATCAACCTCAGCAGGCAGAGCACCGCCACCACGGTAAGAGTTCTGGTAGATCTTGGCAGCAATGGTAGGAAGCTTAGCCAGGAGAGAAATACAATCGTCAAAGGTAGGCTCCCAGTAGTCAGCCTTGTTAAGACCCTGCTCATAGGCCTTGGCGAACTTGGACTCGTAGTTGAGAGCAGACACGGCCATGGCGAATTGGGTCATGGGGTGAAGGTCCTTGGGGAAGTCATCGAGCATCTTGTTGACAAACTCAGGAATCTGAGCCTTCTCAGCGAGCTCGCGAGAGAAACCGCGGACCTGGTTAACTGAAGGAACTTGTCCGGTGAGGAGAAGCCAGAACATAGCCTCAGGAAGCATCTCAGTGCCAGTCTTTCCCTTGGGAAGCTCCTTTTGGCAGTCCTTGATAGTTCGGCCGTGGAATCGAATACCCTCGTTGGCATCTAGAACGGAACCTTCCCAGACCATGGCCTTGAGACCTCGCATACCACCAAGAGTGTTCTCAACCTTGACTTCGCCAAGGACCTTGTTAGAGTGAGCCTTGACCTTCTTGAGAAGCTCTCGCTTGGCAGGAATAGCCTCGCGGAGAGTGGCCTTCAGGTCAGGCTCAGCAGTAGCATAACCGCGAGCTCCCACAAAAGCGGCACGGGTGAGGGGCTGCGTGTAGTGTAAGTTTACATTGTTAAGCATCACATGTAAGTGGACATACCTTGAGCGAGCCCAAAGCCCGGCGAGAAGACGTCGTCAAGTTAAGAGCCATTGTGATGTATATGTGAGTGAGTATAGAGAGGAAAGAAGAAGAAACAATAAAAGATAAAGGGAAGTCGAGTAAGATAATGGGTGAGCTGGGCCGCGGCTTCCCTGTTGTAAACGAGTAGAAGCGGCAGGTGGGGGGCCCGAGCAATCTGGGGTAACAGCCGGGGGAGCGGGGGGACAAGAACAGCTGTTGTTTAGTGTCTGCTGGTTTATTTTGTCATGCGGGGTTGGGATAATAGATAGAATGACGCAGTATTCAGTGCGGAGAAGATGATAGCCGGTGGTTTACAGCAAACGTTACAAAATATCAGTTGAGTAGATACTACTAGATTAAAGCTAGATGTACCTGTATACAGAATCATTTAATTAACAATGACACTTCCTTCTGTACAACAGTTGCACAAAAGATACAAGGACTCGACGGTTAAGCGTTCAACAACCGAGGAAACCCGCCATGAACCGCCGACTTACTTCCACGGCTCAAACGTCTGACCTCAGCCAATCAGCATCTCACGTCTTTACCGTACGAGCTCTGTCATTGGCCAATTCCTTCGGTAATGCTTCTCTTTAACCAAGGTCTTTGCTGACAGGAATACGTCAAGTGCTGAACCCCCAATTTGTAAGTGTTTTTGTCAAGTCCCCTAGAATACCGTACTGTTTTAGTAATGGAAAGAATAATGTTGATTGCTCGGTTACCGAAGTTGGGGTCGGTGATCGAGTGAAGCCTTAACTTCCTGCAAGATAGATATAGACGAGATGGCAATGGTCTTAACATTCACAAGATAGCATATTCTCCTTCTGACAGCTGACAATACATTGTTTGTTATTGTTTCGTTGGTGTTTATATCCAGCGCTGATTGCTGGAGCTATCACGGGCTGCAAATCAATATCCGGACTGCTCGACTTTATTATTCATCCAAACCCACTCCACCCATACCATATTCTCTCCAGCTCTTCACAACCACCACCTTCTTTCCTCTTTACACAACCCAAACAACCCTCAAAATGCTACGCAGATTATCCCCAAGGGCCTCCCAGCGCTTAATCTCAGCTTCTCTCAAACCAAGAAGCTGCGCACCCCTCCTCGCCATCCGCACCATATCCTCCACGTCCGTCGCAAGAATGTCCTCCCTCAGCACCCACGCGACCCAACCCGCCGACGCTTTCCAGCTACTCCCAGAGTCGCAAAAGCCTGGTGAGGCAGAAGATAAGCTGTATGAAGCTACCGTCAAGGAAATAGAGGCGTGGTGGGCTTCGCCTAGATACAAGGGCATCAAGAGGCCGTATAGTGCTGAGGATGTTGCGACAAAGCGTGGAACCCAAAAAGTTCAGTATCCTAGCTCTGTTATGGCGCAGAAGCTGTTCAATTTGATCAGAGAGCGTGAAGCTAAGGGTGAACCTATCCATACGAGTACGTTTTCCGATGCGTTTCCGATATACCCGACTGACAGTCTCCAGTGGGCGCAATTGATCCCGTTCAGATGACGCAGCAAGCTCCTCACCAGGAAGTCCTGTACATCTCAGGATGGGCTTGCTCGTCCCTTCTTACCTCCACCAACGAGGTCTCCCCCGACTTCGGCGATTACCCATACAACACCGTTCCCAACCAAGTTCAGCGTCTGGCAAAGGCGCAGAACATGCACGATCGAAAGCAGTGGGATCTTCGTCGCAAGATGACCGCTGATGACCGAACAAAGACTCCATACGTTGACTATCTTCGACCCATTATTGCTGATGGTGATACTGGTCATGGTGGTCTGTCTGCCGTTCTTAAGCTCGCTAAGCTGTTCGCCGAGAACGGTGCTGCGGCTGTTCACTTTGAGGATCAGCTCCATGGTGGAAAGAAGTGCGGCCATCTCGCTGGCAAGGTCCTCGTTCCTATCGGCGAGCACATCAACCGTCTCGTCGCCACGCGCTTCCAGTGGGATGTCATGGGCTGTGAGAACCTCGTTATTGCCCGAACAGACTCCGAGTCAGGCAAGCTTCTCTCATCAGCTATTGACGTACGCGATCACGAGTTCATCCTCGGTGTCGCAGACTCCTCCATCGAGCCCCTCGCCGAAACCATCCAGGCCATGGAAGCCAAGGGTGCCGTGGGCGCTGAAATCGACGCTTTCGAGGCTCAATGGGTCAAGAACACCAAACTCGTTACCTTTGACGAAGCTGCCGTTGCGCACATGAAGAAGGAGGGTGTTGACCAAGCCAAGATCGACGAGTACCTCGCCGAGACAGAAAATGACCATGACATGGGCATTTCGCGCCGTCGCGGTCTCGCGAGCAAGTATACCAAGGAACCCGTCTACTTCAACTGGGACGTTCCCCGCACCCGCGAAGGCTTCTACCACTACCGCGCAGGTATGCAAGCGGCTACCAAGCGCGCCCTCGCATTCGGTCCCTACGCGGATCTCCTCTGGGTCGAGACAGGCGACCCCAACGTCGAAGTAGCTTCCAAGCTGGGCCGCGCCGTGAGGGAAGTTTACCCCAGAAAGGGTCTCGTGTACAACCTCTCCCCCTCATTTAACTGGATGGCGCACGGTTTCACAGACGAGACGCTCAAGTCATTCATCTGGGACATTGCGCGCGAGGGTTTTGTTCTGCAGCTTATTTCGCTGGCGGGTCTGCATTCTAATGCTACGATCACTACTGAGCTGTCGCGCGAGTTCAAGAAGGATGGTATGAAGGCTTATGTTGATATTGTGCAGCGCAGGGAGAAGGATTTGAAGTGTGATGTTTTGACGCATCAGAAGTGGAGTGGCGCGAGTTACATTGATGGTATCTTGGGTGCTATCCAGAGTGGAAGCTCGAGCAGTAAGAGTATGGGTGAGGGTAACACAGAGGGACAGTTTCACTAGAGTCAAGAGAAGGAAAAGCATGTACTGGAGTTTGGGTATATCAATACTTTACGAATACATTTATTACATTCAGCCAGGTTACATCCTCGCACTTGTGAACTGTTTGTGATGTGACTTTCTTTCATTATGGTTCATACTAATCGTTACTACAGATATCATATCCTCCTCTTACAATCTATTCCTTACAATGAGTCCTTGCTGGCGTTGTTCTGAGGGGCAGGAGCCGCAGGTCCCTCAGCAGTGACATAACCCTTGGTCATACCACCATCAACAGCGAAATCATGACCGTTGACAAAGCTCGACTCGTCACTAGCCAGGAAAACAACAGCGTGAGCCTGCTCAACAGCCTCACCGAATCGTCCCATGGGGAAGTGGACCTCACGACGGTGTCGCTTAGCCTGGTCATCACCAAGCCAGTCCTGAAGAAGAGGAGTGTTCAAAGGAGCAGGGCAAAGGTTGTTGAAGCGGTATCCCTCACGGGCGTGAACCATGGCGAGCTCACGAGTCAGAGCAAGGACAGCGCCCTTGCTGGCAGTGTAGGCAAGCTGAGGTGTAGCAGCACCGACAAGAGCGACGACGGAAGCGGTGTTGATGATGGAAGCCTTGGACTTCTTGTGACGGCGCAGAGAAAGAACGGCATGCTTGCAGCCGAACCAGACTCCCTTGACGTTGATGTTCTGGGTGAGGTCCCAGATGTTCTCGGGGGTGTTGACAGCGTCGTCATCCTGAGCGTGCATGATACCGGCGTTGTTGAAAAGGACGTCGAGACCGCCCCAGGAGTCGAGGGACTCGATCATGGCCTGGACCTCTGATTCCTTGGAGACGTCGACTTTCTATAACAGAGTCAGTGCGTGTTGCGATCGGTGAAGGAATGTGGAGTGGCGTACCAGGATCTCGACGCGGGGAGCATCGGGGACGAGCTGCTTGACCTTTGCGGCGGCCTTTTCAAGAGCAGGCTGGGAGATGTCGGACATGAGGATTGAAGCGCCCTCCTTGGCGAAGAGGATAGAGGTTTCGAGACCGATACCACTGAGATCGTCAGTATGGCGCAAACAAATTTTTGGGGGAGGCGTGCATGAACTTACCCGCCAGCGCCGGTGATGACGGCATTCTTGCCCGCAAGACGACCACGAGGAGCAGACATTGTGATTGGAGTGTATGTGTATGTGACTGAAGAGGAAGAAGAGAATTGAACAAGTTCTGGGTATCAAGTGTGTATGAAGATGAAGATACAGAAAGATGGAAGGAGGGGCGAACGCGGTGAAGGAGGGGTCTTAAGCTTTCTTATCATCAGACGTTCTCGAAGCTCCGATAAGATTAGACTTGTTCTTGACTCGCGAGACGAGTGATGGAAGGCGGTAGAGCTAACGGGTCATGGCATGGGTCCCATTTCCGAGAACGGCGGTAGTACAGGTGCTGGAATTGTTTGGAGGGGGCGGTAGGCGGCTCTAGTTGGTCTGTCATCGCGGCTATTATTAAAGAGAATACAGTAGTTGATGGGTCTAGAAACTGTATGGATCGTTCTATCGTGAGATGGAGCTTATCGTTGGCGGGGTGGACATTGAATGGGTATCAGCTGTATCTCAGTTAAGAGATCCATTCATCGGTAGGTACTTAGCCTCTGTTATTACAGTGGTCATCTTCTGTCATCGTGATAACATGCACAATATATCAATTCAGCCAAGATCATCGGCCCAACTACCGAAGGCCTCAATATCTGTTATCCTTATCCTGGAAAGTAGTCAGATTCAGGGTCCTTTTTCGGACGTCAGATCTCAAGGCTTGCAGGTGTATCATGCAGTACCCCTGTCAGAAGCGATGTCGGCTATGGTCACGAGGTCATCAACAGCCAACCTCAGGCGGCTACTTGATACTGCGCGGCTCACCCAGATAAGCAACACTGTAGGTAGTTATCAAGCGGCTCGCGCATCACTATCTATCTATCAACCCCATATTGGCCAAAGCTCAAGATGACAGATGCGGGGAAATTGACTTTGTTGCGCGGTAATGAAGCTGATGCTATTCAAGAAATGTGATGTTCTGTAGATGGTAAGTGGATATCTCGGCTCTGCAACTCAATTAGTCCTAGAGCGCATCGCGCACCGAAGAGCTTCCCTGGAATGTTCCCACTTTGGGTCACCTACGTCACTGAAGCTCGTCCCTTATCGTAAGGAAACACTCTCTTATCGTAGCCGCGCTGTCTTGCTTTCCCTTCTCGATGCAGCCAAACCTGATTATATCCGATTTGTCTTACTCTGTCTTTCCCCCTCTTTGGATACAAAGTACGGATAATCTTGGTAGTATCGTCTCTCCCCGCATCTAAACAAAACTTCAAACCGTCCCGCGCGCATCGCGAGAGATATTAAAGCTCCACAACCCCGCGAAGCTTCAACACTCCCGTTAGACCGCGAAGCTATATCACGAGTCTCGTTTTACCGCGCAGTTATCAGGGGCATTTCAACGGTTACTCCTTCCATTCCTCGTGATATCTCATCTCCTCGTCATACCTCATTCCTTGTTCCTCTCCTCCAACCACTCTTCACCTTGTCGACATCTTGAGCTTCACAAGCTCTCTACACAGCAAACATGTCTTCACAACCCCTCACCATCGAAACCCTCCCCAAAGTCCTCGAGAATGACAACATGGTCAAACTCGCAGGCGTCGACGTCGACGGCATCCTCCGCGGAAAGCTCGTCTCTAAGAAGAAGTTTCTGTCAATCGCAGAGGCAGGCTTCGGTTTTTGCTCTGTCATTTTTGGCTGGGACATGCACGATCGCACATACGTCCGCGAGCTAAAGATCTCAAATGCTGAGAACGGTTACCATGATCTTCTCGCGATTCCCGATTTGTCTACGTTTAGGCGCATTCCCTGGGAGGATAACGTGCCGCTTTTCTTGGTTGACTTTTTGGATCCGGATACCCAGAAGCCTATCTGTGCTTGTCCGCGTGGTATGATCAAGAGCCAACTTGATAAGCTTAAGGAGCATGGCTATGGTGCTATGGCTGGTGGTATGTATTGTATCCAAAGTTCTTGTTTTCGTATCTGACATCTCCAGCCGAGTATGAGTTCTACCAATTCAGAACCCCCGACTCGTCATCGTCTTCCACCGCCGCCTACCTCCAAGAAAACCCCCCTCATCAACTCCCCGCTCTAACGGAGGGCATGTTCGGCTACTCCCTCACCCGACCCGTCCACAACCAAGACTACTACTACGATGTCTTCAACACATGCGCCAAGTTCTCCTGCGACATTGAGGGCTGGCACACCGAGTCCGGCCCCGGCGTCTTCGAAGCCGCGCTCGAATTCGGTGAGATCGCCCAGATGGCTGATCGCGCTGCGCTGTTCAAGTACGTCGTCAAGAGCGTTAGCACAAAGTACGGCATTACACCCTGTTTCATGGCGAAGCCTAAGCAAGGTCTTCCTGGAAACAGTGGACATATGCACGTTTCGATTGTTGATAAGGATGGCAAGAACCTCTTTGCGCGCGAGACAAAGGACGAGAATGCTAAATGGGGCGACATTGCCAATCTCTCTGACATGGGTCGTCACTTTTTGGCTGGTATTCTTGTCGGTCTTCCTGACATCATGCCCATCCTCGCACCCACGATCAACTCCTACAAGCGTCTTGTCGAGAACTTCTGGGCTCCTGTGACTGTATCGTGGGGTCTCGAGCACCGCGCCGCTTCCATCCGTCTCATCTGCCCCAAGCCCTCAGCGACACGATTCGAAGTCCGCGTTCCAGGCGCAGACACAAACCCCCATCTTGTCCTCGCCGCTATTCTAGGCTGTGGCTGGCGCGGCGTGGAGAAGAAGCTCGAAATTCCTACTCCTCCTCTTGCCATGGGCCAAGACGTCGGTGGTGATGCTGATCAGGGTGAGAGATTGGCAAAGAGCCTCAAGGAAGCTACACAGCGCTTCATGGCGAAGGATAGTATTGCGCGAGAAGTCTTTGGTGATGATTTTGTTGAGCACTTTGGTGGAACGAGAGAACATGAGGTCCGTCTATTTGACGAGGCAGTGACTGATTGGTACGTACAAAAATGATTTGAGGGTCTGAATGTGACTAACTGTGTGCAGGGAAATGAAGCGATACATCGAAACTGTTTGATTGGGTTATGGGAGTTATGTTTAATTTTCACGTACGGGTATACGGGGCGTACTTGTGGGCATTCTATGGCATGAGATATGCATGAGTGAGTAAACGAAGTGGATGAGATCATACGATAGAGTTACCTATGGATGAATATACCTTGCAGCTTTGCCTTTCTTAATCTGTGTCAACGTTGTTTGTGAATGTGTAGGTGAGTGGTATCGCTGACCCCACGTAGTAAATGTTGGTTCAATTGAGCTTGAATCACCATCACAGGCGTTTCTAATACGAGCAAACGAGCGATGAAAAGATGTCTCACTAAAGCAATAATGCGGCTTCAAAAATTGTTTGTCAACGTTTCATCCAATAATAGAGGCTCTACAAGTCGACTCGTGAACAGCAACTCTACGCCCCAGGGTAGGTTACGTGACGTCTACACCGACTTCGGCCCTTTGCATCAATCGACTTATCATGACTTCTCAAACATAAACCACCGACAAAACCCAACTAAGCAAGTTCCTCACAAAGTGAATTGTCAAAATGTCTATCTACGCTGCCAAAGTCTCCTCAACCGAGCCCCTCGTAAGTCTACCTCCCTCCTCAATTACACTCGCTAACAATCTTAGTCTGAGGAAGATGCCCGCTGGATCAAGCTCGAAAAGTAAATCCTTACCTCACCTCACTCACTTATTCAAATACTCTAACCCTTACAGAATCAACTACGACGATGCAAAAGGCGTCCAAAGAACCTGGGAATCAGCCTCCCGTTCAACCCGTCCTTCAACAGCCACAATCGACGGCGTAGGCATAGTCGCCATCCTCGAACATCCCTCCGGTCCCAGCATCATCCTCCAAAAACAATATCGCCCTCCTGTGGATAAGGTAGTAATCGAAGTACCAGCCGGTCTAATCGACGAAAACGAAACACCCGAAGAATGCGCAATTCGCGAACTGAAGGAAGAAACAGGCTACGTGGGCGTCGTCACCGAAACTTCACCGATGATGTTCAACGATCCTGGGTTCTGCAACACGAATCTTCAAATGGTGCATGTTAGTGTTGATATGAATCTCAAGGAGAATCAGGAGCCGAAGCCGGAGCTTGAGGATGGAGAGTTTATTGAGACTTTTACGGTTAAGTTGAGTGAGCTATGGGATGAGTGTGTGAAGCTTGAGAAGGAAGGGCATGTTATCGATGCGAGGGTGGGAACGCTTGCGGAGGGGATATTGCTGGCTCAGAGATTTAAACTGTAGGATGTTGTTGAAGAGTCTGGCTGTAGGATGGGAGTCTAACCCTCAGGGTATGAGAAGGATGAAGCATCACTGTGATGGCCTCAATTGTCATAGTGAGAGGCTACCGTTGTCGAGAGAATGCAATCCACCATGCCAAACAAAGCCAAATACTCTCAACCTCGCTATATCCCCAGCATTGACCAATCCCGAATCCTTACGAGTATTTGTCTAGAAAAGGAAAAGCCTATCCAGACGTGATGTGTCGAGGCTATACTGGGTGTTTTTGCCCCATATCTCCACCGCCAACCTAGCCCCGAGGGATTGAGATCCTAGCGGGCTATAGGGAAGACATGGGTTTGACTCCCAGACCGTTGACTCTAGATCCGAGCGTATCGATCCTTTGAATGGAACTTGAGGATGAGATACTATTCGGTCAAAGGAGTGCAAGGATTGATTGAGCATGGGTTAGTTGGCTTGGGAGTGCCTTGCAGGGCTGATGATTGATGCCTTGGATGATCTCGAGCTTTGCAATCTCAACCTTTGGTCTCATATGCCTAGCTCTCTAATATCTACTTTGCAGTTGTAGTCCAACAAAGCATTGTCTTAATATAAACGCGATAGATACCCATTGTCCAAGACTCGACATAAGGCAGTGCCCAATCCTACCCGCCAGCTAACTTGAGCTAAGCCTCAGCTAAAACCGTCACCGTTACATCCAAGCTTACTCGGAATCTTAAAATTGAGTCTTGGCTCTCAGGAGCAATAAATCCGCCCTATATGCAAGGTTCAGTTCCCACAGCCCAATCCAACCTCTGCCGTCCCGACGGTCCCGCCATGAGTTTAATTTTGCTTTGACAGGGTATCAGATCCTTAGAGGCTGATCGCACCTATCGCGTCCAAGACCGTGGGAAAACAATACATTGCTATTGGGACTTTGGTAAAGCGTATATGGGTCAATCAGATATGTCCATCTATTCATGCAGGGGAAATGGGATAGATATAAAGGTTGATGATCTAGTGCATCCTTAGTCTGAATACCTTCACTCATCAACTCATCCATCATGTCTACCAAGTCCATCCTCGCCTCCCTTCTCGCCGTCGCTCCTCTGGCTCTCGCCCAGGATGCATCATGCGATTGTTACATGACTGAGGGTCAATACTACAAAGACCACTCCTTCTTCGACTTCCGCTCCCTCTCCCAATACGCCGGTGTCCCAGCCCTGATCGACAGCCTCCAAGGCAACGCCGACGCCGGCTTTTCGTCAGACTACTTCAACTGGGAGTCCGAGTTCTCCAAGACATGGGGCGCCCAGAAGTGGAACAACGGCAACAAGGACTTTCCTATGCAAAACACCCTCAACAATTTGTACATTGAGGAGAATAATGATGCGAGCCCTGGTAGTGATACTTGGTTGACTATGCGAACTGCGAGACACAATGGTTTCCAGACTGCTTCCGAGTTTGAGAGCATGGTTAAGCATCAGTTTGTTTCTATGCGCATGTACGCTCGTACAAAGGGTTCGCCGGGTGCTTGCACAGCAATGTTCACCTACCGCGCCGGCGAAGACTTAGCCTCTGTTCAAGAAGCCGACATCGAAGTCCTAACCAAGGATCCCGGCAATGTAATCCACTACACCAACCAGCCCTCCTACACCGAAGCCGGCGGCGAGGTCGAAGGCGCTCATCTCGGTGCTGCTCTGCCTGACGGTTTGACCTGGTCTGACTGGGCCAAGCACACACTCGACTGGACACCCGATGCCACAATCTGGCGCGTCAACGACAAGGAGCTCTGGCGCAACAGCTTCCAGGTTCCCAAGGACCCTGCGACGTTGACGTTCAATGCTTGGAGTAATGGCGATACTTGGACTGGTACTATTCCTGAGGGCGGTGTTGCGTACCAGCAGATTCAGTGGATTGAGCTTTTGAGTGGACGGGTTGATGGAGCTACTTGCAACAAGGTCTGCAGTGTCGATGGTGGTGAGCCTGGTAAGGCTAAGCAGGTTTAGAAGACCGCGAAGCTGCTGGGTGAACTGTTCTTGTATATATTTAGATGTGGTAATGTTGGGAAGAATATAATGTTATGTATCGATGTATTTGATCAATGGTTTCTGCTAATGACTGGTGAATGATGTCAGGTTCTGGTATACGTGATGTACGGCTGGAATAGGCGTGATCTTCGTCGCTGATAGCTACCAACAGGTGCCGTTGATAAGTCGACGCGAGTAAACATGCAGGATTGGGGGCTGCGTATCGGCCTCCAATTACCTGACAGCAAGAGATATGAATGGACTGCCTCGTCGTGATGATCTGATTGCATCACACAACACAACACAACCTCAAGCGTCGTGTCCATTCTCTTCATGATGCTCAATGCTCTTTAGTATGGATGGAGCTTCACCAGGAGCGCACGTAGTCTTACCTCTCATGTCACACAGTGTCTCGCAGCCCTACGAGGCTTGCTTGGCTGGCTCGTGGCTTACCGGCTCCGATGGGTATCACAGACTCCGCTCCGGACCGAAATACGGACAATTTAAATGGATCGCCGATTCAAGCCTCGGTCTTCCGGGCACTTGATCACCTTCCCCAGATCCCACCAACGCTACGGCTAGATTAGTGCGAGGGGGAAGCATACGCAGAAGCTTAAACAAGTATTATTCGCAACCATTGTCGTCATCAACTCGTGATAAAATACGTGGTGTTGCTTGCGTATTGAACCCCAATCAAGACAAGACAGGGTCTACCTCTGTAGATTAGGCCCAATCCTTTGGTTCTGGCAGACAAGGCGGAGTAATCCCTCCCGGTAATAATAAGCAAGCGACGTCACCGCAGTCTAGACCAATCCGCTTCCAAAGATTTGTGTCGCAAAAGTTCCCAGGAGACGACGCTTGATTGCGTTGTTGTTTGATGCGCGCTTCACTTTTCCTTTTGCTGTCTCATCTTTCTATCTTTCTTTAATCTTGTGTTTCTTTAATATGCTGTGATAGTCTCTGTCGAGTCGCGATATTTTACTCATCGCGATAAGACATTCATTTCAACTTCAACATGGCGACGCGACGAGATGATAGCGACAATGACGTCGAAAGCAACCATGAAATCGAGCGAACAGAGGAATCACCTCTTCTACCCAATACTTCACCAATACAACAAGGCGCATCAAAAGCCTTCCGCCGACGCGCCCTAGGCTTCTGCATGCTGGCACTACTCATGGTAGAAGTAAGCCAGTTCATAATGAACCCGCCAACCAAAAAGATCATCGAGGATATCATTTGTCGCAAACACTATCCAGACCATGCCATCAGATCTTATGATATAGAAGATTTTCGATGCAAGGATAGTCCTGTGCAAGGGACGTTGGCTATGGTGCAGGGTTGGCAGCAGGCTTTTGAGATGGGAGTTCGTAAGTACAGAGTATTGAGAGGATTTGGGTTTGTGCTGATATGTGGTATAGCGATCTTGACGCAGTTTCCGTATGGTATTGTCGCGGATAAATATGGTCGACGCCTTGTTCTTTTTCTGGCTATGTTTGGTTGTTGTCTTTCTACGTGTTGGATGTTGATGGTTTGTAAGTACTCCCCCCATCTCCCCATCACCTCCCATACTTACAAGATTAGTACACTTCCCCGACATCTTCTCCATCTGGGCCGTTTTAGGCGACAGTATATTCTTCCTCATCGGAGGCGGAGGCCAAATGGCCGTCGCAATGGTCTACACCATCGTAGCAGACGTGGTCCCCGTCGAAGAAAGAACAGACATGTTCTTCCGTCTCGTCGCCCTAGTTCTAATCTTCAACGTCATCTTCAACCCCATATCCGCATGGCTATTGCAGTATGATCCTTGGTTATCGATGTGGATCGGTTTTGGGTTCATGGTCTTTGGAACGCTGTGTATTCTTCTCATTCCGGAGACCATGCACCTCCGAAGAAAGGATGATGAACGACATGAAAGTGAGCAGTTGGGTAAGAGTGGTGTTTTGAAGCAAGCTTGGTTTAGTATCAAGAATGATATGCAGCATGTTTGGAGGTTTATTTTTGCTTCCAAGAGCATTATGATGCTTATGTTTGCTGTTGCGCTGTTTTATCCTACGAGGATTACTCTTACGGGTCCGTTGCTGCAATACATGTCGAAGAGGTTTAACTGGTCTTGGTCAAAGGTAAGTCGCCTACTACGATCTACTTCAATGACTAACGGGAACAGGCTACATATATATCGACGATTGGAATCATTGCTACGGTGGTATGCTATCTTATCATCCTACCCGTAACATCCGATTCTCTCAACAAATCTCGTCGCTACAAGTCCCGTCCCATCGCAAGAGATCTACTCCTCTCGCGCATCTCCATCACAATCATGGCAGTCGGATTATTACTCATGGGCATAGCCGGAACACCATGGCTATTCGTCATATCTCTCATCATCGTCAGCATCGGCAACTCATTTGTCGCGCTCAGCAGAGCTTTGCTCAATGCTTTAGTTGAACCTCATACCATCGCCACACTGAACACGACTGTGTCGCTCATTGAAGTGATGATGGGTCTTACAGCACCAGCTATGAGCTGGTTCTTGGCCAAGGGTATAGAAATGGGTGGATCTTGGATGGGATTGCCGTTTGTTGTGGTTGGTTTGTTGGCGATGGTTACGACTGGTATGCTTTTTGCTGTTAAGCTGCCGTCGTCTGGTGTTGGTCAAGCTCATGATGGTTGAGGGACGTAATCAAAGAACATTTTTGATACCACTTTTCTCTTTGTTTGATCTAGAATACATATAAATATTAAATACCATAATGCTATGCTTCCTATCCATCTTCCGACCAATCCCATACCCAATGCATCCTCCGGCGCCGTTTAATGATCCCAAAACTCCGCTATATGCATGACCCTCTATTATGTATGCTTCCCATTGCCCAATCCCTTTCTCGCAGTAACGAATGTTCTGTCCATGTTAGCTTGCATATCAGAACCGAACCAAATCAAGACTTACACTTTAGCTAAACTGCGCAGCATAGGATCTTGCATCTCGCCTTTAACGCGATCAAGCAAAGCCCTCGTAGCTTTCTCCTCCCATCCTCCAAGACCAAATAATCTCAACGTCCAATTCTCTATCCCTGTATAAATCAGCGCTGTTCTTTCACATGCCATATCATGACGCAAACTTACCGCACTCAACCATCTCAGCTAGAGCCTTGCGCTTCTGCTGCGTAACAGGATCACTCCCCCAATTCTGAATCGGCAACCAGTCCACGCGCTCCCTAATAACCTCTGCCCCCAATTTCGATAACCAACTTGGCACTCTGGGGATCGGATCGCAGTCGATGCCTAGGTTGATGCACGTCTTTACGAAAACTGTTTCGTACTCTATACACGCTGCACCAATCTCTGGTTTTCCCTGTGTAGGCAGATCAGCCTGTTCGGGATCAACATCGAAAAAGTGCGGCCGTATCTCTGTGATTTCGAGCTGGCCGCCCGGTTTCAGATGCGAGTATGCTTCGGTGAGGAGGGCATCCCAGTCGCGCACGCCGCCACCTGCCAAACTGCGCATGTGGATGAAGTCGTAGGTGCGTGTGGGCCAGGGATCTGTGGCGTCGGCGATTTCGAACGTTACGTTTGGAGGAACGTCTTCGGGGAGAAGGGCGCTGCTGAGATCAATTCCCAGAATATTGACTTGGGGATATCGTTTGGCCATATCGCAAGCCCACACACCACTTCCAGCGCCAATATCCAGTATCTCGAACGGTTCTTCTATGGTGTATTGATCGAGGGGTAACTTGGCGTCGACAAGCCCGCCGTCAAGACACATCTGGTAAAGCTCATGCTGAACGGTCAAACGATGCGCTTCCGACGCATCATTCGGCGTAAGGAGCTGGCCTGAGCCATGATATGTATGACCGTACTCGTGAATAAGGGGAAGCGCGTCTTCGGATATCGTAGAGTAATTAGAAGTCGTATCGCTAAAGTCCGAGTCTTCGGCAGGACTGACATCCTCCACGGGACCGCTGAGCCACTTGCTTGTATCGTTCCGTTTGGCCATATTCTCAGATGATGCGGTTATAGGAGAATGATCGTTGTAGCGGGCCATTTATTTCGAGTATCTCGCTTGCGGGACGGGGGGATCGACGGCGAACGGACGTGTGTTTATGCTTTTTGGCTATCGAGAGATGAGACGCGTGGCAGAGAATTGAAGATAAGAGGCCATGGCCAAAGAGCGAAAGAAAGAGGGATTAAAGTAAAGAAAAGGAGGAGGAGAAAAGAGAAAAGACGACGAGACGACGTTGGGACAGGATGGCATGTCAAGTTACAGTGAACAGGTAGAAAGTGGAGGGAGGTGTGGAGGATGGGTTTTTTGGGCGATGGAACTAAGGTAGGGTCCAGGGTTTGGCTTCACCTGGTTTAGCTTGAACAAACATTGATGAATTCATTACTCCAAGTTGATTAGTCTAGAGAAGGTAGATATGGAAGCTTCCAAATACTTTTGCCTTCGCCTTCGCCGTTCTCCGCAAGCCTCTTCCTCTAAAAAAAGAAGCTTCTTAAGTTCTTACGTTCCTGACTTGACTAGACTAGTGGCTTCATCTTCATCTGATCTAAGAATAAGCTAGTTCAGATCTCCATTCCTCCTCCACCTCCTATGATATGATATGACGCGTGAGATAGAGATAAACAAAACACATGGCAAACCGAGACCCAGACTCGTCTCATTTTACTGTCCGTTCCATGACCCTGCACGGCCTCTCTTTTCCGCCCTGTTCCCACGAGGTGATCTCCAACTAACATCCATACTGTAACCTAACTCCTTACAACCAACATACCCTACCGTCAACCTTCCATTCACTACAACCAACAGCGACTCCATTACTAACCAATCTTTACCATATCCCCTTTCTTTTATCGCTCAATTCATCAGACAATGTAACATTCCGCCCCCCTCTAATAGCGGATCGCATGTACCTTCAAACAATCTCCAATTGTTCACGTCATTAAATGACCCTTGTTCCCCGGGTGGATTCTCTCTTTTTTTGCCTCGTGGCCCCCTTGCGAGTTATGTTCTGGACCGCAGACCGACCTACCTACCAACATCACATTCAGAGTAATTATTCCAAATCCCATATGTAGATACGGGTATTCTTCTCATCAAGCAGAGATGATAACAGGCAAAGAAAAGTCATTTAATCCACAGAGAACCACTATGTCATGCAGTGATATCACAACCAACCCCTAGTCGACATGCGGCGCAGCGCGCAGCGGAACGGCGCGATGGGGATCCCCATGGCAAAAAAACATGTGGGAATTTCGTGATGTGTCGTATCTGGGCGATAAATAGCGTGCATGAAGGACCCGAGACAAGGCGAATCCTTCACAACTCCACAAAGTATCACATCAGTGCAAGCCTAATGCAATCTATCACAAGCAGGTTGAGGGTCAACATTTCCACGACACAGGCAGTGGATTGAGAGTTATCCATCGCGCATAATTGAGAGTCACCCATTGCGATACCATCACACGCAATTGAGAGTTATTCAGATGCGACCAAGTATTGATGCTACACACTAAAAAGTCCTATGGTAAGAATCGAAAAAAAGAAAAAAGTGAAAAGCCTACAGATAACAACGCCGATGCTATGACAAGGCCAACAAGATGAGGGCTCGCCTGGGGTGTTCTGAGAGCAAATCTCAGCTTGAGTACCAAGAGTACAATCCCATGCCTCTTTTATGTCGCCCTGTTATTTCGAAAACCGACTCTTATGAGCCCACAATCGCCGCCATTCCAATTCCCATGCAATCCTGGTCTTGTCCATCAATTATTTCACCAAAGAATTCCCATCTCTTGTGTTTGCAAAGGAGTCTCCCTCCTCTTTCTTGCGTTATCACCAAGGAAAACATCCCTCCTCCTCCTCCTTGGATGTTTGCAAAGGTATCCCTTCTCTTTCTTGTGTTTGTAAAAGCGTCGCCACGCTCGTGGTATTTCCTTGGTCCAAGATCATTCCTCTTGATCGTTGGGTTCAAAGTGATTGATTCCTCATCTGGATCATCCTCAAGTAACAAACATGCATGCAAAACAGACTCGCCGCCTTCCATTATGCCTGATTCATTTGCCAATGCAGTAAAGAAAAAGAAAAGTAATTTTCACTAAGCATCGCTAGCCTGCCCAGCCATCATGGTCCGGTTCCCAGCTCTGCAATGCCCTCCTTCATTCGCATGTCCTGGCCTTATCGTTCGCAAGGCTGGGGGATGCATGTTATTGCTCCCTCCTGCAAGTCCTGGAGATACGTTGTTGTTCCTCCCTCGGTTCAATCCTCCACAACTGCTTTTCGACTGAACTTCCAGTCTAAAGTTGTTATCTGAAAGAAGAAGAAAATAAAAATAAGGCTAATCGTGCAGTCATATCCGGGGGCTGTCAATTTCTAGTAAAACCAACGCCATTTCGCTTCAAGGTGTATCGTGTATCGTGCGGAACATGTGGTTCAATTGCGGTTCAATCCCTTCCGTGAAGAAGCGATTCAATCAATGCTGTTGGGGCATCTCCCTTCGGTCGACGCTTAGGACATCTCCTTCTTCATTCGGCGCTTACTCCCAACTCTCCCATCGGTATGCTCGTCGTCAGGGTTCCATTCTTCAGGGTGAAAGTTGGGGTTGCAGTAATGAGCCCGGTTCCAAATACTATTCTTGAACGTATTGGTCGTTACTTGGAACGTCGAATCGGGGAAATTGTTCTTGCCCTCATCATAGTCCAATTGAACCGGGCTGAAACGGATGTGGTAGCTTGAAGCGGCGGTTCGCAACGGGAGGGAGCTCTGAGGTCCAGACATCGCAGGGCTTGGTGCCATTGCGGAGCCACCAGATATAGAAGCAGGTGGTGTGGGAGGTTGAGGTGTCGCCATGATGGGAGGTGGCGGCGGAGGTGCTGCTCGCGGTGTCGGAGTGGGCAAAGGCTCGGGGAAGGACGACATCCAGGGACTTTGCTGCACGGGAGAAAAGGTTTCGGAAGCACTGACAGGAGGAGGAGGTGCGAACTGTGCGAGACCTCCCATACCAGCAGAACTGCTGAAGCCCGGGATGATGGACAAAGCGTCAAAGTTCATGGTCGTGTATTGACCAAGATCCGCTTGCTCGGATGTGATGTTAGTATTGTGCGTGAACCCGCTGACGCGAAGCACCTGCGTGGCCATTCCCTTGTACAGAATGTCGTAGTGGCCGGGTCGATAGAGTAGGTTGATCATAGGGCCAATGTCTTCTTGGGGCCAGCGGTAGGTGTTGGCCTGGGCGCCCGGGCTGCGGTCGAGCATGACAACCTCGAGAACAAAATCGGCCGGCTGAAGGAGGATCTCAGCGAGGGCAATGAGGCCCAGTTCTTCGATATCCCGGTTAGGGATGTCAATCTGGTTGGCGCAATATGCCGCTACACCGCTGCCGTCGGGAACAAAATCCGCAAACCTGGTAGGGTTGGTCTTGAGGTATGTCGCAGCGAGAAGACGAAGATAGTAGATCATGCTATCGGCACTGCCAGGCTCGTTCCACTTGTTCTGATTCAACTGGTGCGCGTACTGAGGGTTGCCGATGTTCTGGGCGACTTCTCTCAAATGGTCCAACACCTCATCTGCCATATCCTCCCAGTAGGGATAGTTGCCCACGGTGCTCAGCAAAGGATTCACACTCATGAGGCGAGCGACCTCGCCCTCGATCTTGGCCTGATCGCCCGACTCAATGAGCTTTTCGAAATAACTGAAGCCAATTGCTATTGGTGAGAAATATTAGCGCAAGTTCGACATGTCACAAAAGCCAGCCGAGACATGACATGGGCAGCATATGCAATGCAGGCATAACAAAAGGAATGGTAAGCATTGGGATGCAGAACATGTTTCAGCGGCTGAGCACTGTTGAACAAGAAGCGGGGAGTTTGGCTGACTTACCTCTCCAACCACAGTTGCCATCGCCTTGGATAGGGCGGTAGTGAGAGTAGGTCTGGGGGAGGGCCTTGATGATGCGATGTTAGCAAGGGCACAAATGATGATTCTCAACTTTTGGTTCAACGTACGATTGTCTTTTCAACGTAAACTGGGTCGGCCTTTGCGTACTCGTTGGTGATGGCATCGCTAAGGATCTTGTTCCCAACTTTGAGGCCCTGCAAAAAATTGGAAACGGTCAGCGACGAAACAAAATGACGCGCAGGGCGTAGCAACAGCTGCAATTCAATTTAAAAAAGACCCTGGAAAGCCGCGATTTACCTCTAGTACAGGTTGATAATCCCTCGCAGCAGCCTGCTGAGCGGCCATGTCGTGCTGGCCTTGATCCTCCATCTTGAGCACCACCTGCGGTTGGTGTTGATGTTGGTATTGAGGTTGCTGGTGTGGATGTTGGAGTAGTCTTTGGCGGTCTTGCGGTTGTTGCGCTAAACTTGGTGAGGAAGAAGGGTTTGTGTTTGAGTTTGAAGCTTGCGAAATAACGGGAGAGATAGAGTTCGAGGCACCGTTGGAATAGGGCGACGCTGAGGAAGGTGCGGCTGACGAGGTGGAAATTTGACGTTGTCGAGGAGGAAGTTGTTGCTGGTGGACAAGATGCGGTTGGTGTTGGTGTTGAGATTGCGACTGCGATTGTTGCGATTGCAGGTGTGAATGCGACTGGGCGTGCGAGAGCGCTGGAGAGTTGTAGTATCCAGCGGTTGTGGTTGTGGTTGGAACAGCGGTACCTCCACCTCCAGCAGACACGGGAAAGGCAAAGTCCAGGTCTTGAGCTAGGCCATATGACGCGAAGCTGGAGGAGGTAGTAAAGGGAGTGGGTTGAGGCTGGAACATGCCTCGATAAAAGAGGATGACGGAGAAAGAAGTGGAGGAGGGAAAGAAAGGAAAAATCAAGGTAATGATTGATTGAATAAGGTAGTAGTAGCAAGTGATGAGTGACGAGATGTGATGGGGATGGGATGGGAAGGGAACAAGAATGGCAATCAGCAAGAAAATGGAATGGTCTGTCTGGATCCCTCTCTCTTACTGGGTTCTTGTTCTATCACACTTATTCTCACTCACTCACACTTCTCTTTCTGTGTCTCTCTCTGTCTCACTCACAGAAATCCAAGTCACACTGACTGCAAAAAGAGGACGGAAAGTGAATCTAGACATTTCAATCCAATAAAGGGACGGGAGGATGGGCAGTTTTTAGGTGACCTTTCAGGGCAGGCAATGGCGGACAAGCCACCCGTCTCATACTGCTATCTCACGCTGTAATGCCCTGTCACGACGCTGTGGATTGTGGATCAGAAGGACGGATGGACACCGACTCCTCTTTTTCTCTCTCCCCCCCTCCTTCGGGTGCTGGCCGTAACCGTGGCCGGCCGTCAAACCTAACCTAACCTAACCTTACCTTCAGTCAAACAGAGTTATCATCCAATGATGCCCTTGATGGGGCCCCGGGGGTCACTGCAGGGATTGAAGCAGGGGTTGTTGGGTTCAGGGGGGGCTAGCAACTGGCACAATCAACGGACAACGATGGAGACAGCGGGTGTGGCCCAGCGGGTGCGATGGCTCTAGCGTCGTGGATCAATTGGCAACTCGATGTATCTCGGCTACTGATTTACGCCCGCAAGATACATAAGACTTGGAGGTTTTAACGGGAGCTGTACCCTAGCAGAACCATGAATGGGCGGCGAAAGACGGGACAGGCATGCGGCACAGACAAGAGTCTGAGTTAATTAATCTGGGAAAAAAGATTAATGAGAAAAAGAAGGGCAACGGGATCGAGAGACGAAAGAAAAAGAAAGCATAGACAACGCTAAAAAGAAATCCCCGGGAAGTCAATCTTGCCAATGCAACCTGGCAAATGCAGGACGGAACACACTGTCTCAAGCTCCGTGTCTGGCGGTTAGAGGGCATGGATTGGCTGGCTAGAGACGGGAGATGGGACCCAAGGTTCAGTTCAAGGTCACAAGTGTGGGTGATACAGAAGGATGAAGTGAAGTGCTGTGCTGCCATGACATGGGTTTACAGCACGATCCAGGTTGCACAAGAGGAGTATTTTCTGTACAGTATCCATGATTCAATCAACCAAGTATGCTATCGACGGTAACTAGTTTGAAGGTTTGGTGATCGACGGCAACAAACTGATCTAATAATAACTAGGCTCAACAATTAGCTCATATCCTTGGCATCTGCACAATAGGCGCAACGGAAGCAAGAAAAAGGTTCTCGATTCGAGGTACAGCAAGCACTGTACCTGATCCATCTCCATCATCCGTGCCTCATTTCACCTCGTGGCAGGGCGGCCTGTTGAACGATCGGCTACAACAGTGGGTTTTGGACTCCACAGAGCAGCAAGGGCAGGTGAACTCTGTCGCTGGCGATCTCCCGTTGACGACGGGGGTTGAACTGACAATCGATGATGATAGTACACAGTGACTGATGTCGACAATTATTAGAAGTGACGCTTGTGCCGCGGGAAAATCGACAGATAAGGCATGCAGCTAGTGGAGGTAGAGAATCAAGATCGATTCGTGGGTCGGGTGATGTAGTGCAGTGCAGTATCTCACCATGAGCAGAGCAGAGAAAAAGAGAGAGACACGGAATGAGAAGAGCGATGATGACAAGTCTGTGAAGTGCGAGAAGGATTCGGACTAGAGAATATGCTGTAAGTTGATACGGTCAGGAACGAAAGCCAAGACTAGACTCACTAGGTACTGTACCTACGATGGCACAATTCTAGATTGTGCATCAACCATCTTCATAAATATAAATGTACCCGGGCTGGCTGACAATTGTCTGTCATTGTAACCCATCCGGTAGCCATCCGATGTGCCGCTTTTAAGGTCAATCCTATTGGTTATCTTCACCCATCATCATTAATTATCTACCACCACCTCAGTCAAAAAATTCACACCAACAAGTCTTTTCGTTCAGCCGCTCTCTCATGGGATCGTCCAAGTGGAGAAAATCTAAAACCCATCTAAAAAAGCCAAGCCCTTAGCAATTAAACCCGTTGTTCCCCGGGGATCCATATCGTGGAGAAACAAGCACAAGTTCATTGCCGTAGGCAAAGCAAAAAAAGTGATACGATTATTCGGGTAACAAATATGTACAATTCTATCCGTCCGTCTGAACCACAAGCCAGCATCTTCACCGTCTACTGTGCATGTTTCTTTTTTCCGCGGAAGACGGCCCGTCACGGGAACTTGTGGATAAATCCTCCGTAATAACAAACTCAAAAATTGAGGCACAAACATTAAAGGTAAATGCAAGGAACTTGAGTTTTTTTTTTTCTCTTTCATTTTATGTGTTGGACTTTCGTGGCGATGGTGTGTCTGGACCCCTGCGCTTGGCAGGTAAAGGGTGACTGTCAACTAAGACAGGAACCGTTTAACTTGACTGATCTGATGCCATTCTGTTGGTTCTGTTATATTCGGTCTCACATGTCTTTAATTCCAGAGAATGCCAGGCAGCTTCACCTGAGTAAAAAAACCGTTTGTCCAGGGGTGTGTACGCCCCCCGTCTGACCAACAGCTCGTGTCACCCCAAACCTGAACCCAAGAAGATCATGTTGCTCTTCTCATGAGCTGTTCACACACGCCGGCAATTGAAGCTGATGAACAAACGGATCGGTCTCCCGATGGAAGCCATGGATCATGGAAGTCATACAGTACATTAGTGTTCTCACCTACGATCAAGCAGAATAAGCCACGATCTAGAACTTGACACGTTCTCTTCAGTAAGCTGCAGGTCATGAACGGAGGAAAAAGCAATTGGTGAATATGTCTCATCCGACACCTGGTCCACGGGATAAGAAACCGTTTTGCTATCTCGATGAGAATGATGCGACGCGCCGCTGAGACAACGCAAATTTGCATCAAACAAACATTTTCTTCTACAATCTACGGTACGGTACTGAAGCTAGGTCATTCAGACATCAACCCCCTTGCATCGATCAATCTGCACCTCTCGCAAGGTCAACCTCGACAAAGAAAACTAACCCTGACCGCACTCGTATTTTCGTCCAAGGGGAAAAAGTCCGCGATGCTGTACAATCTTGAAAGCGGAAGGTTATACAAAGACAGTGCTTCAAACGCATCTTCTCGCGACGGCTTCTTCTCTCTTTACCACAGTTCTCTTCTCTCCAAAGAAAAGAAAAAAAGTCTTTCAAGCCAAGGCGTCAGCCGCATCTACGAATGCCGCTTTACCCCTCGCAGCTCCGTCCTGTGTAACCCTCCGGGGGCGATAGATCAGCAAGTGCTGAATCGCGGACCAAGAAATCCCTGTCAATGATGATGATTTGCCCATACAAACTGCATCTGTATTAGGCTTTCTAATTCTTGTAAATACTAAACAAATATGGCTGGCTACACGAAGAATGGATATCAAGTCCGAATACGGCGTCACTTCGGGCCTTGGATTTCCCATGCTGTTACCCGTGTTGGACCGTTGCCAAAAGCCTCGTACTATGCGAGATCCCGTCCGCCTCTGCCCAAACACGGAGGCGCCCGCATACGAACTGTAACAGGATCTGCTTTTTTCTCGATCCAGCAAACGATGAATTTGGCTAACATTGATGTAAATGATATTAGTCTTTTCCGGACTGCTTTGTGTTGCCCATCAGTGCTGCTGCAAGCGACTCTACTCAAGCCGCCCACGCTTGCCCTGGCACCTTGCCCTTCTTACCGCGGTGCTGGCCTCCTATCCTACTGCCTGTTTTCCCAATTGGCAGACCTGACACGTCGATGTTCTGCTCATCTACTCCCGAGACTTCAATGTTGCGGAAACCATCTCCATCCCTGAAAACAGCTCCAAACAGTTCAGATATGGACGATGTAAGTCCCTGTAGAGCTGCAATGCGCTCGGCATCCGCATCAGACGTAATCTCCAATAGTCCCTCCTGCTGGTTCACGCGACCATTGATCTTGCCATCGATGATGAGGAAACCCAGAATGTCCTGAACCTCTGGCTCAGAAATCTTGAGTTGCTTGGCAATCCAGGACAGCTTCATGCGGGTGTAGGGTGCAATCAGTTTAACCACGCCCTTGGTTCTCATGTTACGCGTGACTTCGTCAATGTTCTCAGCGATAAACGAGTCGTCCAGGATGTCTTGGTTACGCTGCAGCACCCTTTCGTACATGTGAACATCATCCCGTTGATAAGCGTCCACCAGCTCCGTCATGGCGGAGATTCGGGGATCTGTCTTGTAGGGCTTTGTCTCTTGCGAGTCGAAGGGGTTGATGTCGGACTTCATCAGCATGGTCGTCAATAGCAAGTATTTCAGAACCTGGATTCGCTGTAGTGAACCGGCTTCATCGTAGTTTCGGAATGACTCGAAGAAGTCGCTCTGGGCCTCCTTCCAGTTTTCCTCACTCATGTGCATCTTTCCACCGCACTCTCGGATAATACCCATGATTCGGGGATGTGGCACAGCGGATTTGACCTTGAGAGCGCGCTGGTACAAAGCCTTTAGCTGCTTGTTGTTCTTCGTCTCGGCGAACATCTGGATCTCGAGGGCGTAGATCTCCAGCGAGTAGGTGCCCTTGCTAGGATCGTCGGTGCCATCCTCTCGCTGACAAGATTTGTGTAGTTCGCGGAGTTTCTTCGATACGGCGGTGTACTCCTTCCGGTCGAGAAGCAGCTTCGCTAGCTTGATGTTGGTCTTGAGCCATAGTCGCTCGTTATTCGTGCTCTGGAAGCTCTGAAGTGTGAGAGAATAGAATTGTTCCATACACTTGACAGCCTCGGGGCCGTCTGCGCCTTTCTCAATGTAATCGAGCATATTGTTGATTGACTTTTCGGAGTAGTTTCTCGTGACGGCCGACTTGACGTATGTGAGGAGCTCGGCGTAGTGTTCAGCAGCCTACTCCCATTAGCATGAATTCCCACGTATGATCCCAATAAACCGACCTTGTCATATTGACCTAGCTTGAATTCAAGCTTTATCGCCTGCTTTATACCCTTGAATCCCCATTCCCCCTTCTCGTCTTCGAGTGGCGGGATGCCTAGAAATTCGGAGATGGCTTCTTCTGGGTCGGACAGCTTCATCTGTTTGGCATTGTAGTACTTGTTTTCGATGTCGACGTCGCCGGTCTCTTCGTCATCGTCTTCTTCGTACTCGAAATCGTACCTGATCGCAATTGTTAGTAGTGCACTGCGCTTCAGTTGGGCTTGCGTACTGCTCCTCATCGGAGTCTTGCATGAAATCCTCGTCGTCCGACATTGTGAAAGAAGTGTGAATGAATTAAACAATAAACGCTTCGTAGATAAGTGGTAAGGAATGGTTCGGCCGTCAAAAGTTATGGCGGAGCAAGAAGTTGAATGTTGATGAATGATGATTGTTGGTTATTGGACGGAGGCTCCAGAAGCTGATGTGGAGCAGGCAGCCGCGGGGTGGGCTGGCTTATCGATAAGACAGCTATTACAGCCTCAACACCAAAGGATATCAACGAGGATCGCAACCATGATAGGCATCTCTAATGAAACAAATTGAGTCTCGACAAGATTTTTTGTAGAATATGAAAAGCTAGAATAAGATGCCCGATTCTTGGAGTTTTTATCTAGCCATTCAAGTAGCATAGTATCTAAATGCCCATCGTTATTACATTCACCATGTCATGATATCATCAAGTCCAGCATATGACAGCAATCACAGCTTCCCATCATCCTTCAGCCCCCTCCAAAGCGCCAACGCAGCCAAACACTTCGCATCCCTAGCCCCCTCCCTCCAAGCCTCCCCCATCGGCACAACCTTGAGCGTAATCTTCTCCCCATGCTCCCTCAACCCCGTCAACCGTCCACTCCACTCCCGAATCTTGTCCCTAGGCAACTTCATCTCATAACTAAAAATCGTAACATGCTCATCACACCCTCCCGCAGAAGGAAACATCGCCTGCGCCAACCCTTCACCATCTTTTTCGACAGGTGCAGCAAGTTCGCTGAGGTTGGTAAGTTCATCCTCGTGGATCGTCACGCCGAGCTCTTCTTGGATTTCTTGCGCGGCTGCGCCTTTAAAACTGCCGTCGTCGACCATACCGGCTGGTAGCTCGACGAAGCTGAGACTTCCGGCAGGAACGCGTGGTTGGACTGTTAGCACGACGTAGCGCTCTTCGGGCTTGTCTTCGGGTATGAGCATGAAGAGCATCGCTACGCTTGGTCCTCTCAAAAGAGCGGCGGCGGGGAGGGTTTCGCCTGCATCGTTGGATACGGTGGCTGTGAGCTTTATAAAGCCTACTCGTTTACCGAAGAGGTCGAAGGACTGAATTGTTACTGAGCGCAGAGCGTAGGGATCTTTGTGGAAGGGGTGAGATGAGTCGGATTGGAGTTTGAGAGAGTTTGTCAAAGTGTCGACCCAGTTCTAGAAGTCTGGTCAGTGAGAATTCGTTTATAAGAAGGGAGGTAAGTACATTGAATGGTCTGAATGAATCCAGCTGCTCTTGAGAGAGTCCATCGGGCAGACTGAGCTGGACGTTGTGGCTTTTGAGCGTGGTAGTCATGTTGCGCGTCAATTGAAGGGGTCTTTGGTGGGCGAGACAAGTTGCTGTAAGTAGAAAGCGAGGATTTTTGCAGACGTTGGCGAGAAATCGCATTTCTTTTTCTTTAGTAGAGTGTGTTCAGAGTTGGAGGTGAGTTGAGAGTGTGATTGTAAGACAGCCATTCATTGGAGGGGCGTGACGTAAAGGATGCTCTCATTCACTTAAGGTTACTTACCCGACAGCACTAACACGAGACGAACAATTGAAGAATTGCAACAGAGATTGACACACAGCAAGACCTCCCAGTGATTGTGTTAATGATGTTTTATTATTTTGAGGAGCAATTCTTAAGAAAGCAAACAGGCTCCCAAACAAACGTTATTTAAGGATGTCGTCAAGCTCATCTCTCTCCAGAAGCAATTGTCCAGCTTCATAGGATCAATCCCTTAAACAGCCCAATAAACATCAATCTTGACACTCTCAACATGATTAACCCAAGCCGAAAACCTCGCCTTGGCCCAGATAGTAATCACATCTCCCATCTTCAAGTCCCTCACAAAAGACCCATCACCCGTCTCCCGACCGCGACCAGTCTCCACTCTCATCTTCTCAGCGGCATCAGACTCAGGCTTAATATCGTCTGTCCACATCCAAGTAACGACATGCTCCTGCCAAGCGCGATGAGCCGTCTTGTTGTGCTGAATAACCCATTTGTCCTGTGGTTGGAGAGGATGCGTAAAGCCTAGCTTCTTGTCGGAAATAGGTCCGGTTTCTGGATATAGTGGACGTAAAGCGCAGACGGGCAGGGGGACAGCTTCGGAGGTGTTGGACTTGTAGCGGACGTCGTATGTGCATTGAGGATCACCTAAGAAATTAGTACAACCTTCAGAAATAAAAGGTCTTGACTTACAGATTTGCTCGGCATCGAATTTCTCCAATCCTGCCTCAAACCAGGTCCATGACCCGTTATACGTATGTCGATTCTCCGTATCGCTAGACCACCCCTGGTCCTTACTCCGAATCGTAAAAACCACCTTCCGCACAGGATACTGCAACTTGGGCGTGGGATAATTCGCCAACTTGACAAAGTAATCCTTCTCATGCTCCTTTTCCAGCGCCTGCGGCTTAGCTTCAGTCATATCGTACGCTAGGATCTCCGCCAGCGCATGTCTGCCTTGAAGACCCGTTAGACCCACAGGGTAAGACCGGAGCTATAAGGTGTTAGTCTAGACCCCCATTGCCAGCAAGGCTGATTGACTTACAAGGAATTTGTTCTCAGATGGGCTGCCTCCTATGACCGTGAGGGGGTGTTGATGTTGCAGCTTGTAGTCGATTTCGTTGCTTGAATGAGCCCAGTACTCTGCGAAATCGAGGATGATGTCGACGACGTCGGGGGGAAGTTTCTTGCCCTTTGTGAGCATAATGCGAGCAATGACAACGTCAATGGGCGTTATCCCTTCATCGACGGTCTCTGGCTCTTTTCCATTTTGGTTGTCTTGCCCGAATGTTGGAAGCATGCTTTGTAGGCCGTGGATTACATTCTGAGGGATACTTTGAGCCATGATGATGTAGGCGATGATGAAGCCGAGAATGTATTCCAGCATGTAATTCGTAACTTTGAGGTTTTGTAAAAAGAAAAAAGAAAAGGATACTTCGTATTTTATTCAGTGTAAAAGGTGACGCGTTTAAGCTTGATTTACAAAAGGCAACAGCATTCACACCCATTCACAGCCCATCCCTCGCTTGACGTCAATGTACCACGCCACGTGCTATCTTATCTTACACAAGCTTTATCTTATCGCACGTGCAATGGCATCATCCCTGACTAACGGCGTATCATCCCGTTCCCCGTCTATCCCCCGCGCATCGGAGGGTCCAAAAAACCGTCCGATTACCCATCCTCGATTACAAACACCCATTGAAAATGCAATTCCCCTTCCGAACGATAATTTGTCTCTTACATACCCGTTTTCCGCCATGATGAGGTCCTCACGGTCTCTTGCTGCGTCAACTCGCCAGTTAAGAACTGCACTTAAACCCAATGCCTTGTCTCGCGCATCATGGATCGCTGGAACTCGCCAGCTTCACACCTCGCCGATCAGGAAGTCGGGCGTAGCTTCAAACCCAGCAATGTCCTTCCCCTGCCTCGACGCACTGGAATCTCGCTCTGCAAAACTCACAGTCTCAGACGATACCGAACCTTCGTACACATCCGGCGCGACGCTGAATTACCACCACAAGGAACCCTTCCTGCTCGACTGGGGTGGTATCCTGCCCGAGTTCAACATCGCTTACGAAACGTGGGGTGAACTCAACGCCGACAAGTCCAATGCTATTCTGTTACATACCGGTCTCTCCGCTTCGTCTCATGCGCATTCTACCGAGACAAACCCCAAGCCTGGCTGGTGGGAGAAGTTCATTGGACCTGGCGGTCCTCTTGATACGAACAAGTACCATGTTATCTGCACGAATGTCATCGGTGGATGTAACGGTTCTACAGGACCTAGCAGCGTTGATCCAGGAAATGGAGAGCGCTATGCGACTCACTTTCCCATCTTGACAATGGACGACATGGTCCGCGCTCAATTCCGTCTTCTCGACCATCTCGGCATCGACAAGCTTTATGCCTCCGTCGGTTCCTCAATGGGCGGCATGCAATCCCTCGCCGCAGGAGTCCAATCACCCTCACGCGTAGGCCGCATCGTATCAATCAGCGGCTGCGCACGCTCGCACCCCTACAGCATCGCAATGCGCCACACCCAACGACAAGTTCTCATGATGGATCCCAACTGGAACCGCGGTTTCTACTATGGCAAAGTGCCTCCACACGCAGGAATGAAGCTCGCGCGCGAAATCGCGACAGTGACATACCGATCCGGACCAGAGTGGGAACAACGCTTCGGCCGTCGACGAGCAGACTCTAGTAAACCACCAGCCTTATGTCCCGATTTCCTCATCGAGACATACCTTGACCACGCGGGTGAAAAGTGGTGTTTGAACTATGATCCCAACAGTCTTTTGTACGTCAGCAAAGCAATGGATCTTTTCGATCTAGGCATCGAACACCAGCGCGCCACGCACGCTCGTCGACAAGAGCGTGAGAAGAAGCTTGCTTCAGGCGAAGCATCTCCTTTGTCCACCGACGCAGCATGCAGTCTGACGCTTCCCAACAAGCCCTACGAGGAACAACCCGGATCGCACCCTGATCCCTCAGACCCCACTGTCGTGCCTGGCTCGCGACCACCTGAGGATCTGATCCACGGCCTTGCGCCGCTGCGTGATACGCCCACGCTGGTGATGGGTGTCGCGAGTGACATTCTCTTCCCTGCATGGCAGCAGCGTGAGGTAGCTGAAGCAGTTCGTCTAGCTGGAAACCGCAATGTAACACATGTTGAGTTGAGCGAGGAGATGAGTATGTTTGGCCATGATACATTCCTGTTGGATCTCAAGTACATTGGCAACAACCTGCGCATGTTCCTCGGTTAGAAGAATGTATTCAAAATGTAAAATAGGCGCTGGTCTTGTTATTTATCAGTCATAATACAATTCATTTCACGCTGCATCACTTTTAAATCTCACTGCATCACTTCACAAAGTGCACAAAGTAATCATGTAGAGCCAGGCTCAAGGCTCTGGATATCTATTCCTTAGACATTAACCACTAATCATGTCCCGATGATTATGAGTATATACATGAATCAAAAGAGAGATACAACAGCGAGGGACGGGGGTATGTTATAATCTATAAGCGAAAGACGCCATATGCAAAGGGAATATATAGACAAAGAAATGGGTGTAAGCGATAGACGATACGCAAGAAAAGTCATGAGACATCTAGCCTCTTTTTATAAAAGCCCAACAAACGCTCCAGTATAATGAGATCCAAGAAATAAATGGCCAGGTTAGATAAAGCCAGGGTTGTTTGCATCAACCACAGGGTTGGGAGTTCTGGCTCTAGCAGACTCCAATGAGTGCGGCCCCGAGGCAACCCCTTGAGGAACGGTGATGGGAGATGGTCGAGGGGGAGCCCTCTTGGCCTCAACGCGAGTCCTGCTGCGGTCCCTGTCCCTGGGTGGCACAAAGTCCACCATGACAGGTGAGATCAAGGGTCTACCTTGGTTAGGCTCAGGTCGATGTTCCCATGGTCCATCAAAGTCAAACGCGCGCGATAGATTCTCGCTCGAGCTGGAGATGGACTTTTGCAACGAGGGGAACGAAGGCGAAGGCAGACTTGGTGGTGTATCCGAGATAGGTGAAGAAGCGTACTGAGCAAGTCGAGGGCTCAGCGAACTATCAGTAGCCTGTGTGGGCGAACGAGCGAACTGAGTGCGGAAAGGCGAGAGAGCAGCCGGAATAGCAGACTTGTGTGCTTCGGCGCGGTCAAAGTCATTCCAGTTGGGAGTACTGGGGTGCTCAAAAGACTCCTTGGGGCGCACTGGCGATTCGTTTCTAGGCGGAGGATACACAGGAGGCTGGCGACGCTGCTTCCTTGGCTCCAAACCAAAGCCCCTCTCAGGGCTTTGAGGCTCGGGCTGTTGAGGTCTACGGCCTCGTGGTAGACCCTTCTGGATGGGAAATTCACCTTCCATAGGACTCTGTTGGAGGAATGGGCTGGCAGTTCTAGGTGGTTGAGGACTCGACTGCAAGAATGGACTCGCCGCTTGTGGGGGCGCAGGGCTATGAGTGCGAGCAGGACTGGCTGTTCGGGGAGGTTGAGGACTGTATGCGCGGAACGGACTCGCTGCTCGCGAAGGCTCGCCGGCCTGGCATAGGAACGGGCTTGCCGTTCTTGGTGGCTCAGGAATACGCGCAGCTTTAACAAAACCGCTATCATCAAAGCCCGTACCAACAGCACTTCGCGGTCCATTTCCAACAAGAGGAATAGTTGCCGAGCGATCAGCAAGAGCAGGAACTCGAAGAGGTCGGCCAAGCTTTGGCTCGGAGTCGGTTCGAGCACGGAAGCCGCGTGGCGGGGGTTCGAGAGGTCGGCTCATGAAGCCTGGATCGGCGCTCGCGGTGGTGTCAGGTGTTTTACTCCTGAGGGTTGTGTCGGGGGTTGCGCTTCTGGAAGCAATGTCGGGAGTGTTACTCCTGCTGTTTCCAGGGTTCAATCGAGGTGGTGGCACAGGTGGGAGAGGAGCGGTAGGTGACCGGTATGGCGAAGGTAGAGGTTTCGTAGGCGGAGAAGAGTTGGGAGGTTGGTATGCCTTGTACTGCTTAGGAGGGTACTGAGGTGATGGTGCGAGCGATTGCTGGTTCCGAGGAGGAGATCGAGGGAATTCGAAATTAAGTAGCGGCGAGTCCTCTCGGCCTGGGAAGGAAGCGAGAATAGGAGATGGTCCAGGTGAGCTTTGCTGAGGAGGTTGCGACAGCGGCGATGGCGCAGGAGAGCGCGAAGGAGAGACAGGTCGAATGTTCTGTATGGGCTCTGCCAGCTGACCAGGTTGGAGAATCTTGGGGGCCTGGTGCATCGGCTTGGGCTGCTGAGAAGGCTGAGGTGTCTGAATACGAGGAGCTTCCTCTGCTGCCGCTGATGCCAATGAAGACACCAAAGACAGAGGCGACATCGCATCACTAGCAGTTCGGGTTCGGGTCAAAGCTGTGTCAAGCATGCTCAGACTTGGACTCGACTGCATAGTCCTCAAAGGACTGGCAGTTCTCGCACTTCCAAGAGGACTGGCCGTCCGGGCAGATGCCAGAGGCTTGGGCTTGACATTTGTGTCAATCGGGCTCACTCCTCTCTCACTCGCTGTGTCGATGCTGTTGCCTCCAATGCTGCCCTTCCTGACAGTCTCACCAAAGTCGAACCCAGCAAAGTTTCCAGCAAGACCCTCAGCCATGGGCTTGGGACTATCGCGAGGATCCGTCTCCATGGTAAAGCTTTGTCTTCTAGGCATGTGGAATGTGAATGTGTCGCGCTTAGCTGAAACATTTCGAATCACAGGCGACTCCCAGACCTCCTCACTACGCGCAACCGAGACAGCTGGGCTGGGGAGAGACATAGGACCGGCAGTGCTAGGCTTGTGAAGGCTAGGCGCGGTAGGCACGTTTTGACGACTGCTCGAAGGTCGATTGTCGGGAGAAAAAGGTCGCTCAGCGTTGACGATGGAAGGCGGAGGAGATGGATAGCCGTTATTAGCTGTGGGAATCGGGCTCTTGGTCCTGACATCTTTGATTTCGGTTCCGAGATTAAATTCGAATTGGTCCGAATGACTACTGGGCTCGTCCAAGGGCGTATTCGGTATACTGCTGACCGAGTCCTTTCCAAAATGAATATTAAACGGGTTCGGGGTCTCTTTTGTCGACACAGCGGTTCCAGGGCGTGTGGGTGTACCGGGTCTGTTGCCATCCGCATTTATAGGGCTGGGCGCCACAAGACTTGTCGAGCTACCATTTCCGAAGCGAGTGTTGAGTTGAATGTCTGAAGCGTGGAATCGAGGGTTTCCCATTCCTGGTGCTCGCGGCGCACTTAGATCGACCATGGATGAAGCCGCTCCGCCGCTGTTCTTGTAGGGAACACGCGTAGGAGGCTCGAGCGTTGAGTGTGAAGTACCAGGGCGAGCGAGCTGTGGGCGGGAGAAGTTGCTCTGTCTCTTGATTTCCATGGCGGTGATTGTGGTGACGGTTTCGTATGTGTCATTGCGATGTAAATGCTGTATCTTGTTCGTAGCTAATTTACTGCTGTCCCTGAGTCAATTGTTAGTGAATGTTTGACGGGATAGAGAGGAGTAAGCAATCTTACTGTGACTTCTTCCTATTGCCTCCAAGTCTGAGGCCAAAGAAGGAAACCATCTCGAAGACGGTAAGAAGGGAATGAATAAAAATGAGTGGACGACCTATCGAAATGTCATGAGCGAATGGTCAAGGAAAGGAAAGGCAAGAAAAAAGAGATGATGTAAAGGCGAGATAAGATGTTAGATCATGGATGGGACGGTGCTAGGCGTTCTGTGCATATTTCTAGAAGACCTGGGACTGGGACCGACCGTTGCTGGACCTGGACCGGAGAGCACTTACCGTAAAGTAGTACCTCACTAAAAGGGTCCCGCTCAACGGGGGTAAGTTAGGGAAGCGACGGTGCAATAAGGACTGCAAGGTAGAAGAAAAGCCAAGTAAAGTAGGGGCAGGCGCACGAGGCGTCAAAGGGACCAAGTGGGTTAATTTAAATCAGATGGACTCCAATTTTAGACGGGAACGATGGACGAAAATGGTCACCTAAAACCAAACCAAAGAAGAATTCAACAGAGGTCCATCACAGATTGGTCTTTCACCCTTTGTGTCTCTGTCTCAAGAGGATTTAGTTCGTAAAAGGGGCCGTAAGCGTCAAGTTAATTCTTCTGGTCGTTGGCGTTGTGATGGGATTGGACAGAGGAGATCTTTAGCTCGCTGCAAGCTTAAGAGCTAAAAGAGAAGACAAATGGATCTCTGCAGGTACAAGCTCAGGGGCTCGACGCTTTTTTCCTTCTTTCTGTCAATTGGGGCTGTCCTGTCCAATCCTTGGTTCGCGGGGTCAGGTTCAGTTTTTTTTCTCTTCCCCTTCTGAACTACTTTTTTTTAATGGGGTTTCCTTTTTAAAATAGGGGAATTGATAGAAAAAGAGGAGAAAGAAGATGCACTGTTGGATAGAAGGTGTATGTAAAAAGAGAGGACACTGCCACAGACAGAGATCAACAAAGGTGAGAACTCAATTGATGATCCGCTTAGGTGAGACGAGTGAAAGGAGTGGACTGCGCCTCAGAATTGTGGTGATAGTAAAGTATCACAGCCCTTTGGTCAAACAAAGGAGTGTCAGTGAGTAAAACGGACCAGAGGAAGAAAATAGCAACAGAAATTCGATATGATGCAGTGGGAAAGATACCCGAGACAATGTAAGGAACAGCAATGAGAGACGAGACACGGCAAGGCGAGACAGACAAGACAGGCCAATGTCGATCGCTAATGAAACAGCGTAGCATCTGCATTGGATATATCCCCTTAGTCGCGCGCCAATTCTTTACTGTACTCTACACCTCCAGAATCCTACTACTACGTACGTAGTAAATGCTGTCATAGCAATGGATGGATTATGGATCCATGAATTCGGTTCTCAAGATGATCGAGATGTCAATTGCGCCAATCTAGATAACTTCATTATATTTAGAACTCTCATTAAACACAAACCACACAGATAAAAGAGACAGACGAACTCCCACCTGAGTGGCGTCTTAGATTCCAATCTCAGGGGTGTCAAGGATCCCTTATTCATAATCCCCAGGGTGACCAATAACGATCGTCACCCCCCTTCACTATTATTTCGCTTGGCAGTTGAAACGAAACAGGAAATATTGGCGGTTATGCAAATGCAATGTAATGCAGTTTCTCCGTCCGTTTTATTTCCCCGGCACTTGAACTTTCCGTGACAGCGGAGGTTTATTCTTTTGGAGACAAGTCTACGGTAAGAGAAACCCTATAGCTATACTACAGTCCGGTATGACCTGAGTGGAAACATGATGCATATCTCAGGTCGTCTCATCATGGTATAAGCGAAATGGTATGACCCAGTGCTCTCAAACTCGATTCTGTTTGACATGTTATGCCATGATTCTTTTCTGTAAACGAGTGGGTTGGCAGAGAGACTGAACTTATGCATAGGCAGGGCGTCCTGGTGCCATTAGAAACCTGACTGCCGCGAGCCTAAAAGATGGAATGGTAGGCCAATTGATGTCATCGTAGACTATCTCTTGGAATCTACATTTCTTGCACCACAGCTTCGCGGCTAGGCTCCTCTAACGACTTGCGCTTGGGTCACGATATGCACATGATAATCACCCGCGACACCAAGAGACCAAAGCTGTAATAAACTCCAAACCAAAAACTTGCTTTGATCTTTTATGCTCTGCTCTGCTACCCTAACGACAGATAGGTATCGTCATAATAATTCCCATAGATACGCCTGCAAATACATGATGACCGTCCTGAACGCCATGGTTGTGATCGCCCCATGCTAACCGCCTCGTCTAACTTTGTATCGTGTAGTAGTCCCAATGCGTGTCTGAGAACTGAAGAAACTGTATCGAGACACACATTATAGCTGCTCCAACAGCTTTCTCCTCCGTCTCTCAATCAACTCCTCCTGCACCTCCTCCAAAGTCGGCAAATCCCATGTAACACCATCGCCACCGTCTCCGGGCAAAGGCTCCCATCCCTCCGGCACATCCTGAGATCCTGTCTTGATCATATGCTCAGTAGCCTGTCTCTCCTTCTCAGCCTCATAAGCCAACAACTCCTCATCCTCCTCATCAGGCGCATATCCATAGTACGCCGCATCCACATTCCTCCTCATATCATGTCTCTCCTCAAGCGGCTTCTCATCACCCTGATTCCTCGCCGCCTCAAAAAGCTCCTTAACACCAGGAAGTTCCCTCGCACGACCAAAGTACTTGTAACCCTTTCCACCGCCAGGTATTTCACGACCTTGCTCATCGTAGATCTTGCCGCCGCCGCGCATGTAGTTCGGTCCGCCTAGGTTACGTATCTGGATCTCCCACATGTGTTTTTCGCGCATGAGCTTGTTGATTTCGTCGTTGAGGTCGCGGATCTGGTAGTCGCTGAGGATGGGGTCCTGGATGCGTGACATCTTGCGCGAGATTTCCTTCAAGACCTGACCGCGCCATTTTTCGCAGGCTGGGATGGCAGCTACTTCGGTGATGAGCTTGGGTCGGCGGGTGCGGCCGGCGTCGATGATGCCTAGGTCTGCTGCTTGGGCTTCGCGGAAGCGAAACAGCATAGACTGGGCCTTTTCCGAGTTACGGGCCTGTGATTGTTAGTCTGACGCACTGAGAATGGCTTGGAGAATAGGGTGTCGTACCATTTTGACGGTTCTGCTGCGGAAAGCAAGATTGGCAGAGTGTAGCGATTGTAGAGGCCAAAGTTGAGTGTTGTTCGCGACCCAAAGTCAAGGAACTTTTCCCAGCCACTCCAGCCTCGTTAGAGCTGGTACCGATGCCCCGCTAGCGCCACAGCGCCACAGTTAAGGGTCAGCCTGCTCTAGCGCTCCCGCTGTCAATCGCGCGGCGCAACGCGACTTGGAATTTCGACCATCATGAGTTTGGTATGCCAGTGCCAGCCAGCTGTCAACGGCCGTCAACAACAACGAGAGAACGAAGTATTGTGCGCGCAGCCCGCAATCACTCCTCGCTCTGGAGAAGCATAAATAACGGCTTCCCCTCCAATTCTCTGCCGCTTTCTTTCCTTTTCTCTTCATCGCTTCGCATCCTCAACTTGGACGTCAATTGCGACTTCAACTGCGATCTTGCTATACCTCGAGTGCTTCGACACTCACCAACTCTACTGCTAACCGTCAGCTTCTTTGCTACACACTATACTCTCTCAATTTTCTTTCGTCTCCGCGCCCGTCTTTCCTCGCCCATTTCCTCCCTCCATGTCACCTTCACTCTTCTTCACCACCATGCCTCCCAACGCCCTCACCTCCCCTTGCATGGCCCAGTCAAGCGACCGGTGCTCACCATCCGGTATGTTCAAGTGCACAACTACCCCATATCTCTTACTCTGCTTTCTTTTGCTTTCTGTTTCTTGGGGGCGTTTCGGTTTCTTGGTTTTTGGGGGGTTGCTTTCTAAACTTTTTTGGGGAATATTCTTATGGAGTTCGGCGTCAGGAGTCTGGCGTTCTCTGTTTCTCTCCCTCTTCCTGTTCTACTGACTCCAAGCACCTTTCTTTCTACTACACACTTTCGGTTGGCTCCCCGGGTCTGCTATGATGACAATGTTCACACCGAGCTTAGGTGATTCCCCCCTGATCGTGTATACCCTCGGGCAACCATCGAGTGGTGGGAAAATGTTCCTCACACAAGAACAGAGATCTGAGCAGACCCAAAGTTATTTCCCTTCCTCCTTTTCCTTTTTTCTTATGTAGCCCTATAGTAGCCGCAATGACAGATACCTTCTCAAGTGTGAAGTAGTCATATCTCCTGGGCATGTCTTGGGGGATATCAGAGACGCTCGTGATAATGCACGATATAGTTTTCAATCGGAGCAGGCTTGGGCTCTACGGGGGAAGGATGAGGAGGAGGAGAGATTCTTTGAGATACGAATTATGTTTTGCCCGGTGATGATCAATCGACCAAAAAGCCAAATTTGCAGGCAGCAGCGGTGGGCTTCACGTCAAAGACGGTTGCGCGGGCTCTGTCCAACTGCCGCGAGTTGTCAGTGGGAACCTAAGAGAGCTAATCTGAGGGCCTTGACATATTTCGATCTCATGAATCACATGTAATTAGAACACCTAGATAGACAGTTGTAGAAGAAAAGACAAAAAACTTTATTCTATGATTCACTTTTAATCCTGCTCTACTACAGCAATGTTCCCACGATTTCCTATCGTGGTGTCATTAAAAAAAGAGAAACGTTGTTGTTACAATCATCATCCGCCTCTTCATTTATTGCGTCTTCTTCACAGATTGTCCCTCCGTGGGCTTCGCGCTGTACAGCCATACGACGGAGAAGGCCAGGAAACCGAGGATGGTAAAAAAGATACCAGCCAGAGGAGGCCAAGCTCCATTGATAGTGTAGCTTCGATCATACTCGTTGTGAGCCAAATGTCGTACGCTGACTGTCTTCTTCTCCTCGATGTTGGTGAGGAAAGAGCGCTTGTAGTTGACCATAAAGTTAAAGATGCCGTGCTGGTCGGGGAGGGTGAAGTTGGTGCCGTAGATGGTTTCGTGCTCGTTGGAGAGGATGGGCTTGAGGTTGAGACGCCAGAAAGGGGACAACATGGAGAACTCAAGCTGGATCTTATCGCCCTCGGGGAGGTGGTAGGGTTGCCAGTTGTTCCAGGCGTACTCGGACAGAGAGATGTTGTAGGACTAGATTGTTAGTAGTGATCATTACCAAGTTGGCTTGTTTGACTTACCACATCATTCTTGACGCGGTATCCGTCGGGGTTAGTCTCGTTGCTACCGTCAAGGCGGTGCTCAATCTTGTTCACTCGCAGAACACCAAGCTCCTGGAAAGTCCAAGCAGCCAAGTTGGTGACAAACTCACGGTTGGCAGGGAACTGAGCCTGACCACCCTGTCGAGCAACCTTGGTGTCGAAAGTCTTGTCCTGGAACATCTCAGCGGCACCAATGACGGTAACACGCGCAGAGTTGCGAGCCTGGAAGACAGTGACGAGGTTAAGCTGTCGGCCAGAAGAGAACAGCTCATCAGGCTCGATTGTCTTGTTCTGCTCCTTGGGGTGGTAGCTGTAAGCTGTAGCAGGAGAGCGAAGGACGGGTGTAAGGAGCTGCCCGTTGCCGAGAATGTGGCCGATAGCGCGAGGAACGGAGAGGAATGCGCCAGGGATCTCGAAGTAATCCTTCATGCCCTTTCGGACGGCAGGAGGAGCCTCGAGGACGAGGACATCGTGGTCCTCGGAGGCGGAAATAGTGTCGTATGAGAAGTGGTCGACGACCTTGGCGGTGCGCTCAGCGGGAATGTGAATGTCGAGCTCGGTCAGGACGGCGTCGAGAGTGGAAGGCACGGTATGGGTGGAGGACATGGAAACGAGGATGTTTCCGCCGGCATTGATGAACTCGATGATAGCCTGGGGAGTCATTTTGGGTCCAAGTCCTGCGCAAGAATTAGTATACCCATCATCACAAAAAGATAGAAATGACGAACCTTTAATCGTGGTGGGGAGGAAGAGGAGGTGATCATATGTCCTCTCTCCGTGCAGAAACAATCCCAAGCTTTCGCTCTTTGGTGATTCGTAGGTGATTTCATAGCCTCGTTCTATCAATCGTAAGCTTCAACCCCAATCCAATTGTCAATGGGGATAAATACCAGACAGGTCGCCGAAAAAGGTTGTGTAGGCCTTCTTGTCATCTGGACTATCCAACACAACCAGCAGACGGTTTCCAGCTGTGCTCACGGCCGAAACCAGCGCCGCGAAGAGAAAGAGCACAAGGCTCAAGAGTGACCGCATTCTGAAAAACAATATCGGGGGAATGTGGTTGAGATTTTTGGTTGGTTGGGGGTGATCTCGTTCTCTCGCGAGGTGTAAGTTGATGGATACTGGCGTGGACAGCTTGCGCTTTAGACAGAGAGCTCTAATCTGGTACGCAGGTACCTGGAGCGAGCTTGCGTTTTGGGATACGTAGCCTTCAGTGGGGGAGGTGAAACCCGTCACGCTAGACTCTGTGAGGCAGCGCTCTTGCCCTAAAAGGCTAAGTGCTGGGTGTCGACTTCCAAATAATCCGACCTCTTCGGCTTGGTTTTTCCGCTCCTGCGATTGGACCGTTGCTTCGATAGCCAAAGCCCATCATCACCACCAAGACCAGACGATAAACCACCCCAGATCCTCGTCAATTGAGTACGAACCGACTCTCCGCTGCGTCATACCACCGCTAACTTCGCTCCTTATAGGTCATCATGTCTGCCGCTCCTTTCTTCTGGCAAACTCCCCTCAAGTACTGCCGCTGGGCAGCCCGCGAGCGTCCCGCCCTCTTCTGGTCCGTCATCATCGGCGCTGCTGGTCCCGTTGCCATGCCCATTGTGCCTCCGATCCGACACTACTTTGGCGACATCGATGCGCCCCCGGTTCCCGTGACCTACCCCAGTGCGTGCCTTTCAGATCGGGAGATTCGTAACATGCACCAACTAACTCGATGCAGTTCCCGCTGGTCCCAGGAAACAGCTCACCGGCTACGACGATTAAGATCTCGAATTGAAGACGAAGCAATAAATATCACGGCTCGGAGAGAAAGTACGGGAAAACGAGCAAACAGTCTTGTACAAACTACGGCGTCAACCGACAGCGCCACGGCGGAGGGGGAGATATATCATAGAGGAATACAAGGGACAAGAGTCCAATTTTCAGCAGCAATTGACGCTTCAATTCGATTTTCTACATCCAATCAATCAAGCCGTCCACCGACCATAAAACGTTTTCGGGATATATATACGTTGTGCGCCCACTTGCGCGAGTCAATGATTTTCTAACGTGCGGGAACGATCAAACAGGAAACGCCGCGGTGATGTGCAAGCAAGAAGCCAAAAGATCCTTCCCATCTCTTCTAGTTATACGAAACTGTTGCGGCGGTTGTGTCGAACTGATGTCCGGTTCGGTAGGGCCAGGCTCTATCTTTCCCTGTTCACTAGATTCCATTCGTACTAGAAGCGTGTTAGTTATGGTATGCCCGAGAGCGGTAGGGTCACTTACAACTCGTCCGTCATCATCACCTGTGTAGACGCATGTTGGCATTGGGCTGATGCATGTCATACCCGCCTCTGTATTGGCGCCCTTCTCGTTCTTGTAGTCAACGTGGTCCAGCTTTCTGTATAGTTCCAGAGTCCATCGATTGCCGACGATGCTACGCCGCCAGATGTTGACTTTGCCGCGCTTGTGGCCTGTGAAGATCAGGTAGTTCTCGAGCCATTCATTTCCAGCGCCTTCATAGAATGCACATGAGTGGATGTAGTCGTCTTGTTCAAAGCAGACGTTTTGTTCCAGAAGCAATGTGCCGTTCAGAGTGTATAGGATCACGTTCGGTCCAGAGCATAGAAGAATCTCGCCAGAGATGTCATTGATGCGCGCAGATTCGACGGGGCGCACCAAAGGTAGCTTGCGAATGAACGATAGACGGTTGAGATCCCACAAGAACGCCTGGCCATCCGCAGATACCGTCAACAGAGTACAGAAAGCTTTGCTGACTGCAATTGTTGTGACAGGGAATTTGTGTCCAAACAAACTGGACCTTGGAAGTAGCTCAACTGGCTTGCCAGGTGAGGTCTGAAGTGCGTACACTGATACAACGCAGTCCTCGCCAGCGGTGATCAATGTCTTTGAGTCAGCAAAGCAGGCGCAAGAGATTTGTCCAATATGAAGGTTCTCAAAGAGGCCAGCGGGCTTTGTCGAGTTAGCGAGGCGACTTGAGCTGGGAGTATGGTGTCGGTTTACCTTTCGATTGTCGCTGAAGAAGAAGCGGATACTGTTGTCGGCATATCCCCATTCCAAGAACTTGTCGTATGGTGGGAAATTGAGGCGGAACGGAGAGGCGCAGAGTAAGCGGTCCAGCTTAGGTGCGTAGATCAAGGAAGCTACACGCTCGTGGCTTTCTGTTGAGAGACAATTAGTCAAGTTTAAGACCGAGAAAAAGAGTGCTTACCAAGAAGGGGATGCGGCAAACAGCTCAACGAGAACACACTCGTGTCCAATCGTCTAACCGGAGATCGGTTATGCTCTCTAACCGGATGGGACTTCATAAACACTTGATGAGGCGTTTGTCCAAAGTTGTGGATAACACCAGCCATAATAGCTCTCTCTTTTGCATCGGTGATGCTATCCAAGTCTGTCGCGCCACGGTAAGAGAGATGATGGAAGACATTGAGGTTCTCTACCGCCGCCTCGCCTCGCTGCTTGAATCCGAAGACGAGATCAATCCACTGGTGCAGATTCTCGCTCACGTATGGGCTCTCTAATGCTTCCCTGTGCTTGGAGATGAAGATCCTAGGGTCACCCTTGGCCCATGGGGGAAGCTCAACGTGATCGACCTTAACGCCGTTGCTTTCGCGATTGCCAAAGTTGTAGCCATTGACGTTGGTCAAGAATTCGGGAAGGCAGTAGAACTCGGGGATGAGTTCTCTCACGTCAGTCTTGTTCTTGCACGAGGCAGACTTCCATGCTTCTGGGATGGATTGGAAGAGACGATCTGCGTGATCAAAGCTTCCTCCCTGGAGCAGGATGTAGGACTGAACGAAGGGTGGTAGACGGATAAGGTATGAAGACACAATCATGGCAGAAGAATAGTGTGTACCATAGTGGAAAGGAACCTCACCAATCTCCTCCAAAGCATTGTAGCTCTCGACAAACCCTCCGACTCTGTGTGGTGTTTGCGCGCCCATTGGTTTGGATAGATCTCGGAACGTATTGGGGTCATCAAGGTCCAGATCCTCGCTGGTGTAATCGGCCAAGACCCATGGGAACACTGGGTACTGGGTCAAATCGTTGAAGGTCCTGCCAGCCATGGTGTTCACCATCATGAGATAGTGAAAGTTGGAGATTTCGCCCTTCTGCCACCTCTTGAGAATAGGATTCCAAGGTGACGAGTTGAAGAAGGTACCGAACTTGGAACCAAATCCTTGAGGCGATTCATCGACGACCTTCAGAGACTCCAAACGCCAAGCATCCTCGGGATTGGGAAGAGTATTGGCGCCACTGGTGTGAGGTGCCTTGCTGAGCATCTTGACGAACAGATTATCCCGAACCGCGGGGTTGATAGTGGTCAGAAGATAACTGCGGCCATCGGTGAAGAAGACCTCAATCGCAACATCTCGGAAGAGGAACCGGCGTTTTGAGATGCTGATAACATCGTGCCATCGCCAATGCCTCGACTCTTGCTCCTTATTGTTCTGTCTCTTCTCAGATGTCTTGGCATCAGTGACGATCTGAGAAAAAGGATCACGCTCTTCAGGCGGAGCTTGCCAGACGTTGACAATATCGCCATTAGCGCACTGAAACACGTTGTCCATGATATAAAGTGCATCCTTGCCGATGATGAGAATACCCTCACAAGCCTCCAGTCCAATGATGCGCGAGACATTGTATGCAGACTGAACCTGGTCTCCACGTTCCAGTCGTCGCATCACCTTACGGTTCTTGTCCTCAAAATTTTCGTCTCCCTCGTTCGGATCGTTGGGGTCGTCTACAAGCTCGAAGTCATCTTCAGGCGCGACACCAGAGGCAGGCTGTTCTCCTGACTCAGTACTCTCAGGCTCTTCGGTCAACTGAAGCGGTCCGTTGTTCCCTTCTATGGGTGCGGGAGTGCTTGACTTGGTTGGCGAGACCGCGGACGTGACAATCGAGGGCGCTGGGCTGGCCGACGTATTGATCCGAAGACTCTGCAAGACTTCGCTCGCCTTCCTCTTGGGCTGATATTCATCCTTACTCATTGCAAAGTCGGGAAGAACCCTGAGTCTCATCCGGTTTCGTCCCTCTGTTCGGTCGAGTTTCCATTTGGGTGGCGCCGCTTCGCTAAAGACTGCGCCAGGTCGCATCAGGTCTCTTTCCATCTTCTTGTAAGCATCACTCAGAAACACGAGATCATCCTGTTGATCTTGCATAATTCGTTGGTACTTGAAGTACTCGGAGTTATAGATACTCTTCATCCATGCACTATTGCCAATGTCATGACTGAGCAGGGTCTTCTCTGTGGTGATGCTCTCCGCGTGCCACGCTCTAAGCTTATCTTTTCGTTTGGTCAACCGGACCTTGGCTGTTTCTGCAGTACGGACATTCTCCGAGCTGACAAAGTCCTCCCATGTCTTGGACATACCGCCGAAGAACAGTACATCCAACGATGGGCGATGCTTGTCAACCCACTCCACGAATGTATCGTCATCAACACCGGTCAATTGCTGGAAGTCCTTAGAAAGCTGCTTCTGATCCGGTGACATGCATGCATGAATGAGCTCAGTAGATTCCTCCGGTTTCTGTACCAAGATGATACGCAAGAAGTTTGCTGCGGCAACTCGAAGGGGCATCTTGTCGCTGATGAGCTTGGTATAGAGCTGGTACCAGAAAAGCTTGAGGAATTGATCTTCATTGGTAAATGAACCAAGGATTGACATTTGCCAGTACGCCATCTTGCCCATGAACTGCTTAGCTTCAACGAGCGTGGTCTCTGGACTGTCGAGATCTGACAATCGAAGAAGGATTATCCTCAGAAGGCAACAACGGATGTTATTGACCGCCTGGCTACAAAGTCGGACACTCTTGAGAGATGCGATGTCAGGCCGTTGCAAGAATTCAAGAAGCATCCCGATAAAGTCAATCATGACCTCAGCCCCATTCATGAACCATCCTTCGAAGATGGCTTCCGACATGTGTTGGCAGAGTCGTGAGATGTTCGTCAGTACACGAGGCTCGCAGATTGCCTTCTGGTTGGATTGGATGTTCTTCTCCAGTTGGGCAATTACATGCTTCAGGATGTAAGACTCGAAATAAGCTTGGTGCTCTCGGAAACCAGGAGGGACCTTGGTGAACAAGCCAAATCCAGTAAAGTCTTTTCGTGATAGAAGCTGATCCATGAAGACGCTCACCACCAGATCCATAAGTCCGTCCAAGATGTCGCTGCTCGGTCTATTGCTGGGCGTCAACCTCGGTGATGGTAAAGCAGGACTCAAGCGAGCCGGACTGGGACCGACAGGTGACTTCTGCTGAGTGAGCAGAATGAACGACGATGCTCTCCTCAGCGGTGTGCCCTTAGGTGGTGTCGACTGAGGTGACGGGACTGGATCAACGCTTGTCGTTCGGACGATTGGTGTAGCATGGGAACCACTACCAGCGATGGGCCGGATGATAACATCTGTTCCTTCGAATGTCAAGGCCGTGTCGCCAGAGTTCAGCTCAGTCTCAGGCGTTACCGCATCAGCGCTGACAATGACCGGGTAAAGCGCCGACAACAATAGCCTCACCCACTCAGATGTCAAAGCGAAGTCCCTGAACTCCGTCGAGCGCTCGTGGAGATCGAGGAGGAATTTAATCACGGTGTGTAAAACTCCAGCATAGCTTGCGACTCTTTCGCTATCACGGGTGAAGTTAGATCGTGTCGCAAGGGCAGTTGTCAGATTCATAGAGCTTGCTCGCGGTCGCATCTCGGGGCGAAGTTCTTTGGCGGACGCGTGCTTCTTCAAAGCAGGCGTTGGAGCGACATGTGTTGCTGGTGAATCTGGATCATCCTGGTATCGCATCACATCTTTCAATCCATGCTGCAGCATTGCGGTAATGACGGACAAAGATTCGGGGTACACAACCTTGCGTTTGCCAAACGTCTCTAGGAGGTTGAAGAAGTCAAAGTTCCTATCAAAATTGATCTCGGCAACATCGTAGCCAAACAGGATACTGAAGCAAATGGGCCATAAAGTTGGCATGTCCCAGAACCGCTTGAGTCTGTTGGACATGATGACAAAACCTCCCGACTTTCCAGCAAACTTTGATGTGTAGTTGGAGCCATGCGTAACCAGAAGACGTGCCAGAATCTTGCAACCATGAACGACGATTTCCGGGTCGTTTTCAGCCAGAAGGTAGAGGAGCCACTGCTATCATTAGTAAAAGTAAAGCGGCGGTACTAAACATTCTCACCTTATTTGTAACAGTTCTAGCAAACTTCTTGATGTGTGTGGTGTTGCCCTTTTCGCACAATATGCGAGAGTACATGCTGAGTACCTTGACACCAAGCTGCTTCTTAGTCAAGAACTTCAGGCCAGAAGCAATTCCAGCTGCGGTTGGATCGGTCGGCGTTCCTCTCCGCCTAGGAACTGGAGTACCGTTTCTTGAAACAATCGATAGAGCCCGTGGGCTTCTGTTGACTGGTAAAGGTTGGGTGTGAAAAGCGTAGGTGATGAAAAGCGACAAAGATCTCATGACCTCTTGACTAAAGTTGGAAGTGACGAGGATTTCGAAGGCGCCCATGAAATGAGATATCGTGTCCTCAGAAACGACCTCTCCTTTCATAGCGTCAAGCAGCCTCTTGACGATTCTCATCCTGATTAACCTCCGGCTGTTGAACTCATGATATTTGCTATTGACAGCAAAAGTCACAAACTGTTTGTAGTACAGCTCTTGGATCCGAGGCGCCGACTTCCGCCAAATGTCAAGATCAATGAGCAGGACACGATAGGCGAGAGGGTTGATGATGAACGACTCCATGGGTTCCATGTGGTTGTATCCAACGAAGCCAAGGATCAGACTGAGTAGCTGGAAGGCAAGTCGATCGCGATCGTCATTCGAGACTTGTAGTCGGGTAACCGTTGAATCACTAGTACCACGGTCATACCCCAGCTTCACACGAAGGAGCATGGCCAATATACCGTATCCGTTGTCCTTCTCGATAGCTTCACTGTTTCTCCAGCTCTGACGAATGCAGTAAAACAGCATTTCCGCTGATCGCACTGTCTCTTCGATTGAAGACGCTCTCTCAAAGAGCTTCAGAGCCAGTGGTGTGAAACCGGCCAATCGCCATAGGTTCTCGTCCAGATAGGATGGCACAGCGACGATGGGGTTGCCGCGGAATGAGAGAAGACCTTGAACACGGAACAGTGAGTCTGGTAGACTGGGAACAGCACAGTTGATCGCTAGAGGTGCACCCTCTTGGTTGGATGCCCTAAAGAGGTTGCGGGCGCAATTCCGTGGAAGTGATCGCAAAAGTCCGGTATCGTAGAATTGCACATTTTCAGGGAACGTGGCGGAAGGAAGAATGCTAAGCAAGATCTTGGATTCAGGTAGTAGTGAACCAGCCTTCTCACGGACAGCTCTGATGATGTCCGAAGTCTCACCCTTTCCAGGATGCGCAATCTCGTTGCGAAGGCCCAGAGTAGCTGATGCTTCATAAGTCTGGAAGCCGCCCAGGCTGTCCTGGAAGTTACCCTGGTATCGTGGCCCCAGACCAAAATGGACCGCCAAATAGTCATCGCTCAAAGCATCCTCGAATAAGTGCGCCGAAGCAAGCGACCACCGCGAAAAGACCAAACCGGGTCCTATTTGGTTAGAGAGATCCTTTGGGGTACCGACGAAAGCCTGTACAGGGTTTGTCTTGTTCTGGTTCGAGTTGAATGAGGCGAAACTGTCATGAGCACCAGTGGCCAGGGGCGGCAGATGAGGATAATTGCAGCGTATTTGTTCGGAGAATTCGCCATCGACATACAAAGACGCCTTGCTAGTGACCATCGTCTTGGGTCGGCGATGCACAATGGCGATGTGGTACCATTTCTTCTCCTTGAACGAAACAGACTTGAAGCGCACGCTAGGCTTGTTTGAAGTAACAGATGTTTGGAGGATAAAGTTGTGGGTATCCCTCTCGAGGTACATAAGCAGAAAGCATGATTGCGTGGAATCGAAGACGCCGAATATCGTTGTGTGTGCAGTAGGATCGAAGCTGTCTACTCGAATCCAGGCCGTGAAGGTGTAACCAGCACTAGATTGCGGTGGAAAAGAACGACCAAGACTGGATAGCTCGAGCGACGAATGGCCATGCAGAGATAAGTCGAATTGGAAGAACGGAGGACCTGTATGTTTCGATGTCATCTGCAAGCAGAATTCGGATGCCTCTGAGCCGGGCGTCGATAGTAAGAATTGAGTGTCGGCCGGCTCATTCACACCCAAGTACATGAGTATCTTGCAGATCGCCAACACCTTCTCCCGCTCAGGTGGGCTAAGAGCTGAATCGGCATTGAAAGCGACCCGGAGGAACTGCGATAAGGCGCCTGTCGAGTGGACTGCGGCTCGGTTATATATAGAAACTGAGATAGCACAATGGATTGTCTCGAGGACAAGTAAAGAAGCCGGGTTCGCGAGGCCATCTTTCATTCGAGGAATAGCGGTCCAGAAACTGACAACTGCTCGCAAAATCTCGGGATGTCGTATTATAGTCTTGGCATTCACGACTTCCCTCACGCCGGGCGTAATGTTTTCTGCAGACTTGGCCAACACCAGATCCCATTGCTCTTCGGCGCTGTCGCTTTCATCCTCTTTGGGGGAGTTATCGTCGTCCGGTCGTAGTGATTTCGCGATCGATTGACAAAGGAGATCGAGAGCTTCGTCGTCCAGAGAGAAAGCTAGTAGCTTGCCAAAAACATGACAGCTTATCCAAGCATCAGGTTCAGCCCCGCCGAGTCCTATGCTTGCGATGACTTGTTCCAGAGCCTCCCATCCGCCTCCTTCAACCTTGTATCGGAAATAGCGTCGGTTGCCTGCATGTCCATGTAGGGCAACTGAAAAGAGGTTCAAACAGTCTCCTAGCAACTTGAACAGAGCAAGCATGTCCGCGTCGCTTCTTTTATCGGGATCGTAGTAGCCTGAGAAGGCTCGGAGCAGATTAAGGATCGTCTCGAAGCCATCTGCATGTCGGAAGTCATCTTGGTGGACGGGCGATCGTGTCGCAGAGATATGCTGTATAATGTGTCGGGTTTTTCGCAACAATGGCGGTATTTGAGGGAAGCCATCCTGCTGGTGAAGAGTCGTATCGATATTGAGAGCTTCAAGCAAGCCCTTTAAGATTTCGAAGGACTTGGTTTGCGGTGGGTTCGAGGCCGAAGTGGACGACCGGTATCGTCTTGGTATTGAGGTCATTTTTTCGAGTATTGTTCTTTGTTTGATCACGGGTTCATTCCAGAAACCACCTCCCCCTGAGCCCTTCAAGGGTCCAGGCTGTTATCAGTCGTCGTCGGCATCGAAGAGTGAGATTTAGAACTTGATGGAGCTACCAGCGCGGGGCGCATGAAGCTCTCGGCGGGCAGGAAACAGCGGTCACGATACGGCCACAGGAGGTTCTCGGATAAGGTACTTTCGCTGGGTATCGGAGAGAATGTATCGAGATTCGTCCAAAACAAGCACTGGAAGCTGAGAAATTAGCGAAGGTGTCTCGAAACAATCGGTCACCCACTGAACTGGAGCCTGCGCTACCTGTGCTCAATGCTCCGTACTGTAACTCACCTATGGGGGGTCAGCCTTGGAGGTGTGGCTTGGCTGTGGCGAAGCTGGCCCCTCCGTCCTGTGATGGATCGTCTGAGCTGACGAAGCTCGAGTAATGATTTTGGAGTGACATGTACGCGTGCGCATGATTGCTGCCCTCCACGCCCGCGTAACACGGAAGAGTCAATCGTAGAGGATGGAGAGAACTTTGAGAAACATTATTTTGAGCATCGTGCTTCTGGATATTGATGGCATATTCCAGAGACACGCGTGTCTTGGTGGTCCAACCACCATGTCTCAATGACGTCGTCATCTGGTGTAGGGTAGATTCAACACATATGAGACGGAAGCCTTTAATCGGGAGAAAGAGCGTTCATTATATCTATTTCATCTAAAATGCAATATTCAGATGGTCGGACTACCGCAGATCTCATTTTAAGTATTCGTACTACTTGTCGCGTATTGAGTAGCTCACAGAAGTCGTCTCTTTATGATTGCATGTAGCATCTAACGCCAGAATCCATGTTGTATATGTTCAAGCAAATCGGAGACGAAACCAGCTCACGAGACTGCTTGTATTAACCCCTTATCCATGACATTACATCCATATTCTTAAAAGCCCATGTTCTCCCTTCGTTCAATGCGACACGGGGATTTGGTCCTAGAAGGCGATCTCGGATACAAGTTCTCGTCGCTGCTCCCAAGCGCAGGCGCGGCGCTTTGATGCGTTTATTATGGCATGGCAACACATACACGTCTTGACAATGCACATCTATCATCCTATCTACATTTCGTGCGCCTTTATCAAGATAAAGACATTGCATTACTGTGCTATTCTAACATGCACCAACGTCAGACCTTTGTTGGTACCTTTGTAGCACCATCAGCACTTAGCTTTGTTTATGTCCAGTGACGCGGACCCTTGAATGCATTGAAACCACAATGGTTCCGAGGTCCGCTTATCACTATCTTAATCAGGCAAGTATCGGTATCATCAGCTTATCAAGCGGATACGAATTGATAGCTCGGCGTAAATTCGTCGAGCATCTCGGCCTGGAATGATGAGATCCAAGCGGTGTTTAATGGCGTTATCTGACGGTAAAGTTATGGCATCTGAGTTGATCCAAAGTGGAGAGCTAGAGCTAGCTCAAGGTACTCCAGACGCAAACGCGCTATGTACCTCATCCGGGCTACCGAACTTGGGAGCTTGAGGTACCTGGCGTGCATGATAAAGTGCACTGGCCAACATGTTTTGAGTCTCATGGATGTTTTGGATGGATACGAATGGTTGCCTGAATGGCTGTTGTGAGCTGGCAGTTGGGATATCATTTCGCAGACCGAATCATGACGTCTTTCACGTCGCGTATTGTCTTTCCAAGGAATCACCTCCTAGACTCAGAAATGTCACTTTTAACCCCGGGAACGGACTGGGATGGTGAGGCGCTGTCGGCGTTGGCTTGGAGCGAACAGCGCTTCAGTTTTAGTTGAGACATGGGCAGGCACGTGCCAGGGACGTCGTCTGACTCGATGGATCAGGCGGATTAGGTCAGTGGGGGCCAATCGGAGTCAGATCCCTCCCCGCATTTTGGTTTCTAGCACTGGGTAAAGAGACACCTGCTTTTGGCTGCAGGCACCGCAAACTGGAAGGTACCCGTACCTTGTTGAAGCTCAAGCTGCTTGTGTGGACCTTGATTCGACGCTATCAGTGTACTTTGATCGGCTAGACTGAGCACAGTGTCTTTGAGCTTGCGCAGCCATGATGTACTGTATTCGGATACGGCTGAGTAGCTGTAATGGATTGTCAGCCTCGAGCGTGTGCTTCTGCATGAGGACTGTATCGTGATGGACGCTGGAATCTTGGGAAGATTGTGAGTAAGAGAGAGTCTATTAACGAACTTTGCAGTGACTAAGTGTTCACGATAACTGAGATTCAGGCTCTGGATTTGAGTTCAGAAAGACATTCATGCTCCCTGTAGTGACAGCCATCCATGATCCATGACTCGAGGCGAGGCGGACAAACACGACCGGGTCATCAGCCGTCAACAAGGTAAGGCAATCATCTACCATCAGTTGATCTCGCAAACATCAAATAGCGGTAAATGAGACACGGTAGAGACTCTCAATTACTGTATGCTGGTTTCGCTTGTTATCCCTGAGGGCTTCCAGTGCTTCACGTCCATCATGACATTCCTCGGGTCCAGACGGCTGAAATCGAAGCCGGCTCGACATTGCGTTCAGTCTACTGTGCGGACGAAACCTTCATACGGTCTGTCATGATAGCTCGGAAGTACCTTGAGCACGATATGCCGTTATCGCATTGCCTCGGCGACCGTCATTGGCCTCCGAGAGCGTGCACTAGACCAAAAATGGGGGTCAGCCACTGTGTTATCGCTCATCCCAGGGATGGATGCGTCACACCCTCTTGCCCTCCCGACAGGGTACCAGAACAATTGTCCTACAAGGTTTGTAGCGTCAAAATTAAGTGAACTCAGAACGCCCTCAAAATGCGCTAAAGTGATTAAGTTATTCTAACGCACTGTCTCTCGGCGGTCAATATTTCTGATACCCTGACGCCTCCCCCAGGCCCGCTGAGGCAACACTGGAGCTGTCGCACGCAGCAGCTCGCGCTTGCTTATCTACCCCAGGTCCGCCGCCATCGCTTCTTCTTCCTTTCATCATCCCCATCATCACTCGCACCTTCCTCCAGTATCGATCTTGTCTGCTTCCATCAAGGCAGTCGGTCGAGGACATCACTTTATCCATTTGTCTTTGTCTTTGAGTCGCAGGTAGACTAGAACAACATACATTTCGAGTTTTGCGCGTATCGTCATCATCATGAAGTCCGCCCTCACTCTTTCAGTGGCCGCTGTCGCCAGCGCTGCCTCTTTCAGCGTCGGAACCATCCACGACAAGGCCGCTCCCATCCTCAGCTCCGTCGATGCTGAGACCATTCCCGACTCGTACATCGTCAAGTTCAAGGACCATGTCGACGAGAAGGCTGCTGGCAACCACCACATGTGGGTTCAGGACATTCACAACCAAGGCGAGACTGAGCGCCTGGAGCTCCGAAAGCGATCGCTTTCCTTCACAGACAAGACCTTCTCTGGCATGAAGCACACCTTTGACATCGGTGAGGCCTTCAAGGGCTACGCCGGCCACTTTGACGAGTCCATGATCGAGAAGCTCCGAAACCACCCTGACGTAAGTACCTCTTTATGCCTCACACATCATCGTAAGCTAATCATCCACAGGTCGAGTACATCGAGCGCGACACTCTTGTCCACACCATGGTCCCTGTCACAAATGACAAGGTCACCACTATGGACAAGTGCGACAGCGAGACTGAGCGACAGGCTCCCTGGGGTCTTGCCCGTATCTCCCACCGCAACACCCTCAACTTTGGTACCTTCAACAAGTACCTCTACTCCGCCGATGGTGGCGAGGGTGTCGATGCCTACATTGTTGATACTGGTACCAACGTCGAGCACGTTGACTTCGAGGGCCGTGCCCACTGGGGTGCTACCATTCCCTCTGGCGACCCCGACGAGGATGGCAATGGTCACGGTACTCACTGCTCCGGTACTGTCGCCGGTAAGAAGTACGGTGTTGCTAAGAAGGCCAATGTCTACGCTGTCAAGGTCCTCCGATCTAACGGCTCTGGATCTATGTCCGACGTTGTGAAGGGTGTCGAGTACGCTGCCACCAGCCATCTTGAGCAGAAGAAGAAGGCTAAGGACGGCAAGCGCAAGGGCTTCAAGGGCTCCGTCGCCAACATGTCTCTTGGTGGTGGAAAGACCCAGGCTCTCGATGCTGCCGTCAACGCCGCCGTCCGCACTGGTGTTCACTTTGCCGTCGCTGCTGGCAACGACAACGCTGATGCCTGCAACTACTCCCCTGCTGCTGCTTCTGAGCCCGTCACCGTCGGTGCCTCCGCTCTTGATGACAGCCGTGCTTACTTCTCCAACTACGGAAAGTGCACTGACATCTTCGCCCCCGGTCTGAACATTCAGTCCACCTGGAAGGGCAGCAAGCACGCCGTCAACACCATCTCCGGTACCTCTATGGCCTCTCCCCATATCGCCGGTCTCCTTGCCTACTACCTTTCCCTCCAGCCCGCTGAGGACTCCGAGTACGCTCTTGCTTCCATCACTCCCAAGAAGCTCAAGGAGAACCTCATCTCCGTCGCTACTGAGAACGCTCTCTCCGACATTCCCTCCGACACCCCCAACCTGCTCGCCTGGAACGGTGGTGGCTGCAGCGACTACAAGCAGATTGTTGAGGCTGGTGGCTACAAGGTCAACAGCGCTGCTCCCTCTTCTCGCGTCGAGGAGATCAAGCACGCCGTCGAGCAGGAGGTCGAGGTTGTCTCTGACAAGCTGACCACTGGTGCTAAGCAGCTTGGCTCCAAGGCCGAGAAGTTCTCCAAGAAGATCCACGAGCTCGTCGATGAGGAGCTCGAGCAGTTCATCAAGGAGCTTAACCTGTAAGATCTATAATCTTCTCATGTGGTGCACTGGTTACGCATTGTTTTAGTTGGGATTACGGATTGGCATGGGTTATGTTTTAAATTGGGTACATGATATTGATGGGGGCGCTTGCTCTCTTTGATGACCAGTTGTCATCGCGCGCTATTGCATGGGTTAGGTCCATGAGAGTGGGCTGCATTTAGCTTTGCTCGCATTATTACAATAAATCTCCTTATTCAAGTGCATCCTGTTCCTTTTGTTGCCTCTGTGACGTCTGATTAGCTGCGTTCTGCCTCATCGCTACCTTTGATTGCCCAGTCACCCCAGCGTTGGGGTATTTTTAGTAAACATGGGCCGCTGAGCCCAAAAGACGGATTTAGACAATTTTAGACAATCTTTGGCAGCTAGGACTTGTGGCTAAGCTGTCTCATTTGGGCGCTGTCTCAAGACTGCTTCGCAGTTGTCTGGAGCAGGTGTGCTCTTGCTGTTTTGCTGACTTGCGAATACTTCCTTCCACTTCATCAACAGCCATTCCTTCCTCCCAAGAAATGACTGCTGCAAGTGCTAGTTCACTTCAATCGTCGCTGCCATGTCTTCCTGCATTTTCTACCTGGTGTCATCACCAGCTGGACAATCCATCATTCTGTTGCGCCCCGAGTCTTTATCACTACTCAGTTCTTATCCTCACAATTACCGTTTCAATCATCCATGAGAGATGCTCCGGCGCAATAGCTCTCGAAAAACGAACCGTCGCCCATTGAGCCGAAGCAAATCTACCAACTCCGTTGTTCGCCGACCCATCCATGCGTTTGAGTCTATGGACCCCGCCAAAGCTGCAAGGGATGCAAACATAGCTGCAGTATTGTCATATCAACGAGCCCAAGACCGGCCGAGAAGTGAGGGGATGAGTTTACCGCACGATCCAGCAAGTTTCTATCACGACAGGAGTGATGGCACCAGCAGTGTCATAAGACACAGTTTTCAGCGGACTGACAGTGCCATGAGCCGAAATGGCACTTCAGACATTTCTCGAAGACGAAGTGTCCGGTTCACTGCTCCTTCAGCTGCACCTCGCCGAAATATAGCGTCAAGAGCCAATGGGGGTCGAGACTCACCCACAAAAGCAACTTCAAAATTCTCCCTTACAGAACGGTACCTGGAAACGCTGCAGCCACCCGACGCGTGCTACAACCCTCAAGACGATGTTGACTCAATTTCTTCCCTATACAAAAAAGTTAGAAAGTCTCGCTCCATGATGACTTCTTCAAACCTCGCTACTGGAGGCGTTTCTACAAGAGATTGGTCCGCCAGCAATGATATGCGTCCACGTTCTTCACCATTACCGCCCAAGAACAATGAGAACGACCCGCCGAAAAATGTGAGGCCGCAAACGTCTGCACTCAGAGCCGTCGCATCAATGAGTTTTCTCAAAAGTCGTCGAAAAATGGCCGCTTCTCAAGCCAGCGACCGTGTCGAAGACAATGATGCCGCACTTCGACTTGCCAGAGAGAGGTTTCGCCAGATACAAGAGGAAGAAGAAAGGAAAAAACAACACTCTGCTTTACTGAGACCCAAGACAAGGGAGAGTGAAACTTCCACAGTCATGCGCAAATCTCTCCGAAACAGCAGCAACAATTCCACCGCAGTCGCTTCAACGTTTTCTACCAACAGCGCCTCTGTCCCAAAACAACATGGGATCCGAAATACGGCGCGCAAAGTTTCGCATGGCTTGAGATCAAAGCTACGAGGCCTTTTTGGCAAAGGAAAGAGCGAGGATTCTGAACAAGAGCGGTATGAACAATGTGTGGTAGACAAGGACTCTGATGGCGAGAGCTGTCTGCATGCTGGGGATACTGATGCCGACGAGGAGGCCTCTATGTTTCGGGTTACCTCGCATATTCCCTCATTGCATGATGTACCTTCGAACCAACAACTCAGGTCTCGTAAAGGTAGCGTGGAGAGCTTCGCGGACGTTGATCACTGTGTCTCTGACGACAGGTCTCGTGTCACCAGTTGGACAAACTCGATGACAAACACAGTAACGAGTGAAGGAACCCTTGGAGACAGGGAAAGACAGCGTCTTTCTGTGATCAGAGAGAATGGCACGCACGTCGCTTCACCCCTTCATTCGACGGAGCCTCTGCAGCAACAGACGCGGGACATGATAGCAGAAATGTCGATTGACAGTGAGCGCGTTTACTCTGCTCTGATCGAACGACTCGGACAAAACGAGACATCGGAGCGAATTGAAACTGGGTCTATCGCGACCACGGAAAACGACTTTGAGAAGAATAGAGAACTTTGCGAGTCTATGAACAAGCAATGGCCTCATTCCACCATTCGGTGCGTTCGACCCGACGACGACATCGCTAGTAGCCATGGACGTCAGTCCTCGACGTCGAGCTCGGTCACAGAAGTCCCGGACAAAGACATAGACCACGCAGCCGAGACCGTCGCTGCACCTACACCCAGGCACAAAATTCCCTGGGATTGGAGCGACGATAATGCTGAAACCGAGCATACCAGTGTGCTACTCAATGGACTTGAATCACACAAGACGATCAGTCAAAGAAGTTCTGCATTTTTTGCCAGCCCTGAGTGTCACTCATTTCGAGAGCCCAGCCCCTACCGCCGTGCGTTACGGGAGATGAACTCTTCTGATGAGATGGATGGAGGTCTGCCGGGATCTCAGTACCTTCACTCCTTGTCGACTCTGAACCTGCCGACCCGTCAAGACAGAAACCAGAGTTCGGAGAAAGACTACCACGCGGCAGACGTCGAGAGCGTTTATTCCCTTTCAGCTGATGATGCCACCCCATTGCCTACACCTCGCGAGGCTAACCTCTTGGAACCATCTCCGGGTCGCAGGTACACCCGCAATCAGTCCCCCGACATTCCAATCTATGTGTCAGCTCACGAACACCAACGCGACACGTCGACAGCCAGCTCGGTGGAATGGAAGACCTGGCTGAGCTCCAAAGTGTCCAAGCTCGAAGGGCCCTCGACTCCTAGACGCCAGCAAGACAACGGTGTCCTGCCACTACTCGGTCATGTCAGAGAAGGGGCTTCGATGGGGTCTACTCCTGAACTGCGTACATCGACAAATAAGCGTCCGTTGAGCCGTACGCCTCTGGGCAGTGTCAAGGGAAACACTCAAGCCTTCCCCGACAGTCCAACAAGATCGTCACGTCAGATCATCAGTGGGTATGACGAAAACTCGGCACCAAATCATAACGGGAACACGAGCGACAAAGAAACAACCCCCTCCATACCACGCCGAAGCACCTTGAGAACAGTGCCTTCAATGCCAAGTGTCGCCCCACAAGGAAATTTGATTGAGACTGGTCCCGGAAAGGAAATGCAACGAATGAAGTCTTTGAACGCGATAGGCTATCTGAATTCAACGCCGGAGGGCCTGTTCACGAAGCGACGGTCTCAGCCTCGTGTTGCTGGGTGGCAAGCGTCTCCAACTAGGTCGAGTCCTGGTGTTGGCGCCCGAGCGAATGCCATAACAACGGGCTCACCCGGTCCGGGACGACTTAGATAGGGTTACCCGTCGACCAGGTCACGAGCAATGCTGGAGAAGCCGGGAGAAGCGACAAGAGATGTAGAGCAGAGAGCTCAAGTAATGGGTAGCAAGACGATGGTGGACATGTTTCTGAGCAGCCGGCGTAATCGAGATGATGGAAACAGTGGACTGGGGAGTTCCCCAGCGGCGTTCCTATGATACATGGTAGCATGGATTGGAGTCTTGCATCAATATCGGAGTCATGTTTAGTACGAGTACATGAAGCCATGGCCGACAAGATCACAATAGACTTGTATATAAATTAGCAAAAAGGAAAGGCCATCCGGGACTATATTCCCATTAATACATAATACTATCATAACACATTGCATATGAACAGACTGTGCGTGGGTGAAATGGTTAGTTGGTGTCACTGTGATGTGCCTGTTAGGTGGGTGTTAGAAGAAATGTCCTCTAAAATTCAGGCTACAAAAATAAAGCAGCCTAAATGCTAGCCTGAGATAGCATAAGGTGATCAAATTATTTCGTCTCTTATTCTCTCGGGGGCCAATTCTTATGACGCCCTAAGGCCTGTGCCGAACCTTGCAGTCAATCACGTCAACGCAGCGAGGATGGTCAAGGAAACGCGCTGATTATTACTATTCTACTTAATTAATACCCTACTTCCGATTGAGAGGGCTTACATGTACTTCCCAATATTTAGCATATTCCTTAGGAAAACTCTTCTCCCTCTCTTCACTAACCCACTTCCCATACTCCTCATGCGTAACCGCCTCATCAAGCACACCATCCTTCTTACTAGTCCTTGTATAATCCAGGAAGTCCAGCGTCACCTTGACATACTCGCCCAAAGCCTTGCGCACGTCGGCAGTAGCACCCGTAGCAAAGTTCAGCAGCAGTGGTTGAAGAAGCGGCGCATCCGTCACGCTGGGATGCGCTGTTCCAACGCTCGTTAGGAACCATGCTGCGCCGACTTTGTCCCGTACGCCCCGGACCAGATCGGCGACGGTGTCGAAGTGCGGGCGGCCGAAGAAGACGCTGTGTTTTTTGGACCAGGAGTTGGAGTGCACGACGAGCAGAGGGACGGGGATCTCGGTGTTGAGTTGTCCGCTGGACTTGCCGGGGTCGAGAGCGATGCCGCCGATGGCGGGGTTTGTGGATGTTGTGTTTGCGGTCTTGAGAGCCTGGAGCGCGCCTGTTGCGCCGTAGGAGTGGCCGTTGATGGTGAGGTGATTGAAGTCGAGACGGTTGGACCACGCATCTAGCGTCTTACCCTCGCGACGAGAGCTCGAGGTGAAGATCTCGGAACCTTTGCCGGAATTGATGTCTTGCAGAACGCGGATTGTCTGCAGGATCTCTTCAGTGCGCACGGCGAGTTGCTCTTTCTTGAGAATGGTATCGTTCATAGGCGGATCAGAGACAAGATCCTTCTGCTTGAGCAAAAAGACAGGTCTATCCTTCTCACCCTTGATCTGAACCATGGTCCCAGGACAACTTCCATCGCGATGCTCAAGCGCAGCGATGACATGCCCGCGACTAGCCAGTTCACCAAGATAATGAGTGTAATCCGTTCTCGAACTCACAGCACCATGCGAAAAGACCATAACAGGGAACTTGGACGTATCATCCAGAAGAGGGACGTCGACCTGCGCTGGGATCTTGATACTGCCGACAAATAACCATAGCGCAAACGTAAAGATCGGTCTGATGAGGAAATTGTTCACGCCTGCTGCGCGCGCGTAGCCTTCTGCTGTAAGACCCATGGGTTTCGGAACCCAGGGATGTAACGCAACATTACTCTTTGCGCCTTTGATGGATGGATAATAAACCGTAAAAAGCACGCTTTCTACCTCGAATGCGTATTTCCCATTTTCTTTAAGCGTGGTGTCCGAAATGCGCTTCGGCTTAGGAAGTGGGATCTCGAGATCTATGGCTCCGACGTCATGAGGTCCAGAGTAAGACGGTAGTCGTGAAGAAAAGAAGGGCTGCCACGTAATAAAGCAATAAAGCACATAAAGGCCTATAGTAGAAAAAGTAACGTAGCGCCATGTAAAACGCGGTCTAAGCGAATGTACGAAGCGCTGAAAATAATGTGACGATGTTATGCGCGAGAGGTATGTTGATGGTCTGGGGTCCAGCCAGCGCGGCTTAGGCTGTGGCGCGGACATTGTGAGAGGGAGATCAGGATCGGAGTCCTGGTCTGGGATTGGGGAGAGGGGATTGAGTTCTAAGTCGATGGAATTTTGCGATCGTGGCATGTTATGAATGAGAGTAAATGGTATAAACTTTGGGGGTAAAGCATTAGTGATGGGGAGATTGATGATGTCGTTGATGGGTTGAGGCTTGATTCTGGAGTGGCCATGATGACGCAAGCGGGTCTTGGTACTGGGTGCTTATTCCCGACGGGTATTATTCATCAACACCAGATCCTCATGGTGTACTAAAATTGATGAGTGTAGGGCAGACAGTAGTGTATGCCACCTGTGATACCGGAAACAGTCCCCCCTTCTTAAGGGGACGTCAAAGAGCCGTTGCATTATTCAATGTAGAGTATCTGAATCTCGTCATGGTGTTCTCGCTTATTCTAGTATCTGACTGGACACTAAATTAGTGGTGATGCTTATTCACGGCTGAATTAAACCACCTCGCTACTGAGAACTGACTGTCTCATCTGCAGCAGAACGAGTGAACTGAACTTGCTCAGCTACTGCCGACTACTCTTCAGTATTGCTTTTCAGATATAAAAGGGCCGAATGCGGTTTGAAGCGGGGAGGGATGGGTAGACGAGTATCATCAAGACTGACAAAGTTGAAGTTGTCAATTGACATCCGGCACATTCATCTGGAATGGAACTTATTCGGCATACCAAAAGCCGGTGCCTCTCAACGCCCGTGATGTAATTGAACCCGAGTCTATGGATCGGCAGTCTACCTGAGAAGGCTGAGATCTCTCAACTTCCGTCTTGACTCACAAATCGATGGCACTAAACTCATCGGTTACTCTCCCGAGAACAAGGCTTGTTCCCCACGGGGGAGTCAAACAGACAAAGCCATTGGTAGACGAGTTCGTCGGAACCGACCGACCGAATTCCGTACTGCACCTATTGGAGTTTAACCAAGCTTGCAAGATTAGTGAACCGACCCAGCACTCTGGGAATCTATTCCTGGCGTTCCTGAGCTACCGGTACTTTGGTGAGCGAGCCTTTCCTCAACGGTGTCTTTCCCCGGATGGCATGGAAGGTTAAAGCCTCTGATCAAGAGATAAGATCTCTTCTCCGCGGGGTGATTTCCCAGATTTCTCACAGTGAGTAACATGTCGGGAAACATCGAGGTTTGCTATTGGATGGGAGTGTTTGAATTGCCTTGCTGAGTATAGTGCGGCTGGACATCAAGGTGTGCCTCGCAGCTTGAATCATTGTGACGTGAGCGGGACAGAATACCTTTTCCTTCCAAAACCTTTCGATTTTGCTTCTAGTTGAATGCTAAAAAGTCTGGCTTTGCGCCGTGGCTTGCGTTGATATCGTGATGGTGTGGTGATGTCGGAGCGACAAGTACCGCCATTGACAAATGAATTGGTGTATGTATGTAGGTACCAACCCCTATTAACCCCTTTCTAGGCAACAAAAAGCAAGAATATCACATTTAATAACCAACCTCTTGAAGTATTTCAACCAACCACGGCATCATTTGTCAACCCCCGAGCCATTGTCGTGGTGTGTGGCGTCCATCTTAGTGCTTCAATCTGCTAATCCCGGGGGTTCTAGATCACCAACCCACTAGCGCCCACAGCCCCTGCCTGCGCATTTCTGGTCATGTATAGCGTAAACTCTATCACAGCATGTAGGAAACCGTCGACGATGGTGAAAAGAACAAGATGAATATAAGAAAGAAATCGAATCCGCTCCGCCCCGCCCGAAACAGTAAGAGAGCGAGTGTTTTCAGTTTGTTTTCTCGTGTTTTTTCCTATCCAAGATGTCGCTTGCCAAGAGAAACAACGGTAAGTTTCATTCAGCCTTATGAGGATGGGATGCATGTATACTGATGCTCGGAAATAGGTTGCTACGAGTGCTGTAAAAGGCGTCTCAAGTGTGACAAGACAGAACCAGCATGTCTCAAGTGTCAGAAAAAGGGCATTTCTTGTTCTGGACAGGGTTTGCGGTGTAGGTTTAGCAGCCACATGGCTACTACTCCAGCCACTTTGACGTTGAACCTCACATCTACCTCCCCCACCAGTCCTAATCAGCCCGAGAAGTCTTTCAGATGGGTTGAAGCTGGACAACGCGTTAGAAAACAACGTGTTCGAAAAGATCAGGGCAGAAGTTCAAATTCCCCTGATTCGCATTGTACGGATTCTGGATCTTCTGATGATGCCGCTTCGCCGACGGAGGATTCGTTTGAGGGTGCTGTTGTGCCGTATGCGTATCGGATGAAGATTAATCCTGCGCTCAGTTCTGTGGCTAGTGCGCAGACGAGAAAGATGTTTAGTCACTGTATGTTCCCATATCTTCTCAAATGTCAGTCTACTTACGTGGTTTAGTTTCTGAGATAATAGCAGGACACATGGTTGTTCTCGACTCAAACAGCAATGGATACAGAGATGTCATCCTCCCCCTGGCATGTCACGACGATAACCTCGCACAAGCTGTCTCTGTTGTGTCGGCATTTCATCTGGGGCAGAAAGATCCCAAGTTACAACACATCGCCGAAACAGGGCATCAAGCGATCGTGCAGAAATTACGGCGGGATTCGCTACAGCTTAGTCCAGAACAACTCTTCAATCCGTATATCCTAGCGACGATATTGGTTCTTCTCGTTGGGGAGACGATTACGGGAGCGGATAATTATACCTATCTTCTCGAGATGTTGAATTGTCTTACTTCGTATCCGGATTGGATTACTATGTTGCCGCCTAGTCTGAAAGAATTCTTTCTTCAGCAAGTCAAGATGTAAGTCACACACTCTAAGAAGTATCGATGCCGATGACTAACATGGACCAGGTTCCAACTCTTTGGTGTACCTCTAGCCAACGAATCCAAAGGCCTTCAAATCCTAAACGGGCCCGAAGCATACCTCGACTTCCTCTCATGTCCCGACATATACCCCGACTCCGAGCACTTCCCCAACATCATGACAATACGCTCCGCCATTTTTGACGCATGCAGCATCTACCGCCGGCGCGCCGAGTCCTCCCTCTCCGACTCAGAATCCATCCACCTCCTCGAACAACTCCGTCAAAAAGTGCTCAACATCGAAGCTTCCACCAAGGGAGCACACGCGCTAGTGTGGACGTACTTTATCGCGGCTGCTGAAAGTATACTGCCAGAGCATAGAGAGTTCTTTTCGGGGAGACTGGCGGACTTGTACTCTGTTACGAATTTTGGGAGTATTCCTGTTGCTGTTAGGGCGCTGAAGACGATTTGGGGGATGCAGGGGACGAGGAGGTGGACTGAGATTGTTAGTAGCGAGACTCCGATTTTGATTATGTAGACTTTTAGCGGGTTATGGACGGTATACCTTGGGATATATGGTTTTGAGCAACAAGAAGATTATAGAATTTTATACATGTGTGATACCCAATATTCTACAGCCAGGTTGCAACATGATATGTTTTGGTTTCAAGACATTAGTTGGCATCAGTACCTGAAATCAACAAAGAACTTTCTCTGAATCATATATAAACCCATTGCATTGCACTTCTGAGTCGCGACGAGGTTGAAGTACTTTGATCGGCACGCCTCGATTGATGGACAGGCGAAAGAAACTCAAATAAGGCTACAGTACCCGCCAGCTACAGTGCGCAGTGAACTCTATCTACTTTAGGTAGCCATATCTAAAATACAACTACAGTACACCGCCTTCAATCGTCACTATCACCTGATCAGACCCCATCTCGTATTCTGTCATAAAATAGTCATAGAACAACACATGCTGTACAGCATACAGCCCGCCTGTCATACGTGGTCACCCGTTCACCAATGGGAGCCTTCGGACATGCCATCGCTGTAGTGAGCAAAACCGTCCAATAGGAACCCTAGGACCACACCGAGTTCATCCATCACATCGACGATCACCAGCGCCAAGAAGATGCGGACTCCAGATCTGGTGACACATGCACTTTCGATCGTGTAGTGTGGTGTACCATGAACGATTGGATGGTTCGTAAGATGTGCGTTGAAGTGAGGAGAGTGAGAAGAGCAAATGAATTCATTACAAGTCTATGTTGCTGTCTGTACTTGTATCATCTAATAATGCATGTAAGTTGCATTCCATCCCAGTCTGAGGTATCATATATTGTATCCCAAATTCCAAGTCCAAGTCCAAATCATCGATCCAGCGATCTCAGTCCCACCCGACATCAGATTAAATTAACGGGGGCGGGTTCGTTCCCTACTGTCGGGACCGCCACTGTGACATCCACTGCTCAGCACCAGGCTGAAACCTGTGTCTCCTCCAACATGACATTCCGAGTACCATCTTCCTTTCTTGACAAGAATATCGTGAAATTGAAAACATGTCGTGTTGTTGTTAATTGTGATATGTTTGTTAAGCTGAACATTTGAGAGTCTGTTTCTCTTCAGCCTTTGAATCCATATTTGATGAATTCTGTTGCCATTTGGGGCATTTCTTGTGGCGGTCGAGGAGTGATTGTATTGTTTGTATCTCACTAGTCAAATAGCGGATTTGGCATTGGAGTTCTTCGTTTGCTGCTTCATAGTCTTGACCACTGGTGGATGTTGTATGATCTGAGTCGTCCATGATAGCTGCCATATTGAATAGAGTGTATAACAAATGAAAATTGGATTGTTGGTCAGTGAATGATATATATAGATTGAGTGGTGAGAAAAGAGAAAAGAAGAAGAGGGCATCTAGGACGACACCTGGCAGGCTATTAATATTACTAAACACAGATATCAAATACTCATTAATATCTCTCACATCCCAATCCTAAAAATAAAAGACCGCAGTCTAGAATCGGTTGCCTCCGGCTGTTTTGACTTGTCGTCTCACCGAAAGAGTGGCATAAGAATTGTGTCATAAAGAGGTAATCCTGCCCCATATACGGCCCCCTGATCATTTTAGTCAGCCCCGCCATTGGTGTAAGACTGTTCTTTCCCTTCTAAAATTCCTGGTTTTCTTTAGTGAATTCCAGGGTCTGACCGATGTCCATCGGCCGAGAGTCATGGTCAGCGGTACTTGAATCATACCATTTTATTCTGGTTGGTTTGTTACACCTCGATCTTGAAACGCAAGTCATGCATGACTCCATCGAAGTCTTCTAGCCTTGTACTGTACTGTACTGTGTTGTGCTGTTCACATCCATCCAACCCTCTTAAAGACAAATGTCGCACCACTAGCCAATGCAGTAGCGCCGGTAAATACAATCAGCGAACCATATCCCGTTCCGTAACCGCCGGCTGCTTGGCCCTGCCATGGCGTACCCTTAATTAACGCACCGCTCAGTGGTCCTGATACGATATTCCCTACTCCCCGACCTGCGCAGAGAACGCCTAGTACCATTGCTGGATCAAATGATGTTCCGCTGGTGCTGCTTCTGTCGGGGGCCTCGGAAACCATGTGCATGATGCCTGTCCACGCCGTTGTATATGATCCTGCAAATACTCCATATGTTATGCAGAATAAGTATAGTACTGGAAGGTTTGTAGAGAAGCCCCAGAGAAGAAATGTGCTGAGAGCTGTTCCGATGGCTGATATCATGAAACAGTTCGTCACGTGTAGACGATCTGTGAGAGCACCCATAACGACGCAGCCAAAGACCGAAGAGACATTAATTAACAAAACCGTCAGCGCCGAGGGAAACGTTCCAGCGCCCAGGGCAGTTCTTGCATAAGAGGGAAGATAAATCCCTGGTAGGAAAAAACCGAGTGCTTGAATAACATTCGCAAGTTGATGAAGCATAAAGTTCTTCCGCAGCGCAAAGCCTAGCTTGAGCGGATTGATATGTCTGGTCGCAGAGTGCGGAAGACGAGGTTTGATAAAGTACGCCAGCGGTAAGGTCAAGATAAACAACGAAAGAGACCATATTCTCAACGTTGTGCGGAAGCCATATTCATGGAGGAATTTCTCAAAGATGAGCGGTAAAGCGAAGCCTGCGAGACCGGTTCCAGACCACATGACTCCATACGCAAGACCTTTTCTCCTTGCGAACCACTGGTCCAGATATAGAAGACAAGGGCAGTAGGAGATGGAACCACCGATAGCGTATAATATTCCTTGGGTAAGGATGAGATGTGTGGTGTTTTGTGAGAAGGAACTGAGTGCGAGGGCGATGCACATTATGAAGAGGCCTATTATGGGAGAATGGCGGCTTTGGGAGGGATAGAGACGTTGAAGAGTCATCATAACGGGAAGACCGAGATATAATATTCCCTGGAAATGGTGAGCATCGATTGATATGTTAAGTACGGGTCAGAAGAATTAGCCGCCGAGAGCATAAGGGACGAAATAATTTAGCCATCTTATGCAAGCTTGGGCTAGTAATTAGACCAGTTTATTTCTCTGTCCTAAGTCTTAGAGCATAATTGTTCTGACACCCAACTGGGGACGTACCATTGCACATGTACCGATTGCCGCGATGGACGATGACCCTTCAAACGGACCACTGGTACTATAATAATCCTGAAAAACACCAAAGGCAAATGGAAAGCCTGAACAGTCAGTTTATGTGCGAACAAACATATAGATAAACTAACCCCAGATTAGAGCCTCAACCATGAATGCAGCTGCCAAGAATAACCAGGCATCTTTACCAGTATCCACCGGTGGTAAAGAGGGAAACTCGGTGGTGCCTGTGAGATCGAGGTCTGAAGATGGACCTTCTTCGTGGGCGATATCGCGGCGTAATTCAATTGATGTTTGACTCATTGTATTTATATACTTGAGCTGATGTAGTCTACAGTATAATATGTTTGGGGATTATCTCGTTTTTATTCTGACATGTCTTGTCAGTTGCGCCCTTGGTTTGACATCGGAGAGCTTTGCCGAGTGGCGTATTTGTATTGTCGATGTAGGAATGACTTCATCACAAAATGAACATTTTTCTTTATGGAGGGGCCTTTTAGTGTTCGGTGTTTCAACAATAAGGTTGTCGTCTTCTAGACGTGTCAAATCTCAATAGGCTCATTAAACGTTGTCCACAGCAACTGAACTTTAACCATCGCCAACACAACCGCACGGAAGTCTGTAGTGTTCATGGATCTTTATACCCCTACTGTTGCGTTATTTCATAACGCTGAACCTGGGTGGAGGAAGTCTAAGAAAAAAAGCCAGAGGAATGCCTGTATGTATGTACTGGGCAACGGAAGAATCATCATCTATGGCTTAGATGTCAAAGTAAACTGATCTAACCATTAGTCTGAACTGGCATGAATTATCTAAGCTATTTAATCTCTTATGCTTTACCCAGATAATCCTTTTAAGCATGTCGTGAACTTTATCGGGGAGAAGGTTCATGTGATGTATGTGGTCCGCGAGGTATATAAATCCTGGCCACCTCAAATTAAATCGTCACTTCCACCATCTCATATCGATCTTTCGTTTCTACTCACCAATATGGGCTTGCCGCAAAACTCCTCGGGCCTTGACCACCCGGTCCCCAATTTGAACCAGCTCAGCTTGCGTATCGATCATGCTAACAAGATCTGTTCCAGAATACAGTTCATGTATTCTGAGTTCAGAATGCGGGCTGAATACCTGGTCCTCCTTCTAGTTGCAGACCTGGTACAATTTGATGAGGATGAAGGTTCACTATCGATAAAATGCAATGTGATTCCGACCCTGAAAAGTAAATTGGAGGGTGCTTCCCCATTTTGCAAGCATTGTAAGAGAACCCAACTGTTGTTTGTGCAATATTAGCTAACCATGGATACAGATATGCATCATCTTGACACCAAAAACCTAGACAGTGCAACTTGGGCACACGCCGTGTTTAAACCGCCGGTACCACAACCAAAAATGTCTGATGAAGATGACCGAAACGCAGACTGGCCGACGATCGCGCGATCGATATACTGGGATAGCCGGTTTGGAACCGACCCAGATCTCCCGACTATCGCTGAGGCCAAGCCGGAGGAGATCAGCAAGGTCTGCTCGCGGGATAAGGGCAGGTGTATGGTAACACAGTCTCCAGAAGTCAAGTACTTCTGGTTCTTCCCATTTACATGGAACAACAGCCCGCCAAACAACAATGCAACGGGCAACCTTGAGGGCGCAAGCGTGGACTTGGCCGACGTCGACATGTTAGATGGCGGCCTCCTCATTGCGGCCGAGATTGGCAAGACTCACAAGTCATGGAACATCATGTGTATCGACAGAGTTCTGTACGACTTCGTCGTACGCGGTTGGGGTGGGTTCAGGTTCGAAGAGGCCGGCCGACCTAACGATAAAGGCGTTGTCAAAGTGAAACTGAGGTTTTACTGGATGCCCCAGATGACCGGACGCTTCAACCGAGAAAGTACCAACGACAAGGAGATGATGGATATCGCGAACGAGTTTAACGCTTTTGTTCGCGCAGGCTGTCCCGCACCACCTACCTACCCCAAGGGTGCGGACTTTAAAGTACCTAAGTCCGGACAACTTTTTGCCGTGGAGAGGGATGCGAGTGATGTGGAAAGGTTTACGTCTGTGGTTAAGATACACTGGGCATGTGTGGTTTATACAGCTCTTTGCGGTGGCGCCGGTCGCCCTCAGTTTATGACTGGTATGGATCAGAGCTACGGGCATCTAGAACCTAGGGATGAGCAATTTGCACAACAGAAGGCCGAGCTAGAGGAGAAGAATTTGGTTGCCCAGATGGCGTGGAAGAAATACTACCAGCCATCCGACGATTCGGGACATGGCGGCAGTGATCCCAGATCTTCAGGCGACACCCTCTAGTACACTCGCTTTTCCTCTGGTTATTTGAGTCAAGACTGTGTTTACTCTCAACATATCTAGAATCTCAAACCTATAATTCGAAAGTCCCTCGTCGCTATGAATAAAGTGGATGGCCCGCTACAAGTAGTAATGCAAGACTTAGGTAAGTAATAAAAGGATTGCCTAAGTCTTAGTGAACTAAGAGATGAAGCATTATAAATGCTAGTCTAAGATATCATAAAATCCACATCCTTAGGCTAGCTTAGACGAGTGTTTAGGATATTTTATTTCTGTAGCCTAAGCCTTAGAGGATAATTCTTCCAACACCCACTTGACCGCCCTCCAGCCGATGAGAAGATGGTTGGAGTCCCTCAACTGAGATCGTGTGACCGGTCCCCTGGAGCCTTTGAGGTCTCTGCAGCTTGGTGCAGCGCGAATTCATTGTCCCTAGGCTGCAAGGACCCATCGCTCTGATTCATACCAGTCAGGTACTGAGGTCGCCCGGTACCACCGCAAAGAGCTAAATATACTACGCAAGCCCAGTGCACCTTGACTGCAGACTTGAGCTTTTCTGCGTCTTCCCTTATCATCGGTAGGTAGACTTTATCGCCGGATCGGGGTACTGGATCCTGCTTCGGATAAAAAGAAGGTTCTTTGCAGCCTTGGGAAACAAAGTCGTTGAAGCTTCTTGCGATATCCTCCAGGTCAGTGGCGTCAGTCACCTCGTTGAATCGTGCTTTGGACAACTGGGGCATCCAGTAAAATACCAAAACCACTTGGACTCTTCCACCGAGTTGACCGCCATCACCATCGCCCTCGATTGGGATGGTCTCGTGGTACTTGAACCCACACCAGCCGCGTCTGAGACTACTGTATAAATCTGGGCTAACACAAACCAGGTTCCATGCTTTGTGAGATTTGCCAAGCTCATACGCGCTGAGAATGTCATCCAAAAGGTCAACATCAGTCATAGCTAGGCATACTTCTTCAAGGTTCCTGTGGCGTTGTTATTTTCCACACTGTTGTTCCATCCGATCGGGATAAAAGGGAAAACTTTGGCTCCTGTTTGATGCGTGACCACGCAGGAGCTTTGATCACGCTCCAGACACTTGCGGACCTCGTCCGGATCAAGTGAGACTGTTTCGAGTTTCGGATCAGTGCGAAAGCGCTGGGCGTAGTAAATTGTCTGGGAAAATGTCTCCCATTCTGCATCTTGGTAGTCTTCAACAGTCAAGTTAGGGCGGTAAATAGGTGCTCGATATAGGGCATGCTCCCATACATCCGCCGGTTGGTAGGGTAGAAGGTGATGCATCCAGTCTGTAAGCAGGGTTAGCTGATACTGTCAGGTGGGTGTCAGAATTGGAGTTTAGATGATGTTACGTACAATGCTTGGCCAAAGGGGACGCCTCCTCCAATTGTCTTTTCAGGCTTGGCGGAGGCTTATTGGTTGATAGTGAACCGTGTTTTTCGAAATGCTCTGGGTCCGCAATCAGAAGGAGGGCATGCTGTTCCATGCGCATCGTAAAGTCGGGCCACAGGAACTGTATCTCGCCCTGGATACGCCGACCGTAGCTGATGCGGGGGCCAAGTTCATTGAGACCAGGGATCGGATGGGGTATTTCCTGATCGACCGGCTTGCGCTCTGACTGACTGGGAGATGCCATTTTTTACCGTGAGTAGGATATGGGATGGTTTGTAAAGATGAAAAAGTAGAACAAGGTCTGTCGTTGGTTGCCCAGTGCTCTTGGCAGGAGATGGAATTTATATAACTATAAATTACAATTTTGTAGCGGGGAAAAGTGCACCTTTGAGAGTATAATGACAAGGTTCATATGTGGTAAAGTTACTCTGAAAAGCACCTCAACTCTGTGTTGTCAACAAGGGTGAAGGGGGCAGCACGTCTGCTGGTTGATTTGGAACCAGCTCAACTTTCCTTCCATCAAGTCTTATGTATCGTAGCTTATATCAGAGTCTAGACTATTTAAGTATACTCACTTTTCTATTACTTATTTAAGTTAAGATTGTGTTTATTTCTCAACATATCTCACGTCTCAAAACTAACATTCGACCGTGTCCCGTTTCACATCGACATTATTACTGCTCGGTAGGATAAGTGGGACATTATCTACCTCTGGAACAGCAGTGATAACCGAGTCATCTGTGGGCAAAGGAGTAATAATTCCCCTGTGGAAAGTGTAAATAGCTTCACAAACCTTATCTGATCTCAGTAACACCCACATTGGCTGTAATGCTAAAGCCTGAAATAGCCTGAGAGGTGAAATAATTGAGGCAACTTCTGCAGTTTAGACAAGCATTGGGAGATCTTCAGATGTAAGAACAATATTGACCTAAATAACTACCTAAGGATAACACCTTCATACTCAAAAGGGTAGCTCGTGGCATAGATAAACCAACATACACAAAACCCATGACCCAATGAGCGGACTAAGGTAAAGGGGCCAGGAAAAGTGAGAACCAACATACATCAAACTCGTGACCCAAGGAGAGAACCAAAACCAAGGTACCAAGACAAGAGACATCCGCGATACAAAAAGATCAACACACAGAACTGCGCCCAATGCAAGAGTGTCTGTTCCGTGGCCCGTGGGTAACTGACTCGGGACTAGGCACCTCGCGCGAAATCGGCCTCGCTTTCGGTTGTCCTACCTGTCGACTCGGTACCATACTCTGACCGACCCGGCCGTTTCCAGGTCATATCTTCCACCCTGTGGTTTCTTTCGACCTGGTCTCTCACCGCCATGAACTCCTTATCCCAGGCCTTCACAGATCCATCGCGCTGATCCATGCCAGTCAGGAATTGAGAGCGCCCAGCACCGCCACAGAGAGCTGTATATAGGACACAATTCCAGTGTACCTTGATGGCAGCTATAGTCTTTGGCACATCTGCTTCTTCTCTCTTCAGCTTGACAACATCGCCAGAGTCAGGTGATACTTCAGAGTCGCTGGGATAGACAGGTGGCGGGGGACATTTGGCTTCAAAAAATAGATTGAACTCTTCTAAGAGAGCGTACACCTCGGCGGTGCCATTGGCCATTTTGTTGAATCGTGGTTCCAGCTGAGGCATCCAGTAAAATCGACAAACCACATCGACTTTCTTGTCGTTGCGTGGCTCGGTCTTCTCATACTTCAACGCGCACCAGCCGTCTGAGAGGACTCGAAACAGATCGGCGTGAACGCAAATCATATTCCATGCTTTATGAGTCATGCCAAGCGCATTGGGGCTGACGACATTATCCAAAAGGTCGACGTCGGTTAAGATCCGACCTGATGGTGATAGATTGCCCGTGGCGTTACTGTTGTCCACGGTGTTGTTCCATCCGGGCGGAATAAAGGAGAAAATGTAGGGGTCAGTGGTCTCCTCTTCCCAATTCGATATTTGACAGACATTTCCGTCGCGATGACGACACTCGTTGTCCTCGTAATCGTTGTGCGTAGAGAGGCTTTTGAGCCCTGGCGAGGTCTGGTACCGTTGTTCGTAGTACATCGATTGCTTAAGTTCCTCGAAGGTCGCTTCCTGGACGTATTCATCAGTCAACTCAGGGCGCTCGATGGGCGCTCGATAAAAGGCGTGTCCCCAAGTAGCCTGGAAGTCCGCCTTGTTGAGAGGGCTAGAGTGAAGCATGTCTGTACCCATGGTTAGCTGATAATATCCACATGCTAGTTAGTTTAGATGGTCTTACAATGCTTGGCAAATGGGGAGACCCCCTCCAATAGTCGTTTCAGGATTGATTCGGGCAGTCCGAGTGATAGTGCACCACCTTTCGGAAAATGCCTCGAGGTTGCAATCAGACACAGGGCATGATGTTCGACGTGGAAGCGAAACTCAGGATAGAGCTTCTCGACTTCATTCTGAAGCCCCTTCGCATAATTCAATCGGTGCGGGAGACTGGCAGCAAAATCTTCACCGAGAGGATAAGGAAGACGGATGGGATCATGCCGAGGAATCTGGAACAGCTTGGAAGACGACATCTTGCTATGAGAAAGAAATAAGGATAAGGGTTGGGGAATGAGAGATGAGAGATGAAAGATGAAAGCTTGAGCGAAAAGTGGACAGCGTGTTAGTCGCGCTGCCTGTGGTCAGTCAGACTTTGGCTTTACAGCAATTTGGTGGTGGAAAGAAGTCAATTTCGTTTGGGTGCCAGGAGTTGGGCAACAGAAGAGTTATATTCTTAAGGCTAAAAGTGCTGGTCCAAGGTTACATAGAATGACTAATTTGTTTCGTCTCTTGTACTTGCAGCGACCAATTCTTCTGACATCCTGACGAGTGCGCCTTTGAGGGTCTGTTGTCTCACAAAGCCAGATTTGGTCATACAAACGGTGACATGTGGTGAGGTACCGCAAGGCATATGTTGTCAACCAACAAGAGTGAACAAAAGGCTGATTATTGAAGGAGTGAAAACAGCAACAGAGTTTGCTGACGTGGTTTAGCTCAAACACTGTTCCGGCGTTGCCTAAGCTTTTGGTTACACAGACATGTCGGTAAGAACTCGGTCCGGTGTGTTGGCCTGATAACCAAGGAAAGAAGAGGGGAACGACATTACTTCTGCCCATTGTGTTACCATAGGTGCCTAGAAAGCAGTACTAACGCATAATCGGTTTTGTCATCATCAACTTGCCATGCTCCGTGCTTGAAGAGATGTTGCCACAAACGCTGGCATTGACTTGCATGTGGACTGAAAGTGATTGTAACAAAAGGTAATTTTGACCCCACGCGGCAGAATAAACGAAGATGCAACGTTCAGTGCGATCGGACATGGTGACTGCATTCAGTGACATGAGCTTTGAGATCAGCCAGCCTACTGCTGAATGAGTTGGCCTGTCACCTGTAGACGCAACCCAGCCTCCTGCGCGGCACAATGCATAGTGCATAAAAGAGAGGTCTAGATTGCCAGTGTTCAAACTTATGATTGACCTGGCTCCCTCGCTTAGGTCCTCTATTGATGCTGCAGGCGCCTATCGCGGCAAGTAGCAGAACCGACAAGTGCCCATCGGAGAATGATGTTTCAGATCAATCAGCAACCGAACATATTAACCAGACTAGACATGCAGGTAGTTAGCGGCTGAAAGAGATGACCAGAGTGGCTGGCTTGGATCAACCTCTCTCGTCACAACAATACTGTGATTCAAGCACGCTAAGCGCTACTGGCTATCAAGCATCATGCATATTCTCATGATTGGCCTTGTAGCTGACGACACGCAGACACCAGCAGACAATCCTGATGGGTCAACTCTCCATTTGATTGGGTAAGGAAGGGATGTAGTCGGATGATCCAGAAGCCTTTCAGCCACTGGAGGATATTCGCATGCAGAGATTCAGGTCTTACACAACCAAAGGTGTCGATCGGGAGATGCGAGAAGAGAGATGTGACGACGACCGGGACGAGGAATGCAACCTCAATGTAAAAGCCGAACGAGGCAACAATTAATCGTATCACCTAGGCCCCCGTTGGAGGTAACAGTGCCTCACGGCTACATCGCATATGCGTTCGCAAGAGATCTAATATGGATTACCATGCATGTGACTTCATGTCATCCACCAACATTACCTGGATGGATATAGAAATGCTCCCCGTCCACGCGAATCGGGAGTCCTTTGGAACAAAAACCATGGCTGCCGTATGCAAGAGCCCTAATGCATTCATCTTCGCCGGCGAAATGCCAATACAACGTTACATTTCCACATAGTGCATCGGGATATAGTTAGCACTATAGACAGCGCCCAGATCGTGGCTGAGTATGAATTTGCTGGTCTGTGTTACAAATACACAGCGGGCTTAGGATACAGAACATAAAGATTTACGCCGTGGAACTTACGAGCGGGGGTAAGATTGTCTAAACGGTGGATGGCGTTTCGTCCCTTAGGCAGAAAGTCCGAGACATCCTTAAACGACGTTGGATTCCATTCTGTTGTGTAAGTATCGGAGTCACAATCCTTCAAGTGTGCAACTTGAGCAAATCCAAAACTGGCATTATCCCAAGCGCATGACTCCATTCGGATTGTATGACATAGTACAGCGTCAATGATGGAAGTCTAAACTTCTGAAAGCAGACCACATTTGGGCAATCGGAAAGGTGAATCTATAGCATCTGGAGCTCGGTTTTCGTTGCCTGCCTTGGCTCTGTTCACCGATGGATAGCTACAGTCGCCTTCGGCACTATTCAGTTACGCTTCATTTACTTGGTACGTGAGGGTCTTGACATCTCGACCGGTGACGCGCCAAAATAGGTCATCTCCGACTCTGGCTGGTGGAATCCCTGGCGGGGACAACGGATTTGTCCAGGAAGACATACAGAACTGGTGGAAAAGAAGAGACAAGATGGCAGGTAACAGAAGGATTGTTCTCCAAGGCTTAGGCTTCCGGAATAAAGTAACCTATGGGCTAGTCTAAGCTCGCATAAGATGAGCGAATAATTTCATCCCTTATGTTTTCGTCAATCAATTCCTGTGATACAGTGGCCGCGGAGTTTGCTGGCCAACGTTTGTTCGGACTAACTGCTACAAGTTGAAATCGTTCAATCTACAATCACCCTGTCAAACGCCAGGGCAAACACAACGATAGAGAACATGCTTATGGCAGTGAAAGGGTGACGGACTGAACAACATAAATACAGAGCTGAGCCAAATCATTGTGAATCAATCGACAGCAAATCCATTTCAGCACCAACCGTTATTGAATTGTGAATCATTCTTGTCTACCAAATTCTCTCACTGAATCACTGTCCTCTATCAGTGATTCAGCTCCCTGCTCTTTTCCTCTGAATCGCTGCCCTCCATCAGTGATTCAACCTTCTACTACTCCTCATCGGAATCACTGATCCTACTTCGTCACTGATTCACCCCTTTACCACCATGGCGACCCCCATGCCCCAATCTCTCAACACTCATCCGCCCGTGGTACCTCTGCAACGTATACAAGGGGATCCGGATGAAGTCGCCTTCCGCGATAAGACGGTCCAAAGCTGCGTCAAGCAGTACGGAAACGCTGCTCCACCCCTTACGCACGATGATGTGATGTGCATTTGGAGCAACCCATGGTGTTTCTCCAATCTCATGGCAGCGCCAACCATGAGAATGGTTATTCGCATGCATAAGACCTACTCTTCATTATTTGTGACGAGCCCAACGGATGAAGCCTCCGGTGTCGCCGATGACAAGAGAAAGCTTGCAGAAGAGGAACTGAAGAACCCGAACCCGAAACGATCGAAGAAAGACAACAAGCAGCCAGGAGAGCCACCAGCCAAAGAGAAACAGCCAGAACCGAAGAAAGGTGATGGGGGACGAGTCACAGCCGCAAAGAACCAAGCCAGTCGACGAGATAACCACATGTGCTCCTGGCAGTGGACCCCGGACCCAGATATATCCCATTTTTTCCCTTACGCCGCGACTCAAGACGACGAATCTGCTACCAAAACGGCAGATTGCTTTTCAATCACGAAGGCGAGGTTTGGCGTTGCCACCTACGACAAGTACCGTCATATCATTGCCAAACCAGGAAAATTGGAGGTGCCGTCCAATATGCAGGCTCTGGGCAAGTCGATGCACTTTTGGGAAGATAGAGGGTATCTGTCCTTCAAGGCCTCAAAGCCCGATGGGTCCGTAAACGGTATTTGGTTTGTGGTAATCGAGCTGTGCTGGTTACCATATCTCCACCACGAGCCGGATGTCAGTGCTACGGCGGATCTTACCAACTCGTCAAGCAACACGGTGGTCCACGCCTGTCGCCAACTGAACGACGCCCATCGCCTTGGCTACCCACCCCGAGATCCCCCCATTGGACAGGGCGTGATGAAGGCCTTCTTCCGAGACAGAACGGAGATCGCGAGTGGTCGCTCCGTCAAATTTCAATTTAAGACCAAGGAGGAGGCTGACTTTTTCACTGCTATGGTCAACTACCACTGGTTTGGCATGTCGATCCTGACATTCCGGGGTGTGACTAAGGGGCGTAAGCCTGGTAGTGGAAGCGGCAGCGGCGGCGGCGGTGGAGGTGGCTCCAACACCCGCGCCCGCGCGTCTACGGTACCTACTTTACCTACTTCTTCCTCGGCGCCAACCCTTACTGTCGGGCGAGGTCGTGGTCCGGGCACCAATTCTCCACGTGGCCCTGGTGGTGGGCATACTCCTACTGGAAGTATTGCTCGTGGTCCAGGCAACGATTCTCCTCGTTGAAGTGATACTCCTGAGTAGTGGGGCGGGTTCTCTGGTGTTCTTTGGTTCTCTCTTCCTTCCTTCCTTTCTTTCTCTGTTCTCGTCTCTGTCGCTCTCTCTCTGTCTTACTTGTCCCCTGCTCCCCCCCACCCTCTTGTTTCTCGCTTGACACCAGGGAGCAGGTGGGGTTTAGAAGGATCATCCTCTAAGGCTTAGGCTACGGAAATAAAGTAGCTTAAACACTAGCCTAAGGTGACCAAATTATTCGGTCTCTTATGCTCTGGGGTTCAGTGGCCTTTCTTCTGAAACCCTGACGATGGTAGTCGATCGGCTTTAGGGTCTTTTTCTGAGGGTGCCCGGCTTCCCCATTTGTATTTAGTTTTATCTCGCAATACAACGTATTGATATGAATCTTTCATCGCGAATCCACACTTTGAAGTATCATGACTCCAATGATTGCTTTTTTGCACTGACCCAACATAAGCCTCGGGCTGCTGTGCAAAAGGTGAAGTTAACTTCCAAGGTGACCTGATGAAAGTGAGAAGCTATCTTCTGAAGTGCTCCTATGTTGGTAGTGGCAGAGGTGCTAACAAGCAAAATAAGAGTGTTGAAATAAAGTACCCTAAATGGTACTCTAAGCCTCCATAAACTGATCAAATTATCCCGTCTCTTAGGCTTTTACGTCTGTAACACTTCAATTAATCCAGGTTGAGAAAGTGCCAAAGATACGGTAGATAACAATCCGCTCATCTTACCCGGCAATGGTGAAGTCGAAGTAGGCCAGTCCTTCTTTATCTCGTCCCCACTAAACAAGACGCTTATCTTCACGATCATCCACTTACATGATCGGGCGAATGTCACCCGAACCGAGATTTTACGAGAAATTTTCAGCGGGTACCTTGTCTTATTCCCGGTCGTTTATAAGTAGAAGAAGCGGTATCGGTCACGTCGTAATTTGTAAAGATAACATGATCCGAATTTTCCAATTTTCACTGTCCTTTTATGCAAGAAATCACAATACCTTGACACTTTTCCCCAATTGAATGACTTGATACCCGTGACAATGGCCGTGAAGAATGAAGAACATGATGGCCCAGTTCTGGAGCCAATCGCGTGAGTGCTCAATACCTCTTACAGAAGCCATACTGACAAGGTGCAGGACGCTTCGTCGTCAAGGGACGCGCTCGGAAATGCAAGATCTCGAAATCATAGCTTCAGCAGGTGCTTCTTTCCTCCCCAATAGCATCCCCCCACCGCCCGACGGCGGTCTTCACGCGTGGACCCAAGTCGCCATGGGCTGGATCGTCATCTTCGCAACATGGGGCTACGTCAACTCGTTTGGCAGTTTTCAAGCACACTACACCTCCATACTACCTCAAACGCCCTTTCAGATCTCATGGATTGGTTCAATCCAGGTGTGGTTTACCTTCTTCGGAAGTGCTTTCTCTGGACGTTTACTTGATGCAGGCTTCTGGATTCCGACCTTTCTGGTAGGATCTGTGTTGCAGCTGTTGGGTATTTTTATGATGAGTTTGTCGACTTCTTACTGGCATCTTATGATCACGCAGGGTGTCGTGACCGGTATTGGCGGTGGTATCATCTTTGCGCCCAGTCTGGCTCTTGTTGCTACTTATTTTGAGAAGCGAAGAGGTATCGCTATTGGTCTTGTTACCACCGGAAACTCCCTCGGAGGTACAGTCTATCCGCTCGTTGTGCGAACTCTCCTCCCAGAGATCGGCTTCTCCTGGACATCGCGGGTATTGGGATTTATCAACCTCGCTGGCTTTGCGCTCGTGGCTGTGTTTATGAGACCGAGACTCCCACCACGACAGACAGGGCCAATTATTGATTGGAGTGCGTTCAAGGACGTGTTGTACGTCTCGTACGTCAGTGGGCTGTTTTTCTTCGTGTGGTCTGTTTACTACACTTTCTACTATGTGAGTATTCCTTTCCCAGACTCTAACTGAAAGGATGTGCTAATCGGATAGCTTGCTTCGTTTGGACAAGAAGAAGTCGGCATGTCCTTTGCAGACTCATCAATTCTTACGACCATCATCAACGCCGTTGGCCTTCCAACTCGAGTCCTGATTCCTTTCCTTGCAGATCGGATTGGTCCGCTGAACACCATTGCTCCAGCAGGCTTATGTGTAGCTATCGTGGCGTATACTTGGCTTGCTGTACACAACGAGACCGGAGTTTATCTTTTCTCTATCTTCTACGGTGTAGCATCGGGAGCATTTCAGAGTCTGATGCCAACTGGCGTTGCGAGTATCACGAAGAGACTCGACACTATTGGCACCCGAATGGGGATGTGTTTTAGTCTTATCTCCTTTGCTGGTCTATCAGGACCACCTATTGGAGGGCTACTTCAGTCGAAGAGTCTTGCAGGCGCACATGTCTGGGCGGCACTATCGAGTACCCTGGCTGCGGTTTTGCTAGTTGTGGCAAGAGTCTTAAAAGTAGGATGGAAGGTAAAGACCAGATGTTAATTCCCCTAGGACAATACAGAGAGATATTGAAGCTTGTTGGTTATATAACATACGGAATAATTAGCCGCTCTATGCCAGCTTATACCAGGCTCCGGATGGCACAATCAATCAAGATGCAATGTTCGTTCAGTGCAATCGCCTCTACTTGGTAGTAACAAGGCCGATTATGCGGTGGTGCCATTTTCCACAGGTAGTAACACAATACGCAAAATTAATGTCGTTTCCTTCTTCTTTCCTTGATCATCAGGCCAACACACCGGAACATGTTCGTTCAACTCGAGGCCTAGGCAACGCTGAATAGTGTTTGAGCCAAACTATGTCGCAGCAAACCTTGTTCCTGTTTGCACTCTGGCAACCCAGATTTGAGGTGATTTACCAAAGTAACTTTATTACGGTCGGACCTTTGCATCATCCTCTCAAAGGCGCAGTTTCTCCCGCCACTAAATTGTCACATAAATCCCAAGTCCAGCCAAAAGCACTGAGCAACCCCAACACCACACCGTCTTCTACTTTTCAGATCCTCCTCAAACCCAGCATCCTATATCTCTTTTGTTTCGACTGACGGCAACATGGCGTCTTCCGACCAGTCCCTGTCGCTCCGCCCCAAAGGCTCAGATATTCCCCATCCACTCCCTAGTCTGACTGAGCATGAGCTCGGCCTCAGATTGATTTCTACTACCGAGCTGTCGACTGAGATACAGACCTATGATCGTGCATTCATCATGCGCGCCGAACAGGCGGCTCTCATTCTGATTGTAGAAAAGAGAGAGTTCGAGCACGACGACGGTCTACTATCGACAGAGAATTGGACACCTCCAGACCTGAAAAAGCGATTGGAGAATGCCTCCCCGTTTTGCAAGCATTGTAAGAACATCTGAATTCCAACTGCTGCCGGGCACTGAGCAAAGAGCTACTCTCTCGCTCTTCAGCAAAGGTATCCTATATTTCTCCACAACGGGCACTACAGCTAACCATGATATAGATATGCTTCACCTCAACCCCGATAATCTCAAACGTGACGCCTGGCGACACGCGCTGTATCGAGCGCCGCTTGCAGCGCCAGCCTTTACCCATGAACTCATTTGCAAAGCCGACTGGTACACACTCAAGCAATCGATGTGGTACGAACTACGATTTCAGACCAAGTCACATCTCCAAGATCTCTCTGACCCTGTGGAGGAGATCGCCAAATGTCGGAAACGCGATAAGGACGTCTGTGCGGTAACAGGAAACCGTGACCCTGTAGTCTTCTTGTTCGTCCCGCGCATTTGGAATGACACCAAGGATCACAATGATGCCACGGGCAACCTAGCGGATTCAAGCCTGGATGTGGCCGATGTTGATATTCTGGGTAATATCCTTAGCGGAAAGGAGCTTGGTAAAACCCATAAAGCCTGGAATATGCTGCTCGTTGACCCGGATCTGTATGCATGCCTCGTCCAGGGTCTCTGTGCGTTCAAGTTTGAGGCGATTGAGGAGATTCAGAAACCCACCCTACACGACAATGATCGAGATGATGATCGCAATGGCGAGAATGTCCATATCGTATTGCGGTTCTATTGGATGCCCAAGTTGACACCACGATTCAACCAAGTAGCCACCGTGGAAGACATGAAGACCATCGCAACAGAATTCAATGATTTTGTTGCCCTGGGCTGTCCCCCACCGAATGGCTGTCCTAAGACTCTTACGACACTGAAATCGGGTGATCTTGTCCGATTGTTGAGAACAAGTAAAGAAGAAGCGCAAAAGCTCAAGTCCGCAGTTAAGATTCACTGGAACTGTATACTGTATACAGCTCTTTGCGGTGGTGTCGGGCTTGCTCATTTTATGACTGGCATGGACCAGAGCGACGGGTCCTTGCAGCTCAGGGACGAAGAATACCGACAGGAGGCGGCGCGGGACCTACGCCTCGGAAAGACCTTAACTAGGACTATTGGGAATTGGTTAGAAGGAGCTGCAAGCGTCTTTTCAAAGACGGCTCGGTCAACTGTCGCTGGTGCCAGCTCATTGAACAGCAAGGCTGTGTCGGATAATGGTAAAGGATCCAGCTCAGACGAGGCTGGGTCGGCCGGAGGTGAACAGTCATCTGAGAAGTGAGCTTTCCTTGGGCCATAGGCATTGTGAATCTTGGTTCTCTCTTGTCCTGATATCCTTGTATCTTCGCTGTCAATACTTCAAGCTCTCTTTCGAGTGGGAAGGTATCATCCTTAGTTACGTATTTAGCAATACTGTGTTTGCTTCTCAAGGTTTCTGAAGTCTATGCTTTCTCGAACTCTATATTCTGAGCCTTAGATGCGTTTAATCAAAGTTACCAAACTTCCACTCTCCCTTCTACTCTCTCTTAAGTTCCCCATCAAGAGTCGAAGCCTCAACCATAGCCTCGTACCTTGTAATCATCGTCACGATAAAAGAGGTCAATCTAAAAAGAGCTCTTAACATGATGTTAGATATGAATATGACGTACAGTACACGATGTATTAAGCCTACGTAGACTGTCCAACTTGTATTAACAGGATGCTAAGAAGGCCGCTCACCGAATTTACAGAGATACCAAAGCTTAAGTAAGCTCATATACAAATAGACAGTTGTTGGGAAAAGTGGATGTTCAGATGATTGATAGAATTGTGCCTGTCTATAGGGACTAGATTACACTGGCGTCTGAATTAGCATAAAAATCAATGCTTGCCTGATCCGGGTTCCATTTCATCATCAAGTCTTTCTCGTCAAGTGATCCCCCAATCTCGACGCAGTTATTTGTTCTCGGCGCGAGGATCAGCTTAGTGACCTCGAAGAGATTCTCTGGCTTCATCGCCGGCCTTTTACCAAACAGAAGCTTTGCCGCGAAAAACAAAGCGATTATAGTAGACAGTGCCGGCAAGACTAGTAGTACGAGCACCCATGCATCTCCTTGCACACCAAAACTTTTATGATACGAGATAGCGTCAACGTACGATGACATAGACATTGTATCGGTTCGACCCGTTGGAGACACCATACCTGCTGAAACAAGACCCCGCATGACGTATCCCAAGATATCTTCAATTTCGTAGGCTCCGTAGAGAGTAGATTTGAGCCGACTCGTTAGAAGCCAACCCAAGCCCCGGCCATTCTGTTCCGGCGGAACCAGGAGCGCAGCAACATGCTCCGCAAGAACCATACCGGCACTGGTTGCGTTGGTATGAGGGAGCAGCGTGTTTGGGTTTGCTTTAATGTCGCTGCATGTTCTTGTATCAGTTTCATACGAAGCGGTCAGTGCAACATCCGCATCTCCGATCCGTTTCCATGAAACTGGGGAGAAGCGAAAAGGTTCTTTTTTGACAAGACATCTTCCAGAGGCCAGTTTTGAAGTACGGTACGTAGGGAATGGCCCCATCCTGACCAAGGACAGCCAGTCGGAGTCGTAGACGGACGCGAAAATGACAACAAAATCTCCAGAGTCTAGCTCCTTGATAGCTGCGCTGGCGGGCTCGTCTATTTTCACTGACAGATTACTATATCCGCCAAGATCCCCATCATTCAAGTTGAACATCGCGCCATCCCTAGATGTAGGGATTTCGAGGTTGGAGACGGCACCATTTTCGGTCGTGTACCATTTGCAGCTGATGGAATCCTGCTTGAACGTTTGGGCACAAATGGAAAGGCTATTGTTTTCAGGCATATCGCCATAGAAAGGAGCATAGCTGGCTACGTCGTAAGGCGCGCCAAAGGCAGTCTGGTGTTGGTAGATCAAGCCGCCCCGATTGCCATCACTGAACTTGTCAGCTGGTCGTGCCAATGAGTTGTAGATTTTATCCAGCCTGCCGAACGACTCGACAGTGTCAAGCTTAGCATTGTACGTTTTCAGGTTTGAAATGGTCATAGAATTATAGAACCAGGACAAGGAGGAACTATCACCTCGATAATACGGCAGGACCTCCCCATCGATGTTGCGCTGATCAAGCTCGGCCCCTGTTACATTGAGGGCGACCCTTTCCGAAGACTCAGCCATGTAGACGCCGAACTGACTACTGAGGACGGCAGCACCAATGACAGCATTGATCAAGACCAAAGTGTAGCGGCTAGGCAGTTCAGTCAATGAGCCAGTCAGGGCGGACCAGCTGCGGTTAAGCTTGATCGCCGACAAGCCAGACTGCAAGCGAAGAGCAAGATCAATCTCGAGGACACCTTTGGCAGTATAGGCCAGCCCGACAGTCAGGATCGAGGATATGATAGTAATGACGAATTTGAGAGTGCCGACGGTAAAGGTGCTTGGGGCAGACACAATGTGCTGGTTGAACCCTTCGATGAGGAGTGGGCTGAAGTGGAAATATACCAAGACAGCGATAACGACGGCCCAGTAGAGGACAGCGTAGAGGGTGAACAGCAGGAGGCGGAGGCGAAGATGACCTGGTCTTGTCCAGTCATGGCTCCTCACGGATACCGGCCGTACTTGAGCAACATCCGTTTGCCTCATTATAGTATTGGGTTAGGTTGAACAACTGTGAGAGACCAGTTATGAAAATCTATAGGAAAGGGCCGCGAGTCAACGGAACAGAAGCTTACATTCACAGAAAATGGCAGAGTTCGAGAACCGCAGAATAGAAAATCACACTTGAGTCAATGTGTAGGCGATGCGAAGGACCAAGGGGATCAAACGCATATTTAACATTATCAAGATCAGGGGTTCCGGCCCAGAACGCCTTGGCTGGGGTGGCGGCGGGACTGTGAAAGTAGTTACCTATCATGCCCATGCTAGGTAGGTTATTGGCTGATTCCTCCCTACGGTTGTGGCTGAGGTTGTATGTGGTTGGAGTTGGAAAATTGCCAAGGAAAGGATATGAGACATCTTGCTGTGTTTTGGTTGGCGCTCACAAATTGACTAACGACTAAGGCTGACTCTAAACGAGCCGTGAAACTTGGTGGGGGCCAAATTTGAGCTGAGAGTATAAGAAACCACCTGGACAGATGTCATCTGACCAACTACATTTTGTGCATGAGTAGCTTAACAACTGAGGCCGACCTTATCTGGTATTATCCCAGGATTCTGCTTTGCAAGTAAGTAGTATAGATGTACGATAGCGAAATAAGGCTAAGTCAGTCGGCCAACAGTGGCTTAGATTAGGACTCATGATGCAGTCTAAGACTTAGATGCGTTTAGTTAAAGTCATAAAACTTCCACTCCGCCTTAAAGTCCTTGTCAAGGTCCTCATCAAGAATTAAAGCCTTGACCATCTCAATCGGCAACCCGCCAGTCCTAAGAATAGCATCGTGATACTCCTTCTCACTCATCTTTCCCCCATCAACAGCCATCTCTCTCAACTTCCACAGCTGCAGCGCACCAAGCATATATCCCGCTTGATACAACGGTGAATAACTCCCCTCCACAGACCGACGGACTTCACCCTCAGCATTACTCCTCTCATGGCTAATTCTGTCAACCAAAAGGTCCACCGCTTCTTGAGCCGTCATTTCTCCCAGGTGGAACTTGAGTGAGAAGATAATTCGGAGACAACGATGCATACGCCACCAGAGTGCTCCAATACGATTCTCAGGCGAATGATGAAAGTCGTCACGGTCGTAGAAGAGAAATTCCCAGTATAACGCCCATCCTTCTACAAAGAAGGGAGTATCGAAGATGCGCTTGCGATGAGAGTTGTAGCGGTCTGCCATGTAGAGCTGTAGTCTGTGCCCGGGAAACATTTCGTGAAAAGCCGTGGCTTTGGCGAAGTGCTTGTTATTTCCTCGCATGACCATGAGTTTGAGATCATGTTCCATGGATGTAACGGGATATGAAACTTGGATCGTTGGCCCACCGAGGAAGAATGGTGACACTTTTTGTCGCTCTGCGTCGATCATTATCATGCGCCATGTTGAGTTTGATAGTGGAGGTACTGTAACAAGATCACGCTCTGTGACAAAGTTACTTCCCTCAACGACCAGACTTCGTACATATTCTGTTTGTTTGCCAGGATCGACGTAGTCATTCTTGACATGTTCGAGAGCCTTCTTCCATTCCTTTCCATAACCTAAAGCCTCAGATTGTTTGATCATTTCTTTTTCGCACCATTCAAACTCCTGATTACCAATCTCGATGAGCTCTTCCGGTGTGTAGGGAATCATTTCAGCTTCGAGTTCAACCTCCAAACCTTTGCGACCGATGGGTTCCCCGATGATAGCGTCTTGACCCTCTTGGTTCATGCCTGCGAGTTCAGTTTGCACGGTGGTGAGATAATTGCTTAGAGAGGAATTGGCGGCTTGCCAGGGTGTAGTAACCCAGAAGTCGAAGAGAGGATCGTAGGTTGAGTAGAAAGTGAACCACTCTTCCAAATTCTCGAGAAGATTGGTTATAGCTTTTGTAGCGAGATATCCGGTTGTCTCAGTGACGTTGAAACCTCCATCTTTGACTTTTGTCTGTACAGCAGTAATACTCTTGGTGATATTGTTCAATAACCCGGCAGTCTCTTTAGCTTTCATGGGCTCAACATCCTGTCTCGCCTCGAGCATACCAACAAGGTCTTCCGCGAAGGGCAGGAGCGGTAGATAGCCCTTCTTGGAAGACTTTTGCAGATCGAGATTATTCAGTTGGCGCGTATGATACGTGTTCAGCATGATATAATCAACTTTGCCTTCTTGGTCAAGACCTTCGAAGTCAATGTCATCGAGGAGGCTCTGTTCACTCTTGTGGTAGGTCTGTAGAGCGTCAAAACGACGAGCTGCAAAATCTATGTTGTAAAACTCGTTGAGTTCACCAAGATCTGCTTCTGTTCGTATGACATGGTCTGTCATAGACACATTGAACGAGTCGCCCAAGGCGAACAGGCCTAGAGAGGCGCTGAATGTGCTTGCTGAGGACAAAGACATGGCGAGAGGATTCTGAACACGACAGCTTACCACCATAACATAACAACACAGGACGAACACCTGCATCTTTATACTTGTGCTCAAATGTCGGTCACTCAACCCGACCATCGGATTCATCCTCCGCAGTGTAGATCGGTACAACAATTCGTCTGAAGGCAGGGTTCCCCGCTTAATGATATCTAGGCACTTTTGATAGAGGTGCAGTTATACAAGGATGCAGATAAACTCTTTTTGGTAGGTCGTTTGTTTCGTACGTCACTCAAAGGATCTTAGCTCCTTGGGAGGTTAACGTTGCATGGATAAGGTTAACCTATAGTTTGCCGCGGGGAAGTCGACGTGCATCGGGGTAAGACATCTGGTAGTTTCCCCGACAGAAGGCTCGTCACGTGTATCTGGTTTTGAGAATAATAAAGACGTTTTATTACATCAATCGCCAAACTAATGGTCGCGCGGAACGATGAAAGGTCGCCCACAAACATTGTGGGACTATTGGAATACATCAAAAGGACTGCTGAATGAGGAATGACGCTTGGATATGGATTAAAAAAGATCCTACACGGGCCTTGCCATGTGCATCAAAACTGTGACATAATTCATTCTTTTCCATCCATTATCTCTCAAGGTAAGACTTTATTTATCCGTGGTATTGATCGTTTGGAGGCTGCCCGTCGGTCTCGGTCATCGGTCGTGGAGTTTCGGCCGTGAGATTTCGGTCGAAGAACAACGCTAGTCTGCAGATCCCATCAGCAAGCTCGACTAATCACAGCCGGCCATTCATAGTCTACCCTATCACATCCTAGCCGGCGTCGGTAGTTTAAGTCGCCGATGGTATCAGGATGGACTTCCCGGTTACAGAGCGACAGAAAGATTTTACCATTACCGACAGTAAAGATATTTGTTCACTTGTCGGACACGTAATTATTGAGCAGGGCTTAGTTTGACTTTAAGCTTATTATAGTTGCATAGCCATGTCAATGCCGAGATGGAGTTGAGTCCGTTACCGAGAAGATAATGGGATATATAATAACCATATAGAAGATGGAAATGGCATTCTTCATTACATCCATCAAGCATAGTTTTCTATCACTTTCAAAATGACTCAAGTATTTGCACTCGCAGCTTTGATATTCACCCTCGCCATCTCAGCAGGTATAAGCATTGCTTTAATCAATGTCGACTGCTACTCGACCTTTTGCTCCGAAGGACCCTTTACCTTTGAAACGAGGGTCCACATCACAGTCTATTACGCTTTCCTCGCCACCCTCGTTATTCTCCTTCTCCTCCGTACAAGCACTCAGCATATTGCCAACTTCCACATTGCCCATGAACTCCCCTTGGTTGGCAAGCGAGTCACCCTTGGTGGTCTTCTTACTTCTCTTGCCATTCTGACAGTTACACTCTGCTCTACCATCTACTGGCTACCTGCCCATGATGAGCTATGGGGCTACAAGACTAACCCTCTGGATTGGGCTTCTGCCAAACTTCAACTTACCATCACTGGCGTCACGGGACACTATGCTGATATTCTTCTTGGGCTGTTGCTTATTCCTGTTTCGAGAAATAGTCTTGTTGGCCAAGCGTTCTACCTGCATCAGAGCACATTACTCTTTACTCACAAGGCTGTGTCTTACATGTTCTCACTGAGCGTCATTGTCCACGGCGTCGCGTATATGGTATGCCAGGGTTGTTCCATAATGCTCTAAATGCTAATACATCATAGCTTCACGCCAATGACTCCAGCAGAAATGACGACAAAGGGCGTCATGAAGCTTTCGCCGTTGGAAATCCTGCATTGACCGTCGCAGAGAGCAAACAACTAGGAGGATGGTTCTCGCTCACCTACTACGTCGGAATCGCCGCCATTCTCCCCGTTCTTATTATTCTCGTCACTTCAATGCCATGGATTCGCAGACGTCACTACAACCTCTTCTACTTCAGTCATGTTATACTCGGTACATTGACCATCGTTGCATCGTGTCTCCACGCCAGCACCAACTTTTATCTCCTCCTTCCAGGCTTGCTTCTCTGGATTGCGGACTGGATCAGACGGCTGTTCTTTGGCGAAGCTAAGGGTCTGGCTAGTAAGACCCCTGCTGTGCTCGAGATTGCAGAGAATGGTTGGCTTCGAGTGTCTTTGCTGCCCAACAGAGCAATTTTTGGCCCACCTCTTCTCTACTATTACCTTAACTTCCCATCAATCAGCAAGGTCCAGACACATGCCTTCACAGCTGTGGCCCACCCTACGAATAATGGTGGTCCTGTATTCCTTATTCAGCCGGAGGCGAAAGAGAAGGAGTGGACTTGGAAGTCGAAGGCTCTCATTCAACGACCTAGAGCTACCCTACGACTAGATGCCCGAGTCGAAGGACCATATCCTGTGTCCGACGCAAACTTTGCGACTGCTTCCCATATCGTCTGCATCGTTGGAGGATCCGGTATTACAGGTGCATTGAGCCTTGCACACTGGTGGCTAGAGACGCGACCAGCCAATACTCGATTCGACCTTGTATGGACTGCTAGGCATCGAGAGACTACGAGGCTCGCTGAGTGGCAGAATCTCGAGGAGGTTGCCAAAACCGCCTCTGGTTTTACAGTGACCACTCATGTTAGCTCGGAGAATGGACGACTTGATGCTGGACAAGCGCTTCGACAGGCTCTTTCTGGACGTCGGACTGATGGTTCAGGCTGGGTTTATAGTTCTGGTCCTCCTGCTCTTTTGAGTGCGACTGAGCGAGCCTGTGTCGAATTTCAGAAGGACCATCGCAACAAGGACAATGAAAAAGGTTGGACTGTTCACGACTTGTCGTGGTATATGGCACGATGGGAGGTTTGAGGATGATAGACATGGTTTTATTTCATGACATGACTCGGGATCGACAACGGATGTATTGTTATTTGATAGGTTCACCACAGAGTATCATGAGGATTAGACCTTGGAACCCTTGAAACGAAGTAATTTAGTTACTTTCTGCCAGGCGAGACTAGCACTTAGGTTACTTTATTCTAGTAGTCTAAGCCTTAGACAATAATCCTCCTGTTACCCACTTGGTTTACTAGACAACTTTCTATCTGCTTCCGGATAGGCCTCTTCCCAGAATCTCCGAACTTCAGTCCTGAACGAAACATCTGACCAAATAAAGTCCCTGAGTAGCTCATACGTTTCCACCCATGACTTCGCCGCGCCATATATCTCGGATTGCAGGAGCTCAATGTAGCCCGAGCGTACATGTCCTGTCGGAGAGAACGCACCACCCATGTATACAAGCCATAACAATAGATCTGCATGCTCTTCCCACACTGGATCATCGTACGCCTGTTGAAGTTCGGAGAGTAACATGGTGGAAACGTTGGCCTGGATAATTAGCAAGATGCACCGGTAAGAGTTGGTCAGAAACTCACAGGAATTACCAAAGCACACCATACCGTGCAACAAAGCATGACTGAACATAAATATGCCCCAAGATAGCAACACCTCATGATTGGTGTAAACTTCGGAAGGGCTTCTAAACGCGATTGGATAGATGCTATATGACGGTTGATAGATACCCCTGTAACTACACAGTCAGCAGGTCGATAATCATCACGAATCCGCTCCAGAGCGTAAATATCCTCTAGCACTTCGATGAACCCGTCGCTGAATAGATGAGAACGTTTTCGGAGGCCAGGTGGTAGTTGTAGAAGATGCCGAACAGAGTCTCTCTTCCACTCAAGCTCAGTGAAGCTCATATGGTCAACAATGCGCTTCGAGCCTACCAGAATAGACGAGTTCAGGTCTTGCCTGACGAGTGTTAGTCAGTGACTGGGTGGTACTTGATTGCTTACCAGAATACTGCGCGTTTTATTCCTTCGGTCAAACGGAACCCTGACCTTTGACAGGTTTTGAGTAGAAGCTGTACAGCCCCCATGTGCAGCTGAACTTGAGATGTTGTTCCAAGTCTGGCCTGGCTTACGTTAGGAACAATTTCTACAGAAGCTCCAGTCTTACCTCCACTCCAACTAGAAGTAATATGGCACCGATAGTCGACTCCGAAACAGTCTTGTTCATTGTCTCGCGGATATGATGAATTGCCTGACCTCGATAGACGAGAGATTCATTGTTCAATACACCACCACTAGCGGCAAATGCCAATGAAAGCATGACTGCATTCATCAATGCAGGATCGACGAGGCCAGCTCGAAAGACGGAATGGAAGTTCTGAAAGTCGAGGTCTTGAGAGATACTAAACACTGGCTCTGGAGCCTGTCGGGCTTGATCTTGTGAGACTGTCAGCCTGAATTGGATATCGTATGAAGAAAAACGCTTACGATTGTTGAGAAGATGTTGTAATCTTGAGCTTTTGATTGGAAGGCTGTCGAAAGGATCTAGAGTACCTGCGCCAAGTATGACGAGAGGTGAAGCTTGAGGTCCGTCATGTTGTCCCTTCTGTCTAGGCCTTTTTGAGTTCTTCCCATCTTGAATACAAAAGTTCTGCATAGAAGCTTTCTGAAGTTTCCGTTTATTCTGCAACGCTTGCTTGACGGCATGCGAACGGGCCAAGCGTTTTGTGGCCTTGTCGTTATCGTTGGGGTCTTGGACAGCAATGAATTGGAATTTCGCCACTAGAAAGTTAGAACCCATCAGCTCTTGTAAAAGTGATTATCATCTTCGGCACCAAACTCACTCTTGCCGGGGAAGAATCTGTCTTCGAGCTCACAGTCATGTGATATATATTCAAAACAAGTCCAATGAAGGAGCTGGTAAGATGTAGAACCGGTCAGATGACGCCGGCCCATAATCTCACCCAGGTTCTGCTGAGAAATCCCAACATCGGCTTCTTCCGTAAGCGCGGAACTGCAGAATCAGCTAGTCCAAGTTTAGAAAAATCTCATTTCCTCTTTGGGAAGTATCTCGTTGCTGAATCTAGAAGAAGATAGCATCATACACCAGCGAAAGTAATTGCAAACTCACGATGGATGAGCCGAGTCTTTGCTGTATTTCTAATCGTCATAATAGCAGGTCAGTTTGTCATCAGGATTTGACTATAAAGAGTCAAGATGGGACATTGGGAAAGTCTCGCCGCAATCACTGTTATTGACACCCAAAAACCGGAACTTTTTACCTTCATCATTATCTTCCAGCTACAAGTCAACATGACAGACTCACGCCTTTTTAAGCCAATGAAAATTGGCAACATCCAAGTCCAACATCGCATCGGTATGGCTCCCATGACTCGCCTTCGAGCAACCGTGGACCGTATCCCCAATGCCTTGATGAAGGAGTACTACAGTCAACGCGCTTCTGTTCCCGGAACTTTGATAATCACCGAAGGCACGCTCGTCTCGCCTGCTGCAGGTGGTGGCTTTGCCAGAACACCCGGAATTTGGACACAGGAGCAAGTAAATGCCTGGAAGACCATCACCGATGAAGTACATAGCAAAGGCAGCTATATACTCGTACAGCTTTTCGCCATGGGCCGAGCTGCTACTGTTCAAGTTGCGAAAGAGGAGGGAATTGATATCATTGCTCCGAGCCAACTCTCATTCGAAGGGGGTGCTGAGCCTAGAGCTATGACTCTACCGGAGATCTATGACATGATCGAGGCTTTTGAGACTGCCGCAAAGAATGCAGTGGCTGCTGGTTTTGATGGAATTGAAATCCATGGTGCAAACGGATATCTTCTTGATCAATTCCTCCAGGATGTCAGTAACCATCGTGATGATGAATTCGGCGGAAGCATTGAGAACAGATCGCGCATGCTCACCGAAATCCTAAAACGCGTCGCCGCAGCCATCGGCCCAGAGCGTGTTGGCCTTCGTCTCAGTCCATGGAGTACCTTCCAAGGTATGCGCATGGTAGACCCGATTACTCAATTCAGCGACATCATCACAAAAGCGACGAACCTCAACCTCGCTTATCTCCATCTGATTGAGTCACGGATCTGCGGCAGCACGGATGATATCAACAATGGGCAGGAAAGACTTGACTTTGCTTATGATCTCTGGAAGGGACCTTTGCTCATTGCTGGTGGGTACAAGATAGATGGTGCAAGGAGTTTGGTCGACGTTGAACATCCAGAGAGGGATATCGTGGTCATGTTTGGGAGAGATTTCGTGGCGAACCCTGATCTGGTGTTGAGGTTGCAGCATGGATTGGACCTCAATCGAGGTGAGAGGAATACTTACTATACAAGTGACTCGACTGGATATGTAGATTATCCTTTTACCGCTGGGATCACTGTTGCAGCTTAACATACTTCCATGTACATTTTCCCTGTTCTTGTTTACAAATCATTCCCTAATAAAGATCATTCACCTTTCGTAAGCTCGTTTCGTCAATACGGGCGAAGCAGAGTACAACAGCCTGGGGGCGTGTTAAAATTGCAGTGCAGCCAACCACCTCGTTTACATTGGTTGAGACGCGTCACGCGACAATGGTAGCCCTTGGGCCGGTGTTAGAATTGCAGTGAAACCCCTCAAAACCTCGGGATCGGAGTAATTCATGACCAACCAGTTGCTTATCTTATGCCACTAAATACTCAAAATAGGTAGCTGCGCCAATAGCAAAGAATAACTTGTTAAATGGTATCTAATGGATATAGCTTCCTGGATTTTTATGGTAGCACTTACCTGCTTCACTTTAGTGAGTCCGCAGGGTTTTAGAAGGAGTCGCTATTATAAGCCCACAGACGAAAGAGTTTATTTATCTTACATATTCTAGAGAAGCGTTTAGGCTACTTTATCTTGGTAGCTTAAGCTTTAAAGGATATTTATTCCGTTACCCACCTGGTAAGTCTCATCATTATTAAATGGACAAACTGTTGTATTTTTAACTGGGCCTGTTGATTGGCTCATTGATCCTCGGAACACGTTATGCTATTCCAGGCAGAAGTTTAGCCCATATCAGATCATCCAGCGGTACCGTATATATCAAGACGGCTCCACTTCAATTTATACCTCAACTCCAATTCAACCCATTTCCACCATGGACGCAGACAACCCATTCTCGGTCTTCCCCAGGGAAGTCCGAGACATGATATATTCCTATTCCATCCCAGAGATCCCAGCTACGGACGCCACAGTCTTGAATACAGCCTACAATCCCAAAAATGCCCCTCTTCTGTTCCTCAACGAAGCCATCTCCAATGATGTCCAACACGTGCTCTACAAAGATCACGCGATAGTCATCCCGGTGCTGAACCCAAGTGAATACGAACTCAAAGAGACAAAATTCGCACCAGTCGTCCGCCAGTGCTCACGATTGATGAAACAGCGCTCTAATAGAGTCATCATCGGCACATCACGCTTTGTTGTCAGCTACTCCCCGTTGGTTCACATTAACATCGCCGACGGAAAATCAGCCGAGGACTGGATACAAAAGTTCTGCGGGTTCGATAATCCTGAGCCGCTAGCTAAGAAACTCATCGATGAGTTGATCTCGCTACGACCTGACCTTCCAAATGTCAAGGTCATTGAGTTTAAGTTCTTCGAGTGTTTTAATGTTCTTGTCGCCCTGAGGTGGAAGGAATACTTTTTGGAACTAAGGGAGGCGTGGCCTGAGATTGAGATTGAGATTGATTTTGTTCCTGCATTTGTGAGCTGGGAGCATGTTGAAGGGTTTTTGCAGGATGCTCAGGAGAGTATGGAGGTCGATGGTGTTTTTGACGAGGATAGACTGCGAGAATTCGAAGAAAGGAAGTATGGGACCGAATAGTCGCTGGTCTTTGACTGAAAGGAGGCATTGGGTTTCACTCATTATGCAGCATCAGATATTTTAACATGGAAAATGCATAACATAAACATTCTAACTACAAACAAGCTACGCTATGCTTTCTAACTCATCCCTCAAAGATCATACTCAGCAATCAACTTCTCAGCGGCAGTCATACCCGTCACATAAGCAACAGACTGAATATGACAACTAGCCAAAACAGGCACGACACCCATATCCGCCACACGCAGACCCTCAAATCCAATGACCTTGAAATCACTATCAACCACAGCCTCAGGATCATCCTTCTTACCCATCTTGGTAGTACCGCACATATGCCAGCTCGATGAAATAGTAGCTCGCCAGTGCGCAAGAAGCTCTTCGTCGGAATCGCCCACTGGTCCGACCATGGTATCGACGTTGTTCTTGACGTAGTTTTCGTGCTTGACTAGACGGAATGCATCGCGGAGGGATTCGATGGCTGCGCGACGGTCGAAGGGTGTGGAGAGGAATTTGGGGTCGAATTTGAGAGGGACGTTGGGATCGGAGGATTGGAGTGTTACTTCGCCTTGACTCTGAGAATTGTAGTAAAAGACCAGAATGCAGGAGTAGTTCAAATTACAATCCGGGAATTGCGGAATGAACCAATGAATAGGAAAGTGCGTAAGAATCTCATAATGCGGCACAGTCTCCTTCATAAGATACTCCTTCTCCTGTTCCGGCAAAGCCTTGAACTCTTCAGACTTGACAAGCTTATCAAGCTTGAACCAGCCAATGCCCAATTCACAGGCAAACTTGGTCCAAGGGCCTGTGCCATCCCGGCGCCATTGCTGGAGTGCTTCGTCCATGGCTTTTTGGTCACCGTAAAAGGGCTTGCGGGCTGTGTCGCCTTCTTTGCGGGTATAGACTAGCGGAGTGAACATGTGATCCCTCAAACCTTGGCCGATGCGGGGGACGTCTTTGACGACGGGGATGTTGAATTGGGAGAGTTGGGAGGCGGGGCCTATGCCGGAGTGCATCAGGATGCTGGGGGTGTTGAGGGCTCCTGCTGAGAGGATGACTTCCTTCGAAGCGTAGTCTGGTCATATTAGTTATGAATTCATTAATCCTCCATCATCATGAGAACTTACACTTCTTGTCACCGACTTCAACACCGACTGCCTTGTTGCCCTCAAGAATAACTCTCTGAACAGAAGAATCCGTCAAGACAGTCAAGTTCTCGGGCTTTGGTTCCAACAGATCATTTGCAGTAGATCGTCGTCCCTTGTAACTCGAATTGATCAAAACCGACATTCCGAGAGGGTTTCCAGAGTTATGATCAGGATTCAATGGGAAACCAGCCTCCTCGAAGAGATCCAGGACAGGAGGAAGATCCTTCTCCCACTCAGCCGCATACCCAACATGAAGTTTTCCTTGACTTCCATGATCCTCATTCTTGGGCGCAGCATACTTCGCATCAATACCCTCAGGCAAAGCTCCATGGAACGTCTCAAGACTCTTATACCGCTTCTGGATCTTATCCCAACCGAATGAATCATCACCTACAATCCTCGCCCACTCTTCATAATCATCTCTGGCACCAACACTGTAAACACCAAAGTTGATCGCACTCGAACCACCGAGTCCTTTACCACGCGAATAATCCAATTCACGACTATCGGCGTGTTCCTGGGGCGTTGTCTTGTAGCCCCAGTTCATGTCCTTGTTCATGAAAGTCAACCATCGTTGACCGTCGACGCGGAGGTTGCGGTCCGCGTTTGTACCGCCTGCCTCGAGGAGCAGAACGCTTGGCTTTTTGCCTGCTGAGGCAAGACCTGCTGCAACGGAACTTCCGGCGGGGCCACCTGGAAATGACGTTAGTGCATGTTTTTAGTGGTTGTGTGCTTTTAGTGGTGAAGATCATTTGATAGTGCGGGTTTTCGAGTCATTACTAGCGCGTGCGAACGGCCGCCGGACAGAATGAAGTGGAAATAAAGAACGTACCTCCTACGACAATAAAGTCATATGTTGGAGAAGCCATTGTTGCAGATCTGATATGGAAAAGATGGTTGATTGGATGATGAGGGTTTGAGCGATTCAGTTTATGAGGCGTGATAAGATTACTTTTGATCAACCAGCAATGAGTAATTGAGACGGGAGAGAATTGATAATGAGGGGAAATGGGTTATACAAGGAGTTATATACAGTTTAGCTCTACTGATGAGTGTGACAAGTGCCACGCAATTAATGCTCGTCGTTTGGGTTTCCCCTCTCCATTAACTGGGCTGGGTAGGGCGTCGTAGACTAGGGCGCCTTATCCTAGTGTAACGTCTTGATACTGTAACAGGCAAGGTGTTGAGTCTTGGTAGTACAGTCTGGTAGGGAGAATCATACGGTATGTTGGTCGTAAGCGGGGATTAAGAACAGCGCATTGTTAAAAGGCGGGTATTAACTTAGACGAGTTTCAAGGGTTCCTGTCGATCTTACTCCGCAGCATCACGGAGAAGAATAGTGAGAAGGTTATGTAGTTAAAAATGTCATACGCTTATTAACTCCTGTGTTTTGTCGTTGATTCAGTAAGCGGGCTCTTACATGGATGCATTGTCGAATATTATGTACCGGATCAGTCTGCGCCCTACGGTAGTTGTGCTGACTGAGACTCCAGCTCACTTTAGAGTGATGGCCGCTGCCGAGAAGAAACCCCGCTGAGGTACAGGGATGGTTTAGGTTCCGCGGAAGTGACCCCTTTCCTGGACCGGGGTTGTAGGGACTGGGATTTTTAAATGCAAATCATGTTTGTTTCCACGAGTGTCTTTTGCAATTCTCATTTCTCATGTCTCGGCTCATCATGTCATAAATCCGATTGCCGGTTGCCATGTGCCGAAAGGATCATGAACCATCCTGCCAACAGGATGATGCATCAGATAATGCATCGAATTGATACGCGATTGTTGCAGCGCAGTAGCATAACAACCAGGTATGTCCTTGAATAATGCAGATACTTGTGACTGGGAAGTACCCACTAATCCCCGTCTTAACACCGGAGCATATTTCCATTGCGAGTTTAGAGCCATTAGTCCAACGCTCAGCGCGGCAGATTCTCTAATTCTCCGTTGACTTACCACTGTTCCCACTAGTTAATGGACCTTCTTCCCCTGAAGATTGCATAATCTACACAAGCTGATCATATCCTGAACTGAATGACAAGATCTGCAGGAGATGGAGTGTCACCCCGAGACTACCGTACTCAGTGGAGGCGACATGTTTGTGTAAAATGTTATTCCATCGCCGATCTCATGAACTGCCCTCCATTTTGAGCCGCCACATGCTTTTCTTGGCCGCACGACTAAGGAACGTCGACAGTTGACTCGTGATGACAGGGATCTAACCTGTGGTAATACCCAAGTGTTAGCACCTGTCAACATTGAGTGGCTTGACTGGTTTCTTCTAGGGCCCTTCTGCGACGCCAGATCTTCGTGACGGCTCAAGGGAAGGTAACGTCGCTGTCAAAGCACACACTTAATGTCTCGGTATATGGACCCGTTCTTAGAAGGCAAGTCCCGAACGACAGTTCTTAAATAAAATTAAACTTGATGCTTGTCTCCGTATTTATTCCCCATGAATCTGTCGCATGTAAATTCTTTCTTCATCTTTACTTTCTCTTTTTTTTTTGTAAGTTGAGTTGCTCAAGATGGATGCTATTGCGGAACAGTTCATCCTGCTCTCTTTGGGCCTGATCACCATCTTCGTCCGCATTGGCGTGAGATGGCGACAGGTTGGAGTTGCGGGATGGCAATTGGATGATTATCTGATGCCATTTACTGGTGTAAGTTCCTATCTCAACTAACTCCTTGTCTAGGACCACCTACTGACCATGGCATAGCTCCTCTTCACAGCCGAGACGATAGCAGCGTATCTCGTTGGCGCCAAATTCCAGGGCTTGACGAATAGTTACATGACCGACGAACAACGCGCCGACATCGACGTCAACAGCGAAGAACATTACAATCGAGTATGGGGATCCAAGATTCAGGTCATAGGCTGGTCCTTTTATGCTTGTATTCTTTGGTCGCTCAAGTTTTGCGTCACTGCTTTTTACGGTCGTCTTACGTATGTTACCTTCCAACGCCCATAATTATTGACAACACTGACTCTTGTAGCTCGGGCTTGTCGCATCTAAGAATGCGAGTTATCGTTGCATATATCATCCTCGGAATTACCTATGGTGTTGTCGCTCTTACGATTCTGCTATCGTGTCAGCCTTTCAATCATTTCTGGCAGGTTACGCCTGATCCGGGATTGATCTGTCAACCGACAAAGTCACCGGCCTATGTTCTAGTCGTTGTCATTCCCAACATCTTGACGGATATCTACCTGTTGTCTATTCCCTTACCTGTGAGTACACTGATCGGCACTATCGCGATGGGATGCTAACAATTGTGCAGCTACTCTGGGGCGTCAACATCAGCTTGCGACGCAGACTCACACTCATGCTTCTCTTCAGCGGCGCTCTGTTCATCATGATGGCGGGCACAATTCGAGCCGTCACAATTCTCACAGTACGCACAACCCATCTTACCTGTACATCGACGATTGACTAACATACTATCTAGGCTGGACCTGAAGGCGCAGTATCCGGTAGCTCCTGGGCCTGTCGCGAAACCTTCGTCGCAATCATCGTAACCAACCTACCCATCATTCAACCCTTGATCCGCAAAGGCGCCAACTTCATCGGTCTCAGCGTCCTATTCTCCCGCGGTACAAAATCCGCATCACAAAGCCACCAACTCCGCAGCAACGAAGGAGGAAGCCGCTTCAAATCCAGCCGCAGAACGAAAAACGACACAAACACAGGCCACCCGCTAACTACAATGCCGCAAACTTCTGCATGGGCCAGCGACGAGCATATCCTTCCGGGTACAAGTAGTGGGAACGGCAAGGGGATTGTTGTGGCGCAGGAGATTAGCGTGCAGTCCGAGGCTTTCGATGATGCGAATTTGAGCGACGTTACCAAGGGTCCTGCGGTGCATGATTGGGGGTACAAGACAAGGGATCCTTGAGCGTGATATGGGAAAGACTTGTTTTCTTATCTATACCGAATGTAATAATGTAATGCAAATTCTTCATGAACCTCTTTGAACTTGATGTGATGTGGAGACCGGATCCGCGGAAGATCGTCATCCGGTGAAGACAAGGACCGGGGTTAAGTGTCCGAGTCCCCGTATCTTCAGCGGATCCGTATTTATACCCTGCAGCCTCCGCTTTATCTTGAGCCCTGAGGACGGAGGGGGCGGTCAATCTACCGGTTAAGACAACCGAAGCCGAGGCATTGAGTTTGAGGACCTTGTCAATGTTTAAAGTGAGTGGATTTTCTTATAGCTGTTGGTTAGAGATATCAATGCAGCGGAGGTAAGCGATGTTTATAAACATGGGTTTCCTTGTGAGACGCAAAACAGATTTAGATGCACAAGGTTTCGGCTATCATCCGACGTAGCATCTGTGTTTGGTCTCAAGTGTTTAGATATATCTCATCGACCTGGCCAATAAGTTGGGTTCAAACAAGTGTTTTGATTCAGTTCGGAGATGTATTTCATGCCCGCCAGGGTACATTAGTACTATACCTATAGCAAATCAAATCAGGAAGGTGACGCTGCACTTCTTCTCTGAATCATCCTTGCATTTCACGCAATTTAGGTCGGGTACCTCGCATCTGTAGGCGGTTCGTGTCAGCAAACTTTACAAGCAGTTGGTCCTATTCGTTGAGCTGAGCCAACAAGCAGATAAGATCATGTAAAATAGTGGCGTTATAAACTGTCACAAGCCAATCCGCGATATCTTCACTGCAATTCTAACTCCCCCCGAGAGGTTATCATTGTCACGTAGTCTCTTTCCGCTGCGAAGTTGAGATACGATAATAATTTATAGTTGACGCGTCGATATGCGGCTTGAGTCTAATATCTATGACTTTGGAGTTGCCGTTTAACGTCTGTATGAACTGAAATCTTGACCATACCCCAAAAAGTCTACATCTCACGCATCCCATTCCATAAATTCCCGACATCCGTAAACTCAACCTCCTGCAACATAGACCACCAATTAGGGAACGGATCCGGCACAGCAACAGTCGCTCCCAAACCAAGAGCTTGGTTCTGGGCAGCCACCAAACTTTCACTTCCATCTTCTCGCTGTCTATCAGCGTGACTGATCTGCTGTAAATGCTGATCTGATCTATCGACAATACGATATTCGTGAATAGACTGGTGTAAAGCCTCGAAATCAGCTCTTGAGCGACCGCGGTAGCGACCTTCGTCTTCTGTGGCTCGCTTGTATAGGAGTGATGAGTTTTGGATGGTTTTAATCTGCTCTTGTTAGATCCTGACCTCTTATCTCGAATAAGTGACCTGAACTTACCCAACCTCCAGCGAGTTCCCATGCATTTTGAAACTCTTCCAAGTACTCGAGCCCCCAGTTCATGAGCTGTTCAGCTCTTGTACTTCGACCGAGATTCATCCTAGGAAATCGAAATACGTAAAGATTCAGGAAACATGCTGTGAAAGCACAGAATCCAGAGAAAGGTGTCATAAGTGGGATACCACACTCTGATGCTTCTTGAAGCAAGCATGTGATCTGTTCCGCTGCGTTGAAGAGCTGCTTGGCACTTTCATCCCACCAACCTGGCGGCGCTTCTGCTTCGAGGAGGGGAGGGTCGACGGGACCTCGAGGTGTCATGTCGGCTTTCGGTAAAAATGGGAAATATTCCCGGTGGAGCATGATTGCACTGCGTAAATGTCAATGTCAGCGTCACCTTTTCGGGGTCAGCAGGAGTCTTACCTGAGATAGTAAAGCATATTGAGGTAAATGAAAGATTCACCATGCCCCAACGTCATATGCACAACAACACTCTGCTCCGGGTACCAAAGCCTCTCATGCTGTCCCTTCCTCCACTCCTCCAATCTTGCCCTACACTGATCCCAGGGCGACCCCGGCACCCAAGGACAATTCTCAGCCGCACACATCCCCGGTGCACAACGTCCATTATTAAACACAAAAGACATAGCCTGAGCATAAATATCAAACCCCAGCGCGATTGACTCAAAGCCCTCTGCAAGACCGGATGTGTCACCCAGCGAAGTGCCGAAAGAGAAATCGGTGTAGTTGAGAGGTCGGGGCACCTTGAGCTTTTGCATTTCGGACATGGGGAGCATGCGGGGATTGTATGTTCCTGAGTTGATGGTACAGTCCATTATGAAGCAAGCCCAGTATGTGCGAGATTCTACGGCTATGGCCATGGTGTCTGTGTCGTGACTTTGGGAGACGTCGAGGGGGTGGGGACTTATGCGGGAGCTGTGAAGGGATTGCATAATGCGAATTGCCATTCCTGAGATAATTAGATTATGTCTATAATGGCTTGACAGTAACTTACCGCAGTGCATCCAGGCTTTGTGATACTCGCGCACACCCCATTCGTATAACGTCAGAATCAACAAAGCCTGTACGACTTGGACCTTCGGCGGTTGCAGAATAGCATCTGCCAGGGTGCTCCAAGCATAACTCGCATAAGCCTCACTGCTTCTTAAACCCCTCAACCAATCCCCTGTGACGATAGAGCATTGCTTCCTCGTGATAGCAAGAGTGGTAGCAAGCAGTGCTTTACCCTCCTTTGTCCGAACCGTCTGATACTCTTTCATAAAAGCCGACGCCTGAAGTATCCTCAACTCGGGAAACTTGGCAGTAAAGATATTCAAAGCTTTCAGAATGACGCCCATCGGCAGATTCGACAGGTGTTCGTCCATACTCTCGAGTTCATTGTATGGGGCTGGTTGTCTTGAAGGGATGGGCGTCACAGGACTTTGGTAGACTGACGACTGCGAAATCACGGAAGTCTCATCACCCATTGGAGTCGAAGCAGCTGATCCATTTTGTATCCTCCTTGCGGTTTTCTTAGCAGATCTGACTTGTGGCCTTGAGAGTTCGCAGCCAGATGTTCCGAGTCGGTCACATCTTGAGCAAGGTGCAGTTCCAGTGTGAACGCACTTGACCTTTGCTTTTCTTGAATTATATTTCAGATTGTGTTTTTCTCGAATTGATTAGTTCAACGACTTACCGGCAGTGTTCGCAAGATAAACTGGAACGCATTGTTCGGTATTGGCGGGTTGTCGGATTTGAAGTGCAGATCCAAGAAATTTGGGAGCCGATAAGCCGGTTTTCGGAACTCGGGTTTGGCGTTTACGGAGGAATGTTTTCCCGCTGAACACAGGGAGTACATCAACCACCAAGACAATCTTCAATACTTTCTTTGTACAGACAGGGATATCCTTAAGGAAAGTAAAAGCTTTACATTTAGGCATCAATAACTTGGCTTGTGCAAGGGTTGTTGGCATGTTGAAAGCTGACCTTGAAAACCCTCAAAAAAGTAGGTATTTCTATAACCAATTTGGGTTTCGATTAGATAAGGTTTTGGAAGATGTTTACACTTTTTAAAGGGCATTATAACTTCTTTATCTACATATAACCTTTTTTTTACCTTACCCTATATATAAGGTTTAGGTATAATATAAATACCCTTTTCCTTACTTTAATCTAGCTTTTTTCCTCTTCCTTTTACTTTTAATAACCTATAACTACAACTACGTAAAATTAGTAAGTCCCTAGGGATAGTTTAAAGCAGAGACTTAATATAGATAACAGCTACACTTCCTCAGTAAACATCAAATACACTTTACAATACCTATCCCAACAGTCTGCTTCTTTTTTGGGGATCCTTATTACAACGGGGCCACCAATCTGGGTTTCTTCGATACAGACCAAGCAACACAAACTCGTGCGCGCTGTAGTCTTTAACAAATCTTTCCCAAATCAGGCTATGGCGTGGGCTGAAGTATAGACTGCAGACGTAAGTGTGAAGTGGGTATATCTCTATTGAGTCGTAGAAAACCATAAGGAATCTATGGGCGTCTTCGATTAAAGCCAAATGACGTGGTTCAGAGTAGACCTCCTGTTGAACAATGGTTAGCTTGGAGCCCTTCAATCCTGCCAAGATACGCGACTCACAACTGGTAGGTCTTTGAGAAAAAGCAAGGCATTTCTTGCTGCCGGAAGGCCATCGCATATGCTCAGAGCTTCCAGCCAGAAGAGAAATGTTTCGGCAATGAAATCATAGGCGGGTTCAAAGCCAGTGAGGCCCTCTCCGTCTTTGATTTGTGTGAACAGCTGGTAGGCTTCCTGTAAATGTTCGGCCCAGAAGACGCATGCGTACTCCAAGCCGTTTAAAGGATTTGATTTGGGACAATTCATTTGAGCGTCTCCGACCGTTGCTCCAGGATACACCAGACCGTACATATCCTTATCAAGCGTGCGCAGGATACCAATGGATTGTTGGAACAGTACGTAATGGTGTTTTGCAAAGCCAGACTCGAAGAGAAATGTACTTGAATCTCTTACTAGGAAGTCTTTGGCCGACTGGTGAACGAAAAAGATTCTGTTCTCTCTGGTCGTCAGGAATGAACCACATTCTGCTATAATGTCGGGAAGCGTATCTTTCTTCACACTCATCTCCTCCATGATTGACTTCTCCATTGTCCATAGCTCAGTTAATGTGAGTGGGCGGAAGACGGCTGAGACAGTGGCAAGAAGTTTCATGTACAGCTTCTGGCCGTAAGAGTCGCGAATTTGTCCGATCATTCTCTCATAAAGATTGTTCAACCCTGGGGGAAACATTCGAAGCATCGACTCAATCTCCCAGGTTTTGCTGTTCCCAAGCTGTTGTAATACTAAGGCCACCCATAAGAATGTTCCTTCGGCATTATCGGATAGGTAACCCTGGATTTCTCGTGCCTTTTCGTTATCTAGCTTCTTTCGAATCTCCAGTTGGCGGGTATGGTGGTTGATGTAATAGTCGACAGCTTGAGAAACAGACGTCTCGTTGAGTTCTAACGAAAGTGGCAGCTTGGATGGTGTTCGGCCCAGAAACTCCTCAATTTCGCAGCGGTTGCGACTACTTACAATCCACTTAACGCGCCAATGCGTGGATGATATTAGTGTGAGTAGATGGGAAAGATCATCAAGACACTCGTCCAACGCATCCACAACCAGATATGCTTTCTCGAGGGCTGCATCGGACATAATTTTGCGAAAAAGATCTTCCGTCGCGATTCTAGAGTTCCAATGAGTAACCTTGTATTCTGGTTGATCTTCCACGTGGGACAGAAGACAAGGCTGCTGGTTAACCAGGAGGTATATCAACCCTCTAAGTACCGCCACGGCATTATTCAAATCGGAGTTTGTGGCCTGACAGAAAAAGAACGACAAAGAGACGTGGTTCTCTGGGTTACTCAATTTTGTATTTGGCTGTAGCTCATCGATAAGGCCGCACAGTAGCATGGTTTTGCCTTTTCCAGGGTCTCCTTTGATCCAAAGGACGCGACTATCGTGGTCTTCATTGCGCCATGCCCGAAATTGAGGGTTTTCAAGAATCCATCTATATGAGTCCTTTAATAAGCCACCGTTGGTCTGTTGAATCCTGGTTTTGTCCTGTCGAGGATCAGTTGAACGGAGTGCTGCCAGGTGTCTTTTGGCGTCATAAGGATGGTTGTCTCCAAGGTAGTTGTTCGTTGTGTATTGGTCTCCAACTTGTACTCTTGAAGGGCCACCATGGAAATCTGTACGGAAGCAGATCTGACCTCAGTCTCACAGAGACTGCACAACCACTTCGCAACACTTACCTTGGATCGACAGAACCGAGTAGGATTACTGAAGAAAACAAGTTGGGCACTGTACGACAAAGAGTATATGGGGAGATTGATCGACGATATCGCCACGTCCATCAACGAACTCGAAAAGGTCTTTCCCGTTGCACCCCAAGCTATACAGCGCCTTGCCAGGATGGAGGTTGAAGAGCTGAATGATGAGCACGAGTTGAAAATGCTCCAGGATGTTACCAAAGGCTTGGATCCCGTCTTGAAAGATATGACCGAGCACAGGCTTCAAGAGCTCACAGGGAAGAACTCGGCTGGGCGAGTCGCGGGGAATGGAAGCGTCAACATTGGACATACTTTTGTGAAAGATTCGTTTGTTCAGGGTCAAGGGCCCAGAGACAACACGACCAACCACGTCGATGAAATTGATGGTGGAGAAAAGTCGCGGGTTAATGTTGGTAACACTTATGGTGGAAAGGGATTTTGGGACTGAACGTAGCATTGATTGGTGTTCATTCTAGAACTGACGACACTCACTCTGATCAAACTTACAAAAGTTCAAGCAAGACATGCCTAGTCAACTATTCACTCTTTACATACTGAATACTTAGCTCAGCATCTATGACTGCAACAAAACACGTCCTCTCCAGTCTCACTGTTTCTACAGTTGAGTTTTATGAAAAAGCATAATTTTACATACACGATCATGATACCTTGGCTTAGTCTCCTAATCTACAAGATTTTGTTGAATTCACACAACAGACCTTGCCGCAATGACTCTTGCCATGAAATCATCAGCAAGTTGATACTCCATATCACTTATGTTCATGTTTGGCCTTCTTTTTAGGTCTCATCTCACCCTCATAAATCTTGAAGAAATTCTCTGGTTCTGTGGGATGCTCGCCGGTTACATCGTGAAAAGCTGTGGTTGAGATGTAGTTGGTTTTGCCCTCTTTGACAAGACTGTAGTACTCGAGAAGATACTGCTGCTCTGATGGATCCAATTCAGATTGGGATTTGAGCGCTCGTTTCGCTTCGGCACTTGAATTGGTTAGTATGATGCTGTTTTGGTGGTGGGGAAACGTACTGAGAAATGTTTTCAAATTGAAGTTCGGTTCCGAGGGCCTTGCTGGCAGCGGCAGCGAGTTCCTCTCCTGCGCAGAGCATTGGGCCTGGCACTTATCGTCAGCCCTGCTCGTCGTGATATTGTTCTTGGGAGATTTGACTTACCAGTGACCACCATCATCTGACCTCGGTGGCGGTCGTCAAATCCATTCTTGCCCTTTCCAGTCAAGACATGAGCAGCAACTTGGGCAACGTCCTGTCTGATAGTTAGTGAATGCCTTATCTGGTATCGGATAATCTTACACCAAGTGCAACTGGGGCGAATTTGTGGTTTTCTCCAATGGGAAGTGGGAGAACGCCTTCTTCTTTCGCCTGTTTAGAGTACAGAAGAAGGTTCTCGGCATAGAAGCCGGCCCTAGATATCATTAGTTTCTTATCCCTTATGTGGCTATTGTAAGACTTACCGAATAACACAGGGCGAATGTCCAGTAGAAACGTTCGGGTCCCCTTTGGCCTCCATAACAAGCGCCTCCAAATCAATGAACTCTCTCAACCTGGGTTGCTTTCCCCTCTCAGCGTAATCACACCCCGCCGAACTAATTAGCAGCACGTTCGGCACGTCCGCCCTCTTCGCTGCATGGATAAGCTCCTCGGTGATCTCCAGTTTATGTTCATGAGTAGGAGGAACGAGACAAATGGTGTCGCAGCCAGTATCTTGGAGGGCCTTGGCCATGGTACGAAGACGGCCAGGCTTGTGAGGGACGATTTTGGCGCCGAGGGATTTAAGTTCCTGGGTTTTTTCTGATTCCGGGTGAAGGGTGAGGCCGACAACGTTGGTGACTTTGCGGGAAAAGTCGCGGTGCTTGAGGATCAGCTCCGCAATTAGGAAGCCCGTGTTGCCGTCGACGGCTGTGATGCAGATGTTTCGCGACATGATGGGCTGATCTTTTACATGAATTGAAGAAGAGGGTTTCAAGGAAACATTAAATGAGGGGAGAACTTTGTTGTAATAAGAGTCAATAAGCCATTGTTGGCACGGCCCTCCGTGCTGTTAGCTCTCAAGTAACACAAGTCTCGTCATGCTGAGCAATTGTTCCCTGTCTACCTCCAAGTGACAAGAGGACCGGAGCAGAATGTCCGCAGACGCCATTTACGTATGTGCACGATCAATGTTTGCTTTTTATGTAATGTAAAGAAATGAGGCTGGTTGCATGTTGTGATGCTGACGACAATATTGCGAAATGATAATTTGTTCATGAGGGGTTGGTCAAGGTGGCCTGACAGTTGGATCTGCCCACAGTTTCGCAATACGATCAATGCCGGTAAATTCACAGTGCAACGCATATTTCCAACGGCACTAATGCAAGCACTTTAGACCGCAATTGTTAGACTTGTTGATAGAGTACATATACAAATCAGTGCCGGTAGACGATCATCAGCCCAGCTATTATTGTACAATGGCAATACTGTGGGACATCTGATTTTCACATCGGTCAATGAGTCGTCACGAAATATCAGGTAACTTTCATAGGCTTGATTCGATCATTTCAATTTATCGCTATGGCTTGTCGATACAGAGCACTTCCGTCCGTCCAAGCATCATCTTTCATAATAGTAACACATCTAAGAACTGAGACCACCCTTGCGACCAGCCTCCTTGGCCTTCTCACTGCCGGGTTCGAAAGAGCCAGACGAGGCCTTTCCACCCTCGGAAGCAATTTCTCGCTTGGTATATGTTAGTTGTTTTCATCAAAATCAGTAGAACATGGTGGACAAACCTGCTTGTCGGCATCCATACTAGCGAAACCACCAGAGTGGCTAGACTTTCCGCCCTTGGAAGCAATCTCTTGGACCTCCTCCTTGGGTCTGAAACTGTTAGTAAAATTCTCGAAGTTGGTAAATTTGTCCAAACATACCGGTTGGCAAAGTTGCCGGGGTTGGAGTTATCGGTGCCAGTCATATTGATGGTTGAAGTGTCTATGATTGATAGTAATTTTTTTTCTAGCTTATTCTAATTTCTTGCGATTACTCGGATCTCTTCACCTTTAAATATCCAGCATCCAGCTGCTGGCTTTATGTTAAAGTGGTTCAATTGACGCGTTACAGTACGTTTACATGACGTATACGACTCATCACGCCTGACTAACAAGCATCGCATTAACTCGACATGACGTCTATAAAGAAGCAAACAATACATAATTCACGGCTGAGTGACGAAGTTGTTAAAGCAAAGCGCGATCATGACGCGTGGAGGTTGCTTTGTTTCCTAGCAACGGCTGACATAGGGACGGCTCATTGGTTTAAGCTTACGGTGATCGACATTGACACAAGGTTCACATTTCCACTGCGACAACGGTAGGTCTTACGTGAGTTAATTAATGGGATGTCGGAGAGTTCTTATGTCGTTATTGATCTGTACGTACTGTACTTTTTTTTTTCCTTGTCGGATCAATAATGACGGGATCATGCGTCACAATTGGCACCTGTAAACATCACACCTCGGGAGGTTTGGAGACTGATCTGATCCAATAGCGGGTTAATGGAATAGGCTTCACTCAGATCCAGATAAGATAGAGCACGATAAGATAAAGTAGCCAGAACGCTAGAGCTGAAGGGGCTCGGGATGACGGAAGGGAGCATTACGTAAATGCTTATTCCCGTGATTCAATCCCAAGTCAAGACACCGAAGTCGCCGACTTATCTTCACCATCACCAATTGCTGAATTGCTGAGAAATAGACATAACGTGAAACAACACCGATGACCGACTCTACCAACACAAGCGACTCAAGAACGTCTAGCGTGACACCTGGTCGTACGCGTGTAGCGCGGGTGGCATGTAAGGCCTGTCACGCCCGACGTGTCAAATGCGACGCCGGAGAGGGCCAGCCATGTTGGCATTGTCGCACGCGAGGTACGGAATGTGAATTAATTGAATCTAAGCGTGGAAAGTATGTAAAAGTGAGAGAATTCAGGTTGGATAGAATACTTACAGCGTTGTAGATATGCAAGACGAAGTAACGTTCAGTCGAAACAGCGCTCTTCGAGACGCTTGCAGCAGACTCAAAGTCCAGCTCCTGGACAAGACGAAACGCTGAATGTCGAAAGCATCGCAGTTGTGACTCCTCGAAGTAACGGGGCTACTCAGTATTCCGTACCGCCACAAAACTCGGAAGCAAATGTTCAACCTGACTGTCAACCACAAACTCAACCCAATCTAAGCCAAGTGAAAGACCGATCTTTCTTCCTCGGCGACTCAAGTAGCCTCTCCTATATCGTCGAACTGATATGCACTCCAAGAGGTGGAGTCAGCGAACCAGTCAAGGTACACTATCCAATCCCAGCATCGATAGTCGACCGTGCAGTTGCACCATCGCGCCCTCAAATCGAGCCGCTTCGTTTACAAGACGCATTGACACTACCATCAAAAGACATAATGGATCGACTCATTCACACATTCTTCGACACTGTGCATCCGCCGTGGCCTGTAGTCGACAGAAGAGTATTCCTACAGAGCTACAGAGCGGGACAAGCCTCGACACTTCTCTTGCACGCCATGTTTGTTGTCACTTATATCTTCTGCGAAGAAGATCTTATCAAGGATGCAGGATTCAGCGATCGTGTTGCGGCGCGAAAACATCACTATCTTCGTGCAAAGACGTTGTATGATGTTGATCATGAGACTGATCGTGATCTACTCGCTGCTTCGCTCCATCTTTTGGGATTCTGGTGGAATGGGCCTGATGATCAGAAGGATGCATGGTTTTGGCTGGGTTGTGCAACTTCCTATGCCCAATCATTAGGATTGCACCGATCGTATGTTGTCAGTCACTTCGCTCATGATCGGCACTGACTTGATCATAGAACAGTTACCTCTAGGCTCGGTCCAGAGAAGAGGGCGTTGCGGAAACGGATATGGTGGTCTATATATGTAAGTAAGTGCTTGGCTTTGTCGCTCCAGGTGTCTGACATTTTTAGACTCGCGACCGACATACTGCTGCATGTCTGGGAAAACCATGCAGAATTCGAGACGAAGACTGCGACATCGAACCTGTCACCGAGGCCGATCTCTACTATGACGACGTCACAGATGATCCTCTCATACCACCTCAGAACGAACATCAAACAGCCTTTTTTCTCGAGATGCGCAAGGCTGCCGAAATTCGTAAGCTTTCCCCTCTACTTGAACATACGCAACGACTAATGATATGACTAGTCGGGGACATTGTCATCGGGGAATTCAGTCCACGCCGTATAGCCTCAGAGCGGTATGAAGTTGCGAATCTCAAAAGGAGACTCGAAGAGTGGGAGTCTCAGCTACCGAAGTGTATGCAAATAGCACCACTCGATGAGACGCGTGGGGCAGCGTTCTGGGCCACTCAACTGCACATGGCATACCAGTAAGTCATGGAAAGCAGGCGATGCTATCTTTCTCACATGTTCCAGGAATTACTTCATCCTTCTCTTTCGGCCGAAGGCAATTCATGACCTTTCGCCTGCTCAAGTTGAGGGTGATATAATGGCACGCAGAGCAGCCGACACCATCACACGTATGACCGAGGATCTCATCGCTGTCGGTACATTGCGATATGTTCAAATGCACATGTAAGCAATCCCCACCTTCGACAGCCTCACTTCCTGACATGGTCAGTATTCCGGCCGTTTTCGGAGCGCTCTCGATCCATACGCTCGTCATTTGTCGAAAAGATCCCATTCGCCGTCAACTAGCAGGTAACAAATCACGGCAATGCATCCTCGCACTAAGTGAACTGGCAAAGTCATGGCCAATTGGGCTGTGGATAACGAAGTTCTTTGTCAATCTCTTCCGACGGTTGACAGGGCAGGGATCCGCGGTATCGGCTGGCTCAATCGTTGATGTGACGTCTCGTATCGCTCGCGCCAACGAGGATAATGCCTCTGGAGAGGCTGGATCGCAGAATTTGGCTGAGGCGTTGAATGGGTTCAGCCAACAACCATCCAGTTTCTTCAATGGTGGTGATGGTTTGGGTATGGAGCAGCAGCCAGGTGATATGCTATATCCTGATCAATTTGGGTTCGACTCTTTCTGGGCGGAAGATACCATTGATGTCGATTTACTGCTGCAGCATGGGTTATGTCCGCTGCTTCCAACTAACTTTGGACCTGCGCCACCTGGTTCGTTGGGTTTGTAAAGCCGAGGGTTAATCCAGGCTTTCTGGTTCAGAAGCATATATGTAGAATACTATGTTAAACTCTATGTCTGTGTCTATAGTCTATGGTATCTCTGAAGCATATCCGCTAAACCAATGCAAGTCCCATTCCACACGCCCTTTTTCTATCCCTTTCCCATTAACCAATTAAACTTTCCATTACACCTTCTATCAAGTGATCGCAGCGAACTTGCTCTTAGCTCTCAGCTTCTTGCCATACTTGAAGAAAAGCCAAGGAAACGGCGCCATAGCCACCGTCAAAAACGCAAGCAGACTAGACGCCCACTGGAAACCAAGGGTGTTGTACATCTGAATACCAAAGAGGGGGAACGCCGCTAGAAAGGGTGTTAGATGCTGGACTTGTAGGGGAGGTGGAACGGAACTTACCGGCGAAGGAGCAGCGGGCAAAGCTGTTGGCTGCCATTGCTGAGGCGGCGTATTGAGGATAAGCGTCGACCAAGAAAGTAAAAATACCGGTGAAAACGAGGAGCATACTAGACGATGTTAGTAATGAACTTAAAGATAAGAGAGGTGACTTACCCGCATCCAAATACTCCTGAACCAGTAATGGGCACGATCCAATGCACGCTTGAATAGGTTGTCCAAGCAAACCAAAATAAACCAAGAGGAATAAGAAAAGCACCAAGGATACACGGAGGCAGTCTATACTCCGGCTCACTAACAGCCTTGCCCGTCTTCTTCTTCTGCTCAGCCAACCATCCCGCTCGAAGCTTCGCCCAAATCGGTGTCGTAGCAGTCGCGACGATGAGTCCAACAAAGATACCCAAAAAGGTCATGCCGACCTGCCAGAGGTTCATGCCGTGGTTTGTTCGGAAGACGAGTGGGAAAGCGCCAAAGAAAAGATACAAAATGCCGAGGAGGATGGCAGAGTAGAGGTCGAGACAGAGACACATCGGTTCGAGGAAGAGGAGCTGAAAAGGTCGAGAGACAGAAATTTTGAGGGTCTCGAGGATGGGTTTGTGCACATCTTCCATAGGAGCGCGGTAAGCGTCGTTGCCAGTCTCTTTGCGAAGCTTCCTCGCTTTCTCCCGAAGAAGAATAGGATGAAACGTCTCAGGCGCAAAGAAGACAATCGCAACCATAAGAATAGCCGCCCAGATAAGCATAACATAGTATGTCCAGCGCCAGTTAGTATTATAATTGATAAACCCTCCAATCAAAGGTCCAAGAGCTGGACCAATGAACGGCGCAAGAGAAACCAAACTCATAGGTTTCTGAATATCCTCCTTCTCAAAAACATCGCCCGCCGTTCCACCAGCGACACTGAGAAAACTACTCCCAGCAAAGCCAGTGAAGAAGCGCGCGATGATCATAGTCTGAATATTCTGCGCGACGGCGGAAGGAATGGTCCATATGATAAACATGGTCCACGACACGAGATAAATAGGCCGACGGCCGTAGTACTCGCTCAATGGACTTGTCAGAACTGGACCAAGGGCAATTCCTAGGACGAAGGTTGAGAGACCGAGAGTGGCGACGATTTGGGAGCAGTTGAATTCGGCGTTCATTTGTTCGTACGTTGCTGTGTAAATTGAACTGGCGCATGTTCTAAGATCGTCAATTAGTTTCTTGGCGAATGTGACACAGAAATAATTGAGGCTTGACTTACACGCATAGACTTCCTACACAGGCAATTGAGACGATGAACCATTTTCGCAATGTTGACATGCTTCTTGGACAAAGGGGATCTTTGTCGCCGTCCCATGTGACGGTGATTGTTTCTTGGGTTCCATGTTCGGTGGTCTGATCACTTAAATTCTGATCTTCATTTGGCGCATTGTTCAATGGTGGCGCATTATTTTCCAGGTCTTCAGACCGACGATGAGTATCCTTCTCAGCCATTGTTGATGATGGTGATGCTGTTTCAAAACATGACTGACTGACGTAGGTATTTAAGAAAAAAGAGTCTAGGTAAGAAAAATAAATTTGACGGATCCACGGATTTGTAATGACGATTTCACTTTTTTGTCGGAGATAAGGAGTGGGGAATAAGGGGAGGTTAAGATGCCGCGGTGTCTTGTGAACTGTGACGTGCTGGTGGAGTTGATTAGAGCAGGGCAATTGGCCACTGCGTTAAGTCGCCGACTTGATTGATAAGAATGATATCGGGAATAGCTTCGGGAATGATTGCTAGCTGGTTGGTTCTGCGCTATACCATTTGTGTCTGCAGTGGAAATGTTCGCGTCAAAGCTGTCTGAGTATGCTGGTGCATGACGCTGGACATCCATAGGCAATCGACTGTTCGATCACTTGACGGCTCAGTTGTTCTTCAAGCGAAAATCTACGCACACTTAAGATAGTTGGACCTGCCGTTTTGCTGTGTTTAATACTAGCGGCAGGTCATGCGATTTATATGCTTGCAAAGCAGCACGTCTAGGGTAACTCGCGATCGCGACATGGATTTCTGACAGATTATCAGGTCATTAATACGTAGTGAATCGGACATCATGACAATATGGTAACAAGTTATCTGGACACTTTGAAACTGGTTCTGGGTGTTATTCTATGTCAATATGGTGGTCGAGGTGTGAGGCTCTGTGACAATCTTTGCCTGTCCTGTCAGCCAACAAGTTATGATTATTTTCAATTGGCTCCACACGTTTGCCGTTCGCATCATACTGACACGAAAGTTGTTTGCGACAATGGGTAGCCATTCAGAGAAGCCGGTTTTCTTCTTGTAAGTGTACCATATTCCACCTCAATACCACCGCTGACAATTCTAGTGACATTGATAATTGCTTATATTCACGCAGTAAGTCACGCCAATCCTTGATTCCTCACCGCGTCACTGACTTCAGCCAGATTACAAAGTCCTAGAACTCATGTCAGCTCGCATCGACGACTACTTCAAAACCCACCTAGGCCTTTCTCCCGAGGAAGCAGAACATCTTCACAAAGATTACTACCAACAGTACGGCCAGGCAATTGAAGGTCTCGTGCGTGATTTTCAAATCGACGCGCTCGACTACAACGCTAAAGTCGATGACGCGCTGCCCCTCGACGACCTCATCAAACCCAACCCTCAACTGCGAAAGTTCCTTGAGGAAGTTGATACTTCGAAGGTCAGACTATGGCTTTTGACGAACGCGTATGTTAATCATGGGCGAAGAGTTGTGAAGTTGCTTGGCGTGGAGGATCTGTTTGAGGGGTTGACGTACTGTGATTATACGAAGATACCCTTTGTTTGTAAGCCACAGAAGGCGATGTATGAGAAAGCTATGGAAGAGGCTGGGGTTTCTGACGTTTCGAATTGTTATTTTGTCGGTAAGTTGAATTCCATGATTGATGTCGGGAAGTTCCGCTGATTTTACTGGACAGACGACTCGCACAAGAATGTTGTTGGAGCGCAACAGGCTGGATGGACGGCTATTCATTATGTAGAAGAGGGATTTCCTCTTCCCGCGACGCCGGCATCGCAGTATCAGATTCGTAGCCTCGAGGAGTTGCGGTCGCTATATCCTCAGTTTTTCAAAGCTTCATAGTAGATACCGACCGACGGGATTTAATGTTGGAAATGTCCTTGTTTTCTCTCAGATAATGGTTTAGCTGGTCGTCTAGCGCTAGCAGCTATACTGGGGTTAATGTATTGTCGCGTCGCACTTTCCCCATCACCCAGCCGGTCGGCTTTCCTTTCATCCATATTCCAGCCAATAACCAAAAGTTCCGCTTCATCACCGTGTTAAAAAATGAAAATAGCAACGCGTCCCTCAGCCCAAAAAACAAACAGACAGGAGTCAAGTGAGAACAATACACCACAGCCGCCAGCTGATCAAGGAGTCTTCATCATGACTTGTGTCATCTGTGGTATCCCCATTCAACGTACCGATACGGAGGATGATGGATTTAACGGAAAATCGAACCGAGGTTGGCCACAAGATTGCCGCGCGGGTAAGTCCCAGCAGATTCAATCTTCGATTATCTCACGCGCTAACGGAATACCTATCAGTCTATGTTTTTGACTGGGACTTGGCCAACATCAAAATCTCTGGTCTTGGAGTCCGCGTTTTGAACGATGATATCCTAGTTCCCGTAGACCCATCTAAGCGCTACGACGGCAGTATCAATCAGGAACTGATTGGAGTGAGCGAGTTAGGCGAAGGGTTCCCGTTCCCTCGCAATAATAGACACTGGGGCTTTGTCCTTCACGACGCCTGCTGGGGTTTATTGTGCGAAGGCTTTCAACTTGACCTCAACCATCTCTTCCTGTTCTATCTTTCAACATACCTTGGCCATTGTGGTCTCCCATGCTGGAATGGTGATTATGGCGGTGTAGCGCAAATGGGCACCAACGGTCAAGTCATACTTTGGGGACCTATATTTGACCATGACGTCGATGATGTTGTGCCCGCTGAGTACAAGACCAATCCTTTTCAAATCCCTGCTCTTAAAAAGGCGATTACTTTCTCGAATCGTCTGCAGCAAGATGCTTTTCACTCCAAACTTGACCCGCAGAAGCTCAGCTTGGACAAAGACATCTTTTCTCATTTACCCACTGAGATAGCTGAAACTATAGTCACGTTCCTCCCCTCGCCAGATGTTCATTCGCTGCGTCTTGCATCGCCCGTATTTGCCACACTGGCCTTATCGGAGCGGTTTTGGGCATCGAGATTCCGAAAAGGAAGAGAGTTCGAATTCATACCTGATGTGCTGAATAATCCACCCACATCGTGGAGAGCGCTTTACCTGTCCCTTCACGTCTGGGCTTCTGATAATTTGGGCATGATCAATCGCAGACGCGTCTGGAAACTAGTTGACCACATCCAGTCTGTGCTATGTCACATCCGGGACACGACATGCTTTGGCACGGTTTCCAAGTCGCTCCTTGACCCTCAAGCACCAGAGAACTATGTTCAGGTCGCAGAAGGCTATTCGTGGATAACAGCTGAGCGAACCGCTGAAGAATCCAATTATAGAAACCTGCGATACCGAACCCTTTCCTTTCCAGGACCGATACAGGTAACCCAGGTATCGGTGTCAATGTTTGATACTCCTGATGGACCTTATGTCTCTGGCCTAACTTTTATTGACCATGATGGCCAAGTTGCACACCTCGGGTACTGCCACTCCAGACATATTGTTCATATTGAGCTCCCTGGTGCTCAGCACATCCAAGGTTGGGAAGTAGTACATGATCTCCTGGGTGTCAAAGCTATTGCTGTTGTTGCCCAAGACGGTACTGTATCGCGTTTCGCAGGAAGCCCTGGTGGAAACCCACATAAGCTTCTGGTGTCCAGCGAGAGAGTTTCGTCAATTCGCGCCACCTTTCATGTAAGTATATTCCCTTTTCAGTTTGTCTGCACCGAGAACGCAGCGATCTAACAAAAAAAGGGTGTCAAAATGGTTGCTCTAGGTCAAACTACAAGAGACACCATAACACACAGGACTGGGTACTTCTGGGATAAGCAGGTTCCCGCCAAAGAGTATTTTCTCAACAGTGCTTGTGGAACTTTACTTTCGAGAGATTCCAATAGTCGCGCTCGGAATGTCTACTTGAAAGGAACCACTAACAACATGCGCTTGATGTCAATTTTGTGCGACAACATTGACATCTGCCACGTTGCGCAGATGGAGTTCAAGTTTGTCGACGAGAGGTCGCATCAGCACTTGCAAAAGCTAGGCAACGTGCATCCACTGGTGTCGAGACTGTGGGACACACAATTTGGGGACACAGAGGTTCGGAATTACTGCATTGATCTCGATAGCGATAATGGCGAGGAGATTACTGGCCTTGACGTACAAATGTACCCAGGGCTAGTTTGTGGCCTCAAGGTAAGAAAACCCGTGCTTTGACGAAGATAACTTCCAGTCGGCTGACAGATTCTAGGTTCACACCAATTTTGGCAGGTCTAAAAACCTGACCAGCAAGCGTTCTCCTATTCTTGGTGAACCCGCATTCCCGTGGGTTTCTATTAGACCTCGGGGGAATAAGGTTATCGGCATGTATATGGTAGGCGGCGGTTTCAGTGTAAGCTTTCATTTCTTCTGCAATTATGTATTTGTGGATGCTAATTCTATACAATAGGAGGCCCTTTGTGCAGATATTGGTTTGATATCGGTGGACGAGTGACGGATGATCAAATCTAAATTGAAGATAGAAGTTCAAGGATGAGGGTTCCTGCATGTACAGAACTGGATGTGAGAAACCGCTCATAATTTGTGCAGCCAATAGAAGATGACTGTTTCAGACACTAGCCCAAACGGCTCGAAAGTGAACTTTGCATTCCCCTTCAGTCAGCCGCAAGAGCTTTGGCTAAGCTGAAAGGTGTGTCTCACAACGCAGCTGATGATAAGAAACACCTTTCTCGGAATGCATCCTACGGTGTTCCTACCTAAACGGTATGTGAGATCTAGACCCAGCGATTGTGATAGTGATAACTGGGAGGGATTGGTATTTCAGCTGCACGGACGGGTTTCCCCGCTGGGAGGTGGCTTGCTGAAATTCCACTAGCTCAGTGCACTATTTGCTTACTTGCGCGGCACGGCACGGACTAAACGGGCGGAGCTGAGACAATTGAGTTCGAGAGCTTGGGGTCTAGATTTCGAGCTATTGACCTTTGGGCTTTGAAGGTGTTGTGACTTTTTGAGGGAGGGTTCAGCTTGTGATAATGGGATTTGGCTATGGGATTCTAGTATGAGAAGGAGTTGGGATAAATACCTGCGATGGCCCATTGGATTGAGGTCTGTATCCTCATCACTCCCCAATTTGTCCTTCACATCATCTTTCAAAATGCCGGGCCTTATTAGCACCTCCAGCTCGGAGTCCAGTCCGCCCACTACTCCTGGTGTTCACGCTGAGGCGGTACACATTCCTGGTGAATACACGAAGCTCATTCTCTGCTTCGATGGCACAGGAAACACGTTCAGTGGCACCAATGCTGATACGAATGTTGTCAAGATCTTGCGCAAGCTTGATCGTAACCATGAGAAGCAATACCATTACTATCAGAGTATATATCCCTTTCCCTTGCCTCTGCTTCGGCATGCCTCTTCGTTTTCAGGAAGGTGCACTAACCATTGATAGCTGGCATCGGAACCTACGATGTGAATGAGACTTCAGCCCAGAAGACCAAGCTCGGCGAGATCCGCAGCAGTATCTCAAAGTCCATCGATCAAGGTTTCGGCACCACATTTGACGCCCACATCATGGCCGGATACCGCTTCCTGATGCGATACTATGAACCTGTAAGTAACGAAGATCTGATTAACTTTGCACGCTAACTCCGATCAGGATGCCAGGATCTACATCTTCGGTTTCAGTCGCGGTGCTTATACTGCCAAGTTCCTCGCACGTATGATCAACAAGGTTGGTCTTCTGTGCAAGGGTAATGAGGAGATGGTGCCATTTGCGTACAGCCTCTACCAGCGTGCCCTCAAGTGCGATAGCGATGATCGCATGGCAGCCGAGAAGAAAAAGAAGAAGGACAAGAGCAAAAGCAATGCATCTCGGGATTCTGCTCCGAATGATACCGAGCATCCGGATGAGAACACACCATTTATTGTGAGCACTGCGACAAACGGTACCAATGGTTCCAACACGACCAACGGTGAGAGCGCAACCAATGGTGCTAAGGAGCCTGAGACGCCAGTCAACACGATCATCAGTGGCGATGTCGTGGAGAGTGACGCGACAAAAGCAGCGAAGAAGGAGGTGGAGGCCTTCAGCGAGACCTTTTGCCGAACTGCCGGAGGGACAAGTGCGAAGCACGCGAACATCAAAGTCTTCTTCCTTGGTATGTGGGACTGTGTCAACTCTGTTGCTGTCACTGAAGCAAATGCGCCTGCTCCCGTTGAAGTAAGAGGAACTGCGACTTACATTCGTCATGCCGTTGCTGCCGATGAGCGTCGCGTCAAGTTCAAGCCTGCTCTCCTGGCTCAGGATATTCGACAGCAAGTGCAAGAGGATGACATCCTCGAAATGTGGTTTCCCGGAAACCATGGCGACATTGGTGGCGGATGGCCCGCTATGGCAGCAAAGTCACCAGACAAGATGAGCCCTATGGAGAGTCTAAAGTACATCTTCAGTACTATGAAGCCGTCAAACCTCAAGACCCCACTCGAAGATGATGCACTGCAGATGAGCGACATGGCTCTGGACTGGATGATCCGTGAGGTTGAACTAGTGGGCTCGGAGCATCCTAAATCTCAGGTTCGCTGGTGCCACAACAAGGATTTGTTTAAGGCCAACATGAATACCAAGCCGCCCCCCAATACTCCCAATACCAAATCTAAGGTGCAGGAATTTGTCATCGAGGGTTTCATGCACGACACTCTCCGGTTTGGATACGGATCGTCATTCTTCAAGGTTCTAATGTGGAAGTTCATGGGTAAGCTAAGCTCCATTCTTTTGACAAAACCATTTCACTAACCATGCCGTCAGAGCTACTCCCGTTCGTCCCCCGATGGGAGCTCAATGATGATGATAAAGACGGAAACCAGGGCTGGGTGCAATACCGCAAGTGGCCCAACCTCTTCGCCCCCCGAGACATTCCCAGGGAGTCCCTTCTACACAATTCCCTCAAGGAACGTCTCAATGCCGAGGAACTGAACTACCGTCCGAAGAACAACCACGGAGGCTCTAGCAAGCCGTGTCTACTATCTGACAATGGGAAGGGTGCAGAAATGGTCACGTGGGGCACGCCTAACCATTCCCTGGGTGTCGAATGGGCTGAACGACACCAGGCATGGCAGCTTACAGCTGATTTAGCTAAGCCGCAGTTGAACAAGAAGACTAAATGAGGTGTCTCTAATGCCGGGCTTGTTTGCGGATTTGAGGGCGTTCTGGTCAACTTCGATAGGATATATATGAGATCTACTTAATCTGCTTTGTCTTTAACACATCGTATTACTTATCTATCCTGTTCAACTTGTGAACTGATTTCTTGAGTTGGAGCAAGTTTGAAGGCTTTCCCAACGTGAGTACCTATTCATCAAGATAGAGCCCCTCATCTGGCGGAGGCTTCCCATACCAGTCCAGCCCCAACTTATCCTCAGGATCCGGATCCTCCATCTGATAAAACCCATCATATCGCCACCACTTTCTATCCTTAAAAACATCCTCGACAGGAAGAACGCCCTCCTTCTTCATCTCATCCCTCACCTTCTCAACACCCTTCCATACTCTCAAAATATTCTCCCCAACAACCTTGGCCAACTGCTCCTCTGTAGCACCTCTACCAAGAATAGCCTCAAGGAGCTTAGGATAACATTTCACATCTTCCAAACCAGGAATAACACTTGCGATCCCGTCGAAATCGGATCCAAGGCCCACATGGTCCCAGCCGATGCGATTTGCGATGTAGAATAAGTGGTCAATGACCATGTCCATCGTCGCATCGCTTCGACGCGTGGTGCAATGCTCTGGAACGAATGTTACCATGACGATACCGCCATTAGAGGGGACTTTGTCAAGGATATCATCTGGGACGTTGCGGACGCAGTCGAAGACGCCTTTTGCGTTGGAGTGAGAGAACATTATGGGTGCGCGCGAGAGGGATAAGACTTGGGAGGCACAGTCTTCCGAGACGTGTGAGATATCCACGATCATGCCCAGTCTGTTCATCTCTTTGACTGCTGCCCTTCCGAGATCCGATAACCCTCCATGAACTGGACCAACTTTCGATGTCGAACTATCTGCAAAAGCATTGTTGCAGACGTGTGTCAGGGTACACTATACCGTTAGCCTCGTTCTAAGAAACACTCAACTCACACTTACATATCTCACGCCAAGTCTGTAAAAAGCCCTTATGATTCCGATACTATTCCCCGCCATATGCAGTCCCTCAATCCCAATCGAACAAGCAATCCTCCCACTTTCATACACACCCTTAACATCCTTCGGTCCACTAACCAGCTGAAAAGTCTCAGGGTAAGACTCAACCAAACGGAGAGTCAGGTCAATTTGCTCAATGGCATCGCGAGCCATGTCGGAGTATTCTGGTGTTGTGAAGTCTTCTGCTGAGCGTAGACAGGGGACGCATACGGACCAGAATTGGCCTCCCACAGCGCCTACCACCGTTAGAACTGGTGAGAAGTACAGTTGCTGGGAAGAGTACCTTGCTTCAGACGAGGGATATCAGTCATTCCTCGCTGGAACCCTTTCTCGAGATTGAATCTCTCATTGTTGTGGATTTTACCATGGAAACATGCTCGAGGCTGCTGGGGAAGATCGTTATGACCGTCTATGAGGGGTGTTCTTGCGAGGACGCGTTTGACTCTTTCATCAATGGGGAGAGACTGATATGGGTGTGTTGAAGTCATTGTAGCGATAATATGTGACAAGTTTCAGCTGTGCCCAGTTATCAAGATCTCATGTTGACTGTCTTATCATGAACTCGGACCTATTTTATCTCCTCCTTCGGAAGATATTCTGCGAACCGTCTGGTTAGTTGCCCGCGGTCAACCAAGTTTGCCGCGGGATGGAGTGTAATGATAGGCAAGATATGGGTGGATACGGACGATTACCCCGCGTTTATCGTGGATCTTGAATCTAGGAACCCTGGCTCAGATGACGATAGCTGCATTTATCGAGTGGAGACGCAAGAAACATTAGTGACTTAGGCAGGATACAAAAGTTCCTGATGTTAAGTCTTGCATTGCATGACTGTCGTTCTGGATGAGGACGTTGATGTCAACGATAATTCGGCCGAGTCACGATTGAACGTAGTGGGGAGATTACAAGGGAACCCTACTATCTGCCGGTTACATCGAGACCCTCAATTGATATGAGCCATGATCATCGAGGGAAAAGATAGCCGTCCAGCCCGGCGTATCATGATAAGCTTCCCTAGTATAAAACCGAGTTTCCCGCGGAATACAACTAGAATGCAACATCGAGCGATCAACACTCCGAACACCCAAAGATAAACATCCTTAAAGCCCGCAAAATGGGTCTCATCGTCGTTCATCTCTCCTTCTCAGGACAAAGTCAAGATGGCGACCGAAAAATACCCAGAGGACCTCAAACAAACTACCTCCCTCCAGCCAGGGACAATAAACGACACATCAACAGCTGAAGCTCTAACCCTCTACCACAATGCCGATACCATCGACACAACCCCGGAACAAGACCGCTCTCTACGATGGAAACTTGACTTGCGACTCATGCCCCTCCTATGCTTCACTTATGCACTACAGTCCATCGATAAGAATACTATAAGCTATGCTGCTGTATTCGGACTACGAGAGGACCTGGGGTTGAAGGGGAATGAGTTCTCGTGGACGGGAGCGATATTTTATTTGGGTTATTTGGTGTGGGAGTTTCCCACTAGTATGTTCTTGCAGAGATTTCCTATCAACTATTTTATGTCTGGAACGGTAAGTCCACCCTACATGAGAGAATGAAAAAATGCTAAGAGGTCTAGGTCATTGCCTGGGGCGCCGTACTTATGGCTCACGGAGCTGTACAATCATTCCCAGCACTGGTAGCAGTGCGCACTCTTCTCGGTGCTCTCGAGGCAGCTATCAACCCTGGAACAATGTTGTTGTTCAGTATGTACTACATGCGAAGTGAACAACCTCTCCGAATGGGAATATGGATCGGCTCAGCTGGTGTGGGGTATATCATTGCTGGAATCGCTAGTTTCGGCATCGGACATATCCAAGCATCCCTCTCGTCATGGCGCGTACTTTTCATTATTTGGGGTTCAATCACCGTCGCTTGGGGCGTCATTCTACTATTCTGCTTACCCGGTGCACCGATGAGAGCAAAGTTCCTGACAGCCGATGAGCGAGCGCGTGTTGTTGCCAGAGTCAAGGGAAACGGAACGGGTATTGAGAATAAGCATTTCAAGATGAAGCAGTTTTGGGAGGCGATGATGGATCCTAAGACGTGGCTGTTGTTTTTGTTTGCTTTGACGAGTAACTCGCCCAATGGTGGTTTGTCTGCTGTGAGTATGATTCCGTCGCTGAGTAGGTTCATGGCTAACGACGATATGCAGTTCCAAGGTCTCATTATAAAGGGTGCTGGATTTAGTACACTTATGACTACACTCTATCAGATGCCATCGGGTGCTGTTCAAATGGTTGCTTGCGTTCTAGCATGGTAAGTAAAACACCATCTCACCTCTCGGTTCAATACTGACAGTCACAGTTGGGGGGCTTCAACCATAAAAAACTCCCGAATTCCCATCATGCTTCTCGCCCTCGTGCCATTCCTGGCCGGCGTCTTGGGTCTACACTTTATCCCCCACAGCGATGCCTACGCTCGCCTCGCCTGCCTCTGGATATCATTCTCGTACACAGCAACATGGACGCTCAGCATGGCCGTCTCAATGGCCAACACAGCGGGCCACACCAAGAAGATCACCACCAACGCGATCCTGTTGATTGGATACTGTCTCGGTAACTTCGTAGGACCATTCTTCTTCAAGAGCGACCAAGAGCCGCAGTATCAGCTTGGTGTGGGAATGATGTTCACATGCATCGCCATCCAGGTCGCTAGTCTGCTCGCGCTTTGGGGATTGCTCTGGTGGCGAAACAGAGAGAGAAGAAAGGACAGAGTGGAAGGGGATGAGAGTAGAGGTTGGGAGATGGGCTTGTTGGACGTGACGGACCTCGAGAACAAACACTTTGAGTACGTATACTAGGAAGTCAATCAGCTTCACATGTCATGTATCTAGAATTGGAAATAGCCGTATAGATGGAGTTTTCATTATGTAAAAGACCCAGAATTAATTCCCTGGCATCTTGTCTTGTCTTCTCCACTGGGATTCTTACCCCAGACATGGTCGGTACGTGAAATGCGGAGGTGGATCTTGACGTGGAGATGTTGAATAAGAGACCCGTTATTCACTTGTGCTTATTTTGACAATCAATACATACGGCAATGGAAAAGTCATGGCTTTATAGATGGACAAGACATAAACGTTGAGATGCAGCGCTGATCGAGAGAGATCAAGGATGGGGTTACATTGCACTACTGCTTCAGTACCGCCAAGATGGACGTACATACGGGTGATGCTGCCCGACAAAGGTTCATTCCTCCACCCGATAACGGTTAGTCCCTCGAGCTGCCAATTTACGGTCAGGCTCACCTCGGGTTTATTCCTCGTTAAATTATCGCGTGGCAATATTAAGTTCGCGCGGCAGTGGCGGCTATGCGCGACATGGCGACAAACGGAGTAAACGACCCGCCTCACTTGACACAACTTGTCATCATAAATCGTAATCTCCTATCTCGCTACTAACCTCCATATCTACTAGCAACCCATGGACATGGTTAGAGTTATCAGGCCAAGGCGAGTCTAGCCAGTGTCTGATTCAGCCGAGTGTCTTGGCTCTCAACACCAAGAGATATTAAAAAGAGGACCAACGAACAACGAGCCCAAGAAATGAGGCAACAAACGGATACCAACGGCTTCCGGGGAAATGGAATCAGATACACTATGTACAATAGTCCTTCAGCCAAGACCGAGGCCAGAAATGTTGCACCTCCCGCTTTCAGCAGGCCAAGATGGTTAATAAGCGCTACCCCAGATAACCAGCATTGGCATTCCTTGGCGGCTCAAATCACACGCTGCAACCCAGCTTCCTACCAAAACAACTCCATCTCAGGACTGGTTTGCCTTTATCTTACCTTCCTATCCTGCTGCTTGGCGGTAAAATCACGAGATAGAGGATTGTACTGTGAGACTTGCTTGGCGTGAGGATTAAGTGGTTCTCAACCGCCAAGATGTTGGTCTATTGGTCTGACGCGACGACTTGGCAACTGTCTTGGCTTCCTTTTTATCGGTCCTGCTTCGCCTCCTTTTTGTTGGTTGCGTTTGTTATCTGGGGGATGGGCAAGTAAGCTTAAATCCAAGGTGTATATCAAGGCTGTCATCTGCTCCACCGTTTTCCCCCTTCCTGTGGAGTTGATCACTTACGCCCTTCACTTGACATTGATTACATACACTCTCCTTCATATTTCTATTTCTGTCTCCTGCTAAGTCATCATCATGGCGGTTGCAGACGGCCAAAAGCAGTCCCTCGGGAAGCGCATCTGGCTCGCCGTAGCGCCCGACTCCAAGAAAGATGACGATGGCCGTGACAACTTTAACTCACGCTCCCAATTCGTCCTCTGCGCCATGGGCGGTGCTGTCGGATTGGGAAATCTTCTTCGTTTCCCCTCCGTCGTCTTCAACAACTACGGTCTCCAGTTCTTCATCCCTTACCTCTTCGCCCTCTTCCTCATCGGTATCCCCATCCTGATCCTCGAAATCACGCTCGGTCAGGCTTATCGCGGTGGTTGCGTTGTCGCCTGGAACAACGTCAACCACCGTGCCAAGGGTATCGGTTTCTCCATGGTCTTCAACGGCTTTAGTGTTGTCGGGTACTATGTGCCCATCTTGGCTTTTGCCATGACCTACTTTCGCATGTCGTTTCAAAGTCCGCTGCCTTGGGCTGAACAGGACACTGAGAAATTCTTCTACAATGAGGTTGTGCGCAATGTTGATCCTGTCGGAGGTGAGGACGGTGGTATGAAGTCGTACCCAGGACGTGGTATCGTTGGTGAGACATTTGGTTGGTGTATGATGATCTGGGCCCTCGTTTGGATGTGCACCTTCAAAGGTGTCGGCCTTACAGGTCGAGTCATTTATGTCACCATGGCCCTTCCTCTAATCATGATTGCCATCCTTGCCATCCGCTCTCTTTCCCTTCCCAATGCCTCTGATGGATTTGCCCTTTATGTTGGCACCTGGCGAAGCGAGTCTATCCAAGGTCCCAAAGTTTGGCAGGATGCCTTTGGACAGATGTTCTTCTCCATCGGTGTTGGTTTTGGCTACTTCACATCGTATGCCTCATACAACAACAAGTACGCCAACGCTGTTCAAGATGCCTTCATCATCGCCCTCAGTAACTCTTGTATTGAGATTGTCTCGGCTCTTGCTGTCATGGGTATCGTCGGTTTCTTGGCCATCGTTCCTGACGGTACAAACTCCCTTTCTACTTTCAGCTCCGGCTTCTTCTACTACCCTGCCGCTCTCGCTCAGATGCCTGGCTCCAACTTTTTCTCTGTCCTTTTCTTCCTGACCTTGTCCCTGCTTGGCCTTACCTGTGTTTTTGCACTGGCTGAGGTTCTCATCACAATGATCTGTGACAGTGGCTGGGGTAGAAAGTTCCCTCGCTGGGTCATCGCATCCTCTGTAATCCTTCTAGGTGCCCTCACTGCTCTGATCTACAGCAGTGAGTTTGGTTTCGCCACCCTTGATGCTATCGACATGTGGGTCAACGATGTTGCCCTCTTTATCACAGTCTGGTCAGAGACATACATGGCTTGCACTTTGTACCGCTGGAGAGACCCCGTCGATCAGATTGGTCTCGTCAGCTACTTTGTCTATAACGCTGGCTATGTATTCTCCCTCTTCATCGGTATCCTTCTCGGTCACGTTGTTACCCCGGCTGCTGGTGCGGGTGCGGGTTTCGGTATCTTCATTGCCTGCTCTCTCGTCTCTGCCTTTGTTGGTAAGGCTCCTACCATCCCTGCTCCCAGCTTCTGGGGTAGCAACGCCATGCTCAGCCGATTCTGGTATGCGGCTTTCTACTCGGTATGTATCCCCTTCTATTCTCCCCTAGAACGATAGCTAACAATCTTCCAGGGTCAACAACTCCGACGTGATCTCAACGCAGTCATCTCCAACGGCGGCAAGAACTGGAAGATTCACTGGATCTGGCCCATCTGTCTCAAATATATCACTGGCCCAGCCGTCGCACTGGTCTTCTCCTTCGCTTACCCCAAGTTCCTCAACAACCACGCCAACGACCCTCCCTACGTCTACAGCTTTGTCATCATGCACTTCGTTATCCTCTTCATTGTCGGTGCCTTCGTCGTCCCTCGTTTCTTCAACTTTATCATCCCAGGTGAGCGACTTGAGCGCGGCGATGGCAAATACGATGTTGCTCCTCAGATGACCCTCGATAACGCTCCCATCGTTGACAATGGTGGCATTGAGGCCGGTCATGCTGAGATGGCTCACCACAGTAATGGCGAGGGCAGCTTCGACGGTGACAAGGGTGGTCTAAGACCCGGTGCCGCTCGTGCCAGCCCCGATATGGTTGAGCCTCGACAGTAATCGTTCCTTGTATAGGTCCACAATCGGATTTGCATGTCCATGTCTAAGCTTAGCTTCGAGAATATATAGATTGTATCTATAGTAACTTTCATTTCACAACACAGACTGGCTTTGGTGACTGTCCATTGATCATGAAAATAATTTGGTCCTTCTAATGCAGATATTCTTAGGAGAGGTGTGAGATTTCTTGACAATACATACAAAGTCTATTTGCTCTAGGTATAACTACCAATTTCCATTTGCGCCGGTACCCCAAAGCATAGTCCCCCAATTCATCTGCCCTAAATTCGTCGCAAACATTGATTGATCTGTCATATACGGTCCCGAGATACCACCATCAAGCCCCGGCTGTCCCATGTTGAAGAGCATACCCGGGTCGCCGAACCCCATGGGCATTGGCATTGGCATATCGTCCATATCCATTGCTACAGAACCTTGACCTTGGTCCTCGTTGGGTGGCTTGGACTCCCCATTTAAAGACATTGCAGCAACCTTTTCGTTCATGAATTCTACCAAGTCTGGTGTATGGTACTCCTTTCCAGCTTTCTCGTAAGCAGCTTTAACGGTATCCCATGCGTACAAGATGATGTTAATGAAAGGTCGAAAGACAGGACTTGGTGTATCTGCATCTGGCGCTGCTCTGCAAGAATAATTATCATGCATAATCTTCCACGCCCGTTCAGTGTTATCAGAGAACGGCTGACCCTTCAAGTGCTGGATGATGCGGATATACGCGGGGAATGGGAAATATAGCTGGAGATACCAGCGGAAATTCTTCGTAAGTGGTGAACTCGATAGCTTGGTGTCACATTCGAGCCAGCGCAGGGCATGCGCGACGGCAGTCTCTTGACGTTCAGGTGTGTACTGAACTGAAGAATCGAGATAGACAAGATACTCGTTCATCAGGCGACAATTCATAACGGTTGAACGAGCAGTCCACATCGTCATAAAATGGAGACGATTATCTGGATCGCAGAATCTCAGATACTTGTCTTCGATGGTCTTCTCCAGAGTAACATCACCACCTGGCGGGAGCTTCTTGGCCAGAGGCTTCATGACCGGATTTGTAAAGGCGATATAAAAAGGACTGTTGCGGTAATATTCTCCAATCTCAGCCTTGACAATCATAAAGATAGCCTCAGTCGCTTGTTCTTGGGGCTTTGGTGGACTTTTTGTCTCTTCTCGAAGCTCCGAGTCGCTGACATTCGTTGGTAGTGCGCAGTCCCAGGTTGGAACGAGGGTTGTGGGTTTGTGATCTCCTAAAGCACTGACGCGCGAGTCGAAGAGTACGAGAGACCACCAGAGTCTTCTTCGAAGTTCAGCTTCGAGAATGCTGCATCGTGTGTTTCTGGCTTCGCTTTGGATGCCCATTCGTTCTGCTATGCGGACTGCGACGGCGAGCATAGACGAGATTGACTTTGGGTGACTACCCGATCGGACCGATACCTGAACGCGGTCAATAAAGACAGTTTCGCAATGGATTTGATACTCACCAGGTAGAGAAGCAGAGCAGTCAAACAATCCCGACTACCGGTTCTCAAAAAGTTACAGTTCAACAAGGCCTGCTGACATCCAAAATGATATCTCGTCGTAAGCTCATTCTTCGATGTCTTGAACATAGTCTCACACTCCTTGCACGATAAGCTCAACACAGCCATACAGTAAATGCTAAACATGAGCGCTTCAAGCGTAGGCGATATATCCTTGAAATTAGACGCCGCTTCAACGATGCTAGCTTGCAAAGTAGGCGTGTGAGTGACCTTGAGCAGAGGATCAACATGTTCGAGATAAATCTGCCACAGTCTGAACAAGTGGGCAGGTTCGGGGTGGAGGGTGTGTAGCTCCACGGATGACTGACGGGATCCGAAAAGCATGTGTTCGTCGTTGATTGCCATTTGATCTTGAGCGCTACTGAAGACATTTTCGTAGAAGGTGTCATTTGGATCGCGGTACTGGGAGATGTTAGTAAGATCCAGTGCGTGGCGGTTGATGGTGACATACTCCTTGTCGCATAGCCTGCCAAATGCTCCTACAGTCGTGGTCAGCGATATTTCACAAAGCCTCTTATGGAATCTTACTTGACTTCGGTTATCATTTCAGTCCGTGGTTGAAGGCTCTCATTCTCATTCTCGTTCTCGGAATCGTAATCTGGCGGTGAACTCTTGGCTGTACCAGCATCATCATGCAGCGCATCAAACTTGACCCCGTTCTGTCTCATCAACGTCTCGTACCTCCTCAACCTATCCAACAGCTGCCTTTCAGGAAACCTCCTTCTTCGTGGTCTTGGCTGGGTAGCCGGCACACATTGCGCTCCCTGTTTGGTGCAGCTTGAACAGGGGAATGTGCGGTCACATTTAACCTTTCTTTGCTGGCAGAGGACGCATGCAAGGACCCGATGGGGTTTGGCCTTGGGGGCATCTTCTGTGGGTGTAGACATGATCTGGTGACAGTTTCGGGAATTAGCGAGTCCGAAATGATTGAGATGAGTGAAAGAGTATATAAGAAAAGGTGAATGGTCGGTAAATTGTTGGGCTGATGTTTTGGAAGGTGCATCTCGGTCTTTTCTAAGTTCCGGCGTCTCCACTTTTCGGTTTATTCGAGTTCGTGTCAGCATCGGACTTTGGGAATGTCCATGTCCGACTAACAATTCTCATGCTATGATATCTACTCGCTATTCTCTAGGTTTCCTATTTTCTTACCAGGAAACATTGCATTTATAGTGTATCCCAATGAAAGTTGTAAGACTTTGCACGTGTTACCATCGGCACATGAAGCGAGTCATTGGAGATAAACAGACCAAGTACTAGAACCATGGCCCAGGTATGACCAAAGACATGGGTTTAAGACGTTTGCTAGAACGTTGCACAAGACTGTATAGAAGATGTTGAGAATGAAATGCAATATCGTGCATGGAACTCAAGTTCTGTGGAACGTAAGACCGACGTCTATAAGCGTCATACCTCTGACGTCAGGACCTGTTCCACCTCAACTTCCCCACGAAACCAACTTCTATATCAACAATTTTCTTACAAACACCTTGATGGTTCAAACTACGACTTGTCACTGAATCTTCTACCTTTAATTCGTCAATCAACCACACTAAAATGCCTAGCTACACAGGGAAATGCGTCTGCGGCAACGTCAAGTACAGCGTCTCGCTAGACTCGCCTGACGACGCGCGAACCTCGCTGTGTCACTGCGGAAGCTGTAAACGGGCATTCGGTACAAACTTTGGTCTGACTACAAAGGCATGCCCCCCATACCAGTTAAGCTTCCTATTTAACAGTTGGGGTAGGTCGCTCTGGATGGCTTCAGCTACGACGAAGGAAAGCCAAAGACATTTAAGCAAGAAAACGGGGTGGTGAGAGAATTTTGCGATAACTGCGGCGCTTTCATCTGTGAATATGGAGTAAGTTTCTCTGGCGTTGATCAAATCAGATTCATGCTGAGAATTATATAGGAAGCGGCTGCAGACAAGTTCCGATATATTATGTGGGGCACTTTTGATGAGCCGGACAAGTTTCCTCCTAAGGGAGAATTCTTTTGCAAGTATCGAGACGGGTGGATGCCCGAGATACCAGGTGAATATTCCTTCCAGCTTTTACAAGCATTTTGCTAATTTTCTTCTAGGCCTCTTTCACAAGAATGAAATCAAAGAGTGATCGTACAGCTTTGTCCAATTATGATGAGGGGAGGGAGGATGGAAAGCCGTTGACTTGAGCTTGGTTGGCGGGTTTATCGGCAGCCAACTGGTGCAATGTCGCGGTTGGTTTTTGCAGTCGAGCTGTATTTTAATTTCATACATGGAAAACGAGAAACGCGTAGGACAATCTGAATTCAAGTCCTAGATCCATAAAAAGGTTCCACCAGTGTACCGTGACAGGATCTCTCATTGGCCTCCGCTTTCTATATTCATCAGCTGATAGTCCGCCGCATTTTCATCTTCCCATGTCCTTCATTCAAATAGCTTTATCAAGCGCAATACGAAATGAGCGAATCTGAGAAACAGCAAAATGCGGTCGTCATATACGACCCAAAAGGCCTTCCCGTCCCCGAAGCGACCCTCCCCACCCCCGACAAAGCAAAATACCTCCTCGCAGAAGACAACAACGTAAACGTACGCATCTTCGTCCGACACATGAATAACCTCCATCTTCAACACACATACCAAATAGCATGGAACGGTCAACAAGCCGTGGACATATACAAAGCACACCCAGAACAGTGCAGGGTCATTTTTATGGATATTTCGATGCCTGTTATGGGTGGTATGGACGCGAGCCTCTTGATACGGGAGTTTGAGAAGGAGAATGGGCTGAAGCCGGCTGTTATCGTGGGGGTAGTGGCTAGTATGATTGAGAGTGAGAATCGGAGGTTTGTCGAGCAGTTTGGGATGGATGTTTGTTTGAGGAAGCCTGTTCGGTTTCAGAGTCTTAAAGAGATACTGGAGGACTGGCCTGTTGAAAGGGCTTAAGAATAGTTCGGGTTTAGGTACAAGAATATCAAACAATGGCAGCAGCTTGATTTACAAGGACTGATCCTTCAACTGTTCCTCCGTCCACTCCCACAACTCCTTCGCCATCCCGTCATCAACCTCAACATTCTCCTTCACTCCAACGGGTTCATAGAAATCCCCACTCTCAATCTTCGCAGTAGCAGCCCAAAGATGATTCTTGACACCCTCTTCGACAGGTCCTGCCATTTTCGGAACGACGTTCTCCTGCAAATGCTTCATCATCTCATCACCAGCCTCCCGCGAAAACAGCTCCGTCTTAACTTCACCGGGATTGATAGCGATGTTGGTGAAGGTGTAATTTTTGGCAGCTTCACGCGCGTAGAGAAGGCATGCGAGTTTACTCTGCGCGTACCGGAGTGGGAGCGGTGTTGCACTGGTGGCTGAGCGGAGGGTTGAGAATTCTATGCCTGAGGGGCCGACGTGGCGGAAGCCGGCGGATGTCAAGTGGACGACTCTTGAATCAGATGTCCGGTCCAGAGTGGGCTGAAGGAGCTTCAAGAGAAGAGCATGGCCGAGGTGGTTGGTACCCATGTGCATCTCATACCCATCCTTGGTAAGAATAGGCGGTGCACCCATGACACCAGCATTGAGCAACAGGACATCAAGTCGTTCCTCTCGCTCGAGGAAGGTTTTGGCAGCGGCTTTGATACTTTCGAAGCTTGAAAGATCTAGTTCAAGAAGAGAGATCTTTGTCGCCTCGGCAGATGTGCTTTTGACTTCTTCCAAGGCTGCATTGCCCTTGGATTGGTCGCGAGCGGTGATGTAGATATGAGCTGGGGAGTGTTTGGCCAGTTCAATGGCCGTAGCTTTGCCGAGGCCGGTGTTGGCGCCTGTAATGAGGATGACTTTTCCGGCGAGGGAAGGGATATCCTTGGAAGGGCTGAAAGAGTAGGTTTTGTGGTCAGACATTTTGGAAGTGAGTGATGTAGATGTTAAGTCGTTGATCAGTTAGTCTTTAATGTTGGTGGTTAAGTTGTAGCTGAGTTGTGGTTGAGGCAGATGGATATCCTGAGCATGCCCTGTCTTAAATAATTCTTCATGCTCTCGCTAAGGAAACAGTGGTATGCACTTAATCCCGGAGTTAAGCAAATACGAACCCGAAAATGATGTATTGACGGTATCTCGGACGCTTTAGATCATCCTCGAACACATCTTAAACGGGTCTCGAGAGACGTACCTGCCACTGACCAATGAGAAGCCGTAAAGTCCGAGCAGACCAATCGCCAATCCTACAAGGCCCATATACCAACAACCACCAATGCATTGTTCTCTGGGGCAAGATAATTCAGCTGTATTAGACTGTGTCACGTATCATCCTACTCGGATAGTCCAACAAGAAATGCCACTCCGGCCCAAGGTAATCACGAATAGCCCCAATCAAATACACTCCTGCGTTATCAACCTGCCATAACCTCCTTCCATAATGTAAAAGCAAGGCATAATAGCTCAACAAGATCAGAGCTTCAGGTTTCCTCTCCGATAATAAAGTATTGAACTCTGGGGACGCCAACATGGTCCACTGAAATATCATACGATATCGAGCCCCCTCTTCCCCCGAAGACATAGCGTCGAAACCAACTTGGAGATATTTGATTGCGCTGCGACAAACTTCCTTTTCTCTTTCGTCAAGAGTCGTGGAGTCGCCAACGAGTTTGGAAATCGGCGCGCATTCAGTACCTTTTGGCTCCTTCGCCGACTCTTTCCTACTCCAAGACAACACAGGTTCAATCTCGGACTCAACGAGCAAAGGCCAGGCAGAGGCAGCGACGTTGTATATACCTCGATTCAGATCCACGCAATATGTATAGTACTCCAGAAAGCCATACAGTCCATCCGAACCACGATAAGCCAATGCGTCCGCTAGAAGATGGTGACCAAGATTTATTGAAAAAAGAAGGATGGGAACACAATTTGATGAATCAACTTCTCGTCTCGTAGCGTTGAACCAAGACACAGCTCGCCTTTGCAAACTCATTGCTTGTTCGAGATAGTGAGTTGCACGATCTGGATGTATCACAGCTAAATGCCTTGCAGAGAATGCCAGCATCTGATGTAGTAGATAAGGTGCCTCGACACTTTTCTTGATACAGACATCCAAGGTAGCCTTGTAATCCTTGACGGTATCGCCGAGGCTGAATAGGTTTCGGTCGGTGATGAGGTGGACAAATAGTTCCATGTGTTCCATGTTGACGACATTCTCGACACTGGTTGGTGTGGGCGAGGAGGTACTTGTTGAGGCATGGTTGGGGTCTGGGCTTGGAATCGAGGTTGAGGTTGAAGGTGGAGATGGCAGATCTAAGGTCGAGAAGCTACATTTTCGATCTGTCAAGGTGCAGAGACGACATGTTGGTTGACCTTCATCACACTGAACACGCGTATTAGTCAAGTGTAAAACTGGAATATGTTATGTACCTTGACGTGACGTCGCTTGCTAAGACCCGTTAGCTGATTGAAATCCCCGTAGCATCCCAGCACTTACCATTGCTCGCAGCCCTTCTTGGACTTTTTGTGGCGACGACGGAGCATTTCACCGGTGGCAGTTAGATTCCGAGGAATACTTGAAACATTCAAGTAAATAATTTACACCAAGAATGACAAGTTGAAGAAAGGCTTGGAGATGTTGAGATGGGCAAGAACAATTGTCAAAGGATCTCCAGATGTCAGCACAGGCCTCGACGCTAATCCTAAATTCGAACTGATCTGCACATTCCCCTTGTCGTGTCAGTCTAGAGCTAGTCTATCTCTGGTAAGGCGCAGAACAGAGCCCCTGTTATTGCTTAGCTAACACGCGTGTTTGGCTCCGAGACCCAGTTATGTCTTGATGCAGCCAGGATTGCTAACCTGGAGTTTTGGCTGTTTAATGGTTAATTTGGGATACGCAACACGCGTGTCAGCAAAGGGACTTCGAGGCTTTCTGTTAATCCGTAGGATAAGGCATATAGAAAGGAGAAACAAATTTCATTCATTTATTGATTCTCTTTTTCCCTGAAATGATTTATTTAAATTGTGGTTCTTTCTCTCAAATCCATTTCTGTTGGTCATAAAACACCCGCTATTCATCATTTCAAACTAATTGTCTCTTAACATGGCACAACTCAAACCTTTCAAAGGCAGTTACTATATCTGGGAATATGTCCCAAGTCTCCCTGGCGCAATAGCATTCGCAGTCGCATTTCTTCTCATCACCTTAGCCCAAGGTTATCGCATGTATAGAGGCAAACACTGGTTCACGATCCCCTTCTTCATCGGGGGCATTTGTCAGTCCTTATCCCCATTACCTGTCTCATTACACTTGCTAATACCTGTACAGGTGAAGTACTCGGCTATGTCTTCCGCACCCTAGCATACAACGCCACAAACTCTCTAGCGATCTACATCATGCAATCACTCTTCCTCCTCCTACCACCGGTTTTCTTCGCCGCGACATTATACATGGTATACTCCCGTATTGTACGCGCCGTCGGAGGTGAAGATTTCTCTCTCATTACCGCTCGCAAAACGACAAGGCTCTTTGTTATCGGGGATTTTGTCACGTTCAATATCCAAGGCAATGGCGGTGGCTTGATGGCCAACCAAAAGCTCGCAAACATTGGTAAGATCATTGTTATCGTCGGTCTTATCGCTCAGATCATTCTTTTTCTTGCCTTTGTAATCATCTGTGTGGTATTTCACAGGCGATTCAAAGCTCACTTGCGACGCTCGCATGCTCTTGTTGAAATTCGTTGGGAGTCATATCTCAATATGCTGTACGTCACCTCAGCTTTTATTCTTGTCAGGAATCTCTTTCGCGTGGTGGAGTTTATTATGGATAAAGAGGGATATTTGATGCAGAAAGAATGGCCGACCTTTGTTTTTGATGCTGTGCTGATGTTTTTGGTTATGGTGGCGTTTTATGTATGGTATCCTGGGAATCTTACATCGACCTCGAGAGACTCGGCCGTTGAACTTGTTCCGAAGCCGAGGCGCAACTCTAGAGAGGTCAGTGCGTCGGAGTAAGCATTCGAGGTTTGGGGATTGCCGGGAAGGGTTTGTGGCTTGGTTTGTCTCCTGCGATAGACCGTTGTGCGGCGGTAGTGCTGTTTCTTTTCCAGTGGACTTATTGGCCCACCTTTTATTTTGAATGTCACCGAGCGCGCCATATGTTTTCCTTTTTCGTTGTACATAAAGTCTGGATCAATATATCCTCCCAATTTCGAGGCCATACAAGGCACACTCAATTGTTCCAAATCCGCCCTGAGGCTGAATGTCACAAAATGTCACAACTTACGCGCCAATCCCACCACCCTAGTGAACGCCTCATACTCAAAAGCCACCACAAAACGGCAATAATGCAGGGGCAATAAAGCCAAAATTCTTTCTTTTGACACCAAATATTGTCGCAGCCACGTTTTACTGGTAGGTGCACTTCAGCTAGTGGTGGTCCCCCTGGCAGATGTCGGCGGTCTAGACCAGACGGGACCGCTAGGGAGGCGTTGAGCTGTCACAGCGGCTGAATAACTCGTAATTAAGGCTTTAGGGGCCAACCAATTGAATTAACTCCAAAGCGAAAGGTGGTATCAATGCATTGTTCAGCTGGAAGCCATGGAGTGGAGTTGTTTTTGTATAAGAACCTGGTGTTGAGATGCTCCGATCTGATTGCCAAGCACTCCATCTACCAACAACGCTCATAGAAAAGTATTTCTCCCTTCAAAATGTCTCGTGTATTCATACTGTCTCTCTTGGCCTCGCGAGCCCTCGCAGCAAATCCCCTCTTGGGCGCCTACCCAACCGATCAATGCGACGCCTGCATGGATGAAGTCTACACCAGCTGTCCAGGCAATTACCAAGAGCGCTCCTACGCAACATGCATGTGCGCAGGCGACGGCAGCGTAAAGTTCTTGTCTTGCCTCGGATCTTGTGATCCTCAACTGAATGAGCCCGCGAATGCTGCGTCTACTTACTACGGATACTGCCTTATGTTCTTCAAGGAACTTTGTGATGGCGCGGAGGGGAATGTGGACCAAGAGACTTATGAGACGCAGTGTTCTAAGAAGGCTATTGCAGAGGGAGGCATTGGAGAGAAGGGTGGTAAGAGTGGTGATGGAGATAAGACAGATACTGGGAGCGATGATGAGGACGCTGGGTCTGATGAAAAGTGAGTGTCCTGATTGAATCAAGGCTGAAGTCTAACATTCTACAGCACCGAGATCGTAAAGCCCACCAGGACAAATGAATCAGTCAGCGACAAGACCGGTGACGCCAGCGAAGCCGACGAGACAGACGCAGGTACGAAGACAGCCTCTTCTAGCGCAACCGCCGCACTAGTTACGACAACTGTATCAGGTTCGAAGCAGACTGCTATCCCAGCTGTGGCCATCTTGGCCGGTCTTGGACTCCAGCTTGTAAATGTTTAGATCTTGGTTGGCCCAATATCCACTAGTAATTAGACGATTTTACTTTATTATATCGACTTGTCAAAATATAATAGTACAAGCTGGAAAGAGTAAAGTGACAGAAACATGTCCGCTTAAAATGAAGATCTGTTAGTAGTCTCAGAATCTCCTTATGGGTAGGTAATAAAAGGACTGTTCTCTGAGGCTTAGATTGATATAATGAAGTATTCTAAGTGCTAGTCTAAGCTGACATAAAGTGGCCAAATTATTTCGTCTCTTATGCTTTTAGGGAATAATTGTTATGATGTCCTTATGAATACCCCCACCACTTTCCCTACAAGACCCCCCTGCTTTGCATATAAACGAATCATACGCCAATCGACTCGTGGCCGACAATGAATTATTCGTAGTCAGGAGGGGGGTCAGGGAAGAAACTGGCCCATGCATCCCTATTGTCGGCTGGCGTGCAATCCCAGCTGACCCAAGCATCCAGCGACATATAGGCATAGTTATCAGCATTATAGACCTCTTGCCCTATCTTTTCCCGAACCAGGGCGTGAGCGCGGTTAATACCATAAGCTGTTCCCTCATCGTCGTTTTCAATATCTTTGATCTGTGCTGACAATTCTGATTCCGGTCCAACATTTTCACCGTGGGTGATTTCGTGCAAAACAACGCGAGAGAACGTGTCCATCTTCTCACTGGGGAAGCTGTCGAGGGCGCCACAGTCGATGCTCTCGAGATTGGGTTTCTCATAGGCGATGGGACAGAAATGGATCTTCTGAAGACCATCTGCTTCGTCATCGTCAGTGTAGGCCAATTCGCCTTCGTCGTCACAGCTGAAGTCTTGGCTAAAGTCTAGATGGATTATCAGCATGATGAAGTACAATATTAATACGGGAGTTGGGTAGGGTTCCAGAAGAATTAACTGCCTAGAGCATAAGAGACGAAATAGGTTAGGCTACCACTTAGGCCACTTTACTTTGGTAACCTAAGTCTTAGAGCGTAACTAACTCTTCTGACACCCACCTGTTATAAGATGGCTTACCTTTGTTATCAACAACCATTTCGCCAACCACAGCTCCGATAAAGCTTGCACTTGAACTATCATCGCCGCGAATCATTTTCAACACATCGCTGACTACGACGGGGGTCTCCTCTCCAGGGTCAAAGAAAAGATTAAAGACAGGATTAGTGCCCGTCTTTGCTTCTTCGGCAGCTGTATATCCTCTCGAAGCAAGAGAGCGCACCTCGCCAGTGCAGATGACATCGTGCAACTGTCGAAGAAGACGTTGGTCGGCCTCATTGGCAGGATCAAAGTTGAGATATTCCCACTCGTTACCGCAGGCTTCGCCGAGAGGATACGGGGAAGGCTCGGGAGGCTCAGCGCGAGCGACCTTGGAAGGGACTAATGGCTTGGCGTCTACAGCCGTAATGGAAAGAGCCACGAGGAGGACTTTAGAGAAAGACATAATGGACATCTAGGTTCAAGGCAGGATTGGTGAGTTGATGTATTGCTCCTGTTGTGATCTCCCGCCCAACAAGCAACGGCGCCCAGCTCCTTCATAACAATTATAGCGACCTCGTAGAGCAAAAAGCTCGTATAGGCTCGGCCCTATATCCCCTAGTCATATATCCTTGAATTACATACATAGCCTGACGGATAGGTGACAGATGAAATGTCTTCTGAGATTAGGGTACTAAAATAAAGTAGCCTAACTGCTGATCTGAGCCATCATAAAGTGACCGAATCATTTCGTCTATTATGATTCTGGAGGCCAATCCTTCTGGCACCCTGAGGCCTGGCGTATAACACGTCCTGCCAAACGGCGCAGTTTGTCGCTTCGCAGATGGTGGGTCTTTTCCGAGTTGACTTCTCCATTTTTCGTAATAAACACAAGCTTAATCATGTATACACGCTTTGGCCTGTGGATATACGTATGGAAGAGACTCCTACATAGCCTGTAGGAATTGCTTTCTTCAATGGGCGGAGGATTCCGTGATCCTTCTCGTACTTTACAGCCCCATGATCGGCAGTGTCCCGCCCTGTTATGTACGAAAGGAGCTCTTTATCATTTCGGCTAAGGCTGATCAGCCGACAATTGCAGTAATCGCCGATGCGTCCATCCTCTTTGGGGTGCAGAGCAACCCGGATGTGATCCAACTGTGACGTTCCCTGTTTGCAAGCGAGGCCAATGACTATGACCAGGGATGAAATCCTCCGACTCTGCTGCGTTTGGACCAACCTCAGAACAAAACTTGGTTCTGCCCGCCCGTTTCTCCACTTTGCAAAAAGGACTTGGATAGTAAGAGTGAGATAAGTGGCAGGTAGGCGGGCTGAGGCGACCATGTCTTTTGGCCAGTCACAAGTTATGTTTAGGCTACCGACTTGGACTAAGCTTTACAGTTATACTTGGAGTCATACGAAATCGCCACCATGACGTGTAACAACAACATCGCTTTCCTTTAACAACGTCTCGGATACAGTCATCAATGCAATTCACTTGATCTTCATCTCATGTCCGACACTACATAATATAAAACTGTGAACAGCAAGTTTGCGACTCAAGCTATGGCAGAGTTGCAGATTTACATCAACATCACCAGTAGATACCGCGTCTTCGACAAGACGGGCAAACTACCATACAGCATCGCTTTCGGTTTATGCCGCCGATCTTCAAATGACGAAAACCCTCGATCCCTTCGCTTGACCGCAAAGAACTCAATCCTAGATGTTCCTTATGCGCTTTCTCACGGGTTACTCTCGTTACGTGAGAATGAAAAAGAAATCGATACAGGGCATCTGAGGTCTAGCGATGGCAATGAACCCTACTTGACTCTACCCTCGCCAGTTGGCAGGACAGGGAACTGGAGAAATAACCTCTCAATCTATTATTGTCATACCCCTGCGGACAGCGACCTTGGCAGGCTATTCAAGCCGGGGAAGAAGTATCATATCCAGCACAAATCAGGAGGTGACCTCGGCGGCGAACACGACTACGTTGATAATTTGGGACAACCTTCAAAACCAAGTAAAAAGGAGAAGCTTATCAGCAGCAAGGCACACTGCGGCGCAAGATTCACGACGGTGGAAAGCCTCCCTTGGCCACCAGAAATACAAACTAAGATGCAAATGCATAAGGCTGAAGATAATTCTCCAGTACTAGAGATCACAGTCATCAACCATGGCAACGAGCCGATCACCGTCCAAACCCGGTATACCCAACGCTTTCTCACTCCAAATGGTCCACTGCAACAAGACGAAGAGGTCCCAAGCCTTGATCCGCGTCCTCGTATCATCGACCCCAAGGCACCAGCACCTGGCTCGACAATACAGGTTATAGATATGGCTACAGTGCAAGTCGCCCGCGAAACACGCAAACCTGGGCCTTGTGGTGGCGCAGCCAATCCGCAAGATCGACGTCCCAAGTTGGAGACTCTGACTACTCTACACCCAGGCCAGCCGCTTGTTAGGCATGTAGATGTTAGTAGTATGTTGAGTAAATTACCGGACGGCAAATATGCTCTTCGGATGGAACCACGTGGCATGTGGTGGTGTAAAGGTGACATTGAAGACTTTGCTGCAGCGGGTGAGGATCGTGTGCCTCATGATCTATTTGAGACTACGATTCCACCTCTAATATTAGAGTTTAACGATGTCGTTGAGGTACCAGTCGAGAATGGGAGGGCTAAGTGGTAGTTTAGGTGTCTCACACCACAAGGTGTTCGAAGACTTGCCATTCACTAAACAAAACCTCAGATCTACCTAGGTAGTCGAAACAATCATAGCACTATGTCCCGTAGTTTAACAGACATGAATGAAGAAGCAAGTCATATTGTGACAAATCCCACGCGTAAAAAGCTATCTGTCGTTGCTGAAAGCGCTCACATTTGGCTCTTGATGGCGATTAAAAATCAGACCATCGATATATGGTGCCACGCGACCTCTCATTATCCTCTTGTAAAGCATCAATCTCTTTGCACAATCGATTCTTGCCTCATTGTCACGCACGAGCTCGTACCCATGTAAATTGGCCCTCGCCTGAACAGGCCCACTCCAAAACTTTGTTCCTATCATCGAATCGTGTTCGGGGGTATGCTTGATCCGTCGTTGATCGGTGAATCGACCTACCAGTAGCCATTCCCATACAGCTGTTGATATAGCTACTTTGAACACGCTCAATCTTCCAGCCCGCCCTTCGTAAGACACCTTCGCATTCCTGCGTACCAAAAGTTTGACAGCATCTAGCTGACCGCAAGCACTTGCAATCATCAGAGCAGACCCCAAAGGACACCCCTCAAACTCTATATCCGCGCCTAAGGATAGACAGTTCTCCATCCTCTCCGTACAATTCTGCGAGGCAGCTCGGCAAAGGGGGCTCCAACCTTGAGCCGGCTCCAAGTTAGCCCATCTTTTCACATTTCGGCGTCCAAAGCGTTGGCAAAAGAGGTGGAAATGGTTTTTGAGAAACGTTATTTTTGAAAAGCTGGCGGGCTGATACAAGTGCCAAGGGAAGGGCTCTACCTCATGAAGCTCAGTGTTGCCTTGAAGAAGTGGCCCAAGTCCAATGCCAGAAAAGAGCCCCGCTAGATAGTTCACTACTTCGGGACTTCCGTTGCGGTAGTGCTCGAGGAAGTGCGGCAATGGAAGTAAAGAGCCGGGTCTCATGTACGTCGAGTCATAGTATGCCGGGAGGCTTGTACCTACCCATCCCAGGGGTGCGAGACCACTTTGTTCCTGGAAAGCATGTGTGAGGGTGTCGAAAACTCGTGTGGAATCACGACCCCAAAAATGGAAATTGTTCGCAAGACATGTGGTTAGCAAAGGAGTTGGAGAAGCACCGAACGCTACCAGTAGATCAACCATTTCGGACTCTCTGGCATAAGATAGGGGGGTAGCCCCGCTTCCATCAACTACATCAACAGGACATCCACTCTCCAACAGGATTTGAACAACTGCACGTCTGTTCTGATGAACGCAGAAATGAAGCAGGTTTAAGTTCGGACCTTCGCGAGCCCCGGGTAGCTTGGGGCGCCTTTCAAAGAATATTGAAGGCGTAGTATGTGTGGGGAGATGTGTCAGGATAACTTTGAGGCCAGGTTCATTTCCGGATGCTGCCGCTTGGGCAATGAGTCGAAACGCAAGGTCATCCCAGTTGCCACCTTGGTCGATGAATCGCTGTAAAAGTGTGGGAAGGAATGTCGATAGACGGGGGTAACGTGCGGCGGTTATAATTGTATGCATTGATGTGACCTTGAAGTCATTGACACTCAATACCGAAGCTCCCGTTTGGCAGAGCCATTCGGCGATGGTGGCCTGATGGCGAACGAGAGCATAGGTCAATGGCGATGCGTTCCCTGTTCGTGGCAGCGGTTTGTTCAGTGGACATCCCTTGGAAGTCAAGCTCTGGCAGCCTGCAAGATCACCATGCTCTATAGCTGACTTCAGTCGAAGAAGTAACCTAGCGGTATGTCTTTCATCGACTGAATCATCTGACTGTTTACCGAATTCGTTTTCTAGTATCTCAATTATCTCGGCGTTGTCTTGGAACTGTGCTATCATCAAGGGGGTCCTGACAAGATTGTCCATAGAGCTCTTCGCGCCGAGTTGAATCAGAGTACGGACAGCACCTGCACGGTTCTCAGTTACTGCAATGTGAAGTGGAGTCGCTTTTTCTTTGGACTTCGCCATGACGTCGAAGCCGTAACGACAGAGTCGCTTGATGGTGGCTTTGTCGCCATTCATAGCTGCAAAATGTAGGGCCGTGTGGCCAAGCCGGCTTGTTGATCGAATATCGATCTCTATTTCCTTTAGAAAGAACTTGACACACTCGCGATCGCCTTTATAACAAGCAATATGGAATCCAGACATGCTGTCAAAATAATAGCCCGTCGTCAATTTCAATCGCCACTGGGCCATGACTTCCCATAACACCGGAGCATTGGTTCGTTTGGATACTTCCAAGATCTTTCTCAAGAAGGCGACGTTTCCGGACGCCGAACATAAATGCACTGGCCTGTAGGTGATCAAGAAATGGTCCTTACCATTTAGGCTGGCCCCCATCTCTAACAAAACCTCTGACATAGCGAGCGAATCATGTTGGAGATGATATGCGAGAGGTGTTGCTCCTCGTGCACTCTGTGGACTTTCATCAACGCCATCAATGTCGACCCCTATTCTGGCAAGATACTCAAGGATCCACCGGGCGTCAGACTTCTGCCAACGCTGATGAATAAGACCATAGATGAGCCCACCATTCGGGCTGGCCCCTGATGCAGCCTTCAGACTCTCTAGGCTTTGGGTTTCCAGGATCGACATAAGTATTATCCTGCCCTTGGTACTTGAGCAGAGGCTTAGTGCAGTTTCCCCACCAAAAGCATACTGGATAATTGTTTCGCTATTGTCACCTGGGTCGTTAACAGGTACGGATTTGTCGAGCAGACACTTTACAGCGTCCACATCCTTCATTGCAATCGTTGCCTTGAGAAAACGAATGGCCAACCTGCTGTCCGTTTTCCAATATCCAGAAAGTGCCAGTGACTTAGACAAGAGTTCACCACGCATGACAGAAGGTGGCCAAGCATAATTCCTGTTCATTTCATCCAACATCCTGATGAGGGGTACCAGGCCGAATTCCTTTTTGTTTTCTTCATAGGCTACAAGGCAGCCCTGTTGGATATAGTGGGTCAATGCGTATTTCAAACAATTCCAACCATGCTGGACCCTCCGGGAACCAAGCCGCTTGTCAGACGAACAGAGATAGCGCCATGCATCTCGTCCTTCATCGTCAAAGTTCCAAAAGAGGTCGTCAAAGGTGAGTTGCGCCAGGATCTCTGCTTCTGGTAAAACAGTGTCCTTGATACACGCATCAACGTAAAGTTCGATTGGCAACCTAGCCATATGCCTGGATACGTGATTGTGGGGAAAGAGACTTTTGATAAACACTACCCATTCCAGTGACACATAACTGTCCAGGTAATGTAGAGGACTAGCGGTGCTGAATCCGGACGCTTCAGGATCAAGCCCACACTGCAACAAAAGTCGTATGATATCTTCGGATTGTAGGTTGAAGGCACGGGGAAAGATGCAGCCTTGCCCCTCCCAGAACAAGGGTATTCGGTGGCAATGGGAAATCAGTGCTATTATAGCATCCTTATCTTCAATAAGTTGTGCGTACTCGAAAGCTTGGTCGAGTGGAGTCAGACCGTCAGCTTTCCTCATGCTAAGCCCTTCCTGGGAGTCTTGGAAGTATGTGCTGAAGAGAACTTCCCGATACTCACGACTCCCTTCGTCGAATGATCTTGCTGCAAAGTGCCAGATGTTTCGCCCATCTTTATCAACACTGAGTAGTGAAATGTTATGTTGAACGAGCATGTCGAGGAGTTCAATGCTCTTTAAAGACCCACTGAGCAGAACAGCATCTTCACCTTGACTATTCACCACATGGGGATTACTCCCCCTGTCAAGAAGGAGGTTAGCACAGTTGACCGCTTTGCGCCGAATGGTTTGATGTAGGAGGGTGTCTGAAGCGTTGTTATTACTCCAGCCTACTTCATCCATCTTTACTCGACCATCATCAAGACAGGTTAATAAGGATTGATGGTTGTCATCGGCGATCGCGAAGTTAATTTGTGCTTTCAATGCTTCGACAGATAGCGCGATCCTGCTGGTGGTGCGGTTTGAATCGTTGGTAAACGGCAATTCCATGGCGACTGCTGTGGACCAGATAAGCTCACCCAACTTCAATCCCCATTGGGTCTCTAGAAGTGAGGAGCTCACAAGGTAGTCATTGAAGTCCTCGAGAGAAAGACCTAGTTGTGCGCCAGATTGCCCTTGGTTCCACCGTGGAGTGAGACAAGGTTGCAAGGCATCAATTTCAAATTCGGTTGGTACTAGACCGTATGATAAGAGATCCCTGACTGATCGGAAGTCTTTCAATCTCCAAGAAATTATCATTGAATGATAAAACAGATTTTTTATGGCTGGCTCAGTTCTAGCTCCAGCCAGTCGGAGACAAGTGATGGTTTCATTACGTCGTTCCGGGCACGATAACGTCATTTCAAGCCAGGAATACAGACTCTCTGATGCATCACCATGGACTGTTGTGTCGGGAAAGCTGCACTGTCCGAGAAACGATGAGAGGGAGAGTTCAAGAGGGGTTCCCAGACTGCAACGGGCGTTAGCATTGACGCTCCTGTATGAGGTATGAGCATATCTCAGGCAGGTTTAGAGCAGCTGCCACATGTAATGGGCGGCATGATAGTTGGAACTCGGCCATCCTGAGCTTTGTACCGCGGACGACGGCAATATCGCGTATTTCTGACGACATCCTCGAGGAAATGTAGCCAATGAATGTTTTCAACCATCCAAGGTAGATCTGGCTTTCAGTTGGACGAAATAGCGATTTTGCGGCGTCAAGTAGTCCTGAGCTTTCTAGGCCATTTGCAGTCAGTTGCGGCCATCTTGTAGCGGCCTCGGGATAAAAAGAGAGCGGGTTGGCTCTGCTCTCGTCGAAAGGCTCAGACTCGAAAATTTTAAGCTGTATGAGCTTGAGACACAACAACCCCAGCACTGGCTCATCGTCTGACTTCGAGATTCGGTATGGAGCGAATTCGGGCAAGGAGACAAGCAGTGGATCTGACAGAAACTCCTGGACAGTGAAATGGGCAAACTCGAAATACAGACCGTCTGCACTTTTGCGGATCAGGCTACTGCATTTTCGAGCCACGGAGTCTTGGTTGATTATTTGTCCAAGATTGGCTCCAAGAGTCGTGGGGGTCGAGATTGCCTGACATAGCTGTTCAATCGTCGGAGGTTTTGGGAAGACAGCCAGAAGTCGTAGGCATAGTCGCACCATATCTCTTGTCTTGAGGGGCAGCTTGTTGATCTTTCTAAGAATCCGGAAATAGCTATCATGCAAGGTAGCAGGGAGATGGTTAAGAGCTTCGACACGATCTTCATCGGTCCACAATTCAGTCATATAGTCCAGCTGGCAGGTAACCCAACGAAACCTAGTTACTTGTTAGTAGACATCCCGTAGTCAACCACAGGTTGCTTACATTCCGTTGGCTCTTTCAACGAGTTCACTCTCTATTCTCTCTTTCGCCGCCACATCCTTCACAATCAATCTGCCATTACTCTCTCGCAACATCATCTCCGCTCGTATGTACGTCTCGATATCCTCCGTCCGTGCGGAAATGGTAATGTGTCGGAAATCGTCATCCAATGCGGCCTCAATTTCCTCTTCTTCGCGACTAAAGACAGCAATCGAAGTGTTATCGGTGCAATCTGCAAGGTCTTGAACTGCTGTAGCCACATCCTCAATTTCGTCTCGGCATTCGTCGACGCCATCGAGTATGATGTAGACGTGGTCAAAGTGCTCTGACATTCGACTAATCGTGGCTCGCAACTCATCGGCATCGGGTGACTGAGTCGGTGATCGTTCTGGATGAAGCTCTTGATAATAATCCTTCAAAAGCTCAAAGGCTTCGTCCTTTTGCAAGGCGATTTGATGCGCAATTGAACCCAGTATGTTGACTGGTGAGTGGGTCGCGTCATTTTTATAGTCGCAAAAAAAGAATGCTGCACCTATTCTGCGTGGCTCAACTGAGGCTCTAGCAAGCGCTTCTTGGATGATGGCACCAGCCAGCACGGTTTTTCCTCCGCCGGGAATACCCTTCAACCATAGACGCGAGCCAGGTGTAGTGTACCATTGTTTGAGCTCTTCTGATTCGAGTAACCAAGTACCTGTGGTTGGCTGTCGCCACTTGATGCTCTGGTCTAGATTTCTTTGTGGGTTGACCCTTGGAGGCATGAAGAAATCTAAGACACTTTTTTTCTCGCTGTTTAGAAGGATCTGGACGCCAATTTCGATCTTCTGCGATGACCCCTCGAGAGATTGGTCGATTTTATCGAAACGATCAGACTGCTTTGACAGCAGTAACTGGAGTTGGCGCATAGTATCAGCGGAGGTAGCGAGGGAAATGGTATTCTTGTGTCGCGACACATCTACTAGTAGTTCCTTGGTTTCTGACGCTGAAAAGGGCCATTTCAATTGCCGCGCCACCAGTTTCAGCTTAGAAGAACCGTCCAAGTCGCCACATGCCTTCTTGAGCCTCTTCTTCACTTTTTCGAATGTATGCTCACATTGTGAAAGATGTTCCACTCTTAATGCGGTTACGAACTCTTGTCCTTGGGCCTGTAAATCGCATGCGAGTGCATGCAAGCTTCGCAGCACTGCAGAGAAAGAGTTGATCTCTTCACTGAGTCGATTTATCTCGTCTTTCGCGCCTGAGACGGTTCGGGTGTATCGGAAAGTATATCGAAAGACAGCATCTGTCAGAGAGATGATACCAGCAATGCTAGCAGCAATTGACAAAGGGTCAGCCATAATCGTTTTAGGAACGGGGAGGAAGGATAAGCGTGAATGAGGGGAAGAGGACTAGGCACATTGAAAGCAGCGAATCATTTGTATATAAACTCATCTGTATGTAAAAGTGCAATGCCCAAGGGTCTGCCTGACAGGGGCGTTGTAACCAACCAGAACCTGAGGTTCATGTTCCCGTGGCGCAAGTGGTGTCAAGTGCATATCGAGGCAATTTATGACCCGATAAGGCAGATTTTGACTGTTTCGTGAAAACCGAAATTGGATTATATGGCAAGCAAGGTATTATCGAAAAAGAAAAAGGTAAGTAGGGCAAAGATCTGTTGGAGGCGGAAGGCGGAACGGCACTTCCTTCCCCAACTAGGTACGTTGCGCGCTGTAACCCTCCAAAACGAAAGTTGGAAGAGCGCCTGGGCGGGCTGTAAGTGATGGCCCAGGACCCGAAATGCAAGGTGGGGCCCGTGCTTTCCTTATTGTGAAGGGCCCCAGCATATCTACCTAGCCCAATCTACAGGGGTACATGTTTACCATTTCCAGCGCTGTGGATTCGGAACAAGTATCACGTGTAAGGCAACGCGACAAGGCGATGCTGACAGTCCAATCCCAAGCCTAAACGTGACATATATGTCTGTGATTTACCTTCTTCGCCCATGTCCCTTACGTCAAAGCTGTCGGTTTATAGTCCAGCTAGACTTTCGCACCCTATCGAATACCGCTGCTGGGTGACGCTTGAAACCGCTCCACTCAGCTCGATGGAGAATGAGCCATTTCACACCAGACGATGTCCATGAATGGGATGAGGAAGTCTTCGCTGGGAGCGATGAATGGCTGCGCGAGACTTTCAGGTCCAAGAAAGCTGAGCTTTCCTCAACGCCCTCTTGTTTGAGAGATAGGACGACGTTTTGTGAGTTGGCCGAGCTCACACATCGTCAATACAAGCGCCACGATGATGAAGAGGCTCTGGAAAGCTCAATACAATTCGAACAAGAGGCCGTCGCATATATCAGCACTGGCTTCCAAAGAGCAAAGTGTCTGTTGACTCTTGGAGACTTGCTGTTTCTACGATTCCGTCGTAAAAAGGCTGCGAGAGATATTGAAGACGCTATCGAAGCTGCGAAACAACACGTCTATCCATATAACGGACCTCTCAAGGTCGCCAACCCTACCGAACTAGCTATGGATCCAGTCTTTGCCGACTTGGAGGAATCAATCACGATTTCCGAAGAAGCACTCGAGCTACTTCCCGAAGACTGGTCTGATCGATGGATATGGCTGAGAAGTCTGGCCCTAGCTTACTTGGCTCGTTTCGACCAGACCCAAGGCTTCGAGGATATCGACAAGGCCCTCAATATGTGCGAGCTCGGCCCCGAGGAGGACGAATGCGATCCTTCGTGTATCCTCATCGAAGGAATTCTTACCCGATTCCGCGCGTTTGGTGACGTTGCCGATTGCCATGACGCCATCCGTCTCTCCAAGATCGCATTAGATAGGAAGCTCGGTAATCCGAAAAGAGTCAGCCAATGTCTTGCTGAAGCATTCTATTACCTCTATTACTCAACTCACAACCTGGAGCACCTTGATGAGAGTATTGAGATTTCTCGAAATATTGAACCAGGTGGCCGTCACTCGGTAATCACAAGATGCCAGAGGTTCAAAAGCCATGTTCTGTACCAGAGGTATCTGCAGACGGACAACTATTCGGATCTTCATGAATCCATTACCGCCGCGGCAGGTGTGGTGCATATCCTCCAGACCCCGACACCTAAGTCTGCCACCAGTCTTTTCGGGATCCTTGCAAGTGACTGGATTGCAAAGACAGGAGTCTTCCCGAACTCGACTCAACTCTCCGAGGCTCTCGAGTGGCCAGCATATCTTCCGATATTTGAAACAAGTCGAATTCATTCTCTTCAAGAACTCGCACATCGGCACTATGAACGTTATGAGAGAAGGGCCATGGTAGGAGATCTTGAAGAAGTAATTCGTGTTTTGAGGACCATGGAGGAAATGGTACCTAGCGCCACGTTGCGTGGTCAATTGGGAAGCCGACTGAAGGATCTGTATCTGGAACTACGGTTCCCGCATTTTCTGACAGAAGCTACTGAGATCTTTCGAAAGTTGGTCAAGGGCTGTACCGAAAGTTCGGATCACATGCTATACCGTTCGCAATTGGCCGGGTCACTTGCCTTTCATCACGAGTGGACGGGACGCACAGTTGAACTGGAGGAAGGCTTCACCATCATAACAGAGATGCCGAAGCTATCAAAGGACGATGGTGAAGTTTACTGCTTACAGCTAGACGCTTTGGTCAGTCTGCACTACCAGAAATGCCGTGTTGAAGGGACTTTGCCTAATATCGAGTATACAATTAAATCCTTGAAGCAACTGTCACTATCTGGTTCCCAGTCGTACGTGAGAAAGGCTTCAACCCAGCTGGTAGGAGCTCTTCTTTGGAAGTACTGCATCACCGATGACCTCAAGGAACTCGACACTGCATTGGAAATGGCAAAACAGCTTGAGGCGTCACTTCCAAGTAGATACCCAAATCACCACAGCATCATTCGACATAGGCTAGCAATATCACTCTACGAAATGCATCTGAGGAAGCCAGCCGTTGAGCACCTCGAACAGGCTATTGAGCTTGAGCGAAAGTGCCTAGGTCCATTACATGTGACCAAACATCTGTCGAATGCCAATTTGTCTTCCCTACTTTCCGAGCTATATGCGACGACGGGCGAACGAAAATATCTTGAAGAGTCAATCGAAACCTCACGAGACACAGAACGTACTGATGGCCGGTATCATATGTGCTTTACTGGTCTCCACAGAACCGTCCCATGGATATTTGATGATTCCATGACCGACGCTATGGTCGCACAACTTGGGGAGACCGTCAGCTCAATGGAATCAACAGGCGCTGGCAAGGCAGCCTGTCTGAGTACTCTCGCATTGGCACTCAATGGTGGATCGTATGATGATACCACAGCCATTCAATATGCAAGACAAGCCCTTGCACTCGTCCCGGAGGATCACCAAGACTACCCCTGGCATATGTGCTGTCTAGTACTTTGTCTAAACACGGGGCTTGTTTTGGATGGACAGAAAAGAGCTGAACCTAGACTTCCCGTTGGAACCGAGGCTGGTGTGCTTCAAGAAATGATCACACTGGCAGAACAATCTCTCAAACTGTCGCAGCCCGACGACCCTAGCAGTCCATTCTACCTAGTAACGCTTTCCGTCGCCTTCTATCGTCGCTTTACCAGAACTGGACGATCCACTGATCTCAATGAAGCCATCCAGAACAGCCTGACTGCTTATAACTTGACGAACGGTGATATAACAGCAGATCTCTACAATAGATACATTTCTTCGTATCAACTGTTTATCTGCCTTCAAGACAAATATCTCAGAGAAGTACATTCCAGTGATCTTGAACAATCAACAGTACTGCATCAAGATTCAGAAAGCTGCAAGTCGAAGCTCAGATCAAGCCCCCTGTACCTCGAATGCCAGGAAAGGCCCGGTGAAAGCTTCCATGCTTTGCATCTTGGTACCAACAAGGAAGGCTCCTTTCGACTTGCCAATAAAGGCCGTGTGCATGCCTACCTACCGGACAAACTGGATTGCCACCCCAGCATATTTGCTCTTTCGGAGGCAAGCTTCAGCTATTACCTGCAGTCAAGTGACAGGACCTACATCTATCAAGCGCTGACCCTTTGCGATCGAGCGAGGGAGTGCATTGGAGAGGATCATATCCAGTATAAACACCATTTGCACCTTTTGGGACGTATCTACGAGAGATTGTACGAAAGGTCGCGTTCCACCGATGCCGACGACGGAGACAGGGGTGATGCCAGACATAACCTCACTACGGCGATATCGAAGTTTCAAGAGCTTCTCGGTGGCCTCGCTCAAGACGATGGGCTCCGTTACGAAACATTGTCACGCTTTGGGAAGCTACTCTCGGAGCAGCTGTATCATGATTGGGATATTGGAGACTTGAAGATGGCGGTCGAGGTTCATCAAGAGTGTCTCATACATGTGCAAGAGGGTAGTTCGGATTATGCCTTCTGGTTGATACATCTGGGACGATCGAAGAACCTTGCCTACGTACATTTTGGCAACCAAGACGATTTGGACGAAGCGCTACGTCTACTCGAGAAAGCGATGAAGTTAGACCCGAAGGACCCAGTCATCAGACGCACCTTGGTGCATAACCTTGCTGAAGCATACCGCTCAAGGTTCAAAGTTACTAGTGATCTTCTAAATATCAGTACCATAGTCAAGATCTATCAGGATGCTGTTGACTTGTTCTCCGGCTCACTCGATAAGATAAAGCTGATGACATGGCTGGGACATGCGTATCTTGACAAATACCAGCAGACGAAGGTCTTGGATGATTCAAGTTCAGCTCTAAGCAACTTAGAAGAGGCTTTGAAACTCCATAGCGGTTACACTGAGGACACAATACGAAGCTTGATTCTTGAAGGTCTTATCAAATGTCATCTCGCACGGAATCGCTATACTGGAGGCATGGAGGAACTAGACACAGCCATAGTGTACGCACAGCAAGCTTCTCAGACAATGCGTTCTGGTAATCCCCATTTCAACAACACATCTGGCCTCCTAGGACTTGGCTATGCTACCAGATTCGAGACAACTAGATCCGAAGATGACATTCGACTCTCGGTCGAATCAGACGGGAAAGACTTCTGGCATTCTATGTCAAGTCCCAATGTTTCCAACCGACTGGACATTGCACAGAGACTACTCAAGTCCTACGCCAAAGTTAAAAACTGGCAGGAAGGTTTCAAAGTTTCTACATACATACTGGAGTCGATCCCCCAGTACACACCGCGATATCTCTCACCTTCAGACGCTCAAAGTCTCTTGGCCAAGATCAGTGGTCTAGCATCCATAGCAGCAGCATTTTCCATCGAAGTTGGTAATGCAGGTCAAGACACCCTCCATCTTCTTGAACAGGGTCGTGGTGTATTTGCGGATTTTCTGTATGATCTGCGGGTTGACTTCAACGATCGGCGATTTCAGAATCTTAATCCCAACTTTAAGCAAAAGTTCAAAAGCGCCCTTGATCAACTTGGGGATCCAGCAAACAAAGGAGCGACTCTTTCTGAGAGAATGACCGCAAGCAAGAATTTCAATGGGCTTCTTTACAACTTCAATATATGGCAACAAAAATACCGCCTCGGTACCGAAAACGCGAATTTCGCGGTATTCACCAAGGTTGGACCTATTGTTGTTATCAATGTCAGCCATCGATGCGATGCCTTCTTGATAAGAAACGTAACAGTTGATGTGTTGCCTTTACCCCAACTCTCTCAAGGCGAAATCGACAGGAAGCTCAAGAGTGGACACCTCGGGAGTACTGAGATTTTAGAGTGGCTTTGGGATACAATCACTGGGCCAATTCTGGAGAAGCTTGGTTACACGGAACAGCCTGCTGGTGAAGACTGGCCAGAGATCTGCTGGATTCCAACAGGAGCATTGAGCCGGTTCCCATTGCACGCGGCAGGCTATCATACCGATGGCTCTGGAGACACTGTTTTGGACAGAGTCATATCGTCTTACAGCTCTTCCATCAAGGCAATAATGGAATCTCGGTTGGAAGCCAATAAACCACCGTCCGCAAAGGCAGTCATGGTCGCTATGCAGAATACACCAGGCTCCAATGCGAGTTTGCCCTTTGCGCAAAGTGAAATATCGAAAGTCCAAGGTCTTTGTGAGTCAATGGCTCTCACGACTGTTGAACCCGACAGGACATCGCGGCAGGTGCTTTTGGAATTGAAGGATTGTCAAATTTTCCATTTTGCTGGCCACGGCAAGACAGATGAGACGAACCCTTTGAAAAGTGAGCTGCGTCTAGATGATTGGCAGACACAACCTCTCACAGTCGCTGACTTGCTGGATCTCAACTTGCGAGAGAACCCACCCTTCTTGGCATACCTCTCAGCCTGTGGTACGAGTCGCATCCGAGATCAGCGATTACTGGACGAAAGTCTGCATCTTATCAGTGCATGTCAACTAGCTGGATTCAGGCATGTCGTCGGTACATTGTGGGAAGTTGAAGATGAGGCTTGTGTTGAGGTTGCTGAGAATGTGTATGGTCGGATTAGAGATGATGGTATGAGTGAAGGGTCGGTTGGAAAAGGTTTGCATGATGCTGTGCGGAAGCTTCGTGATACTTGGTTGCAACAAGGTGTGACGCGAGGCTCTGGGGAAAAGCTGGGAGTGAGAGAGGGAAGAGATATTGTGGCTTGTGATGATGAGGGAGATGGTTTTAGACCGGCACTTTGGGCACCTTATGTGTATTATACGAGTAGATAGCTTCTACTCTCCAATTTAGCAATTCCATTGTCCAATGTGGCAGAGTCCTGCAAGCTGACTCTAGAAGTCACGAAGGTAATCACCAACGAAGGGCCTGTCAGGCTTCATGACTTGATCAGCAATATCCTCAGCGCCAAATATCTTCGCCAAGTTCTTGGCTTGTTCACTAATCTTGCTCTCAATAGTCAAAACCAAAAAGCGATGCTATCAGGGTCAGCCAATACTGTTAAACTGAACACGAAAATGAACATACCTGATACGGGATGTTCATCTTATCATGGAGGGCAAGCCAGCGACCTTCCCCGCTCTTGTTCTTCTGACCGTACTGGAACTGGCGATCGATACTAACAACCCAAGAGTCTAATTGCAGAGTTAGCAACTAATCGATGTGAGGTAATCACACACGTACCGCCCTCCTGCCGAGCACCAGGACAGTTTCTGTTGAAATCTTTGTAGAAGCGGTCCTGGATAAAGATCAAGACGTCGGCGTTATCCTTAGACTGGTTGCGGGCTTTGACAACATAGTAGCGCGCGGTGCGGGTGCGCCGAGCTTGTTGCCATTCGAGCTCGATGGCGTTGTTCTCTGCCTCCTGGTTGTAGACCGGGATGGTGAGGACGTCGCCTTTATTGATAGACATTATAAGAGAATTGTTGATCTAGAAAGTATAAATTAAGTGACATTTATATGGTAAAAACGATCGTGGGAGGGGTTTAAGTCAAACACTTGGCCGATCTGATCTCATGACTTTATGATTCTATATCGAGCTTCGAGGGCCTCTCTTGTGGTTGTGCTGAGACACAGGTGGATATCTAGCGCTGCATACTGATCAATAGCGTTGCCAATTCTCAAACTATCGAATATCCACTCCCACATATTGACTTGGATGTTTAAGAAGTTTGACTTTACCATTCCTCTGGACCAGCTGAACTAAATCATAGGCATTATTACGCGACGAGTTCATAGCGTTTTACCCATTTTGAAGGATTGAGGCTAGCTGACCGTCCGTTGAGTTTGTTCTGGGCCCATGCGTGTCTCGGCCCGCCCTAGCCCGCAAATAGTTCGCGCGCTATTACCATCCCCATATCAGCTTAGCGAGGTCTAGAGTTCCAGGGTGTGGCTGGGTATTGAGCTCCTCACTTTCCTGAGAACGGACCTCGAGATGCTATGGTACAACATCGAACGGTAGTGTGTTTGATTGACTGTGATACCACGTGCATCAACGGAATGAAGAATTGCCCCTGTGGAATAAAATAAAGAGGGCGAAACTAAATTTGAGGAAAGTCATGCCTCAACAGTTCACACCAGGGCTGGAATCTGTCGGTGCACTGGTGACTTAGAACAGCGTTCGTTTTTATGTTCCACAACAACCTTCGGTCTGGGTCCAAATCAAAGCGCTGATCTTATTCTATTGTAATTCAAGTTTCGTTTTATTTCTACGTTAATTGCCTCAGATCCTTTCCTTTTCCAACAACGAGCTCTGCTTCATTTGTGATGATTGAAATTATTTTTACGTTCAGGGTAGGCGGGAGCGGAGAAAGGTTGATCCTCGGGCTGGAATCCCGGTCAGCCGAGCAAAGATACCGGCCTATACCTCATTGGTCAAATTGCCGAATGATATAAACCTAAATCACAACCTTGTACTCTAACAAAACAGCTTGGTACTGTGGTCTAGTTGGTCATGACATCTCGTTAACACCGAGAAGGTCCCCGGTTCGAGCCCGGGCAGAACCTCATTTTTTGCATTTTGTAGAACTGTATCGTAATTGTGCAACCTTTTTCTCAACAACGGCTCTCAATCCAACTACCTCTGGTTTACTCTTTAACAACGCTTATTCAAAACTGTAATATGTAGTTCAATCACAGCAAGCCTCAACTCTTGTCTGAATTTTATTTTTACTTTTTATAGTAGATACTCGATATTGTATTGTGTATTTATAGCAGTAATGCCAGAGAGAAAAATGTAGTCTGCAGTGTTGTCGTTCACAAGCGAATGATCGCCGAAGTGATGTTTCCAGGCTTGGAGCAATCAGCCTCCAAACTCCACCAGTCTCACGATAGCCAGCAAAGCAACAGACCAAAATCTGATATAAGTCCAAATGGCCCATTTTCGTCTTCGCGTCCTGCAATGATGCCAAATACCAGGTCCAAATAAGCTTAGATCGGCCATAAGCCCGTCCCAACACCGTGGCTAAGTGATCAGCGCTTACCGTCAGATTGGGTCGCCGCATTCAACTACAATAGGTTCGGTCGTGCCTTTTCTTACTTCTTACTTCCTTTTTCGGTTAAAGACATTAGCTTGACCGGCGACTCCAGAGACGTCATCTGCTCTTTACTCGCTGTTTCGCTTTATGGTGTCGCTCGCTGGTCGCTGGTCGCCCCTGCCTATTCTGCACTTTCCTCTCCTCTCTTTAATTCTGGGTCACCTCTTTTCAGAAATCTCCGGCTGCACGGCAGTTTGTCACTGTTTTTTGTATCTCCAAGACCTCGTATAAAAACATTGTATTTCGACATGAATATCCTCCACGAATTCGACACCGACGTATTCGGACTAGTGCGCGGCTACGAAGGTACTCGGTTCGTTGAGAACTTGGCACTGGAGCGTGTTACAAAGGACGTGGACTACTTCGAACTCTCAACAGGTAGGATTGTGCGAGTTAATGAGAGCGAATGATGATTAATTCAATGCGATGTAGGCACAAAGTTCGACCCTTGGAGTAATCCATCTCCATCTCTCATCTTCGTCGTCGAAGGCCAAGTCACGGTTACGATACCGGATAGCATCTCATCATCCCCAAGCTACGCTTCCCTACAATCGAAAGGCCAAGCTGTTTCCAAGACTCTCAAGCGAGGCGCGTGTCTGAACCCAACATCGCACATACTCGCCATCCTCTCACGCGGGGAAGGCAACGATGAGCCAATACTGCCCAGGTTTGGAGAAGCAAGAGTGCTGTACGAGGCCGCCACAGACTTGAAGCTCTGCCGAGTCAATCTCGGCCAGTCGGGAAGCATCTCCGAAGATGTACGCTCTCCTATAATACAAGGGCTCTTGCAGAAGCTATTTCTCGTCACGCTTCCTGTTTCCGAAACACATTTTGGCCTACGAGACCAAGTACTCGACTGCGAATCGAAGATGGCCTCTCTCCACAGCACTTCAGCTTACGAAAATCCCTTCAACGATTCTGTACCCTCGAAAACTTATTACGACGACAAAATTCCAGAGTCACCCGCTAGTTCATCACGCGGTGGAACCCCAGATCCGTACGACGATAAGCCCGCCAGACGCCGTGCACCCTCAAATCTATCTACTGCTTCTACCTCAAGACCACAATCGATGTTGGGGTCCGATCTGTACAAGGAAGCTCAGCTCCCTCTCGTCAAGAGCCGAAGCAACCCGAACCTCAAGTTGATGATCAATACTGAGAAGGTACAAAATTCAGCAGCTGATGACAGTAAACTTGGAGTTTTCAAATCACAGTCTATTCTTTCTAAGACTGAACGCAAACGCCAAAGCATCCCACACTTTGAAGGAAAGAGACCCGATAACAAACGCATACGAGCACAAACCGCAGGACGAATGCTCAACATGCTGATGCATCCGAAAGGCTTCAACGTCAGAAATAGCATCTACGTAGATGGAGCGATCATGGACGAAATTGAATCCAGTATTGAGGTCTTGTCATTTGGACAAGGAGAATACATCGCACACAGAGGAGAACGATATCCTGGCGTTTGCCTCGTGATAGATGGTGCAATAGAGGCCTGTACCGGGGATGAGATGAGGGCGACCTCTGCAAGGGTAAGGGAAAGCTGGTGTGCTTTAAATGATTAAGTGCTGACAGATCCCAGCAGATGCTCCCGTTCAAGATTGGACCAGGTGATATAATTGGACACAGCAGCTTGGTCCATAATAACAAGTCTCAATTTGACTTCAGGGCCATACAAAAGACAACAGTCGGCCTCATACCGAGGCCGTTCCTTCGGAGGTTGACGGACTTATGCCCTCAGATTCTGGTGGTATTGGTCGCCAAGATGTATGATTGTCTGCCTCCTTTGATCTCTCTAATTGACTTTGCTCTGGATTGGTCGACCGTCAAAGCGGGAGGAGAAGTATATAAGAAGGGGGAGAACAGGTAATATTCCCCAATCCCCCATTTGACGCTGGAACTCTTTGCCTAATGGATCTAAATAATAGTGATTCTATTTGCTTCGTGGTAAGAGGCCGTGTCCGGATCACTGAAAAGGGACCAAGCGATATGGATGCCCATATCAAGGAATACGGCCCAGGAAATCCCTTCGGAGTCCTCGAGTTCCACACAAACCGTCCCAGGTCATGTACAGCTCACGCAATCCGGAAATCAGAGATTGCGAAGTTACAGAAAGCATCTTACCAAAAGCTTGTGAACTACGCTCCAGAACTGGGATCTCGACTCTGGGGAAGCATCGCTCAAGCACCACAAGATCATCAACAGAGCGTACAAGGGTTAGATTCCACTCGGCTTCGGACTATTGCCGTGTTCCCGCTTTCGCTCGAAGTCCCAGCTGCCAAATGTGCAACGCTCCTGTCTTCTGCTCTGGCCAGACTCGGCATTTACGAGAAGGACACTGTATCGTTGGTAGAGTCGCATAGTGTGATCAGCGCGGTCGGAAGTACTGTCTTCACTGATGCTGGTAACAAACATCTTGAGGACTACGTGGGGCACGTTGAACAAAACTCAGATCTCACTATCTTGATTGGAGAGCATTCGGTTGACTCGACCTGGAACGATATCTGTATCGCGACGGTGAGATACCCAATAATCATTCTGTCTGGACATGACTAACAGTTTGTGTAAAGGCTGATCTGATTATTCTCATGGCCATGGACGATTGCGACCCGCGAATCACTCCGGTTGAGCTAAAGCTTGAGAGACACGGGACGATGGCTCAGAAAATATTGGTTCTCGTTGATGACGGTGAAGACGACTTTTGTCCGCAAGCAATCACAAGACCATATATTCAGGTAGGTTAGAACCAGGCTGAGCCAAAACAGAGTTTTGCTAACATCCCTATAGGAACGGCCATGGCTGTCTGAAGCCACTTCCCACATCGAAAGAACCCGCCTCACCAGTGTTGACTCTTGTCGAGACTTTGAGCGCTTGGCCCGTCGTATTACGGGACGCTCAATCGCTGTCGTGTTCGGCGGAGGCGGCGCACGCGGTTTCGCTCATTTGGGCACACTTCAAGCGCTTGAGGAAGAAGGTATACCGTTTGACATAGTCGGCGGCACGTCGATGGGCGCGTTTGTCGGCGCGCTATACGCAAGCCACATGTCGATTGATCGAACCGTTGAGGCAGCCAAGGCTTTTAGTAAAGTTTCACGCTGGTACCGTTATCTCTTCGATTTTACTATGCCCATATTGGCATGGACGTCAGGCTCATCATTTACGAACCACGTGTCTTCGGCTATGGACCAGGATCTGGATTCGAGTGATCTGCGACTAGCGTTTTATTGCAACGCTACGAATATGAGTCAAGGTGGTCAAAGTTTGACGATGTACCCTCAGGCACGTTCCCTTTGGCAAATGGTCCGAGCATCAATGAGTATCCCGCCGATCTTCCCGCCGTTTGCTGTTGAGGGAGAAGGCGATATTCTTGTTGATGGTTGCTTTTCAGCAAACGTTCCTGTATTTCCGGCACTGTCAATGGGGGCCGAGATTGTCCTGGCCTTTGATGTGTCGAACATGGGCGGTGCACCACCACCTCAGACGTTAGGTCAATCAGTGTCCGGATGGTATAACCTTACTCAAATGATATTTCCGTGCGCAAGTTCGCGTAAGCCGCATAAGAGCTCACCTTATAGTGCTGTCGGGACCGATGGCAATGTCTGGGGGTCGCTACAGTTATTGGAACTCATTACCTTCTCAACAAACACCAACGAGATCAAAGCTATCCAGAATACACCACAATGTCTGTACATGTTGCATGATTTGGATAAGATTGGAACATTTGACATGGAGAAATTTGACAGTATAAGAGAGATGGGATATGAAGGTGCAAAGAAATGGTTACGGGAGGTGAAGACTTCGGGAAAGTTGGATCATCTGGCACTGCCCCGAGGTATCAAGGATGGAGATAGATAACTCCTTCTTGCATTTTCAGCTTAATGATAGAGTTTAATAGAGTGTCGACATGAACCTGGAGCTTGGTCCACAGCTTATCTCGGCATTGAAGGTTCCCCACACGGCAGAGACAGAGATTGCTAATAATAGAACTGTCAAAGCGGAAGTCCGGACCCTTTGATTGGTCAACAAAGTTAACTTCTCCCTTTTCCCAACCATTATGGACCATCTATCAACCAATTACTGTGCCTCACTATCAATTTTCATTCCAAGGGACCGAGCGCAAAATCAACAGCCTCACTTTTTCTCTCATCGCCATTTCTCTCCCTTGGGCTTGGGGAGTAAGCAACTCCTGTCCGACTCCCCGATAGCTGCAGTACTCAATTCATGTCACTGTCACATCATTAAATGCATCTTTCCCACTGATGCATACTAGAGTTCGTTTCAAGGGGTTCACTACACGTCTACTGCGGGGAAGATAACGAGACCTATTGGCCAACAAACGAAGCAAAAAGGTAAGAGCTCGAGCCAGAGATCCGCTCGTCGAAGGATTTCCCCTGCATGACAAAGCCATGACTAAGAAACTGACATACATAGAACACACTGCGATGCGATGCGCTCAAAGCATCGCGTTCTCGTCTCGGCGCCCATACCAAGTCAGGTGCCGCCAGAAGTCGTCCTCGCGCACATCCAAACCTTTACGCCTCTCCTAAAACACAATGCCGTATTCACCAGCTTCTCCGAGATCCCACCCGACACAGCGCGCGTGCACAGCGAGCCCTTTTTCGGGCCGCCAAACAGCAGCGTGCGCAGTTTTCTATGTTTCCAGCGCTTAGAGCTGGTCGCGGGTCTAGCGCAGAATGAGACTTGGCCCATTACTTTTCTAAAAATTCACAATGGTGTGAGAGCGCGCGTTGATGCGAGAGCGAGTGTTACTGTGTGGATAGAGTGTCTTGTGAGACAAGCGCAAGATCCGGGGACGCCGAGTAGTAACGGGACGTTGACGGAGGAGTGGGAGTTGTTTGAGGAGGTTGTTGTTGAGTCGCATGGGTTGCTTATGCCGTTTGTTTCGAGGATGACTGAGGTGGCGCATACGGGGATATGTCAGAGGATTATGGATGATATCGTTGAAAATAAGTACAGTGGCAAGGTTTAAGGCGTTATTAATATTTTGTATATCTAATGAGATTCATCGCAGAGTATTGCGATTTTACGTCCACTTTGGCAGAATGAGAACGGTGGTTCTGTTATGAGATATTATACACAGGAGCTTCTCAAGGAAGTCTTGATTTTGCCTCATTTTGTGGTATTTGATAAATACTAGGGCCACAAAACTAACGTGTCCGGAATAAAAATGTATTCACTATCTATAAAGACCCGGATTACCAGCTTTCATATCTGAGCGAAGATCTATGAAATTGTTAAATGAATCTCCAGTAACCAATAAAGAATGGTGTAACCACCTGCGACTAGGACAGCCACTACGACTGTCAGTGCCGACGAGGGAAGATTTATAAGCTTATTGAACCAGCCGTCAAGGTGTCAGAAGAATTGGCCGCCGAGAGCATAAGAGATGAAATACTTTAGTCACCTTGTGCGAAGTTAGGCTGGGTTTAGGCTACTTTATTTCTGTACCCCAAGCCTTAGAGGACAATTCTTCTGACATCCACCTGCCAGCCTCGACTGACTAATCATTGATCTTGCCGTCATGGGTAAGATCATAGTAACCATCCCTGCTGTAGACAATCACTCCAATAGGAACAATCGCCTCATCGCGGTAAACGACCGACTCTGGATAATTCACCGAACCCCCGTCTTTTCTGAGAACAGCCTCAACCTTGAACAAGAAAGCCATCAGTATAGGAAGCACGGAAAGTAAAGAGGTATGGTTCTTACACTGTCAAAACCTGGATCAGGACCAGTTCTGACTGAATCCGCCTTCTTTAAGAACTGTTTCACTCCTGGAACATATCTAACTACTAGAATCATTTCGAGGCTGCCAGGGCAGGCATTGTCCTGAAACATATCCGCTTCTGGAACCAGGACCATCAGTAGCATATATCTTTGAGGGTCGGACTTACCTACTGAACGAGCTTTTAGATATATATATCCCTCGCCCGAACATCCCGACTCCTACTAACGTTAGTCTTGTATCACTTCAACAGAATGATTACTGACCTGCATGTGCCATTTTGAATGATTTGCGGATTATTCCACAGACACCACAAATGTCATCACCACAGCATTTGAGATGACCATTTTCCAATCCGTTCTTAGGATCTCCAATGTGGCATTCCCGGTTCGTTCCATGAAAGGCATGCTCCCAAATACCACCATGATGGGACAAATAATCGTCGAAACGTCGGCCGCGGTGGGTCCGGTCAAGGTCGGCTTCCCTGACGTAGTATATATCTTTGATTTGAGGTACCAAGTTCCCGGACTCCTCCCATGTCTTCATAAATTCTCTCTTGACTGGTCTGTTAGTTCTCAGGTAAATGCTTCCTGCTAGTGAGGGGACTTACGGTCCCTGAATAGTATCTCCGACTTGGAAAGTCGGTACAATTTCTTCCAAGTTTCAGTTCCAGCCCGGCTTTGGATATGTTACAAGTGAAGAACTTACTGGTCCACCCATGTTTGTCACGTAAACCAGAGGCGATTTTGTGGCGTAGGGATTGGTGTGGTAGTACTATAGAAAACCTTCGGCTTGGATGTGTTAATATTGCGTTGCGGTAGATCTAGAAATGGCGAGAATACATGCGCCGAACAGGCGTCTTTATACTGGCAAAGCGCCATTGAAAGTGATAGGAAAATTTTCATTGCTTCTGTAAAGGTATCTGAATAACAGGCCGGCCTTGGGAAGTTGGTATGACCTTGACCACGTCGCGTCACAAGAGTATAGATACGCAATCCTTCAATAACAACAGAAAGTACGATCAGCGAAAGAAAGGAATATCAAGAACATATACCCACAAGTACAAAACGGAATCACCCCACCATGCCAACTACTCACCTCTCAGCCGACACTTTCCACAATCCAATCATAATCGCATACCTCCCAAGTTTGGTGATGATATGTCGTGGCTCCCAACAAATCATCACCAACCGACCAACATGCCAGCCCCGGCTAGAAGCCCCAAAGTCACACCAAACAAACTGACGACACCACTTCTCTGAATGCCTGCAGCAGCACTCTCGTCAGAAGAAGTCGTCTCGGCAGCGGTTGTCTCGCCTGTAGCAGTACTGTCGGCTGTAGCAGTAGTGGTCTCACCATCCCCATCACCACTCTTCCCTTCGGCATCCTCCTCCTTATAGATCAAAGTCACGGCGGGTACAAAACTACCATACGAGAACAAGGTTAACTCGTCCGGACGAGCAGTCGCTATTTTGGTGCGCGTAGTGACTGTAGCGCTCTCGTTGGGTATGTTTGAGATAAGTCCGACTGTTTTTGTCGGCCCCACGGATACAGTCACAGTAGTCTGATCGCCGTCATATCCGGACTCAACATAACAGACCTCTCGAGACCCTGGGTAGGACATAACGGGAGCGATCATGGATCTGCAAAAACCATAAGTGTCTCCGATATAGCTACTACAAGAAGAGTCAGTCTCGCAGTGATTCATTGATAAATCGTGTTGTACATACGTCGGGCAACAGACCGCCATTGTTTCAGACCTGTCCAGAACGTTCTTCCAAAAGTCTGTTGGTTGAAGCGGCTGTGCCTCTTCGTCAATACCATAACTCTCCGGGTCTCCCGATACCGTCAACACGCCCGAGATGCCAAATTGACCAGTGCTACTACCATGCTTCAGCAGTCCCACAGTTTCCCAACCTTTGGGACAAGCTATGCCGGGAGAGAAATACTGGTATGCGCCATGGACAAACTTTGTTGTCTGCTTCTTCTCGGATTCCCACTTTTCTCCGCTGGGATAGCAGTCTCCAAAGGGCTTCATGGTGCATGACTCCGCTACTTGATAGGGAAAGTGAGGCGACGTCGCGTTGGCGAAGATCTGGTGATCAGATTGGGTAGCGCATGATGAGGGTGCGGTGAATGTCGTCGTTAGAGGACCAAGGTTGAGGGCACTGACGCCAAAGAACCCTGTGCTGGGCATCTTGGTAGGCGTCGCTATTATCAATCTAAAGCCTGTATCACGAGCAATAGGTATGCATTGGAAGAGGTTGATCCGAGTCACAGGCCTACCTTTTATGAAACAGATCGGCTAAAATGCCACGATTCAGCCTTGCAAGTCGGCTAGAGTCGAGAAGAGGCACAGCATAAGTCATTTCGCTTGGCCGACAAAATGGTGTGTTTAGCGCGCATATTTTCTTAACAAGCAACCAATTGAGGAAGAGAATTCCTAGTCGCGACAAAGGAACCCTGGGCGAAAATCACGACGGGAATCGGGGTTTCTCCATGGGGATAAGTTTAGGATTCGATGTTCAAGGTTAGTGATCCTTCTCGCACTGGCGGAGTGCGAGCGACTCCTAGCCGACTGCAAGGGACGGTGACGTCGTGGTAAAAGCCAATTGGCTCGTGAACATGGGGCGAGTGCACCTTCCTCCGATCGAGAAACATGCAACGGGGCAGTGGGCACGGGTAACTCGCTTGTTCGTCTCCATCGAAAGTGCCGACTTAATGTGAGGTAAGAATCAAAATTGGCGCTATTCAGATATAGATAAATAGGGTGTTTTTATCTCGCCTCAGCAAACTCCATCCACAGACTATCTCCCAACACCTTTTGCAACAGCTCACCTTCAGTCCCAAACACAACCTCGATACCACCATCAGGTAAGGTCGGCAAAACAACATGGCATCCAGGAAGGATACCCGTGTTTGGACAACGAATAGCCTCCACTCTGTTTCCCAATAGGCTTCCCCATTCCACAGTTGCTAGGTTGAACTCAGCCCAAGATGTCTGCACTGAAGTATTGCCCAGCACATCGAGAAATGCTGTTGGGGCCAGTCTGGTAACATCTTCAAGCTGATCGACAAGCGTGACAACGTCGTCGGTGAATTGATTATCAAGCCGCAGTAGCATTTCCTTCCGGATTAGAACAGCCAGATCAGCCAGGTTCATACTGCCCAGTATCTGGCGAACAGGTGCAGAGACAGCGATGTACTGCAAGAAGCAACCTAGCGTCTCAGGGTGCAGCGGCGGGTCCATACGCTTTCGACCATCTACGGCGATGCTAAAGACGGAGATTGGATCCTCACTATCTTTGAGATCCTCGATTGGAGCCTGAACGACGATGGCAGTTCGCCACATGAGAGCTGAGAAGGCGTCGTTGGTAGAAATCCATTTCTGGTCCGTGGGTTCGGTAGTATTGACAGGCGATGCCCTAGCCTTGAGGGCCTGGAGCGATGAAGGCGAAAAGTAAAAGACCTGTCCACGAAAGGTTGAACTCAGCATGGCTGGAGACGGCCCCGGGGGAGTGAAGGGAAGAATAGTGTACTCAGGGTGGTCCTCGGCTCGTCCCTTATTATGGCCCGAGGGCTTTGAAACGCGTTGCCTATCGGATATCATGGCGTCCTCGATCACCAACGGAGATGGTACTGGGATTCCCTGGCAGCGACGACATTCTTCGGCCCAGATCTTGGTCCAAACAAGGTACGTGGTAGCATCGCCAACCATATGGAAGATGCACCATCCGATAAGAACACCGCCTTCAATAAAGTTGGCCTGCACCAGAGATATTGGAACCGGCTTCCCTGCCTCTGGCCAAATAGGTCCAGGCATAAGCAATTCGCTGTCGAAAGCTTCGAGAGGAAAATGATTCTCCTTGAGCTGCGCATAAGTCCAGGAATACTGCCCTTGCCCTCTCAGATCCCTGGTGGTCATTTTTCCGATCTGATCGTCGGGAAGTCTCTGTAACTTGAGAAGATTGGCCTGTTTTGCATCACTGTCTGGTACAGCTTCCGACGCCAAGACGCCGATCCGATGACACGCAGCTTTGTAGCTATCTTGAAGAACTTTCAAGACTTCATCGCGGTCGTAATTCTCTGCGAGACGCATAGGAAACACATAGCGTAGATAGCCCCGTGGACCAACACGTTCCAGGGCTGTCAGGTCCGGAACATCGCTTAGAGATAGCATTAAAGGCATTTTGGCTGCAGAGGAGCGTGCGATACAGCTGGGTGAGGCAGCGTATGGAATAATACAGAATAAAGATTGCAGGGTACGCTGCAGGTACCAGAAGAGCTGACACTTAAAACTCTTGACAGGAAGAAGGTGATAAATGTAATAAAATAGTGGTTGTCTGGGCAGTGTCCAAAGTCAAACTGAGAGTGGCGTCGAATCCATGGTCTACATATCTAGCAGGCTCACAACTTCTTAATAGTACTGGCCTCACCCAATTCATAGTCTAACGCTGCAACAAAGCAGGGGATTGAGGGAATTCAGCTCAGGGTTCTAGTTACCCGGGCGAATCAGAGACAGATAGGAACAAAACCCTGCTCCATAACATTCTAGATACCAAGAGTGATGCATTACATTAAAATCTCCGCACCAGTTTCAACAGAGCCAACAGCATAACAATAGGCGGTTCAACTAGCCATTGTGAGAAGGTTGCGCTGTGCTGTTGGTTCTTAGTGTAATGGCCGGAGGAAGGGTATCATTCCGGGCGGGGCCAGTCGCGGAAATAACGCATTTTGTTGGTTCACACTGCTTGCTCTGTGAAATTAGGCGAGATATACCCTGAAGTTCATTACCTTGTCTGGAAATGGAATAAACAGCCAAGTCGGCCGTACAAGGTATTCATGTCCAACAACTACTGTCATCATACGATTTCTGGTAAGGGAGAAGCGGCACAGCATACAAGGTGCTGATCGCCCACCAGAATGCCTTGTTAGGGCAGAGTTCAAAAGTAGAGGGGGTGCTGCAGTTCCTGCTATTGCTTAATAGAAAACTTGGGTCATATGGAACAAAGCACAAACAGTCTCAGAAGCTGGGGACAAATACTAAACTCATTTCCATTACCTACCTATTGATCTTAGCTTTGTTCCCGCGGTCAGAATTAACTCCCATGAAACCCATTACTGCACCTGTTCTCGTGTCTTAGACATATTGTTTGCTTCTCCAATGGCTTTGCTTACCTCGTGATTCGCATTCCCTTTTCCTTCCCAAACTCTTCTCTTTTACCCACCAATGATGAACTCTACCGATCCTCGAATTATTGCCATTGCGGGCCTACCACCGTCAGACATCGACCTCGACGCCAACACTGCCGCCTCGGATAGAGCGGCCATTATCACAGTACTTATCCTAGCTTTACTGGCTGTCTCACTACGATTTACCGCAAGAACCATCCAACGAACCAAGATACATCGGGATGACTGGGTTATTATTGTGTCGATGGTGTTGGTCACAGGGACTGCTGGCCTAGCCATTGCCGGTAAGATATTTATGCAAATAGTTACGTCGAAGCCAGCTCATAGACTATAGGTGGCTTTTATGGAGCTGGGAAACATATTTGGGCAGTTGAGATGGAGGACCTGGAACAAATCTACAAAGTAAGTCAGATATACTTTCATTGCTCCCCCATAGCTAAGATTGCATAATAGATCCTGTTCGGGTACACATTTCTATACTCAGCCTCTTGCGCAATCATCAAGATTTCTATACTCTTATTCTACAGTCGAATATTTCCTACAGCAGAACCTTTCTTCCAGATCTCAACAATGTTCGGCTATTTTCTGTCCATCTCATATCCAATTGTCGTTTGGGTTACGATGGGCAACGTATGCAGGCCAATCGAACACTTTTGGACACAGTTCCGTGGTACAGAGGGGACATGCATCGACATTAACAAATTCTTTCTAGCCCTCGGGATTGTCAATATGGTGAATGACTTCTATATCTTGCTCATACCTATTCCGCAAATATTCCAGCTACAGATGTCTATGAGAAAGAGATTGGGCATTACTGGCATCATGATGCTGGGTGGCTTGTAGGTGCATCACTGTCTTGATTTGATACTATCCATTAACTCATGCCTCCAGTGTGTGTGCTGCTAGCGTCGTACGCATCCACTTCTTGAACGAGCTCACCAAAACGGTAGATTTGACGAGAGCCATGGGACCTGTGTTTATTTGGTCTGATCTCGAGCCGTGCATTGCCATTGTGTCGGCATGCCTCCCGCACCTTGCACCTCTACGACATGTCATTCGCGATAGAATATCTTCTACATTTGGGAGTCAAAGAGAGAGTGGTACTGCTAATAGCGCCAACAATCTGGGAGGTAGAGGGCCGAGTTCCAAAGGTCCCATGTTTACTTACGGTGGATCAAGGTATTTTGGTCGTGGAGACAAATTAAAGCTTGGAGACAATGACGATGAGGTTGAGTTGACAGGACTTGGGACAGCTGTGTCCAAAACCTGCAGACAAACGTCATCAATGCCCAGCTCTGCGGAAGATATTAGGTAGCACAATCTATTATCAACTGAAGGTTCTTCGTGGTTCACAGTATTTCAGGAACATGGCACCAACAGTCTCAGGAATTGGCTCTGAACATAGGTCAATGATACCTTCCTCTGACCCAGACACATGCAACGGGCGAGTGGGAATGGGTAGGTCGCGTATTTATCTACCGACAAATGGTACATAGAACCCTACCGTATACCTTCCTCCCTTGCAACCTGATCATCCGTATAACTATCCCTCACCCTCTCAAGATACTTATCAAACTTCCTCGAAATCTTAATAACATGTTCCAAATGCCGATACGTCATACTCTCGTTTTTGAACTTGGCCAATTGTCTCGCCGTCGTGATCGCATTCCGAATCTGCCGCCCGTTCATCTGCTCCTCTGCCAAATCCGCCAAATGTCGTTCGATGTCATCAAAGTCAATGCCTGGATCCTGTTCCAATTTACGCTTTCGGTCCGTGATCGGCTGAACCACCGTGCTCTCCTGCTCGAGTGCGCTCAATCGATCAAGGAAGTTCTCCCAGATGCTCCTTCGCTGTGATTTGATCAAGCTCTCGTAATGCAGGGACAGCTGAATACGGGACTTGAAAGCTTCATCGAAGGTGCCCACTCGGTTTGAGGTGAGAATCAAGATTCCCTCGTAATATTCAAGAACTCTCAAAAACACAGAAACAAGAGCATTGCGCTCAAGGTCTGTCAAAGTCCGCTGCTCTAAGAAGACATCGGCCTCATCGAGTAATACAACACAGTCCCATATCTTACCCAGATGCAGGACTGACTCGAGGTACTTTTCAACTTCTTCTGGCTTGGTACCGATATCACCACAGGTCACACGGAATAGGGGCTTCTCAGCTAGCTCGGCGACACTCTCGGCGGTGAACGTCTTACCAGTACCCGGACCCCCATGCAATAGTATGATTAGTCCGTTGCCTTTGCCCTGTATGAAATCTGTCGTTTGGTCTGTGGCCAGCTTACTTGTAACGAGGGCTTGGATGATATCTTTAATCTCTTTGTCAATGACAAGATGTCTGAAGGCTTGCTTGTTCCAATGCACTGGCTGGATATAATCGACATGAAGATCCTCTGTTTAGTAAGTCAGTACAACGGGGCCTTGAGCTTTGGGTAGACTAAGGGCAGAGTGCTCACGCCATTTCTTTTGGCGAAGGTTGTATCCGACAATAGTACTGGGGAATACAAACGACTCAGAACCTTGAGGCATCTGCTCACTATCCATGATAGATGCATCCATCTCTTTCCGTTTCCAGCTTCCCAGTTCCGGATATGCCTCTGTGAAGTTCTTCGAGTCTGAATGAAGTTGCTTGTATGTGTCAAAATCCATCATGTATCGTTCTCCTTCCTAGCGCCTGTTAGCACCGGTGATTCCGAGTCAAGTTCTGCCACTCACACCAACCGTATTGCCGTCAATTACATGATTGTAAGTAACCAAGTTCCTTTTCCTGCAGGCCCACATGGTTTTCCCTCGACGTTCAAGTAGTGTTTGGGACTCCTTGGTACTCAATCGCATTGGCAAGATATCTAGATCCATTATATTGGCATACAGGCTTCCTTCGTTAAACTCGAGGGTGACCTTAAGCGTCGTGCTCTTGATGTAAAACTTTCCGTCATATCCGTAGGACCAAGCATCAATCTTCCAAGACTGAGAGACTGAGTCTGGCACATTGGGTTGGATTGAAGGAATATCTCCAGACTCGACTTTGGTTGCCCAAGACTTCGCGATATACCCTTGGATACCTTTGGCGGTCTTTGACACCAGGACCTCGCCAGGCCGTACGAAGAATGGCATCGTTTGTTCCGATATGTAGCCCCGAGAGAAATGTGCCTCGACTTCTGTGTGTGTCTTCCCGTAGTTGTTATCGATCCATTGTGTGAGTAGTTGCATCTGCTTCTTGTGCGGTTCAGCTATGGTTTCAATATTGGTTGAACCACGATAGTAGTACCAAAACAAGAAAGGCGAATCTATTGGTTCATCCGATTTCCAGACCGGGAACCTCTCGCTGAATGTTGGATGGGAGTCAACAAATGCATCAAGGGCAGCGACCATCTGTGGAGATAGTGTCTGAATGACTTCCCGAACAGGTTTAGGATCCGGAAATGCTGTTTCCTCATCGTCAAATTTGCCAATATCTCTTTCCTGGTAAGTTGAATCGTAGTGCCTGTATACCACGAATGCAGCATCAGGTCTCTGTTTGAGATATTTGGCCTCGTTGGCTAGTGGTGAGATCCCTTTCAGTTGGGGCGATCTCCCCAACACTGGCAGCCAAGAAGGTCTTTGCAGATAGGTAGTTTCGTCGCCTTGGATTTTATGTAACAGAAGCCAAGTAGTAGATTTAAAGGTGTTCTGTAGACTGCGGAGTTTCTGTATCTTTTGTTCCAGTTGAGCTATTTTGATATAACCTGCAGGATCCTGACTGGAGCCAACATTCTTGCCTCTCTCTGCATCTGCGTCCATACTGGTAACAGGCATGGCTTTTTTTGTAGAAGATTGGGCTAATGCTTCGTTGGTGAGGGTGGTATCTTGCACCCTCTCAGCGATGTTGGCTCGTTTCTTAATGTCCAGATCGAAGAGCCTTTGTTGGTGTTGCATCGCTGAACTTTCACTAAGCGGCAGCGGGAGTCGGGATACAGTGTTGACTATTTTCCTTTTGTCGGTATGATAGGATAATTGACCTTGATCTCTCGAGCGTTGTACTCGAGCAAGTGCGGTGAGTCTGTCCTCGCTAAATGAACTTGCGCCAGTTTGATCTTGTGATATGGTACGATGGTGATAATGGTCCCAATCTGGCTCATTGTCTGGTTCACTATCTGGTGGAGTCTCTGGGCGCATTCGTGGTTTTCCGGTAGCACTGAAGTCTAGAGATTGCCCTTGAGCCGCCCAAACATCGGAGAGTTTATTGTACGGGTCGAGCCAAGTTTGAGACGTAGCGGCCTGTCTTTTGTCAACCTTCTGGTAACTGGCGATTTCTACTAATGTTGATCCGACGAGCTCGTTTGCAAGTTGAGGTTCCGTCGCCCCTGACACACTCATCAAATCTTCGGAGGTTCGAAGTACATGAGTCCTACTCGATTAAATCCCGCGGCAAGGACCCGATCTGCTTGTCTGGTGGTAGCTGACAAGAGTGGTTACTTCCGCCAAGACCGAATACTTGCGGGGGCGACAAGCGGACAACGTGGACAAAAAGAGGTGGAAAGCAGGAATCAGCTTTGCGTCACGGCTACCAGCTCTACATATATCTCCCTTTTGACATTGGCAAAAGCAGGAGCGGTGAGATGAACAGATAGACGGACGAGGAGGCCGACATGGACCCCGCAGACAAACACCCTTTTCTCGCACAAATGCGTTCTGCCTTGCCCACAGCACTTTCTGTCCATTCGCAACTACAGCACCAACCTGAGGCATAAGTCTAGTACATATGGGCCTCTCATACACATGACCAAGGCTCAGAACCCTGCTCGCGCAGGTGTATGGACGAATGACATCCGAGACCATGCGCCCTCGGCCCTCGGTGTGAGACCAACTCAGCCGCACAGCGATACGCCCTGGGCAATAATTGGCCCATGGCGAATCATTAACCAGGCTGTGCTGAGGCCGTGCTGCCAAACGTCGCAGCAACCCTGGAAACAAAGTTATTCTTTTTCAACCTGGAAGCGAAGTTCACATCTTCTGTTTCTGGTAGTCTTTAATGGCTGGGATCATGGAACATTCCAAGTCAGACTTTCTCGGTACTTGGTACTCGCCAAATACTCATTCGCGATCGACCACACATTCGTAAGTCAACTTGAGGGATTCAACTTAATTTCTTCACTGCCACTAAGGAAACATGATTTATGCAGCAATTTTGCCTTTCCCACTGCTCAACAAGCTTTCCAAGAAGGACTCGATCGGTTCGCTTCTGAATTCACCAATGACCGCAATAAAGCAGACCTTTCGAAAAGCTTCTCGAGTATACAAGATATTCACGACCTAGCGCAGCGGTCATTCACGAAATATTTAGATGAAAAACGCTTTCCTAAAGCAAAGAAATGGATCCGGCGATTCACGGCAAAGATCAGTCATTATGGAAATATCATGGATGTCCTGGTCCAGCAACATCCTGAATACGTCTCGCTTGTCTGGGGAGCCATGAAGTTTCTCTTAGTAGTAAGCATGGACCCTAATAACATGTCAACGCGTGGCTCGCTCACTATATGCAGGCTGCTCAAAATCACGAAGCAACAATATGTCTCATATCGAAAACCTTGTCACAAATCGCCGACTCTTTACCTCGTGTTGAGCTCGTCACTGTTCTTTATCCAACATATCGGATACGTCAGGCGGTCAGTGATCTATATGCCAATCTCGTGAGATTCCTTATCCGAGCTCATGAGTGGTGCCAAGAGGGCACAATGGGACATCTCTGGCACAGTATCACCCGACCACCTGAACTCAGATACAAAGACCTTCTCGAGGACATTGCGACCGCCTCACGAGAGATTGACCAATTGGCAGTTGCTAGTAGTCGAGTCGAAATCAGAGATATGAACTTGAAGCTGGATTCGATTGTTTCCAAGCTCAATTCCTTCGAGCCTCCACAGTCGAGCGCTATCTTGGATGCGAATCACACCATTCTGGCCAAGCTTGACTCATTCCAGGCTTTACACTCGAGCGCATTACTGGATACGAATCAGCGGCTCACGGATCTCCAATTCTCACAGATCATGTCTCACATCGCTGATGGAAAACTTGGCGACCCTTTGGAAGCATTCCGATATAACGTCTCGGTCCAGATACGGCACGATCGGGTTAGGGTGTATGAAACAACAAATGAGTTCTGGCAATCTCCAAAGTTACAAGCTTGGTCCACAGCACCAGAATCACGAATAGCCATCGTGAAAGGTGGTTTACGCGCGCGACATGCTTCAAGGAAGTTCTCTGTCAACATCATTGAGCAACTGCAGTCGAAAAATATTCCAGTAGTTTGGGCTCTTCGAGGTCCACAAAATGACTCCAAAGAAGCGAAGGCTTCAAGCACTGATTTATTCAAGACTCTCATCTTACAAGCATTCAAGCTATCGCAGGACTGTACGACTGAGAATACCATGTCTCTCCAATGCGCACAGTTCCACAGAGCAAACACTGAAAACGACTGGCTCAAACTTTTGGGCTCTGCGCTGCTTCGAGCGCGAACTCAGATCTACTTGGTCATCGATCTGGCAGTGATAGACCACAATCTATTACCAGCTGAAGGGTTCTCGTGGTTCACTGCATTTCAGATATTGTTTGCGGAGATGGTAAAGAGGTCACCTCAGCTGCGCGTTAAGGTGCTTCTTATTGGCAACAGCGTCAGTTTCGGACCGTCGGAAGCCGAAATGGTACCATCCGAAGTTGTGGTACCTATAAGAGTGACACAGATGCCCGTTCGGAGGCGGGGAAAGATGGGGCCGCGAGTGGAAGCTTATGGGAGAAGAGGTTACCCCAAGTTCTAGTTGATGACAGCGATGAGGGTCACTAATGCAGCTCTTCAGGTAGAGACAAGTGTCTGGCACAACATTCTGCAGGAGTCGTGTAACTCTGTAGTGGCAGTATATCTAATTTTAGCGATACATACTGTTCAATGACCAAGATGGTGGCATCTGAGGATCAAGATGCTAGAATAAAGTATTCAGTCTCAAAGCGTAAACTGGCAGAGATGGTTTAAACGATTTCGTCTATTGGGCCCTCGGGCTGACCTAATACCCTAACGGTACGGTACTGAGAGAGATGCCACGTAAAGCTGCACCTTACGCCAAATCGCGATGTCTTGATGCTTAAGCTGTCACTGTTTTGTCTTTCAAAAGTCCCTTATGTCTGGTGACATCTTCCGACGTGGTCAAAGGTAAAAGTAAAGTTTGATTGAATAGTAAACCGGGTCTAAAAGGAGTGGAAGAATGTACAAGAAGATAACCTCAAGTGAGCCACATAAAGGCTCTTTCAAATCCGTCTCAAGGAATGTGTAAGAGTAGACACTTCTAAATAAGGACCGTCCCAAATCGTCATGACATGATCATCAATTTATCCGCACACATCTAGCACCCACCCTTGCACTGACACTTCCAGCTCTTGTAAGTAGGCTTCTTACCAGACTTGGCCGAGAAAGCGCGCTGTCCCTCAAGAGTGACAGAGTCACCCTGGCAACCAGGTCGAGTCCAGACAGTGCATTCAAAGCAGCTGAGAATGGACTTGGTATCAGGAGAGTCGAGGTCGAAGGTCTTGATGTTGGAGGGGAAGTTGTTGCATCGTCCAGGGACGCCGACGCCCTTGAAGGTGGCCTTCTTGCTGACGCGGAGCTTCAGGAGGTCGATGCCACCGGCGTCGCGGGTCTCAAGAGTGGTGTCCTCCTCAATGGGGTTGGGAAGCGCGGCTGCGAGGCCGGCGAGGAGGAGGATGTTGGAGAAGAGCATTTTGATGTTTGGGTTGGTAGGAAAGATAAAGATTGTCTTGAAGTTTTGGAACTGAGTGAGAGACTCTGAGATGATTGTTGTTTGTGATGAGCATTTTCCATTTACTTGGCGGATGCTCTCCTCATATTTATACTATTTCTCAACCCTTCTTTTCGATATGGAGGCATTCTTCTCAACTCGTATAAAATCTCATTATGCAGCCAAATAACAGCCCAAGTGCCACGTTCCTTGGTCAAGTCAGCCTCTCCGTTCTAGATCGCCAGCCGTCTACCCAAATTCCTATTCTAATCGGGGGACTTGAGTTGTTCCCATCCTTCGAAGCTCTAATAATGGACCCCGCCAACGGCCTGAACCTTGGGTGTTTGCTATTCATAGTGTCCACTCTCCGCCCTAACACGCAAAAGTGCGCATCGTGTTACCACATATCGATGACAATCAATAGCGGCGCGTTTCCCCTCATCAGCCTGAGTACTCGGACCAAGAGGGGTTGACGTTGGTTGTTGTCATCTCACTCAGCTCAGTCAGCTAATATTTCGTAGCCTGTAAGATGAGGACAGCGACACTTTCTCCGCCCGACGACGCGGGGCTTCACGTTTGGTTATATCACGATACGGAGCAACAAGTTATATGTAGATCTCTTACGAAAGCTTATCCATTGTGTGTTGTTAATACTGCTAATTGTCGGGCATTCATGACTTTCGGAGCCTTCGGTCGATCGGCCTGATGACTGCAAAGTGTGGGCTATGGATTACCACTGTTGCGTCGGGCTTTACTCTGCATCTTGAACGTTGGTGGTCAGATCGTGATATAGCGTGAGCCTAGTATAAAGTTTAAAAAGCTGAGTATTTATGCTTTAAATAGACTACGAGCTTGGGAGACACATTGTATCTTGTACTACAATTTGTAGTGGTAGGGTACGATCTTACTGACGGTCCATCGGGGAAACAATCCTCCATACATCCTTTCTGCGATGCCCGTGTAACGGACTCTTCAGACCGTCGCTATTCACAGCGTCCCTCACCTTCGTGACCTACAGCCTTTGTTTGTAGGAGGTCACATTTATTCACCTACTCAAGCTCATTAAAACCAACTATCACTTACTATGCAGGCTACCCGTTCATGATTCAAAGAGTGTAGCTCAGGTAACTTTGACGAACTGAATGGAGAGTGAGACTGTGAATGGCTCATATCAAAGCGTCATCTTCCCGATATAAATGACTGAGAGCCGTCTGGCCGTTAGTTGCAGCATCAAATGCAGCAACCAAAACACATTAACAGCATCTCCAACTACCAATATTCTGAGCTTTCATATCTATATTTGACCATGCTTTCCATCCAGGACCTTTTGAATCCACAGTGCAATCACCCTAGCGGATGTCCAAACCCACCTGAGGAAGGTAAAAAGAAGTGCCGCCCCTGCTTGACAAAGCTCAATAGCCAGGCAATTTATCGCAAAACATGGTATTTAGATCAAGGTCTCTGTCTGAAATGTCCCAATAAGTTGAACAGGGCGGCGAGAACTTGCACAGAGTGCGCTGCCAAGCAGAAGGCGCACCACGAGAAAACCAAGACAAATAAAAAGACCTAGATATATAGGTGGAGTTGTATTTCGTGCTGCAATAGGTAGCTAGTCTATAAATTCGTTAGTTGGATCGGCTATTCATCTAGCTGTGACATGATGTGAAGTATAGTTTTATCTGATTGACCTGATTTATTTACTTTCTTTCCCTTATTCTGATCCCAATGTCCCAGGAAACAGAACAGTTATTCATGAATCAGTGGTGTAGCTGAAGTAACACTAGATAATACTGATAGGATGGTAGTAGAATTAATCTGTGAATGAGCCATGAGATAAGGCTTACTGAACATGATCACACTTTTGGTGAAGCATCATCGCTCCTCTGCTTGTACGGAGCATTTTGTGAATGGATGCTTTACCTTTACTCTATAAACCGTTATCTTCTTTGAGGGATTAAAGATAGCGACTCAAGCAAATCAACATCTCTAACCTAAATTTAAGACCACTGTCTTCTACATCTATATACTCGCCATGCGACCCATGAACCGAATTCTAGAACCCTGTGGAATGGGAAAAGGTTCCGCCGGGCACTAAAACAGACGACGAGACGATCGTCGTAAAAAAGACAACCCAAACGACACAATCGTTGTTAAAACAAACACCCTGAAATCGTAAAAGTGCGACACTTGTCCAGAGCGAGCACTTCCAGGTAGATCATGATGCGGCCCCTGCTCGAGAAAGTAAGCGCGAAAGAAGACTACAAACAAGGCAAGTGCCCTCGGACTTATCCAAAGCTTCAACACGTAAGTACATCTCCTACAACCCCAAAAGTCAAGACGTACCTCTTTCGGAAACACAGATCTTCCAACAGGTTGAAATATAGATTTTCCCAGCATACTGTCTGAATTACTATTCGACACAGCCTCAGCTTCTTTGTAGATCTGCATGGCGGCGCTGGGACTGCCTTGGTAGTGGATGAAGGCCCAGTGGAAGAGTTCGTCTTTTGTCCAGGGATAGTTGTCTGTCCAGACTTTGAGTTTACCGACAAACTATGCTAGCATTCCGACTGGGGAGTCGTGGAGGGCATAACCTAGTGTTACCGGCTTTGTTTCTTGGATACGTTGGTAACCTCTCGTCCTTCGCAAACCAGTTGGTCCGTTCAAGATCCTTCAACTCCTGTTCACTATACTCATTCTTTTCATACCGAGCGAACTTCTCGGGCGACTTCTTCTCATTTGGTGGCAAAGCCAAGAACATGTTAATATGGATAGCCTGTACGGCGTCGGGGTGGTTCAACGCCATGTATCTCACGATGGCTGAGCCCCAGTCACCTCCCTTGGACGGTCAGCCACAGGCCACCTTCCGAAGCCAGCGTACTTACCTGACAGACATATTTATCGTACCCCAGTTTCTTCATTAGCTTCGCAAAACAGGCCGCATGCTGTTCTAGTCCAAAACAGACTTCTTGGAATACTGACTAAAGCCATAGCCGGGCAACGAGGGCGCGACCACATGAAAAGCCTGTTTATCCTCTGCTGACTCGGTTAGTAGAGGCAGAATCTTGGTAACTTCTAGGAAAGATCCAGGCCTGTTCTTTATCAGTTCCAGTGCTTGAGCAACCTGATGGAGGACATCTTACCAGCCATGTAGAAACAAAAGTGGAATCGCATCTTCCCTCGAAGATTTCTGGTGGATGTAATGGATATTCAGAGGCTCAAAGCCATCGACCTGTATCGGAGTCTTGAAATGGTTCAAGGTATTCAAGAAAGCCTCGTACTTTCGCCAGTCATACTCATCGCGCCAATACTCGACCAGCTCCTTGAAAGACGAGTGACCAATTTCTAGGTCGTTCGATTCCACATCCGCCATTCCATCGTCCAGTCGAGCATATTTGAGCTTTATTTTGATTTCTTCAACTAGGCTGTCAGGCACATGAATCTGCTGACTGGTGAGTGGTGAGAACCTTGAGGTAACGTGATCGCGCTGGCCTTGAATGGGGTGATGTCAGCCATGATTTTGGTCAGCAAGGCACCATCAACAAAACATCGCAAATATTTGGTAGGTGAGGGTACTGAGATAGCAACTGAATACTGAATTATCAAGAACGGAATCTCCGGTCGCAGATCGGCGGATATTTATTTCTATGACGCAATGTTTCAGTTTCGAAGCTTCATGACCCCTCTTCCATTGTCAACGCCATGTAATGACCCTTAAGAACACCAAATGGTATTAGCCTCTTTTATTACTTGGAAACTATACAGCCACCAAACCAATTGTTTTCAACGTTAATTCAACTTCGGCTTCCTCCATTCTCTCGGAAATACCACACCTTCAGCTCGAGTTGCATGAAGCCATAGCAAGGCCAGTCTGGTCGGTCAGCGACTCCGGAAACTCCAAGTGACAACAGACGTACTGCCGATCTCAAGGGTGGCGAGGCTTCATGAGACAACAAATCGTGGAGATAAAGTGCTTAAACTCCGAAAGAATACACATCCCGGTCTTGGCATGCAGGCGGGGTTGCATTGATATATAACAGACCTTATCACACCAGGAGATCCTACAGACTGCAGATACACCAGCCCTTTTAACAATTAACACTGATCACTTGACCATCTAGAGAGTCAGAATGTCTTCACCAACAAAGTTTGAGGGCTGGGTCGCCGAAAAGCCAACAAGTGAACAGGATCTGGTGTGGAGCGAGTACGATATGAAGCCCTTCGAAGAAACCGATATTGAAATTCGTATCACCCATTGCGGTGTCTGCGGAACGGATAATCACACGGCTCAAAACGGCTGGGTAGGGTGCTCTCCATCGTCTCCAACCACCATACTGATTGTGTAGGGAACCACTTCATACCCCATCGTTGTTGGGCACGAAGTCGTCGGAATAGCCACTCGGGTTGGCACCGAAGCTGTTGGTGGAATCAAAGTGGGAGATATCGTGGGTGTAGGCGCCCAAAGCGATGCTTGTTTCGAACGCGACGGTCCTTGCGAAGAGTGCTCCAACGGTCTTCACAACTACTGCTCCAAGATTGTGAACACCTATGGCGGTACCCATCGCTGCGGAGCAACATCGACAGGTGGTTATGCCAAGTGGCACCGCTGTCCTTCCAGATTCGTTGTCAAGATTCCCGATGGTCTGGCTCCTGAACATGCCGCGCCCATGCTGTGTGCTGGAGCTACGGTGTATGCGCCGTTGAAGCACTTCGGGGCGAAAGGAAGAAAGGTTGCAATTATTGGTATCGGTGGATTGGGGCATTTCGGCATCATGTTCGCCAAAGCGTTGGGCGCGGCTGAATTGGTGGCTGTTTCGAGAAGTTCGGATAAGAAGGGCGATGCTCTGGCTCTTGGAGCGGATGAGCACATTGCGACGGCTGATGAGGGATGGGCCGCGAAGAACAGGAGGAGGTTTGACTTGATCGTTAACACCGCTGATGGAAATAACGTAAGTCACAAGATCCCATCTATCATCACCAACCCGCTAACGCATTTAGATGCCATGGGCAGAATATCTCGGACTTCTGAGAATGGACGGCACGATGGTTCAAGTCGGTGCACCCGAAAAGGCAATCCCGATCAACATCTTCTCGCTACTTCCCATTCGAGGCAAACTCACGTCTACGCAGACTGCAAGTCCTGACGAGATGCGAGAAATGCTGCAGTTGGCGGCCGATAAGGGTCTGAAGTCGTGGGTTGAAGAACGGCCGATGAAGGAGGCTAATGAGGTGCTGAAGGATCTTCAAGCTGGAAAACCCAGGTTCCGATATGTCCTTGTTAATGAGGAGTAGATGATGGTATCGAGAAGAATAAATGTTTCTTAAAGGAAAGAGGGTCAACGCGGGATAACTCGCCGTAAGGCAGGTACGAGTTCAGGCCGTCATGAACCGCGACAAAACCCGTCGTAATTTCCCAACTCAGATTCACAACCTGCATCAGCCCTTCGTGACTTCCGTCAAACGCGCTGCCACTGAGCTACCAGAAATGCCTCCCAACTCATTGCTCCCATCTTCCATCCCACATCCCACAAACATCACACCCCATCTGCTACCACCAATTTTGCTCGATCATCATCAAGTGCAAAAGCTACAGTACAAAACACACTCTATTAACCACTATACCAAACATCAGCAATCATGTCCGACCGACGTCCGGTTAAAATTAGGCCTCTCGAAGACGGATGGAAATGCCCAAATCGCCCTTGCATCAAAAAGTCAAGAAACCCTTTGGGCTCAATGAACTGCACTCACTGTGGCTGTCGCTTCGGAGCTCCATACATGGAGATCGGACCTCCTGAGAATTCGGATGGTCCTGAGGCGTCGACGAGTCCTGAGAAGTCGGATTCTACTGAGAACGCGGAAGCGCCTGAGAACGACAAGACGACTGAGAAGGTGGAAACGACTCAGAAAGTGGCAACGACTGGGAAGAATGATGATAAGGACAAGGAGAAGCAGAAATCGGGTTGAGTAAAGAATGATGAAACAGGCTGGTGGAGACATCTGAGAGGAATGGTACGGTTAAAGGCGTTTATTCTTTTTCTGGGCATGGGTCGAGCATACGATAGAGCTCTGGTCGGTATTGGGAAAAGACTCAATTGAACTTCTTTAATACATGTGTTTACTCCCGTGATATCTCTCTGTGCCCACCCATTCAATCCTTTTGCTCAAATGCCTCCGGGTACAGCTCCACCATCATGTCGCTCGCCTTCCTTGCCCTTTCCTGGAAATCCCATCTCACGCTCTCATCAACAAGATCAGCAACCTTCTTCATCTCCTCAGCCCAAAGCCTCCACTTCTCGGCAGTCATTTCAACCTTGCCCGCCTTGGCGGCCTCAGCAAAACGTTCTCCCGAAATTAATATGTAATTCACAATGGCAAGAGCCTCCGCCTGTTTAACAGGATGCTTTGTGATATCGCCGTCTCTCCTCTCTTGCAATGCGGACCCAAAGTCATTTGCTATCCAGCGCGGGCCGAACTCCTCAAGCAAATCTGCCTTGAAAAGCTGGGCGATTAGACTCGCAACGTTGAGCCAGCGATGTATCACCTCTTCAGCGCTTGAGCCATCAGCGTCGACCGGCAGATTGTCCGCTTTGAAAATCATTAGTACATGTGGGAAGAGCCGACAAGTAGTTCTTACCGTGACTTGCATGCCAGGTTTCGCGAACAGCAGATATCAAGTCGCCCGATTTCTACATCCCAGTTAGCATTGCTATACTTTTCGACCTCTGTGTTGTACATACTCCTTTCCGAGGCTTATCCTCTGCGTAATTCGCCAGCCCTACCAAGAACTTGGAAAGCGTATCGGTCTTGGGATCTAAATAAGGCAACTCGCCCATCATCTCAAATACAAGGGCCGTCATTGTGCCGAGGAGAAGGTTGAAGTTGTAATCCTCACGTTGGGGTGGTTCGGGGTCGTCTTCATCAATGCGCGCGTTGCGTTCATCGACCTCACCAGTGTATTGGTCGCAGCATCTCTTGACGGCTTGTTCAATTGCCTCGTCCTGTTCACTGGAGTCCAGCAGTAAATCACGGATGACTTCATAGTAAGGCGCATTTGACTCATATACATCGGCTTCTTCTTCAATACAGTTTTCGATATAGCTGAGCCATGCTGGAGGTTCTTGTTTGGCGTCTTTGTCGTTCATGATTTATGCAGAAGGTTAAAGAAATAGTGGAAAGAATCAAGAGTGGAGGGGAAGGTAAGACCTGAAAAAAAAAGATGTGAAAGAACGATGAATTGGCAAATCGGTCAAGATTCAGCTCCTATCTTATTATTCAGAAATATTCTGTATCAGGAAGCCTCGTCAGGCTGATTTGAAGTGGCATCGCAGCGGTATTTTGTTTTACCGCCGAGGTTGTGCTGCGCCTTGTGGGCAGCCAATCACGTTCTGCAATCATAAACGCGCGGTAATGTTCAACTGAAACAGAACATGCATCGTCTCCCGAGTAGGTGATTCTTCTCCTGAGTTATTTCAACAACCAACAGCATAATTTATCAATTGCTAGGGTTCATCGTTGATTTCGTCGACTAGGATTGACCAAATCACGCCATGGTTGATTGTCAGCGCCAGCATCACCAGACAGTCTTCGAGCCCAGATATTCCGTGGGAATCGAGATGAGAGATCGATGTTACTGAATTAACTGTCAATCAATTGGGTTGAAACAAAAGTGTCAACTTCTCTACCTAAATTCCTTGACTTCTTCGACCAAGTTTTGTACGGCTACCACGGTGCAGATGAAAGGGAATATTCTATCGACTGCAAAATCCCTTTCTACTACAGCTAGTGTGGAAAAGGGTATTTTTGCTGAAGAGCTGGGGACTTCTTCGTTCGTCCGACAACTTGACCTACATTAAGACCGGCATGAACCATTGGGGCAGTGAACAGCAAAGTCAGATCATGGTAGATCGTGATCAGATATCACGTTCGCTAAGCGCGTGCAACTTACAAAGGTTCGGGTGGTAGGCGCGTATATAGGTTTCTATCAATAGAGCCGTGAACGGGATTAAACAAGAAAGGATCCCCGGAACTGTATCAGGTCAGGCTCGGTTATGTATGTTGGCTGAAGAGCAATGCCTACGACATGAGCCGACAGAAATAAATAAACCGCGTACTCCACCACATCGCAAGGGTGTTGCCAGGTTATTTTGACGTTCCTGTTCTTGGCTGTTGGTTCTGCCATTTCCCCTTGTAGACAACAGCGCTAATGGTCGGCCTTCAAGGCCAACGCAAGTCTAAGAATATCATCTCAAGATTCTATATAATATTTACATCCTTTGAAGATCACAATGGAAACAATCAAATCATCTATCACTACTAAGGCATCGCTGGTCGACTCCTGATTGATTGCTTCTTCTATCTCCTTTGTATCTCAACCTACTCCTTTGACAAGGCACTTATATCTTGATTGAAATCCCTCACTCAAACAAACTTCCGACTACAACTTGTCATCATGAACAAGCTATTCGGGCGCAGAAAAGAGCCAAGGCGCAGCTCAGAGGACGACTACAACAAGATGGTAGCACACTAGTGTATTTATTTGATATTGTATGAGCTAATCACTTGCCTCAGCAATACTTCACTCCTCGCGGCGAACTCCCAGCCATGTGCGTTAACCAGCAAGTCCAAGAAATCCCGATCGGCATGAAGCAAGAACAAGGAAAGAAGAAAGACTTTCCCCACAAGTTCAGGAATGATGTAGAAGAACATCCCAACGGACAAAAGTACAGAACCTTCGAACCTTTCGAACAGCGCAACCGCCCCGAAGAGGTGACTCTCTTGGAGGTTCCTGTCAACAGCCGCGTCAATCTCGAGAAGAAGGTCGTCGGATTCCGCACTGTTCAGAATAGAGAAGCAAAGCCAGTGCACCACAACGACAGAGCTCGAGTTGTGCGCAACGAGCTTAATGAACCCGGTCCTTTTCGTGGTGTTGTCGCCGTGAACGACAAGACCGGGACAAATTATGGCGTGCAAGGGGTTCTATACCATCCGGAGGGTGATACTCAGCGCTTTGAACGGGCGCCGATGGAGCCTTTGAGTCGTGAAGGAAGGCAGTATATAAACAGGTTTAAGGATGATGATGATCCGCACCGGGTCACGACTTGGCCTCCGAGAGATGAGGATGGTGATGATCTTGCCATGTATGAGAGGCGGCATCAGAAGGTGAGGGCGTCCAAGCCGCCGCCTGTTCCGAAGACTGGTAAGAAGAAGAAGTCCGGGTTCTTTTCGTAATGGATAGTACTATGATCGACGGAGTTCTTTTGGGTTATATAATGAGGAGGTCTTTGTAAATGCAATTATTTTGACTCTATTCATGAATTTAAAAGTATCCATTTTGATAGATTTCCGTGAGCTCATGTGGCCGGCTGTAAGGGATTCGGATATGAAAGAAATTACAAAAAGATGAGGCGCGGCTAAGCGGGGAGAAAGAGGTTTTAGGTTCGGATAGAAGAATTCTTAGGTTATTAGGAAGAATCCCGCTCGGCCACGCCTCATCTTGGAAGGATATAGGTTAAATTCAATATTTAAACCCCAGGTGCCCAGTCAGTTGGTGACTTCAACCGAGATGAGCCTAAGGTTTGAACTGCCTGGAGAGGTCAACTTTATTCTAGCAAAAGCTCCACTAACTCATCATGGCCTTCTTCTGCCCTTTCCTTCAAGTTCCATCTCGCGCTCTCATCCACCGTATCAGCAACCTCCTTCATCCTATCAGCCCAGAACTTCCACTTTTCCGCATTCAAATCAGCATTTTCTTCTACACTAGCCGCCTTAACATCCTTTGCAAACACCTCTCCAGCGATGAGGATATGGTTGATCGCAGCCAGAACTTGAGCTTGACGGCCCGCATCAGAAGACACGTTCTCGTCTTCTTTTGTCTCAAGAGCGTTCTGTAAGTCTGTAGACACCCAGAGAGCGCCATCGGTATCTAGTAGACCTCCACGGTAGAGCTTGGAGATGAGGCCAGATATGTTAAGCCATCCTTCTGACCAGATCTCCTCTGATTCATCTGCGAGATGGTGTGTCTTTCCATCAACTGAGCGCCAATTAATATCGATATTTCAGAGCAAGGTTTTGTCACATACCACGACTGGCATTCCAGCTCTCCTCTACAATCGCCTCTAGGCCCCAACTGTGATACACAAACTGAGGACTCTGCAAACCATCATCAGCAATCCACAATGCAGAAACTGTTATAGTTTCAATTACCTCAAAGTCATACTCAGCCGCAGCTCCCTCCTTAATACCAATCAAGAACTCCGCAAGCCGATCATGCTCAAAGGTTGTATAAAAGACGTCCCGAACAGTCTCAAACACGATGCTCGCCATACTGTTCAGTTTGAAACCAGCCATATAATCAGGTGGTTCTCTTCTCTCATTGTCAGCAGTAGAGATGTAGAGATCATAAAATCTGTTCACGGCATCTGGAATTGCTGTTTCGCTATCTTTGGGAGCGAGGAGCATATCGCGGACGATTTGATAGTATGGAGATTTCGAGGAATACTCGTCAACGTCTTCCTCTATACTTTTCTCGATGTTGACGAGCCAACGTGGTCCATCGGCCTTGTCCTCTTCTGTGTCGGTCATCTTGGTATTTTTTCGTAGCACAGACAACGAAGACGGGGATTTTCTTCGTTCGGAAATATTTGGATGTTGAGAGATGACGAAGATAATCAGCTCAAGAGGCCGAGGCAGACAGCATAAATGAGGCGGAGAAGTTCCTCAACCAACAGCCAACACTGCTCCATTTCTTCAGCTAATCAGCATGTCAGGCTCAATACGCGCGCGTCTAAAACTCATGATACTGTCGCCTAATACCCACTAAAGCATTGCCAGCGCATTCAGTTAAGGAGCTTTCACAATTGGCTCATTTCTTTATCTCCAGGATATCCATCTCGACAATCTTATCTGAACGTTGTCTAATTGACGTCATAACGGCTTTATCTCAGAAACCCTCACAATTGGTGCGGCACAAACGGAACATATTCGTACCAAATAACTCATCCAGAGAATCCCGGTCAAAAATGCACGTTTTCTCAACTACTATACAAATGCAGTAAGCCAAGATATATCCAGCCATGTCGCCCCATCTCCAAATCATGTCTCAACCAGTCACGTCTCCACGTGCTCCAATTAAACCGCGTAATTTCCAACATCGCCAAACCTCAGTCTTCAATCCTAGTCACTCTCTCTTCCCAAATCCCCGGTACCACTCTTATAAAAATGTCGCCCTCTCCGCTCCGCAGTAGAAGCCGGCTTCTCGCCATAGGCGCAGTCGTTTTGCTCTGCACGCTCTTCTTCTACATGCGTCAGAGTTCGTTGTTCGCTCTGCTCTCAGCAGCGCCTGCTGTTGAGTCGAAGCTGAAATGGTATCCTCCTAGTGATAACCAGATCAATTCCCTGACTTCGGCTATTAATGGTGAGGGTACTTATGGGTTTATTTTTGACAGCTCAGAAACACCTGATGAGAAGTATGGGACGTATAATTGGTGTAACATGCCTCATGCGAGGAAGAGGGAGTATAAGAAGCCGGCCAAAGAGTATGAGCTTCAGTATGTTGAAGTGGTAAGTAATTCATCTGTCTTACAGTGGATGGGGGTAGAGAGCTTACTTGCATCAGATTCAACGACATCATAAACGCACTCCTTATGCCAGTAACGCGTTTCCTGTAGAGCCATACCAATGGAACTGCGATAACCAAGGCCTATTCTACTTCGGCAGACAATTCACCGACGAGCCCAAACCCAACGCCCAAGGATACTGGAAGGGTTTTATTTCCGACATCAACCCATTCATTCCCTCCGGATGGATCGGATCCTGCCAATTTCCCCAGATCACAGCCGAGGGTCTCGATGATTCATGGGTCCACGGAAAAGATCTCTACGAAGTCTATCACGATCTTCTCAACTTCATCCCCGGTCGTAAAGAAGACTGGCGAAGTAAAGTCAAGTTCAGAGTCACCAACAACCAGATCACGAGTCAGGTTGCGGGCATGTTTATCAACGGCATGTATCAGACAACCGACTCAGTCCCTTTGCATATTCAACAAGCGGGCGTGGACAGTCTCGAGCCACAGTACAAGTGCAGCGTTGGAAGCAAACTCACCAGCGCTATCAAGTCTTCTTCAAATGCCGACTGGAAGAAGCATCTTGACAAGACAAGGGGTCTCTACCAGACTCTTGACGATATTTCTGGCGTTCCATCAAATGATGAAGGTTTCCATGAGAGTTTCGATCATTACTACGACAACCTCTCCGCTCGACAATGCCACAGCAAGCCCTTCCCGTGCAAACTTGTGAACGGAAAGAACTCAACAACCTGTGTTGATCAGACGCTTGCCAATACAGTCTACAGACTCGGACAATGGGAATACTCCCAAATGTACCGCGACGCACCATCTTCCCTTGCCGCATCAGCGACATCATGGGGCGTATGGATCGCCGAACTAGCAAGTCACTTTCGCGCCGTCATGTCCGGCAAACAAGACATTCTCTACCTGCACAACTTTGCGCACGATGGATCTGTTAGTCGTCTTTTGAGTATTCTTCAGATCGACGTCATGGTCTGGCCAGGTATGGGCAGCGAAGTCGTGTTTGAACTCTACAAGAAAGGTGAAGAATATTTTGTCCGAGTGTTATTCAGTGGAAAGACGCTTAAATCGTCACATCCAGATTTGGGAATTATGGAAATGGTGCCCGTTCAGAAACTGTTGGCGTATTTTGATGAGTTGACGGGTAAAGACGCTAGTCTCGTCAAGGGACGTTGTTCGGGGGAGATTCCTCTGTAGATACCCTGTAAATTTGTGGGTTCACTGCTGTACCACTTGTCTTACCCTCCCATTGGTTCTCAATTGAGTGTCTGCATGACGGCCCAGTAAAACGTGCATGAAACAAACCCTTTATTTCTCGAAACTGCTTATTGTTTAGAATCAAGCACTGCCAAGCGCGGTAGACAAAAAACAATGTTGGTGACTTGACGAAGCAGATTTATTGAGTGCAATTTGAGTCCGAGCCCGACCCCTAAAGTGGGCTGTCGTTGACCAATCATGGGTCATCAGGCTCTGGGGGATCTCCCCTAACAACGGTGATAAATTAATTACCGTAAGAAGGTTTTCGCCAGGAGTTCAATCATGATCTTCAGTCGGTAAAACCACCAGCAATCAATCGTCACTGTCGCCAGCTTCAAATCTTGTACAACGTCGCTTGTAACGTGCAGTACAAAGGTGCATTTTTGTACTGTCCTTCTGTTGAAGGGGGCGCATCAAAGGACCAATTACGCATCAAGCCGCACCACCACCTCGGGAAAGGCTACTCCCCAATCAAAAATGCAGCATTCCTCTCCATCACCAAGCTCCAGCCCAACCCGGCCATCAAACTACGGCAGCGCCAGTCCCGAGACAGCAGCCTCAAGCTTCGACTGCTCAAACAGCAGCCACTGCGGTCCCTGCAAGCGCTATTTCCGTGACGATGCAGCGCTGGACCAGCACATTCTCGCAAAGCATCACGACACGTACTGCTGGCGATGCGACAGGCATTTTACGCATGTGAGCGGCCTGGAGCAGCATGTTGCCAATTCGTCCAAGCATCATGTCTGTACTCATTGTGATGGGGAGCCGGATTATGATACCGAGGAAGATCTGAATGAGCATCTTGAGGAGTTTCATAATGCTTGTTTGGAGTGTAATGAGATTTTTTATGATGAGGAGGATTTGATTGCGCATGATGTTGAAATGCATAATCGATGTGCCACATGCCAAAGATTCTTTGATTCGCCAGCCAATCTCTTGAATGTAAGTCTCACTCCTCTGTCTCACAACATCTTCACTGTGTCTTACTTACCCTCTCATAGCACGAAAAGGTCCACCTGGAGAAAAACATCAAATGTCTCGCCTGTCCTCGCATGTTCATTTCAAATTCAGCAATGATGCTTCACATGGAGCACGGCACATGCGAATCAGGGGCCAACCTCCGTGTTATCAAAAACCTGGTGGCGGACTGGTACGAGGACTACGGATCTGTCGGACACCATCACGAGGATGATTTTCGCTGCGAGAACTGCGGGTCTCATTTCTTGAGACTAAGTGCTTTGCTTCAGCATGCTGAGAGTGAGAATTGCGATGCTGCTGTTTGGGATTTTTATCGAATTTTCGTGCATATTGAGTATAACCAGGATGCTTTTCAGTTGTTTGATTATTAGGGATTCGTTGATGTTTATTTGGTATATGGGTTGTCAGATCTTGGGTTTAGTTTAGCATGGCGTATTCTTGGAGTATAGGGTTTCTTAGGTCTAGAATAGTATATAGATGTGAAGTCATTGATACGGTTTCCTCGTTACGATGAATGAGGTTGGTTTGTTTAGGGTTCGGTAGACTCGGGACGTTTGACGCCCTGAACTTTATTCTGATATCACCCCGGAGATCGGTCATGTTTACAAGAACAAGCAGCCAATGTCCTTCATGATGACTACATTTAAACATTTTGAACGGTTTAGAACGGCCGTTTAAACTATCGCCGTGTTGTTCTTTCCTTCCCAAATACGCCGACGCAACGGTTGGGTACTGTGTCGTGGCGAAAGATTCACGGGAAGGTGCAGGGTAGTTCCATGGCGAAACCAAGTTGCCTGTTCAACTAGATTAACGTGCGCCAACGCCAGGTCCGCTCCAAGAAAAGCAATACTAGATCACCCCAGCTCCAAGTAAAAACGTTGTGATAATTTTGACGCTCTAATCTCCATATCATATGAACCAACACCCTGAGTCAGTATCATGGAGCCTGCACGCAAACGTATCAAGCTCGAAGAAGAGCCGAATCCACAGCGCTTGCCATCCCCAGAACTGTCTTTCAAGGACCAAGCAGCCACAGAGCCCCACTGCGACGGTTGCGTGCGCATCTTCAGGAGCAAAGCGGAGCTACAGCGCCATAACTCGAAATATCACTACAACGAATTTCTCTGTAAAGCTTGCGATGAGGGCTTTGAAACTAGAAATCAACTCAATCAGGTTAGTACCCAGATTTCAACAACTCCATATGCTTACATTTCGTCTCGTAGCACAAAGGTTCGCATGGCCGCAATCAACTGATTCAATGCCTTGGCTGCGATTCCAGGTATCATACTCGCTCAGCAATGATGCAGCACCTGGAAAACGGCTCTTGCCAATCCAAAGCGACATCCTAGCATGTCATGGACGCCGTACGGCAATATTGTGGAACCGTCCCTCAAGACTCCATGCTGAACTTGAACTACAAATGTCCGGGCTGTAGCAAGAAGCATGCTCGCATGCATGCTCTCTTCCACCATTTGGAAGATAGGGGGTGTAACTTACGAAACTGGTTGGAGGAGACCAGAGTCCAGGATTTGCTTATCGCCCTCGAGCGTCCTATTGAACGGGCAAAGGAAACATTGTTTTCCTGCACGGGTTGCGCGAAGGTGTTCAACAATCCGCACTCACTGGAGCAGCACTTACGATCTGTGCACAAAGGGACGTACTGTTTTAGCTGCGCAGCGCATTTTCCCAACGCGGAAAGAAGAATGCGACACTTTATCGACAGCACTGGGTATACTCCTGGCGAATTCCGTTGCGGCGACTGTCAGTCAAATGAGGTTTTCCATGTTGAAAGGGACTTCAACGTTCACGCGCGGGTAGTTCATAGGAAATGTGCCCCGTGCGGACAGGCCTTCAAAACTCAGGGCAGTCTTATAGACCACGAACACGAGGCTCATAACAAGTGTCTGGAATGCCTCCAGTGTTTCTACACCAGAGACGCGCTGACGTCTGTAAGTATATATGCTTCCTGCCGCAAACTCAAGCTCTAACGGTCATACAGCACATGCAAAGTGCCACAGAAGGATGTGCCCTTGCCAACAGATCGTCGGTGTCAACAGATGGTCCAGTAGTACGTCCAGTCACGCCTGAAGCAGAAGCTGTCACAGAAGCTCGGGAAATACTCAGGGAAGCCATCACAAGGATGAGTTCTGTCCTTGTCAAGGCTGAGCCGCGAGTGGCAACGACTTTAAGGATGGAAGATATACCTGACGCGACTTCCTTGGAGTGTCGCTACTGCTACTTCAGCTGTTCGTCAGAAGCTGCGCTGGCCTCACATTGCGATGGTGAACACCGAGATGAAATTACCACATGGTGCGAACCGTGCCAGGAGCAGTACGAAAGCTACGAGGATTACTACCAGCACCTTGTGAACACACCACAGCACTTCCCATGCACGGCATGTTGTGAAATCGAGCTCGCACGCAAGGATTGGGTGGAAGCAGTCTTCGAAGACCATGGTTCACAGGAGGCTCTGGATGCGCACATCAAGGAGAGCGAGCATGCATTTTGTGCCCCGTGCAGCAAATGGTTTATGCACAAAACCCTGCTTCAAAGTCATGAAGAGGAAGTCCATGAGCCTGCTTGGCCATTTATCTGCAAGCCATGTGATCGAGCATTCCCGGAGTGGCGGGATCGTGACAAGGTATGCTATTCAGTCGACATCCGAGCATGTCATGACGTCTGCTAACGGCTCTACAGCACCAACTAACGCACAGTGATACACCAACCCGCTGTCTAGGATGCAGAAAGAGTTTTGGCTGCTACTCGCTCATGTTTGAACATCTAGAAAGTGGCAAATGCAACTCGGGAGCAAACCGAGACAAGCTCAAAATGTACATCAGCAATATTTACGGGCGACAGACCGACAACGAGCACATGCATCTGAACTACAAATGCCCGCAATGCCCGAAAAAATTCCATCTCATGAGCTGGCTATTCAAGCATCTCGAAGTCCGCGCGTGTCCTTTAAGGAAATGGAAGGACTACACGCAAGCGGACGACCTTCTGTTCAAGCCTTTGAAGCATGCTCTTCGGGCAGACGTGTTATGCACCAAATGCGACAGGGCTTTCAAGACTCCGGAACGGCAGCGTGACCATATATGGGAAAAGCACGAGGCTACCTTTTGCTTCATGTGCAACGAGCATTTTCCCTCAAAGGAAGCACTCAGCGATCATATATCTGAGTTCGAGGCTGGGAACGAGTATGGTATCAAAGAGCTCAGTTGTCAGATGTGCACCTCCGCGAAGTGGTTCGAAACCGAAAGGGAGTTTTATGCACATTCCTGGAAAGAACATTTTTGCTGCGAGGTTTGCCAACAGATCTTTGACACCGAGGACGAATTAGTCGAGCATGATGAGCAGGACCATTTCATGGATTACGATTGAAATGTGTGCTATCAGCTTCTCGAACGGGTAAGTACTTCAATCGTGAGCCGACACCTTAGAGCACAAAAGGGCCATCCTTACGAACAAGCGCGGAACACAGAGCCTTACAGACGAGTTCCCATGCATCGGCGAAAAATACGAATGCAAGGAATGGTTCAAGAAGGCATCTGATATGATGCTGCACATCGAATCAGGAAAATGCGTCGCTTACGAAGCTAACGAAATAGAGAAGTTGTTCCAGCAAGACGATATGAGTCGCGAAACCTTTAAATTCTACAACCGCAAGAGGAGACACTTCACATATCCTCTTTGTAGGGGTACCAAGTCCAAGGATATAACTACTCTGATGCTGCACGTTGAAGGAGATTCTTGCAGTATTCATCCTATAAAGGGATCTTTGCATAAAGCTCTCTGTGAGCTTCCCGACGCAGGCATGGAGAGCCTCGACGGGTGTGAATGTTGCTACTAAGTTTTTAAAAGTCACGCCTCTTAACGTGACGCATCTCAACGCGTACAGGTTAAATCAACACAACGGAATGTTGCTGCTCCGATCCGGACGCCTGGTGTATGGGTAAAAATCCTTGGGACAACGGTCTCAAGGGTCATCCTCAATTTCAGTATGAACTTGACATTGCCGAACTGGCAAGCTACGGCTATTAAGGATAGATGAGTTGAATCTTGTGTCAATATCTTTCTCCAGATCGATCAACTTTACACATCACCAACACAGACGTTCTCGGGCCGATTTCCCAGGTCCATGAGTATATACATGATACTGTACGATAGGGAGGCAGGTGTTTACCAATGCACTAGCGAGAAGTGCAGCAAGTTGGAGTTTGAGGAACTGAGTGAGCTTTTCATAGATGCTGAGGTGGGAGTTTATAGTTTGGATGTGCATCGAGGGCATTTGGATATGTTTCAGCGACTTGAAAAGTATTCTTTTGAGCAGATCTTAGAGGAGGGTGAGACCGTTCCCTCTGAGTGTTGGGGCCTTGAGAATTGATATTTGGTGTTTGTATACTTCGGGCATTTGATATTATAGCTCTTTTTCAGCCTGCAGGCCTAAAACTAGGTGCAGGACCTTTAACGTTGGCTAAAAGTTCAGAAGGGATAATAATACTAATAGAGAAATAGTTATTAATTATAGGAGTTTTCTAGAGCGTGTAATGTAATTAACTTTCTTATCGAGTTTAGTTTGCAAGTAAGAACAGGGAATTATTCAAGATAAGGGAGATGGACATTACAAGATAATAGTTACTTTACAAGAGGTTAATAGGAGAAAAGCTTTTACTTGAATGAAACATCAGTTAACAATAAGAAGGCCTCATCAAAGCACTTCCTAAATATGGGGAACATCGCTGTCTCTATAGAAGCCCGTTAAAGTATCCACTACAGGCTCCGAAACAACGTTAGAGTGGCAGATCCTGTTCCACCGATTCATCTTGTAATGGAGACCATGAAAATTTCATCTATCAAGGTCAGCAGAGATATGTTGGCTTCATCTGGTGTTTCCAAGGAGGAGAAGACCGAAGATATTACCGAGGACAAAGTCACAGAGACTCAACAGGATGCCGGAGGATCTTCAAAGGACGATCCCCTGCATTGTAGAGCTTGCAATAAGACATTTGGCAATACACATGGCTTTGAGCAGCATCGGCGTGATAAGCACAACATAGTCAAGCCCGCAAACAATGGAGAGACCGAAGAAATTGCACAGGCTAGTGAAGAAACCCTGCCTTTTGACTGCATCGCCGAAGAGCTTGGCTGCAAAGAGGAATTCTGGCGAGCATCTGTCATGATGAGACACATCGAAGAAGGCTTATGCAACGAACTTCTTGCGCATTATCAAATTACACGTATCTTCCAGTACAAGTTGGACGAGAAAGGCCGTCAACTCTGGGACCACGAGTGGTCATCTTACAAGTGTCCTGATTGCCAGGGCCGGAAGTTCAAGTTCGATTCTCGGGCTGACCTGATCGAGCACGCCGAGCGCGGCAAATGCAGTTTAGATCCTTTGCGCAAAGGGAATATCTTGTACAGTTGTATCGCAGAGATCATGCTTTATGCTGGGGATGATGATCTATCTGACATTTCTACCGACTATGAGGAGGATCCTTATATGTTGTATTGGGCCACTGGATTTGACGACCCTGATTCTGAAATGGCTAGTAGTGATTCTGTTGATGATTACGGGTACTAGGGGGAGTCAAGTGAAGATATTAGACAATGAGCGATATCTCAAGATTGACCTCATAGTTCCAACATATAGTGTGGCCGGTGAAGTCCTGTTCTTGTAAATAGATTCTTACAGCAAGATAGTTGTTTGATGACACTCTCAATGACTGTATCATATACATTAGCGCATAACAGATAGGATGCATTGTATGACTTGAGTGAAGAACTATAGCTCGCAAGAACGGTTGAACATCTCTGTGACTGCTAACATATAGTCTTCAAACATGAATAGCACTGCTCAATACCCGATGATCAATAAGATGCTTGCCCAAGAGTAGAGCCCCAGTCGTAGCCCAAAGGATGGGGAACTAAACGTTGATCTGGCAGAGGTACTCTGTCAATTGCTTTATTTCACATCACGCTTCAGCCCCAGGGTTGTTAGATATTTGACAGTCATCTGGTGGTATCAGATATACACAACCGTGGGGCATCCTAACCTTGCCATTATTGGGAGGTACGGTTGACTTGCAGCCAGTCAGAAGATTTCTATCAAAGAAGTACCACCTCTGAGAGTATAGAGGTCTCAAAGCCGTAACCTACTACCACTGTGCAGGCTCCCAACACCATCTTGTCATAGCTTCGAGACCCCAATGAAATATCGGCTGACGGATACACCGCTCTTGGGGTATGATAGCAACCAAACTCTTCATGATGATACACGGGAGACTCCTTCCTTCAGAAGATCGCGTCCATGTTTATCAATAGCCTTATCTCCTCTCTATCACTGGTCCTTTCCACGGCTAGCTCTACTGATATTGCTATGGGTTTCTGTATATTCGAGATAATCATCAAGTTAAAGGTAGTGTAAGGGAAAGATCTGGTTGGTCCAAACACATGAGCGTCGATATCTTACTAATAAGGGACGCTGAAGGTTATATGAGTATGGTACTGGCTAAAGAGTTCGCCATGATCATAGCGTTCTTGAAGATCACATCCTCCTTCGGCCAGCATCCCGGTCACACGATCACAAACACGATTCTGTCCACTTGTATACTTACCGCTCGAGCCTTGTGGGTTTCCAGGCGAAAGTTCACACGGCCATCGCGATGTGTAGTGCCCTCTTAGATATGGACTCCCTCGTTGGCCTTTCCAGCTGAGACATCTCTGGTCTAGACAACCCACCGCGGTCGGAAATTATTTAGATCTGACACTAACACATCCAGCTATCCGCAAAGTTGTACTCAACAGAATTGGATACCACATCCTGCTATGTAGGCATTGAACATCGCGTATGGCAAATACATTGGTACCTTCAGCAACATGCACCCAAGACAAAGTAAAGACCCAAGAGATTCTGAGATGTGAACAACGCTACGTCGGGTACGTGGGCTTTTCGGTCGTTCGCCCAATTGACCATAAACTCTGTATCAATTTTATAATCTGCTTCTGTTTGAATCCATATACGAGTCGTCGGCCTTCCATCATGCAGGGTGGTTCACATCGAGGCCATCGTTGTCGCTTAGAGTCGCTCTTATGGACTTACGACTCCAGGTCCCAGGGAGCTCGTTGCGGTTTTCATGCTTGAGAATAGCACTACCTAAGAGTTCTAGCGTGCAGATGTTCGTCCAATCAAGAAACACTGCCACCTACTCAACACATTGCTGCTAAAGAGCATCTGAACCACGTATCAAGCCGCGAATCTGCCCTGCTTCAAGACTCCTCAAGTAATAAAGATCGCGTTATTGAAGGCTGACGAGCGCAGCATGCGGCCAACCCAGCCAATAGCCAAGACGCCAATCTGGGGAAGATTCAAGATTAGGTACCTTTAGCCGACGACGGCCAAAAGAGACAACTGATTGCCCGAGTTGGGAGTCGAGACCCATGTCAGAGTCGTATATTGGCTCGTTAAAAGACTCAGCTGACTGAATATGTGGCACGGAAACGGGAATGGAAGTGTAATTGTTGCTGCAATCACTTAATAATTACATCGTCATTACCTCGTATGCGTGTCCTGTCAACGCAAGCAAGTTCTGTGCATAAACAACAGGCAGCCGAGGCTTGTACTGCGTATAGATAAGCACAGCACTTGGCTCTGCGCTTGCAAAGGCTTGTCGAGTGCTGAGCCAGTCACTGTGACTATGTTCTGGAAGACACAGCCAGATGACAGACAATGACATTGACATTGACAGGTGGGTTTCCCTCGATGGTGGACCCTTTGGACAACTCCGCCCACCCATCCGGGGCCGTCCATTTAGATCCCTGCCGCCCAGACTGCTAACTTGAATGTCGTCAGCAGCTGAACAATAAACGGACGTGTCGTAGGGCCGTCCCTGTTCATGATTGAGCGAGTTTCGGGTCATCTTAGATAAAGAGAGCCAGAGCCAGATCACATGCGAGATTACATGCCCAAAGAGAGATGCATCTTAAAAATGTCTCACTTCAGGTCTCAGATAGCGCGAGTCTAAGAATCTTCAATGGAATCCTGAGAGGTCATTGCAATACGGAAGCAATTCCGTGGTCACAAGTGCCGGTAGGGGCAGAGCAAACGCCGATCCTGTAAAGCACCACGATTATGACCGAAATGAAGATGATGAGGTACGCGGAACAAGAACGTCAGATGTGTCGTGTAATGCCAATGACCGCCAGGGTATCATTGTAATCGAACCATGTTGACATGCGCCGTGACTGGGTGGTGGAGGGCAATTTGAGTGGAGGTCCGTCTTTGGCTGACAGTTATCCAGCTGCGAGAGAATCGAACAACGGCCCGAACGCCGCGAATGACTTGAGAACAAACCACCATTCCAATTTGCGACACAGTGCTTGGGAAACGAGGCTCCGGTCCATTTCGTCCTCTGTTTTGAGATACAGTATCTAGACAGCAAATCATTGATTGCCCAAACATGCCGTAGCGCAATAACTTTAACTCATAAAAGTCACAGGGATTGCGGTCCGCCATAGCCATGAAGATAGCCTTTTATAGAAGACGGCGCGGTGCCAGCCGCCATCATGCATGCTATTTAACGCTCGGCCTTGATCGAGATGACAGTCATGGCAATCGGGTAGACCTCCAGATGTCAATTGTAACCCTCCGGTAGTACTTGGAAGCATTTCCTCCGAAACAGAATTGCTTTTGATGTTGCAGATTTCCATGTCGGAGATGTGTTGCAGGTGAATTTGGTCGATGTGGAACATCTTAGAACTAGATGCCGGCGTCCAAGACCGTCCCCGCTAAAACCCCCCAAGTCAAGCACAGGGCAAGCCCAGTCAATATCCTGGAAAAGGGGGCAAGCCTCTAATGGAGGTAATTTGCGTATCCACAGTATCAAGATGATGGTCTTGTTTGGACATGCAATGTTAAAGACAATAACTCCGATAAGGCTTGAGGCGAAGAAAGGAGAAAGGGAAACTGCTGCCAAGAGGTGGAAACACAGAGTTTGATTGCAGATATTGTAAGTGGGCTTTGGCAAGCTGTTGCGGTGCAACATTCGTTGTTGACATTGTGGTTCATGCGGATTGCCTTCGTATTTGTGTCGTTCTGCAGTCGTTCCAGAGCCTGTATTTCTTTCCCCAGTAGGCCACAACTCGGTGTTAGCTAGATACCTTGAATGCCAAGTTTGCAGGATGAGGTGCGTCCCTAAGCGATCCGTTTAGCTCGTAGCTCGTATATTCTGTGGTACCTGAACCGTGCTTCATGGGAGATTGTGTCTTTCTAAGAGAAGCATGGAGCAGGCAAAGACCCTGGGAATCCCAGAAGATCGAGAAGCTTAGAGGACTTGCAAGGCAATAGATGGCGCGATGCGCTTCAGCCGAGGTTTAGTGAGACTCCGGGATAAACATGCCTGGGGAAGGGCACTGGCTCAATGTTTAGGGGTCCAGTGTCGTAGCTCAGGGCATCTGTCAGGGGATGGTCTCAGTGAGGGTTTCCGACACAGAATGGCACACCAGAAGTTGATGATAACTTCATGTTTGATCGCTTCGAGAATCAGTGAATTCGCACAGTGTTTTCAGGTTCCAAGAACACTGGCAACCCACAGTCGTGACCGTGACCGTCTCGTTCTGGCAGCGTGGAGCGTCAACGTGGAGTGTGGAATTGAATTGCTTGCTGGCAAGAAGGCCAAGAAACGAGGGAAAAGGGCACCCCCCACACGTCGTCATTTCGCACTCCGTTATTAGCCCCGTTATCGAATCAAAAGAGGATTGGACGGGGCGTCTGGGCGTTCAACGGACAACGGGCCACCAGTTAGCACCTTAACCAGGGCCAGGGGACATTTCAAGGTACTCACTGACTTTCTCTGTAACTGCAATCAGTGTTTGTAGTATCGTGAATTGTATCAAATAACAAGGTGACGAGAGATGCGATTGAATGGAACTGAAACAAAAAAGAATGTAAGGATTGCTTCTGTTCGGAACAATCAATCCGGTTACAGGCGGCAGCCAGTATGTCTCTAATTAACATCCCGAGATCGCAGAAAGTTCTAGGGTCATTCATTCAACCTTAGAACCGGCAGGTACGTTGCAGGCACCCTGCACTGTAGATTGTGTTCTGCCAAACGAGATACTTGGGTGGGAAGTACTCACTTTTTAGCCTGACCAGGCTGTCACCTAAATCGCCTCTGTAATCCCACCAAAGTGAATGCCGTAAAGCAACCAGTACTTTCAACCAAGTACTCAATTTACCCGCAAGCCTCAATAGCGCCTGGCACCTGCCAACTGGAGCACCAAAAAGTCCAGTCCAAATCCAACTCACTCACTGGCCTGTGCCCACTGTCCTTGTCCACTCCCCACGGAACGACGTGACTTCCTCATTTGATTGATGGATGAGGCCTAGGCTTGCTTCGCTCCTTCTCCTTTCCCGCTCGCTCGGCCCTGGTTTTTTTCTCCCCCCATCCTAACGACCTAACCCAACCTATCCCGTCACGCCCTGACCAAGTCGACGACTCGTTCATCATCTTAACCACCACCTTTTCCCTTCCGGCTCTGGTTCTTTCTCCCCTTCTTACCTTTACGGTACCTCTTTCTATTATCCAACTCTCCTCTCGATAATCCCGTCTGCACTGCAGCGGCTTTGGTCACGAAAGCGTCTTCCCGGTCCGTCGTATCATCCCGTCTCGTCACCGACTTCTTGCGATTTTATTCCTCGCACTTTTTCCGTCCCTCCGAGACCCTCGCGTCGTTTATTCCCGACTAGAAGCGGCCCGTGGCGAGTAACCCTTGCGCTTCTTCCCCAACAAAGCGGCAACAGACATTACATTTACGAAGCTTAAATCAATTTCTTGTCTTGGGTGAGTCGAATTTGTCGACGCACAGGATCACGGGCGATATGTCAACGTGTTGCGACGACGAGGGGCTTTGCGAGATTTTGGTGGTGCTTTTTTGATGGATCCTTGTCTTAGGTGGCCGATGCTGCGCATCTTGACGTCGGCCACGGCGGCAAATTTCCTCCACCATCTCCTATTGTCGCCCTTCTCTGTGACATTGTCGTCGCTCTACGCTGCATACTCCCGTCGCAAACTGTCGTCATCCGGTATCACAGTTACAACAAGCTAACCAGGCATTTTTTCTGGATAGATCCTTCCAGTGCGAAATTTGAGATACCCCGAGCCGAATCGACTGCTGCATCCCGGTTTTCCCCATCCGACCCCGAAAGATCATACAATATGTCCTACTACGACAACCCTCAGTCTCAGTGGTCGTCCTCGACCCAGAACAACTGGGAGCACCAGGGCTCGACTACTCCGGTCCGCGCAGGTACGCCGGGGGGCAAAATACCTCGAAATGGTTCTTTTATTAACCCTCCTGCTCGTTCAGGCGCCAGCGGCCCTCAGCCTCAGGATGACTACGCTTTCTCTTATCAATTTGATGGTATGTGAAACCGTCCCACGGAATGGTTTGCTGAGATCGATCGCTACTTCAATTCCTTTGCTTGTAGTGATGTGATTTGCATCCTCAATCCCGGACAAGACTTCATCTGGCAGACAGTGTTGACAAAAGCTGACTAGAAATTGCAGAGGTCGACCGAGCCTACGAGAACTTGCAGAAGTCTGGCAAGGGTTATGGAATGGGTGGCCGCCGTGAGTCTATGATCCAGCGTTCTTTCAATTCCGCCCGAGGCCCCGACACAATCGGGCGCCCCGGTATGGCGAAACGTTGGAATCAACAATACTAACAACGCTCGTTGATAGACTCCCGTGGTTCCCATCACACCCCCGGTTCTCGCCCTCACTCCGTGAACAACTTTGATGATGCCCGCGGCTCTCAGGGACCCAACCTTCAGAACTTCTACGCTAATCAGCGTCACCAACCTTCACGAGGCTCCAACGAGGCAGAGCAGGTCATGCAGGCTAAGAGACGGATGGCAGCTCAACGGGAGCGTGAGCTTCGAAACCTGCACACAGAGCAGCAATATCAGCGAAGTAGGCCTCCCTCTACTGTGTAGCACATTCAACTATCGAAAAGAAACAAGATGGCATATAGAGAAAAATAATGTGGCCATAGGCGGCCGAAAATGTCGTTGGCCCAGACGCCGCTCGTGTTTCTTCCCTTTCAAAAACCTTTTGCACCACATGTAATATTGTCGAGTTTGTTGAGCATGGGCTAACAGCTTTTCTACGTAGCCGTCCTTTCTGAGGTGCCCCTTCCGCCCAACAAGCACATGTCCGAAGAGGAGACGCGAGACTTGATTGCCCGTCAGCGAAGTGCCCTTTATGGTGAGGGACCTTTTGCTGAGAAGGCTGGATATGTCGATGAGACTGGAAACGTCCGCACCGGTGCCCCAGTTCCCAGCGGACCCTCAAGCCTCCGCGGCCCTTCGCCCCTTGCCTTTGACAATGTTGGCCGTGCTCCTCCCACTGGTGAAGCTGGTACTCCTGTCTCTTCTGGTGATGCCCACGGACCCCCCACCGAACCAAACTCGCGCCCTCACAGCACCGTCAGCCCCCAGGCTGCGGGTCCCGCAAACAAGGTCTTTGACAATGCTCAGAGCCGCACTAGCACATCCAGCCCAACGGGAGGCTCTCCCTCCCGAGATCTCACCCCTGGTTCCAAGGCTAACCAGGCCGGCGCCTCGGTAGCTCCCATCGGAACCCGACCTTCTGGTACACCTACAAACCCTTCGTCCAAGCGATCTACCACTCCCCTCGCTTCCCCTGGTGGTTGGGGACGCGGCAACGGCGTTTGGGGTCAGTCTTCTGGTCTGGGTGCTCCTGCTAGTGTCTGGGGTTAGAAAGGTCCAGACAATAATGATAAGGAGTAGCAGCATGGTTTGGGATTCGAACGTTGCATTGGGAACGGCGCAGAGGTAAACGCATTGCGGTCAGGACTGGGGACTTGTCTTTGGCAACTCTTTTTATGAGTTGGAGACGGCGCGAACATTAAAGGATACTCAGGTCTGGCGAGAATTGAGTGATGCGGTCAAGATCAAAGGTGTTGAAGGAACGGCATCAACTATGGAGTTGACATTGTTTTTCTCTTTTATGCGGTTGGAGGATACGACCTGGCGGTATAGGAGTTGCATTTGAACACCACAGAGGCGTCAACAGTTCGTCTCTTTATGCTTTGAGGGCAGGAAAAGAGTTTTCGGGTATGAAAATGATGGACAGGATGGAATTTGTTTCGGCTGTCTGGGCGACAGGCTTCGGAGCTTGACGATTCTGGGAGCGACAACTATATACCCAACAGGGCGGTTCTTACGGCGTTTACTCTGCTTACGACGACCGATCAGCTTGCGAAATCGACTACGGCATGTGTTAGCATCATCTGAGCGGCGCGTTCGGAGTACCTCACGATGGAGGCATCTGATTTGTCGGCGTGCATTCCATGGCTATGGAAATGACAGGAAGGGTATTTATGAGGGATCGTTTTACAGCACACACGGTTCGGCGATTGACAAGGAGTGTCTTTTATATACGACGGAAAAGCAACAAAATAACAAAAAAAGCACAAAAAGGGCATCTTTCGGGGTTCAGGGTGGATAAAGGTTAGGGTGTATTCTCTTTCATGTCTCTCGTTTCTACCGGTTTACGGGGGGTTGGCTTCGGTTTGGGTCTGGTTATAGGGAACGTTTCTTTAAAATTGTTGTTTTCGCAAGGGAATGGAGAAATTGTTTTCTGACTTTGGGGTACGGCTATAGGAGGGTGATGTAGGGACAGTTAATTTTCAATATGACTGGTGATAAGGGTAATACAAGGTTATTACGGGGTTGAATGTTTGTGTCTGTCGATTGAGGTCATAGTCATGCATGAAGTGAGACATCCCGCACACGCATGTCAGGTCGAGGGTGTCCTCGAGTTCTTCACAGGTTTAACCATGAAGCTACAGAGGAGCTAAGAAGATTCTCGAACGGTAGATCTCAGCTAGTTAACCTTATCTCGCGTTTATCTCGCGTTGCAAAGAGCAGTGTTACTCAAAAATGACGAAGGCACCAACAGAATTGCATGTGCGCGTCATGGGAATGTCTCGTCCTCACCAAAACCCCCACCTTGAAGCTCATCTCGGGGCTGTTTCTCCCCCTCCCAATTTCCAATTTCAGTTTTCGGGGTCCCGACGTGGGGCAATCAAAGAGTCCCGTCTCAGCAGAAGTTCACACATTCATCGACTTGCAGCAATTGAGGGGAATGAATGACGGGTACACTACGTGACGCGACTCCTTTTTGTTTATGTTTTGGTACTTATAGCTGTTACCCCTCCTGAGACAGTTCTATGTAGTTCAATCATTGTTCGTTCTTTTGTAGTTCAATTATACTTACAGCGTTGACCATGCCTTCTTTTGACGAGAACAAAGCTTATGTCGAGCAAGAAGAGACCTTCTTTGACGACGGAAGAGAAATTGAGCTTTTGCATTATATCTATGGAAGAGATGATATCGATGAGCTGCGTGGTTCGCCGGAGCGTGTGCTCCAGGCCATTGATGAGTTTGGTCGCACCAAGAAATATCTCATGAACGTTGGTGAGGACAAGGGCAAGATTGTAACAGATCTTATCGCTGAAGTGAAGCCCAAAGTCATGGTATAGATAATCCTTACCTTGATTGAAGAGCAACGCTGACAGACATAGGTTGAATTGGGAGGCTATGTAGGCTACTCAACCCTCCTCTTCGCCAACGCCGTCCGCAAAGCAGGAGGATCGCACTACTACTCCCTCGAACGCAACCCCGAATTCGCAGCAGTGATAACATCCCTCCTCGACCTCTCAGGCCTATCCTCCATCGCCCGCGTAATCGTCGGCCCCAGCGACGCCGGCCTCGCGCGTCTTCACAAGAACAACACCATCAGCAAGATCGACCTCATGTTCCTAGACCACTACAAGCCTGCCTACACAACCGACCTGAAACTCTGCGAGCGTCTCGGTCTTATTGGACCGGGCAGCGTTCTTGCGGCGGATAACGTCATCAAGCCCGGAAACCCGCCGTACCTCGCATACGTGAGAAGCAGTGTGGCTGAGAAGAAGGCGGCTGCGAAGAAGGGAAGCAATGGTGATGCGGAGAAGTTTGCGGATAGGACGGCGAAGCAGTATCTTAAGCGTGAGGGTGAGGAGAAGCTTAAAGATGAGGAGGGTGATCCGTGTCTGGTGTATGAGAGTAAATTGGTTAACAGCTTTGAACCAACTGGTGTTCCTGTAAGTTCCCCTCTCACCTGTTCATTGAACAATATACTAACAATTTAGGATGCCGTTGAGATTACACGGTGTACAGGCCGCGAAGATTAACTTTACATTCCATAAAGCCAATTCAACAAAGCTTCTTCTGCTTCTCTCAATTACTGGCTCGACTGCCCCTCCTCTGTGAACTGCCCCTCAACACCATGAGATGCCCCTCACAAGACGCTTGTGCTCCTTGCTACTTCATCCAATAAGAGCCACGCCCGGTTAGCTCAATCGGTAGAGCGTGAGACTCTTACGAGTACGCGATCTCAAGGTTGCGGGTTCGACCCCCGCATCGGGCTGTTCCTATATAACGATTTCTAACATCGTGGCAT